ATTAAAAATAATAAATTATAAAGTAATTTATAAAATTAAATAGTTATATAAGATTTTATTAATTAAATAAAACTTAACTAACTAATTAAATTTATTAAAATTATTTTTTTTAATTAATTTGATAAATTTATTTAAGCTAAAGAAGTTAGATAATTTAATTATATATTTCTAATATTATTAATTAGATTATTTAAATAAGTAAGTTATTAATTATCTATAAGATATAATAAACAACCTAAATATTTTAAAGAGAAAAGTTAAAGAAATCTCTTATTATTTAATATATTTAATTCCTAATTTAAAATATTAAATCTCTTATAAACTAATTAATATAGAAGATTAATTATTTAAATTATTATATTAAAATCTTATTTATATAATTATTATATTTAATAATAATAAATATATTAATTATATATATTATCTAATTTTAATATTTCCTTTTTTAATCTCTTGTTAAATCTAGTAATAATAAATATTAATATATTTTAGCTTAGTAATATAAATTAAGTTTTTTTTATTAAGTAGATTAATAATTTAATTATTATTATATAAAATAATTAGCTTTTATTTAGAATCAAATTAAATAACTTTAAAAAGATATTTTTACTAATAAATTTATTTTATAATATTTAATAAGCTTAGTAATTAAGTCTTAGTAATAAAAATAATAATTATTTTTTACTTTCTTATTAATTAATTAATAAGATTATTAAATAACTTATATAAGTAAGCTTTAATATTTTTTCTTTAGTAATTATTTATAAAAGTTATATTACTTATTAATATAAATACTATAATTAATAGATTCTTATTAATTAAGTATTTAATTATATAATTTTTAGTCTTATTTAAGTAAGTAATTATATATTTAGTAGCTCTTATATATTTCTTATAAGATTTATAAAAAAACTCTAAGAAAATTTAAGTTACTTTTAATATATTAAATTAAAAGATAATTATAGAATATAAAGCTAATTCTATTTTTTATTAATGTTTATTAATTAAAAAATTATATAATTTTTTATTTATTAGTTTAAGTAAATTATTTTCTAGTAATAAGTAAAAATTTTTACTAGAAAGAGATATTCTTAATAATTTTTTATAAATATAAAATTTATAAGTAATTTTTTTAATATAAATATCTTAATAAATCTAGATTTTTTTATTTAGGTAGTTCCTGATTACTTTTATATTTAAAAATTAAATTAATTTATTTATATTTTTTATTAAATATTTAATAAATAACTTGCTTTTTAACTCCTGAGCTTATTTTTTATAATTTTTATAATATAAAAAAATTATATTATTAATAAAGATAATTAAGATTAGATAATTATTACTAAATAAGTAAAGATTCTTAAATATTATATATAATTTAAATATATTTAAAGTTTTAGTAATCTTGTCCTGTTATAAATAATATACTTATTAAAATTTATATAAGACTTATTATAAAAGAAAAATTTAGTATTTTTAATTATACTTAAGAAAATAATAAATATAAACTAGCTTATTTAAGTAACTATTTAAGAATATATTTATTATATTATATTAATAGGCTTTAAGATTAAACATGATTATTAAAGCTAGAATAATTAAAAAAATTTAAATAACTAGAATAATAATTCTAGTTTCTTAATTATTTATAATCTATAAATTATTTTTAATATAAATTTAAGCTTTAAACTTACTTAAATAATTTTACTTATTAAATTTATAAGCAAATACTTATTTTAATAATAATATTTTTTAATTTAGAGAAATTAAATTCTTTTTAATTAAAATAAAGATTTTTATCTTAAACAATTATTAAAATTTAATATTTATAGCTTACAGGAATCTCTTTAAAAAAGAGTAACTTATTATTTTTTTTAAATTTATTAATAAAAAAAATAATATATTTTAGTAAATCTTCTTTTAATTATTAAATAATATATTTAATAAAGCTCAATAAAAGATTTTATATATTTTTAATACATTTTTATAATTAGATAAATAATTATTAAGTAATTTAAATTAATTATACTTAGTTCTATAGTATTAAGAATTATTAATTATTATTATTAATAATAAAGAAATTTACTTAATTTTATCTTTAATTAACTTTAAATCTAATTTTTTTAACTTTTTTAAATTTATAAAATTTATTAGTTAATTTCTAAAAATTTTATTTTAATATTTAGATTTAGAGTCAGATAAAGTATATATAATAAATTAATTATTATAATTATATAATTTCTCTAATTTTTTTTTAATTATTTTATTAAGATAATCAAGTAATTTTAAGTTAGATATATTACTTATAAATTTAATAATATTCTTAAGAGCTTAATTAAATTTAATCTAGGTAAGTTATTTATATAACTTTTAATAATTAATAATTAACTTATATTATAACTTATTCTTTTTAAAGAATTATTTTTTATTAAAAATATAATTATATATAATAATTACTTTATTTTTAAAAGGTATTTATATTCTTTATATATTTTTTAATATATATTTAATTAAGTAACTAATAAAAGCTTATAATTAAAGCTTAGTTAATCTTAATATATTAGTAATTTAAGTATAAATCTTATATTTATACTTTTTTAAATAATTAATATAAGACTTCTTAGTTATATATTCTAATTAATTATTTTTAGAAATCTTCTTATATAGAGCTTTATAAGAAGTTTTTTATTAAAGTTTTTTATTTAAGATTTAGTTAAGTAAATATATAATAATATTTATAATTTCTAGCTAATAAGAATAAGATATATTTAATAAATTACTAAGTAATTATATTTTTATAATTATTATACTTCTTAATCTTTTTATAAAAGGATTTTACTCAGGTTAATAGAATAATATAATCTTATAATTAATGTTCTTTTTTTTATAATATTAATTAAATATATAGAAAAGATCTATAAAAAAGATATAAAAGTTTTTATTTATAATATTATTTTATTTATCTTAGAATATTTTTTATATTTTTATTTATTTTTATATAATAAAAAGATAAAGATTCTAGAATAATAAATTATATATAAATATAATAATAAAGTCTATTCTAAAACCTTTCCTGGATTATTCTTTTATATATCTTTGAATATTATTATTTAATTATTTAGTATAATCTGATTATTTATATATATATATTAACTCTCTATATATATATCTTAGTTATCTTTCCTTATTACCTGATCTCTTCACATGATTTAATCTTTATTTACTACATGAGCTAGTGAATATATTTAGTGAATATAAGCTTATTCACTTTCCTATAGACCACAAGAGTCTAATAATTATTAATAAAATATTATCTTCTTCTTTCTTAATAAATTAAGTCTTATCATAACAAACATGCCTTGTGCTAATCTATAGAATAGATCTAGATTAGATTCTTTAATCTATAAATCCAGTAGATCAGGATCCAGATCCAAAAGTTAGATCTAGATCTGCCCTATTTAGAGATCTATCTGCCTGTTATAGAAACCTAACAAGGTTAATACCCCACAAAGGCAGTACAGCCAGGTAGAAGCTAAATACTAATCAGCTAATAAAAGAATCAAGAATCCTATATAAATAAAGATATAGATTACATGATATAATATACTCAGGAATCTACTTTAGAAAGTATATAATAAAATATAGAAAAATAAGTATATTAATTAAATATATCTTATTATCTATCTTAGAAGGTATATAAAGAAGTATATAAAAAAAGAATATATAAGAATACTTATTTACCTGTATCTATAGTTTTAATTAATTATATCTAATAATACTTTTAAGTCTGAGTATATCTTTAGTCTAGTTTCTACTTGTCTATATTTTACTAAGTATTAGATATATATACTTAATATAGCTTACTTCTCTTCTTATTTATTAGTTATCTTTAGACTATTAGATTATCTTATTAATTAATATAATTAGCACAGCTATTATATAAGATCTTAGGTTTATTAAATCTATAATTAAATTACTAATAAGAAGAACACAGGGTACTCTTTATCTTAAATAATCTAAGCCACTAATACTAGTACAGCAGAAGCTTGAAGGGATCCTAGGGTCTTGACACTGCCCTGTGTTCTTTAATCCAGAAATCTAGTAGATCAGGATCCAGATCTGCCCTACCTGGAGGTCTATAGACTACTATATATTTAGCATAGTTTAGTAAGGATTTTGTGATATGGTTATGCCACTCTATTTATTTATGATAATAATATAATTATATAGGCTAGTATTACTTATTAAGACTTGATTTAAAATTATAAAAGCTTTATTTATAATTATATAATTATTTTAATAAATAATTTAATATATACTATACAGAAACTCTAGACTAAAACTATTTATAATTATTATTAAATTATTTAAACCAGCTTAGAGCAGTAGTTATCATATATAGTTTTTTTAATATAATTAAATAATAACATAATTCTTTAGATACTCTTATAAGCAGCTCTTAAGTTATAATTTTAAAAAAAAAAAAAAATTATTATATTTATTATCATTATAATTAAATAATCTAATAAAATTAGTATTAAATAGTAGTGAACAGAGGTATAAGTAACACTTGAAATAAGCTAGAAAAGGCTTGATTTGGGCAAGAAATTTCAAGAATTCAATTTGTGATCAAAGAGATGTTCTTGACTCCGCCTGGTTCTGAGGTCTAATAGCACACATGCCAAGAAAATTTGCTGTCACGCTGGGTAAATCTCCCCGCCTGATGTGCCCAGTTGTCCGCCAAATGTTTAATTAGTCGGTTGTGAGAAGTACATTCTCTTACCACCTAAAAATAAACACATTATTCTATACCTAGCAAAACATGTCTACCCCAAATCCAGACATCAAAGAGGTTAGTTATCACTGCATTTCCATTCCCGCCCCTTTACCCTCTACAAGGTACAATATACACAAAAATCTATCTTAGCCCTGGAACTAACATCAGATATCATATAGGCCCTTAAAGACATCGCTGAGTATATAATCTCTCCCTTCTAGAAACCTGTTTGATTGCTCTCTTATGCTTCAGATGCTCTAGCCCGCGTCTTATTTAGACATATCTGATCCATTTGTAGGGGCGAGAGGACAGCGCAAGCACTTGAAAATCATTTGAGCACCATTGAATGCAGAATTGATGGGTTATTAAATGAAATTGGGAGGTACAAGAGCACAGAAGAATCCGAGCACAGTCAAAAAAATCACACTATGGGGGCACATGGCACAGAAGAGTCTTCGAACAAGCGTTCCAGATGAAAGTCCCCACTTGCGTCCTTCTCAACCACACCTTTTTCCGTTATGATACCATCAATCAAAGCAGCGGGGGTAATGTCAAATGCTGGATTCCAGACATTGATACCTTTTGCAGCTATGCATATGGTATCCAACTGCAGTTCATCAACCTGGGAAGCTCCTTCACGTGGCCCTCTCACATTGGTAACCTCAGAGGCGGGACGCTCTTCAATCATAATCTTGCCACCGGATTGCGTAGCCATATCTATTGTTGTCAGTGGAGCAGCCACAAGAAACTTTACATTATGGTGCTTTGCAGTGACCGCGAGTCCGTATGTTCCTATTTTGTTTGCGGTATCGCCGTTGGCGGCCACTCGGTCCGCTCCAACCACAATAGCACTGACGTTGGAGTCATCTTTACCAAGAAGGGCAGCCACCATTGAGTCTGTTATCAATGTCGCAGGAAGACGATCATGGACCAATTCGAATGCAGTAAGGCGGGAACCCTGATTGTAGGGTCTTGTTTCTGTGCAATAGGCGTGTTCCAAAGCTCCTGCGGAAGCCAATGATCGAATTACGCCCAGTGCAGTGCCGTAGCCTGATGTAGCAAGAGAGCTAAATTCGTAAGTGACAAATGTCTCTCATCATTCGTATAGGACGTACCCTGTATTGCAGTGTGTAAGCACCGTGGCCATTGAGTCTCGAAGAACGGAGTTTTCCAATATCCATCTTGCGCCGTTTTCTCCGATCCTTTTATTGTCTTCCAAGTCTTTGGCCAACATTAATTCCGCCGCGTGGATAAACGCAGTAGCGACCCCATGGCCTGTTGACCCGGCGGTTTCGGCGCATAGTTTCACTTGATTTTCAAGCTTGCGAGCAGCATCACTGAGGTTGACTGCAGTGGGCCTGCTGCTCACAAGATATTGTAATTTCTCCCTGATGAACACCTGAACATCTTCCACACTGGTAGATAATTTATTGGTAGACACAAGCTCATGGAGTTCACTTGCAAGAGAAAGTGCAGCCACAATCGCGATAGCAGGTGCTCCGCGAACTCGCATATCCTTGATTGCATGCCACCCCTCTTCACTTGTTCGTACTTTGACGTACTTTTCCACGTGTGGGAGCTTCAGCTGATCAATTATAGATAGATCACCGCTTTCATATCTGATTGCCTGTAATGTCATCCTGTCTAATACCTTGTGGAGATCACCCTCCTAATTCTGGAAAGACAATTAGTGCACTGTCATCAATGAAACAAAGATATAGAACATGGGAGGTTTGATACAAACATAAAATCCAGTAAACTGTAGTTTAGATGAGCTTACACATCAAGACTTGTTCAGGGTATGATCCAAAACTTCAGTTGAACTCTGCGGTGGGGCATCTGGAAAATTTAGACGCGGGGTTAGACAAAACTCCATGAAAAAAAGGACCGTGTAATTCCCAGTACACTACGCCGTTGCTACTCACCCCCCATGTAATTGTTGTAAACCAACATTATCTATGGAGGTGATATCTGCTACAGGAGTAAAATGTTCCGAGTGTAGAGTATTCTCTAACAAAAGTGTTGGGAAATCAGACTAACAAGCCAGAAGCCATAACACCAAATTTGCCTTGAAAAAAGAGCACAGGATTCACATCCTAACACAACACATTACAAAGTATTCTACCTGCAGTTTAGTAAGATCAAATCAGAATTTACAAACCATTTCATAAAATAGATGTCTTGGTCACAATATCTCATGTATAATGGGGGTTGACATGATTGCTGTGGATTTGCAGCAAATTTATCAGAATAGAAGCCTGATGCAATTCAATCCGCAGAGATGTAAAGTACTTAAATGTGCAAATAATCATTAGAAATGAAAACATATCAGTCACGAAGGATTGACAAACCATTGTTCCCCCGAACAAAAGCATCGCCATACTTCCGTCTTGAATTCCCATTCACAAACTCTTCGGACCTTTCCAAGGCAATGTTCATATAGCCATCAACTGATTGGAGTTCCCCTGTATTCAAAAGAATATTAGTATAATTACTTTATCTCTGATGGAGATTTATAACCTTTATAGACAACACCTGAATTCAATTTCACTGTGACAGGTGCGCCAATGATCTCGCCGAGGAATGTGGACGGGTCTTTGCCTTCAGATGATGCACCGTTTTCCATGGTTTCTACCCTGGTATTTTCCTTATTCAGATGATTGAATTGTTAATGGGCCACTATTGTAACTGAGTGCAAAAACTGCCTTGTTCCGGGAATACAACAGGATTGGCGCATGGGAGCGGGAAGTATGGCACGTGCTTCGTCCAACGACGCCGTTGTTTTTTTCGGAAACACTTCGTCCGTCTGCTTATGTCCTCGGCTTTCCCCTCCAACCGTAACTCCCACCTTTTGTCCATGATTCAATACTTCAAAGTTTCTGGTATTTCTGTCTGGTGCAATGCCAAATAATCTCCATGCGGCCGTTCTTTAATAGACCTTCCTGGGCAAGCAGAGGCGAAGAGCCGTCTTCAGACTTTTATCGTCGTGGAGACCAAACCTACAAGGACATTGTTGCCGCCAGTAGAGATGCCCGGAAGAGACTGGAAAATGGAGTTGACATCTCAACAGACAGTAAGCTGGGACCAGAGCAATATGTTCCCCGGGAAAGCGTACCCCAAACGTGTCATGACCAGATAACATGTGATGAAAGAAACCTTCATGAAAGCTCCTCTAGACCTCGCAATCAGGTCGAACCCCACCAACGCCAGCGCACCAATTCTCTTGTGTCCGAAGAATCAAGGTCTTCTTCTCCCAGTCCCAGTCGGGTTTCGGGTGTTCTTCGAGCCACAAATTTGAGGTATACAACAAAGTGCCCGAAGAGCGAACATGAGCCATCTCGGGAGCCACATCATGAACGGGGTAGTGCAGTCCCTGGCGATAGTGTTCCTGAATCACGAGAAGACAATGCGGCTGATGATGTCGTCCAAATCCTTATTACTTCGCAAATTGAGAACACACAGCCACTTATCGTCTATCGCAGAATGACACAACCATTCCGAGACGTTCGCTTGGCTTGGTGTCATCGTCACAAATTTCTGGAAGATATGCAATCCTCTATATATTTGACATGGAAGGGTAGGCGGCTTTTTGATGTAACAACTTGCAGAAGCTTGGGAATCAAACCGTCGAGGGACACTCTCTTTTCGCACACCCCCGATCTTGGCGAGAAATCCGTTCATATCCACATGGAAGCTGCCACGAGCTGCCCCAACAGTTATAATAGTCGACAGTTCTCGCCGATCAATGAACGTGGGTTGGATCAGTCTGTGTTGAATATTGAAGAGACGAGCGAGAGGGACCAAAACCTATCTACTAGAGTCGTTCTCAAGTGCCCTGGTCATGATGAGTTTACAACAAGAACTCGCCCCAAAGCGCCTATTTTACAAATCATCACTGCTTTCCGTAAGGCAAATAAGATCGCATCGGAAAAAGATATCTATCTAGTATTTGATGGTGATCGCTTGGATCCTGGGTCCTGCCTTGCCGACTATCAAATCACAGATGATGATCTCGTGGATGTTATGATAAAATAGGCCTTGAGAAAATAGCAGTTTCACAAACATCCTCGAAATTGACGTTATTTCCGAACACTTCGATTTACATGTTGAGCTCTTACATTGAAACTTTTTCTGTTCAGTTGTAAGAAACAAGACTGGTAATTAGACTGTAGATATTTAGTAAAGACGTTGGACATCAGACTGATGCACTTCCTCGATAATTCCCGAGCGAATTAGCGCACTTGTGAATTAACAGGTGGGAGGAAAGGAACAAAAGGATAATCGGTTAGTGGGTTCCTGTATGCAATTTGACAGTTAGCGGGAGAGGCTTGAATCCGTCCCGATGTTGAAATTTTCCGGGGCATGTAAATTCTGATAGCACTTTCTGCTCAGCAGCATCCTGTACATAAACATCCCCCTACACCTAACCCCGAGTTTCGGTTGTTTCTTAACGATATAACATTACAAATTTAAGCTACTACAGGGGATATGAAATTGTTTACAGCAAATTTCTTGGCTTGCGCTGTGAAAAGTTGCAGGACATCACCAGCTTCCTTTCCACTTCATTTTCGAGATGCCGAACTCGAACAACAGGAGCTTGACTTTCAACCGGATTTTATTCGTAATATACTTCCTCGACTTGACTGGGATGCGCTACAGGTGATTGCAAATGAGGTCAGTAGATTCCGCCGCAATCATTTCATTCGGACAGTGTTATGCTCACTTGCTCTAAAGCTCGGTTTCCCCAAACTTCCCGAGAACAAGCCCGCAGATGACTCGCTGGGCGATGAAGGCCTGTTAAGGGATATTCACAAACTTCTTCTGGAGACACAGGTCATCGAGGGAAAGCTGGTCTGTGGAAACTGTGGTCATGAATACATGATTAAAGAAGGAATCCCGAATTTTCTTCTTCCAAGTCATCTAGGTTTGAAAAACCCCTCAATTCAGTTTATCACTATCACTAATATGTATATTATTGATTAGTCTAATGTCGACGTGGATCATGGACTACATGATATCTGTGTTGGTCATCATGCGTGCAATACATTCTGCGCATACCATCCTCCCCATCTCATCCTCCGGTGGACTGCGAGATGACGAGTTTGGCACTATATATAGATTTTCGCTTAGCCACCGTTCGACTCTCAGACAATGCTGCACTTGTAGCAAGCACTCAAGGGTCCCCATTGCGCTAATGGGATGGCTACATGGTACATCATGATTACAATGGCGCTTTATTGGAATTATGAGGTACAATGAAAAGTAATGGAAGGGTACACATATGGGTATGCTATATTCAAGCGGACATTCAAATTCCAGGGGAGGGTTTCCCGACCAGTTATACTCAGCCGATCTACCAGGTTCAACTCTAATTAAAGCAACCAAAAATCTGCTTGATTGAGGGGCAATGCGAGCATAGAATGCAAGGCTCAATTGAGGAAGCCTTTGCAGCCAGTTGAACCACAAAGACAGGGGATTCTGTCATCGCTGTCCCATTCTCTTTCGAATTTGTAGTCATAAGTAAGCTCTTCATCTGTGGGATAGTTAGTCGACCCGTACGGAATTGTTAATCAAATATTTGGGAGGCTCACCACGTTCGATATCCCGCAAAGCATATATGACAATCCGTTTGCTTCCGTCGACCTTTATGATCTTGGCAGTGCAATTAGGCGTACAGCTATGATTGATGAATCGAGCAATACCCCCTCGTTTTGTGGCATCTATAACTGTGTTTTCGTCGATACGAAACAGATAGCTGCTGCCTATGCCACTCTTCAGGTACTGTCTCTCTCTCATGTCCGCAACCTGCTGCCGTACTTTTTCCCCAACATATTCGATGATCATGTCATTTGCGGATATGTTTTCCTCGGCGTAAAGACCCCAATTATGGATTGCCGATCGGGCAAAGCGAACCGGTTTCTTTCGCTTTTTCAATTGATTAAACCGCAGAACATCGCTGTCGCCGCTCTGAGTGGGAAGAGCCTGTTTTTGTGCATTGATGTCCGCAATGAGCCGACGATTATTCACCCTTGTTGACCTAGATGTCGACTTAGAGATGGTCTTGGCTGCAGCTATTCTTGCAGCTTCGGCAGCGACAGTATGGGGGTCGTCCTTCGCTCTAGCCTCGCGCTCTTCTCGGGCTTTCTGGACTTTGATTCGATGCGGTAGGTATTTTGATTTCTCGGATTCCAGTATCTTCTTTCTCCCTTCGGTTCGAGCTGACCCTGTTGTATTGGACACGTAGTAGCCGTGAATGGTAGTCTGCTCATGCACTGGGCCGGTTCCTCTGGGGCGATTCAGGGTTTTGATCTCCTTTTGTCTCCATGCCCATGCTGCGAGATTACCAACACTGGCCGTAGGGTGTTGGGTTAAGATGTCTTGCAGGAAGCGCAAATCTTCCTCGTCCTTGATGAGGTTCTGCCAACCATCGAGATCCATGATCATAGCATCATCATCTTCCGTTAACGGCCGTGGTTCATCATATGAGACCTTCCATACAATCTCCGCTTTCAACCCGCCAAGCAGCCTTTCATTGTCACGCTCATCAATGGGAAGCACTATGCCATGGTGGTCATCTCCATACATAGGAGATTCGGTATCGACCCTTTCGACACTGGATGGGCTTGGTATTCCATCCTGCTTCTCGGGGTGTTCTGCGCTCTCCTGAGATCTTTTCTCTTCGATAGAACTTGTCGGTTTCCCCCAAACTATAGTTCGATCATCAGCCACGTGTAGAGTAGCAACTCCCCCCACATGCTCGTTAGCCGTTCCTGTTGTCGGGTCAATACTGAAAAGTTCGCCGTCGTCTTTCAGCCTCTTGTGTGCCGTAAAGTCTTTGCTGTCCCTTTTCCTCTTATGCGATGTGAGCAAATTTTCTTGAGCTGATTCGTTTGGTAATATGACATCTTCGGAATCTTCGATAGTGCTGTCCCGGTTTGCATCGATCAAATTCTGGACCACAGATATGTTTGATGGCTCAGAAACAAACCCATCATCATCATCATCAGACTCTAAAGATGCTGAACTGATTCGGCTAGTCCGTCGGCTGTCTTGCTCATCTGTGTCTCTGGTAAACGGCGTTCTTTGTTCATCATCCGAGTCCTCCACATCATGAAGTTGCTGAAGCCGATGATAAAGAGGTCTAACTTCTTTGCTTCGTAATGGCTGCTTGCGCCTTTCGTCCAAGAAAGCAGCGCTAGTTGGGTCGAGGCGCCGAGCCTTTCTGATGCGTGGAAGCGCGAGTATGTTGAGATTGGAGGTAGTGAAAGGATGCCGATTCTTTGCTAAGTCGGAGCGCGAATCGGCAGTACCGAGTGAACTGTCAACATCGATCTGAAACATCGGCCTCTTAGCTCCTTCTGGATCAGCAATGCCCAGTTTTTTCCTCTTTGACGCATGGCGATCAGGATCGAGATAATCGTAGAGCGCTGGGGCAGCAATGCGCGACTTCACGTCCTCGAGCAGCTTATCTTTGAGGTCTCGTATTATGATAAAAAGCACCTCCTTGCAAGGATCCAAATCAAGCGCTCGTTGCTTTTTCTCCTCTTCAACATCCAGGGTGGCTTCTTTTTGCAGCCTTTGAGTTTCAGCCCGCTCACGTTGCTCTGCTTGAAATCGTGCGGGACTCGGGCTTCGTTCGTATGAGGGATTACCATAGGGTTGACTTTCCATATTCATGATATACGTGAACAGTGGTTTCATGTGGCACATCTTATAGCAACGTTCTGTCTCTTCCTCGCCGCGCCGAGAGTTCTCGAATATGATATAATATCCGGTTTTATCGCAACGAATGTCTTTCCAATCGAATAACTTCAATCTTTTCTTCAGATGCGGCACTGTTGTGCTGAGGACTGGGACATAGCAGTGTGCGATAAAGATATATGGGTCGCGTTTTATTTGACTCAAGATCGGAGTCTCTTCAACTAGCGACGTCATAGTAGGCTTGAGAAAAGTCGCCCTCGGTCCTTCTGGTATCGTAAGGGGCCGCATTGATGATCTACCAGAAGGACCTTTCGGCGCGCTTGGTGGGGGCTCGTTGTTCTTTGCTTGGGGTTCGACTTTTGTTTCCTCGGACGCCGGAACATTGCTCTTTGGAACAACTCTTTGCAAATCGACTGTTTTGGAGACAATTCTCTCGGTGACGGTCCCATCCCTATCTAGCTCAACACGGATTCGGCGGGTCCCAATACGCTGGTCTTTTCTGCATTCATAGTAGGCACGTCGAGCTGCCGTTACTGCGAGGACCGGACCACCACCTCTGAACGACCCGCTGTCTTTGTATTTCACCGAACACACCCCGAGAAATCTTCCAGTTATAGGATCTGTCCGGTTGTTGATTTCCGATATGTCTCCGAAGCTTGTAAACAAAGCACTAATAGGCGCAAGGGGAGTAAGAGGATCAAATCCGGTGACAACGATTTGTACTGGAGGTCCCGGCCCTAGTGTCGAGGTTGAATCGTAAGGCCAGTGTTTCAAGTTGTATGGCGCGGGTCGGTATTTCGTCTTTTGTTTACATCCAGCACCTTTTGTGTAATTTGATATTGAGAGGCGGGGATCAGTCTGTTCGTCATCCTGCTTGTTAGGTAAGATGTCCGCATAGCGAGGTTTCCTCCGCTTCTCCTTTGAAGACGAACGTTTTTCAACGTCAGGATCGTAGATAAGTTTGTAGCCCCTGATGCTCTCTAGGCGGCGGCCGTGTGATTGGGGTGTTGGTGGGGTGTGTAGAGGCGTCATGGCAGGCTTCTGTTCCTCGCACCCAGAATTGGTGTGATCTTCTGCAACACCATTCCTCGTCTTATTCTGGGGTGGGCTAGATTTATGGGGTGGCGAGGATTCTGTATTTGTCAATGGTGTGAGGGTGTCAAAGCGCCCCTCATATAGATATGGAGCGCCATTCTGAGGGGCAGATGAGCTGGGTGCTGTAGGATCCGTGTTTGCAGAGCTTGCGGATCCATACCCGATGGTTTCGACTGACGTCTTCTTCGGTTCTGCGTGAGAGTCTGCAAGGATACCATCGGCGGCTGGATTGTGAGACTGTTCCAATACAGCAGACTGCACAGCCGGCTCATCGATTTCGTCATTTTCGAGTTGCGGCTTCGGTCGTGGTCGGTCTCGGGTGGTTTTGATCCGTTTTTGCTGGAGGACCGACGGAGCCGTAGGGAAGAAGTCCGCAAAGCCTGCCGAAGAGCGAGACATAATGAGAGGTGGCTACTAGCCAAAACCAAAGCAGCCGTAGTTAAATGGCAGCATCCTTGAATATAACCTATCTGGTATTATGTGGACATTAGGCCAGGGGATATCTCCTGACCCAGGCAGCGCGCGGCGGGTTGACTCCGAGTTGGAAACGAGATTGGTTTCTAGGGGAGTCGGGAGGAGGCTAGAAAGGTTGCGCAGACGGATAAACTTGCCAAAATTCGTTTTGATAGGAAAACTTCAACGACAGTAATAGAAGCTGGAACGGAAAGGAAATGGTTGATGTGTGAGGCAGAGGAATTTGGTAATTCAATGAAAGTTGCGCCCGGTCCGATCCGTTACTCTCCCTACCACGGCAATGAAAGGGAGAGGAAGGGAACATAATCACAACACTGGAAGTTGTAGTATTTGTCCGATTTATTTGATTTAAAGTGATAATGAGAAGCTGCTAATACCTATTGTTTTTTGATTAGTTAGCTTCTTCAGATTATTGATGTGCACATATTATAATTTTTTCTGCCAAAATAGAAGACAATAGAGTCTGAACCACTTGCGAAAGGTTCTGGGTTCTGCACATCAGTACTTACAGTTCATGATAGGATGGATGCGTGCTGAGCTGGAATTATCTAACAAATACAGGCCTCTAATCAGCAGTACACCACTCCTTCTTTCTCCATCTCTATTTCTTTTCCATACTACTTTCATCCTTGGGGCCACGGTTTGTTTTTTTTCAATTAAAATAGTGGTATCTTCTAAGCAGTAACACTAAGGTATGGGGCTTTTCGCAACATGGGAGGTCTGCTCTACCTGTTAGACAGCTAGTTTCTACTAACAGCATCTGGCAGTGCAAATGACTTATGATAACATCCAACATGGTATCCAAGCCAATTTGATTTATCAGTTGACTAAGCCTAGTATCCTACATTCAAAGTACACAGGAAACGACCTAACATGACCTACAACCACTACACATTATAGACAGGTAGACTCTCTCAGAGAATTGGAGTATGTTATGTTTGAAAGTGATATGTTGTATATTCAAACACATATAGACCGGGTCAGAATAGGAATGACCATGTCTACACTAGGAGACCCATGAAAAGGTCAATACGTACTCTATAACTAACCACCGTGGAGATCATGACCATAACCATACCCTCTTGCCGGACATTTGTTGATACCTTGGCCAGTCAGCCAATAGGCAAGCTCACAATATCTAGGCTATATAACCTTGACGAGTAGCATAAAGCGGGTGAGAGTTTCGAAACACAAGTGCGTCGTATGCCAGGTAAACAGAATGTAAGTTGTCACAAGATGTATATCTTGGCGGGGTGTGCCAGACAGAGGTCTTGCTTTATTCTCCTCGTCCATCAAATATAACAGGTACCTGGTAGTCTGCTGTAATGATTCATGTTCTGTCAAGTACACAAATAATGTGAAGCCTATCATTGTTCTTATGGTATCCCTCTTGTCATATATTATATCCCAGTAATTAAAGGTGGCATAGCTACAAGCTAGTCGTAGCGTAACCCTGACTATTAGTCACTATTCTTTGTGGCCTTCTGATTTTCTATGTTGGGCCTACCAGTAGCAACATGAAGCACAGTCTGCTGCATTCCTTGTACAAAGTCTGTTGTGTTAGATGATATGGCGTAATAATTTATCAAATATGAGAATATAGCAATTGTTACTACTTCGTATTAAGCATGTTATATGCCAGGAATAGACTCGAGAGATAATCCACGACTAATAACATAGGTGGTCTAGCATTGCCCAAAGCAAAACAAACCAATTAACTAGTACTGGGAGCTTGACGTCCTATCTCTAACCAGATTATAGATGTTTTTGAATATGGGAAATGGAAGTGAATCGGAAGAATGAGTACCAAGTAGTGGTAATGGCCAATTTTGGGCCCTTGGGTTTCCTACCTGCCTACCAGGTACCTAACCAGTAGGTTAAAAATATACCATAATTAATCTCTATCGAAAATAGGAAAGCCCTATATCCTCAAAGCTCCATGCTATCAATATAGACTTTACTATGATATGTTACCTTACACTACTCCGTATAGAAAAGGCAAAAAAAAAAAAAAAAAAAAAAAAGTGCAATGTTCACGACTAACATGAGTCGTTATCTTACTAGGGGGTTCGTGGTACTAGAAAAAGATGATATCAACCCTACATAGGTATACGCAATGACATAATGGAAACAACTAGGAATATCAAGATATCCACACACAATAAACTTACGCTTTATAGTATCACTAACACAGGACCAAGAGTGCTAGGAACTAGTTTGATTTAAGCCTCAGGTAGAAATAGTTCTGAAACACAAGGTCCAAGGTACAATGCACGACACATATAGGGAGCCTGGATGGGTGGACCATACCCAGAGATAGGTGTAAACTATACGTTTGTATCGGATCCATTTACCAGTAACAGTCTTGCTTGCCAATTTGACTACCCGATCCACTAGCACAAAATATACTTACTCATGGCCAGACGTCCTGGGCGCATCTATAGTCCCATATGGAGCTGCTATGAGAGCTACCAGGGGTGCTCGCGGAGACATCATGTAGAGCTGCGTAGAGTCCTTGTATATAAAAAAAAGCCGGGTAGATTTACTTCGCGAGACCAATTGAGGGGGGCTGTTATATGGAAGAAATATTGCATATAAGAATAGAAATTGTGCAGATTGTTCAACACTGAATCATATTACTATTATTAACCCTCCTAAAGAAAGCAAAACATGTACAGAGTATGACTAGTTCTATATCCTAAGAATATGTCTCATATGTTGATGGTGATGCCGGATGCCTGCCCCACAATTATTATTTTTAGGATGTAGGACCGAAAGGCAGGTCGGTACCAATAAATTACACGAATACAGACAATAGGCTAGCCTGGTCCCAACTAAACGTACCTTCGCATTTTCCCATCCTTGATTCCTTGATGTACCTGAAATTTACTACGTGGGTCTGTCAGTTATGGCTTGGATAAGGGACTCAGAATAGGTAAACTGCCTCACCAAGAGCATTGTCAGTCTAATAGTGCTGCGTAAAAAACATGGCCAAAGAAGCCTTAATATCCTTGTCCCCATTTCAAGACGACAACACACGCATATTTTTGCAGGGCCTGGCTGACTATTTCAAGATGGCTCAGCTGTAATGTTTCAGTTTATACGTAATTTGGTGCGGTATTATGTATTCAGCTGGTTTTTCTGTTACTGGATGTATTATTGCCATGGTGGTATTACCAGGCAAATCCCAATGGGGAAAACTCCCTATTGCCTATTGAAAGACAGGTTTGAACAGGAGGTTGAAGGACTTAGTATAAGTGAATAGTTAGTGCTCCAGAAGATCAGCAACTGACTGACTGTATAGGCCCAAGTTGGCTAATAATAAAATGAACAGTGTTATTTTTGACATGCTAAGTGGGGAATCTGAACTGTTAACAGCCGATCTTTGCTATGTATTCATCGAATGGAGGATTATTTTAAGCCGAGTCACGGGTGAGACATTCTGAGAAACTGTGTGAGGCGTGGGGAATACCATTGGCCACCGCCTCTTTGTTCGTCGTGGCCCATATTATTCACTAGTAGGTAGGTACTAGTACTAGCTTCCCTGGTCCGTGTGTGGGCCGATCACAAACATAAAACAACAACAGCTCCCCTCCTTTCCCACTTTACTGATTGTCGATCTTCACACACCTTCTTGTCTTCTGACCTCTTGCTTCCTACAATATCATCTCTCATCTACCCGCAATACATCTCTATTATCACACCTACCGGTTTATCCTGTCTTCCTCTCTCCCAGTGTCGGCTTTCAAGGTGATAGGTTCAAATACTCTGTACCTGTCCCCTAAGGTCCCTCATACTTTTAATTCGAGTCCCTTCACTTTTCGAAACCAACGATAATCTGTTTGGCTGCCCCCTTGCATAACAATGTGGTATGTTCTCGAATCTTCGAAGAATCATTCGCGTGGCATGCACAGCGGGTCTAACATACATACTACAGTGGTATCTTCGGCTACATCAACTACCTTGTGGAAAGAGACCGCAAGTTTGTCCTTGACACTCTGCTCAATGGTTGTACCCCCCCCCCTCCTTATTTTGCTGTCAAAAGATCCCCGCCTACTCCTGCGCTCCCGTATTCCAGTATGTGTATAATTACTGACGGGTTATAGGCCTCTCGAGACTTGAATACCGAGGTTATGACTCGGCAGGCCTTGCAGTTGACGGCAACAAGAAGAATGAAGTCTGTGCATTTAAAGAAGTTGGAAAGGTTGCCAAATTGAAGGAGCTCATTGAGGAGTGCAAACCAGATTTGACAAAGACCTTTGAGTCTCACGCTGGCATTGCTCATACGCGCTGGGCGACTCACGGCACACCTTCTCGTCAAAATTGCCATCCTCATAGGTAAGATGAATCGACCCGCGATCATCTTGATAACGTTGCGTTCCACACGCTTGAGGGATTCAAAGGCTAATGCACACTGCTTCTCACTGGATAGGTCTGATCCTAACTGGGAGTTCTCTGTTGTCCATAACGGGATCATTACCAACTACAAGGAACTGAAGGCTTTGCTGGAAACCAAAGGCTTTCGTTTCGAAACCGAAACCGACACAGAATGTATTGCCAAATTGACAAAGTACTTGTATGATCAGCAGCCCGACATCGACTTCACGGTATTGGCAAAGGCGGTCGTGAAGGAGCTGGAAGGAGCCTTTGGTCTCCTCATCAAGTCTGTACACTACCCCCATGAGGTTATTGCTGCCCGGAAGGGTTCACCACTCGTCGTCGGGGTGAAGACCTCGAAGAAGATGAAGGTCGACTTCGTCGATGTTGAATTCTCAGAAGAGGGCGCTCTTCCTGCTGAGCAAGCCTCTCAACATGTTGCCATGAAGAAGTCCGCCACTGGGCTGCTTGCCCCTCCCGACAAGTCTCTTCTTCATCGATCGCAGTCCCGTGCTTTCCTCTCCGATGATGGAGTTCCCCAGCCTGTGGAGTTCTTCTTGTCCTCTGATCCATCTGCAATCGTCGAGCACACAAAGAAGGTTCTATACCTCGAGGATGATGACATTGCTCATATCCATGAAGGACAGCTTAATATCCATCGACTCACAAAGGATGATGGTACCTCCAATGTTCGCGCCATCCAGACAATTGAACTTGAACTCCAGGAGATTATGAAGGGCAAATTTGACCACTTCATGCAAAAGGAGATCTTTGAACAACCAGAGTCCGTGGTGAACACCATGAGGGGTCGACTGGATGTTGCAAATAAACAAGTCACACTTGGCGGTCTTCGACAGTACATTTCCACTATTCGTCGCTGCAGAAGAATAATCTTTGTTGCATGTGGAACCAGCTACCACTCGTGTATGGCCGTGCGTGGCGTGTTTGAGGAGCTTACCGAGATCCCCATTTCCGTGGAGCTTGCATCCGATTTCTTGGACAGACAGGCACCGGTTTTCCGGGATGACACATGCGTGTTTGTTTCTCAATCCGGAGAGACTGCCGACTCACTCATGGCTCTTCGCTACTGCCTTGAACGGGGTGCCTTGACTGTTGGTGTTGTGAACGTTGTGGGATCGTCTATTTCTCTCTTGACCCATTGTGGTGTGCACATTAATGCTGGTCCCGAGATTGGTGTCGCTTCGACTAAGGCATACACCTCCCAATTCGTTGCCATGGTCATGTTTGCACTTTCCCTTAGTGAGGATAGGGCCTCGAAACAGAAGAGACGGGAGGAAATCATGGAAGGCCTCTCAAAGGTTTCTGAACAGTTCAAGGAGATCCTGAAACTTAACGACCCTATTAAACAGATGTGCGCAAACTTTTTCAAAAACCAGAAAAGCTTGCTTCTTTTGGGACGAGGGAGTCAATTCCCAACCGCACTGGAAGGTTGGTGAATCTTTGAGGACAATATTCCAAGTTACTTGCTAATTTGATCTCCAGGTGCTCTCAAGATCAAGGAAATTTCTTATCTCCACTGCGAGGCCGTGATGTCTGGTGAACTGAAACATGGCGTTCTCGCTCTGGTGGATGAGAATTTGCCGATAATCATGATTCTCACTCGAGATAATATCTTCATCAAATCAGTTAATGCCTACCAGCAAGGTAAGACAGCCCATTTTGACGTGTTTTGATATAACAAGTTATTGACAAAACACAGTCATTGCCCGAGGTGGTCGCCCTATCGTGATTTGCAATCACGATGACCCCGAGTTTTCCACTGCGCAGACTGAAAAGATTGAGGTTCCGAAGACTGTTGATTGTCTTCAAGGACTTCTAAATGTGATCCCCCTGCAGTTGATTGCATACTGGCTCGCCGTGCTCGAGGGCCTTAATGTTGACTTCCCTCGCAATCTGGCCAAGTCGGTTACTGTTGAGTAGGCTTGGTTCGCTGCCCAGGCCTAATCATAAGGTGTATTTGCATCTACTGCAGTACCCATGCAAACTCGTGGTAGTATTTTTCTGTCATCCTTAGCATTTCCCCTGTAATGTCATTAGGACTATAACGTTTGAAGTCCCCGATTCAAGACTGCTTTTGTATTGCTCCTTCGAGCCGCTGCGCGCATATGTTGTGATTCTGCTTTTTTTTTTTTTAACTTTTATATTTATGTCCACCCGGCTTGCTTTCGGGCGAGGCCGGTCAGTCTAATGACCAACTGAAACAATGAGTCTCTGGGATTACTCTCCGTACATAGAATTCTTTATTGGTGCCTTTTCTCGTGGACGTTCCTGATCTTTTCGAATGAGTTTGCAGACTAAGTCGGTAACGTAAAACCACCGGAAGACCGCACCCATGTTGGAAACTCTGTGAATATACTTTGTACAGCCAGCAGGCGGAGGGATCAATGTAGGAACCCCTAATATAGATGCAGATATTGAGACAATATTGAACCATCTGACCTAATATCTGGTTGGCTGGGGGCAAACTGCCACAATAATATTGGTGTGACGAATCAGGACGGTATTGTAGCAGCTCCGAAACAGCGGGGTCGGGAGAGTACGTCTCTTGACGGGACACTGCAGACTAATCTACTTTGAGGGAGGGGTCTCCCTTGGGCGGCATGCCGCCTTTGCGCTGAAGTACTGCCACTAAAGGGACTCTTCTTCCCCGCAGTTTCTCTAAAGATCCGTCACACCATAACTCAAGGTACGTAACCATCGCTCATAACTTCATTCACGTTCTCACTTTACTGATGAAACCCAGAATTAGCTCGTTGAACCACGCAATCACTTAAAATCATGACAAGTTTAAAGGGCCCTGGAGCTGCTCCAGAGCTTGATGGTGAGACCCGCCCTTGAAGACCTCGAGATCATTTTTGTGTTTAATGATCAATTGTAGGTTCTGGCTTGAGGATTGCAATAATCCATGGGCGATGGAACATGGGAATCATTGGCCCTCTTATGGAAGGGGCCAAAAAAAATCTTTTTGCTGCGGGGGTAAAGGAGGAAAATATCAGCATTCACACTGTCCCGGGCAGCTATGAATTGCCGTTCGCTGCTCAACGGTAAGCATATGCCTCCAATTCCTGAACTGATACATGTCAACCCCCCCCCACTGTTATCACCTGAGCTAAAGGGAACATCTAGAATCTATTCCGCCTCGCAAATCCAGGCAGCAAAAAGCTCCTCTTCGGCCGAAGGTATTAGCGCCACGGACCTCTTGTCTTCCTCCAATGCGGATCTCGGTAAGGCGCCGGCGCAGTCATCCACGGCCGCCTCGACGAAGCCCTTTGATGCTATCATCGCCATTGGTGTCCTCATAAAAGGCGAAACAATGCACTTTGAATACATTTCGGATGCCGTGTCTCATGGGTTAATGCGCGTTCAGCTCGAGTCTGGCGTTCCTGTGATTTTTGGAGTGCTCACTGTGCTGAATGAAGAACAAGCACTAGCCAGGGCTGGTGTCGGCAAGAACGCAATGCATAACCATGGCGAGGATTGGGGAAGTGCTGCCGTGGAACTTGGGGCGAAAAGAAGAGACTGGGCTGAGGGCAAGGTGGTTTAGTTGACAAATCATTGATTGTCATCACCCACAGTTTACAACAGCAACAGCATCTCTGTATTATTTCGTTTCTTACGCTTTCACCACTAAATTGACAACTTGGTCAAATCATCTTGTAAAAGACACCAAGATTCAGGTTATTGAGGTACATGAGGCACAATAGTGCAAGGGATAATAAAGGAAATGTTCGTAATTCTCCTATTCATGTCTGATCTCTGTGCTTAAATCATGGGACTATTCTTGCATCCGTTCACCTTCGTTGCTCTTTGTTCCCTCATCCTCCTCCTCATCTTCTCCCTCCAGAGCCCTCTTCGCTGCCTTCTCCGCTTCTTCCAGAAGTTCCTTGGGCACTTCTTCATGTCTCCCCTTGGTCGGTCCATCAAGGGAACTGATCCAAGACATCTCCAACTCAAATTCTTTGTCTTTGCTGTCTTCATGGGCGACATAGATGATTCTAGCTGCTTCTTTCACGGCATCGAGTAAGCTCAGGTTTTCAGAGCCGAGGTCTAGTTTTTCCAATTCGGCTTTAGCAGCCTGTCTTCCTTTGCCGGTGGCAGCACCGTAGTAGCCCTTGGACAAAAAGTTAGCACAGCGCCCAGTCTCATTTCATTGAGTGTATCTTACCCAGTACAAACCACTAGGTTCAATCATGTACAGGCCGGGACCCCCAGCCTTTGCTCCTTCGACCTTACCGCCCGAACCTGCGTTGGGTCCAGTGCCGACTTGCCCATCAACAGCTAGCTCGGCTTCGGAGTCCCAACCACCGACAATAGCAGTGACGCCAAAGGGGCGTACGCTGGAATATAGAGTATAGGCTTGTACGTAGCTGCCGAGACGGTTCGATAACGCGGAGACTGGAATGGGTCCTTTGTATACACCTCTCCAGGAAGAAGCTTCGTCTCGAGCTCGCGAAACGAAATGCCGACCATCAGGGACTAACCCAGCCGAGACCTATTGGTTGAAGAGAAGAAGAAAAGCATCAGCACAGCTCTTTCATCGAGATGAACTAGTGTATCCGAAACGGGTAAAGAGATGGAGGCCTTACAATACCAACATGACGGTCAACTGTTGCTATCCTTTTATTCGCGCCCGGCTTGAGTAGTTTGCTTGTGATGATTTTCTCTACAGCGAGCACCACGCCGTCTTTGCAACGAATGCCAATGGCGGTTCCCCCATTCTCGACTGCCTTGACAGCATATTCCACCTAGGATTTATTATTAGAAGACCGAACTTGTTGGGGCGGAGCACTTCATTACCTGGAAATTCCGGCCATCAGGAGAAAACACCGAATTCGAAAGATCATAACCAGTACCAATGGACGTCTGTATTATGTTAGCAGCGTTTTCAACATGCCAATGACCATAATGCAACAGGCTGAACCGACCATGGCTGTTATGCTGTATCTACCCTAAATGCGGGACAATCACAGCAGCACCTTTCGAGAGGATTGGCGGATGATGAAAGGATGCTATTTGCAGCGGTGCTGGATGTTTCAAAAGCTGAAGAGATAATTGCGAAGGGCAGGGAGCTAATCGAGTTGTAGACAATGGGGGCGGCCGTTGGTTGTTAGGTACCTAGGTAGCTAGGTAGGCACACTGTAACCAAGCTTACCGGACAACAGCTGACCTGAGTGATCGCGTCACGGGTTCTGCCTTCCGCGGTCACGTGATTCAACGTCACTGCCTGCCGTTGCTCCAGTCAATACATCAACGGAACCATGACCAAGGTATTTCGAGATATATAGATGTACTATTTTCTATGACGCCGCGGCAATGGTTGGTTGCAATGCCCATTTTCGCACCATTATGGGGTATCTTCAAGGACGTTTAACCATATACCCCCAGACGCCTTGAATAAAATCGCTCTATGCCAGAGACCAACTCATTTATGCAAGACCCATACTGACGAAACTGGTTACATCTACTGCCTGGCCGTCAGCACGGTGCTGTCCACCGCCAGATAGGGCGGGTCAATAGCGGTAGATTTAAAAGAGAGAGAGAGAAGAGAGGGGTGCTTGGCAATGGGCGTGCTCAGAAATGGACCATGTATCGGATCAAGATCCTTATGGAACAAGAGACTCGCGTTTACTATACTACAGGTTTTCGGTGTTCAAATTCTTGTATGAATGGGATGGGAAGTTGTGTAGATGGGTCACTAGGATTTCTGTTACTCCACTTGTTCATGTAGATTCGTCCATGATCCGGTGGAATGGTGCCCGATCTGATTACTTACATAGGCTTGGGTACTTGGGCATCTACAGACTTCCAATTTTCTGCCAGTCAAACATACCTTTCTTGTTTTTCTGATTGACTCAAGTAATGTTTGCTATTTCAAGGCTCTTCCTTTCCTTTCTTGGGATATGTTTACTTTGGTAGAAGTGGAACTTCAATATACGATATACAAATATACATGATCATTTCGCCAATTGTATTTTCACACACTTTCAGGACAAGCAATGGCGTCACATGAATTAGATGTCCTAGGAGGGTGCGCAGATACAACCTATCGCCCCGAAGAGAACATTGCATTCCGTTTTGTGAGAACCTTCGTTCCCTTACCTCCCCATTCTTCCTTCTCCACGGCAGTGTTGACCATCATAATGAACAGGGCAGCTCTCCAGTAGCTGACGATAGGAGTGAAGTCCAAGAAGAACTTATTGCCCTGTTTAACAGGCAGATTGATGTCGGAGAAACCACATTTTATGGAGACCAGACAATGCAGTTGCCGCTTTGGAACCAGTCTGTATATGATGCCACACAATGCCTCGACCATTCCCCATATGCAACTTTGGAGGAATTCACGCAACAGTCGGCAAATTCGAGTTGTGTGATCATGAAGGCGATGGATAATGATAGTCCAATGGACTGTGGCATCGGTCCATGGTCTCTTTCAACCGAGCAGCTTCAGGTATTTCAATATGCGCTTCATGAAAATCGATTGCGTTTTCATGGAGATCCATCAGCATACCAGGGATACAGTAACATTGTGGACTCTCCAGCCGCGGAAAGACAGCCCTCTGTGAATTTCAAGGTGCACCAAAACGGACAGACGTTGAGTCTCGAAACGGTGGACGGTTTGGAAGACCCGTCGCAACTACGCCCTGCTGTTGAGTCGGAAGCAGACAGCTCAACCCCGGAATATCTAGGTGATGACGACGACTTACAGTACGCAGAATCTTATATGATTGCTGGGTATGAGACACTTTCGGAGACATTGTGAAATACTGGCCTGGGTTGTCACGTCTTGAAGTTCATGAGCAACAGGTTCAATATATAAGGCCCGAGGGAACCAAGACAAAGATGGCTAAAACGGAGTAATATGGGAGTACTAAGGATAAAGTACTTATAAAGGGTTGGCGCCATTTCCCGGCGTATTTAGGATCAACGATTAGCTCGCATGGATACAGATGTGATTCTGAGCTTTGATCCTACAGCTGTATTGGCATGTACCTAAAATTATCAAACCTGTGTAGATAAACGAAATATTCAGCTACTACGATCACCTAGTGAGTTAGCTGACTATACGAAGCAAAGTGTCATTATTTCTTTATTGCATATCTTGCAGGTTCCCACGTCTTCAAGAACAGTCGCCTATGCCATAAACTTTCTTGCTTCCTACCAGCTCTTGAGACGACTTAGTCGTCTCATTACATTTCTACCATCATGACCAGCTCCCATGATACATTGGGAAGAGATGGGCAGCCACTGGCGATGATCAAACCCACGAGAACCCATAAATCCACCCATGGTCTGGCACTTGTGCTGGCCCGCCAGAAAGAGACACCGAATGAATTCTATAGACAAGCTACGAACGACTTTGGCGAGGGCAGGGATTGACAGTAACAGATTCTACTAGACTGGCTTGCTGCACAGTGCTTATAAAAGACATTTACTCTGATAATGAGACTAACTGAGCAATGGCCATGGGGGGGGGGGGGGGGTAAGATTGGTACTACCTCCCTCGGTGTTAGGTACGTATAAATCAAGGGCAGTCTTCATAGCCCTAAAAATAAGACTTTCAAGCAAAAATCATTTCTCCTACGCTTCACTGTCCATATACTCCCAAATGGACCTCCAAGCCCCCATAAGTATTTCATTTTCATTATTTTCTGACCCCATGACTGGACAAAAGAGCGTACTACCTTGATCTGGTAACAAGCAAGGCAGGCATAAAAGCAGTCCACATTGTCTTCACCGACCAACGCAGGAACGAAAGAGCACGTGAGGTGAGCCGTATGTCACACCTGCTTAAACCGATCTTTGCCGTGGAACATATCCCAAAAGGATCGCTCAGGACCCGCGAACCAGAGAGAACTATACACGAAAAGGGAACCGGTTTAGAAACACAGACCACCTAGTGGTGTCAGGTATTGGTTGTAGCAAACGAACCCTCTATTGCTCATCCTCCTCCTCAAGAGCCGCCATGGCTTCGGCCAGGGCATCGGCAGAACGCTTGACTTCACCGATAGCCTCGGCAGCTCGCTTAGCCTTCTGGCACCCTTGACCGGGGAAATGGCACCATGTGTTGACAGCTTCAGGGTCGGGCATGGCCTCTGCCAAGGCTTCAGCAGAACGCTTGACAGCACCGGTGGCATCGGCCGCACGCTTGAGCATGTAGCAGCCTTGGCCCGGGAAGTGGCACCAAATCTGCATGGCGGCACCCTGCACGGTGGTGGCCGCAAGCGAGGCAAGGACAAGAGTAACGAGCTTCATATTGGCGGGTGGGGTGACTGAGGGAGGAAGTTCGAATGAAAAGATTGATAGATCCTGGCTAGATGTTCACAAGATGATGTTTTTTGATTTTTCTGGAGGATGTGTCTACATTTCCACGACATCTAGAAGGACTTATATAGTTATTCAACCATCGAACTGTCCGGACCCTAGACGGGCATTTCATTGAAGAATGACAATAACCCTTATTGATGCATGAAAAGGGGAACTTTCGCCACGAGAAAAGGTAGCAAGGGCATGTCAGGAGCGCCTGTCGTTCAGGCAGTACACCAAGGATATCTATTGATTTACCAATTGGTCATGGTATGGAAGCCTCACCCGATTCTCCTTTCTACAAAGAGGGTCCGCCATGGCGTCGATTGCCAAAAAAGAATGGTGCCTGCAGGTCAGGGCCAGCCATCAGGCCGTAGAGGGAGCACCATTTGGATGATGAATAGAGAGAGTTGAGCTCGTGCCTCCTTACATTCAATAGACCCCTTCATCACATCTTTCATGAGGCTTAATTGGGCTATGCTGGAGTTGACGGATCCGTGAACAAATAGGGCTGTAGTTGGTCTTTCTTTCAAGTCATCAATGAATGGCATGCATGGTGCTAGTCAAAAAAGGACATCAATAAGGACGCCGGGTGAATTAACCTTATGATAGTAACCACGTGCTTGGTCGAGTGAAGATCCCTCAGAAGACAACAATCTAAATTGTACTGGAGGTTTGATTTGACAGCGTCTAATTCCTGCAGATGTATATCTTTTGATACTTGGATATCGTTTCCCAAGTAATGATTTCATCAGTCAATACACGGGAGAATACTGTAATTTTGGGTAATCAAGCATTGCCCGCTGTTACCGCGATGTCAAATCAAGATAACAGAAATACCAAATCAATTGCTGTATGAAATAGTAGATCAGAGCAGCCAACTCATTCCGAGCACCTCTTACCTACAGTAACAACTCCCACTGCCACATCGTATCCTGTACAAACCCCGTCATCATGTCAGGGTCAAGCTAGAGTGGCGACTGGTCTCTGACTAAAATCCTCCCGAGCCAAAGATAAGATCGGACCGTAGATTGACCGTATCATAGTGCCGCGACCATCCGCTATTTTTCCCTGCCTCGTGTATCAAATACCTGGACGGCCTAGGCCAACTGACTATTTTCCTTCGCTCCGCCGGCTCCGTCCTCCCGTCTCTTTGTCCTCCCCCCCCCTTCCTTCTACCGTGCACATCCTGCTCCGGCTCTATTCAATCTCCTCATATCACCTTTCTTTCGATCTATATACTTCCACCTGTTCCCGAAAATGTTTTCGCTGAGGGCAGCGCGACCTGCGCAGGTAAGAATTTGAAACCCACCGTCGTTCGTTTGTGGACTGTTCGGTGTTCTCTCACTTTTTTTCCTTTTTTTCTTTTTTTTTCTCTGTTCTTCAATCCTGCAGGTTACCTACTTTGCCATTGTCTCCACAACGTTGTGAATTCTTCGTCTACTGCTTCTTTCCCTCCTTCTGCTTGGATTGTACAGCGCAATTGCCTTGCTTTCTGTCATTCTTTTCTGGTTGATTCTTTTCGGCATTGGCATACTATCTTACGGAGACCCACCCCTTCTCGCATCGTCGTTTATATATGCATTGACTAATATGGCCATGGTGGTCAGTCTTTCCTGCACCGCGCAACGGTGTCTCCTAGCATTGCCCGGTCTTCGATCCCTGCCCGATGTATGGTTTACCCTTCGGTCACGATTTTGCCCAGGTTCCGCCGTTGTTAACCCGAAGCAGCTTTCGCTAGCGTCTCATCGGACATCTTCAAGCCTACCAAGTACGGTGGTAAATACACCGTTACCCTGATTCCAGGTATAGATCACCAGTCCATGTACTCCCTACGCGATTGTTCCGGACTCGCTGACGCGCTTTTTTTTTTTTCGCTTTCGCAATTAAGGTGACGGTATCGGTGCCGAAGTTGCCGAATCGGTCAAGACTATCTTCAAGGCCGACAATGTTCCTATTGAGTGGGAACAGGTAGACGTCAGTGGCGTTGATACGGGAAATAAGCACTCGGAGGAACTTTTCAAGGAGTCTATCGCGTCGCTCCGTCGCAACAAGCTGGGCCTTAAGGGTATCCTGTTTACTCCGGTGGAACGCTCCGGCCATCAGTCTTTCAACGTTGCTCTGCGCCAAGAGCTCGACATCTTTGCGTCCATCGTCCTCGTGAAGAACATCCCGGGCTACAAGACACGCCATGAAAATGTCGATCTTTGCATCATTCGTGAGAACACCGAGGGAGAATATTCCGGTCTTGAACACCAATCTGTGCAGGGTGTTGTCGAGTCGCTTAAGATCATCACTCGTGCCAAGTCGGAACGTATTGCCAAGTTCGCCTTTGGATTTGCCCTTGCGAACAACAGAAAGAAGGTCACCTGTATCCACAAGGCCAACATCATGAAACTGGCCGACGGTCTGTTCCGCAGCACTTTCCACAAGGTTGCTGAGACCTACCCCACTTTGGAAGTTAACGATATGATTGTCGACAATGCGTCCATGCAAGCTGTCTCGCGACCCCAACAATTCGACGTGATGGTGATGCCCAACCTTTACGGTGGCATCCTTTCCAACGTTGGTGCCGCTCTTGTCGGCGGACCTGGCTTGGTTCCGGGCTGCAACATGGGCCGCGATGTTGCCGTGTTTGAGCCGGGTTGTCGCCATGTCGGTCTCGATATCAAGGGCAAGGACCAGGCTAACCCCACTGCCATGATCCTCTCTGGCTCCATGCTCTTGCGCCACCTGGGTCTGGATGACCACGCGAACAGAATCTCGAAGGCTGTGTACGATGTAATTGGTGAAGGGTAAGTACAAAAACCCCAAAGAAACGAAATCTACAATGGCACCCGTACTGACTGAGGAATTCTTCTAGCCACACGAGGACGCGTGACATGGGTGGACAGGCTACGACCCACGAATTCACCCGGGCCGTTTTGGATAAGATGGAGACTTCCCTGTAATTTGGAAGGGACTGCTAGCTTTTATTGTGTTTCTAGTTTCGATAGAAGAGGGCTTGTATAGGATGTTGCTGGGAAGTTGCACCGGTTACCCTTGAATCGTGCGTAAATAATTTGTATTATCAATGATTCGAATAACATCAGATGTCAAATTGTACGTTCAGTATAATAGTCTTTTTTAGCCTTGCAAGATGAGCTAAGCCTTAGCAGATTGTATTTGTAGTCTGTGAATTGGCAATAGGCGACAAATTCCCTAAGTTTATTCGACAATGCTGACCCAATGTTGGTTTTACTCTGCTTTCTTCGCGTGCCCACATCAATGAGCACGTGCTGCGTGTGAACTCCGGCCATGAAACGCGAGGTGTTCTAGACCACGCTTAGCGTTCTTTGAGACATGTAGCCCCACGGCATGACGGGTAATAGACGCTCTAAAAAAGGAATCCGGACACCGCTTGTCAACGGCATCTGGGAGCAAAAGACCTGAGCATATGGGCCGATGGTGCTAGCGTTACTGATGAGACATTATGGCCTTAACACGTCAGTGAACGATGCGGTAGACGGCCAGAGCTGGTTGAACCCCAGTGGTAGAATCAGCTTTTTGAAATTGAGGTTTCCCGGCCCTGAGAGACCGTGCCGAAGCGAGTACGAAGACTGCATGGACCAAAGGAAGGATTCAAGCTCAGAATGCAATTTTCCTCTTCCTTCCAGTATATTTGGAATTCGCTTTGACGATTTTGCCCTTCTTGGTCATTTGATCCTTCTTCCGCATGATCCAGGCCTTGTCACCCTTTCTTGACAAAGATGCTTTGCCATTCTCCATCGCTCTTTTCCTGGCATCCAAGACATTCACGTCACTCATACCGTCAACAACGCCGGTGATATCACCTTGTAGACCGCCACCGCCAACTGTTAGAACAAGGTAAAGTTTGCTGTTCTTCGTGCCGGGGTCATCTTCAAGAATTCCTGCCCCAAAACCGGCTCTCATCGCAGCTCCACTGATCATGGTCCGCTGGGCATCGTTTTTCGGGTAGAATTGGCAGACAGCACGGCCTCCACGTTTCAAGCTCGAATAGAGACCTTCGAAGAATCGCCGCAGTCGCCCTTCTGGGCTGACGTCGCTTGTTTCCGCGTTGCAAAGCCACTGGATAGCGCTGATGCTGATGGCGGCGTCGAAAGTTCCAGGTCGGAACGGGATTCCTTGGCCGATATCCGCGAGAAATAAGTCGCCGTCTACGCCTCGCTGAAGCGCAACATCCAGCATGCTAGGTGAGATGTCCATTCCGATCCATGTGTGCGGTCCACCTTGTTCGCGAGGTTCTTGGGAGAGGATTTCGCCGGAGAGGCCAGAGCCGCAGCCGACGTCGAGGATGAGGGACGGAGATGACAGGTCGAGGAGTTCGAGGGCTCGATGTGTCATGTCTGATTGAATGTTTCGTATACGAGATGAAGTCGTGTATTTTCGAGACTCATCGTCACCGTAGAATAGGTCCGGAGGCCTGGTTACATTGTAAATAGATTGTATATTGTTCCCTGTCGGAGATAAACTTACAAGATATCCTCAGGGCGTGACATGTTGAATATAGCTCAGTATAGTCAGAGACTGGCAGATATTAAACAGAAGCCCAAGCTAGGTAGATTGGTACACAGAGTACAGAGACAATCTGCGACTGATATTGCGGGTATGTTTAAAAAGAATTTTGGTACTGATAACAGGCGATCACTTTAGCCTTTATCATTTTTTCTCTTTTTTGGCGTCCCTCCGCCCACGATTCCTTGGCATTTACCTGCGGCCTGAGGCATCGTGACGGCTCCGGATCAGTACGATGGATCCGCGCCAAGCTGGAACATCCTCGTGTCCCATACATAGACCAAGACAATCTGTTTGATTCACGCTCTTCTGCCTGCTGAAGGTCTCTCGAGTGATTTTGACCTTCCCTTCTTATTTCATTCGACCCCCCCCGCCCCTTCTCGTTTCCTTTCGAGATGTGGATCCTGCCACTGATAGGATACGCAGGAGTTATAGTAGGATTCTCATTCCTTACGCTCGCTATAGGTAAGGAACTATACCATGGACCTGACTACCTACTCGCTAGATAACGGGTGTGCGACATAAAACAGCGATGGGCTGACAGAATACTTACTACTAGCTTCCGGTCTCTACTACCTTTCGGAGCTCGTGGAGGAACATACAGTGCTGGCGCGTCGAGTATTAACTCGACTGATATATGGCATCATCTCCGTCCAAATCCTCCTCTTCCTCTTCGATGGATTCCCATTCTTCCTATCCCTCCTCAGCATCGGCTCGCACATAGTCTACGCAAGCAACCTCCGCCGATTCCCCATCGTCAAGCTATCGGACCCCCTATTCGTCCTATCATGCGTCCTCGTCGGCCTGAACCACTGGTTCTGGTTCTGCCACTTCTCAAAGCCCCTGCCTGCTTTCCGGGGATCGGGTAATTGGGACCAGTATGGAGCGGGAGACGTCCCGACTTTCACGGAGGTGGCTTCATACTTTGGGCTCTGTGTCTGGCTGGTTCCCTTTGCGCTTTTTGTGAGCCTGAGTGCGGGTGAGAATGTCTTGCCCAGTATGGGGTCCGAGTACGCTACGGGAGAGCGTGCTGCATCATCGTCGGGATTGCCTGGCAATGCGCTTGTGTCGGATGGGAAAGCGAAGAATAAAGGCATGGCCAAGGCGTTGGTAGATAGTGTTCGAGATTGGGTGAGCGAAAACGGAGAGCTGATGGGGTTCTGGAGGGGTGAGCGGTCAAAACGGTTTTAAGACCTAGGCATGGGTTGGCCAGGAGAGAAGCTAGAAATACTGCTCTTTTGTCACGAATTTCTCCTGCACCGGTGTTTTTCTTCTACGAATTTGAGATTCTAGTGTAACATATACATACATACATCAGCCCGGTGGGATCGATTGATGTGCAGAGTAAGGCGAAAGTTATTCAACTGAATAGTTTGGTAAGTTCTAGACTAGAGCACGGGAGCTATTGTTACGAGCTTGCAATGCCAGAGCACTTCATTAGAGGTAGATGGATATGAGCCTCGGCCATTCACAAGTCCCGGAGTATCAGAATATGGTGGAACTTGTTTCTGACAATAGACAATGGGATGGATATTATATCGAGCAAAGAGTCAGACAAAAATAGCAAGAGACCCCGGTGAACCAGGATCTGTATAAAACATAAGTGATATCAATGAAGAAGAAAGCATATAATCCATGAACTGCACAGGATATAAACAAAAATAGCGTGCAACGGTTAGAATTTGATTATGATTAGTGCAATGGTTCCTGGCCAGGTTTTTTTAGGCTTGTGTTAATTCATTTCACATTCATTCAAATCATGATTGGGCTTTGTCGCATAAGCAGACCCATTGTCTGGCGAATGGAATGCGTGACGCCTATTGGGTATGGAGGAATGAAAGGGACCACGGTAGGTAGATAGACAGTACGGGAGCGTATTGATGGGCTTCAACTTCTCAAGCTTTTGTGATTGCTAATTAGTCCATCATTCCAATAAAGATCCTCAAAGGGACACTCACAAAAATTATCGGATTGCTGATTATTCAGCTCCATGAAGAGAAAAGAACTTTCTCTTCTCTTTGCTTTAGCCGAATGAGAATTGTCCATGCTGGGAGATAGCATGCTATTGGTGGCAGGCGAACCCGACCGGCTGGAGTTTTGCTTCTCTGGGACGCTGTTTGGATGTTGCCCGTAGCTCGGCTGGACCGAAACGAATCCGGTGTCATTGGCACCATCCCGGGGATCGACGTTTCGGCGGAACGTTGTCTGATTGTAGGCGGGAGTCGGTATATCAGAAAACATCTGACGACGAGGAGAACGGATGTCGTCTGGGGAGTTTGGATTATAGGTATTCGGCTCCAGTGTCCCCAAGTTGGAAGTCGGGGGATGCTCAAAGATGTCTTCGAAATCAGTCAGGAACATCGAGAAGACAGGTGCCGGGATGTTTAATGTTGGAGCAAAAACGATCCCGACGTTTCTGATAGTCATCTTATTGACATCAGAGTTGTTGACAATGACAATTAAGAATTGGACCAGCGCCCGTAGCAAAGTATAATTCGGTCTTGGGAGTTTGTAAACAAGGAAATTGAAGGCCTGGATTCTCTTGTGTTTTTCTTGAAGGTCTGCAGGAGGAAAATTAGTGCTGAATAGAGCATATGCTGACAGTACGTCACTTACCAAGGACACGCAAAAATTCCAAATGCAGCTCGCGGGTAAGGACTGTCGCGGGTAGCTCCCGAAGATATTGCTTGAAAAGTGAGGCAATGGCATGAACGTCATAGTACTGGTCATCAGCAAGGAAGTCGATATCGCCTTCGGTATTGAACCGTTCCTTGAGTCCCTTTATAACCACATTTGATCCACTCAGACGGAATATACCCTCTTCCAGCTCTGCCTTCTTGGCAGTAAGATATTCTATACAGCGATAAACGACTGCCGGCAGAGTCACATCGACTGCTTGTGGCGCACAAAACTGGACTGCCTCAGCCAAGGGGATGCCAAAGACTGGCCGGACAAGCTCTCTTGGGAACCCTGGGCTACTGCTTTGGACCGGTGTTGTTGGAGACTCGGAACTGGTTTGAACTTGGGACGCGAGATCAAAGGATGATCTTGTACGGAAACCCCAGATGCTGCGTTTCTTCTCTTTAGTGCTGGTCGTTGTTGCCTTGTTGCCCCAGGCGCCGGCATTTTGGATGACTGCACCGTTAGTGGGCCCGGATATGAATTTGCTGGACTGGCCCTGCTCTGAAATAGGGCTTGTCAGTTGGCCAAATTCTGAGTTATCTGTTGATGGCCCTGGTGTGATCAACGAAGGTTTGGGATTTGGCTGATCGATAGATGGCCCAAAAACCGGGGGTTCTGCTGGAACGGCACTATCAAAACTGAATCCTTGGACAGTGTCTGCACCCTCTAGCTCTGAGTTTTCGGGTGCCCTGTTGCCCTTTTTAGGTCCATTTCCAAATAGTTTTGGCTTGCCAGGTGTGTTGGAAGTCGCCTTTGACGAAGCTTGTGCTTGCACTTGCGCTTTGGGTGGTGCAGGTTTAGAGGCCTCAGCTTCCGGGTTTCCGCCGACATGTTCTAGAAGGGCCTCAACCCATGTGTCCCTTTCTTCATCGCTCTCGGCACACAATACGTGACGGACAAGTGCAGAGGAATCCTTCTTCTTTGGTTCCAGGATAAGAAAGGCATGTCGATATTGGTTATCAGTGTCATCCTCGACACCCGAAGGAGGGGTGTTCTGGCCGTTTTGGGACTGTTTACCAATTTGCGCATTGTAGATTTTGATGGTTCCCATATGGGCCCCTCCCGGCGATTCATAATACTTCAACTCAGGGCCGTGCAGCACGAAATACCTTGCTTTCCAACCTCCGAAATTTTTTCCTCGTTTGGTCAGATACCCCTCCTTTCTAGGTTTCCCATCCTGACCGCGAATCAGTTCGGACTCAGGTTGATCATTACCCTTTAGCAAGCTAGTCTCATCGTCCCGAGCCTCGATTGCATGAGACGAGAGAAATTGGCAGACCACTAGGGCTGCTTTTTCGTCCATACAAGTGTTGAGAAGGGCTTCAAAGTAGGAGTTCAATGCCGCACGCCGAGCATCAACTTTCGCGGGAGAATGTCCAGTAAAAATGGACCGATCAGGTAACTTCTCCGAGAACGAAGACACCTGTTTGACTTGCTGATCTAGCAGTGGTAGAGCTGCAATCACCTTTTCAATGCGCCAAAGTTCCGAGTTATTCGATCGCGAAAATATACTCAGTGTGAAAACAGGTTCCTCTTCAAAAGGCTTGGAGGCCATGTAGCTATTTCTCGAAGGCCGAAGGCGTGACGACGACACCTTGACTTTCGTCGACGGAAGAGCGTTAGGCGGTAGTAAAAGGTCTGGATAATCCGGTGACACTAGTCCCTGGTAAATCCCATTCGAAGTTGAGGGTAGTGACTGTGGACTGTCTACCCTGACAGCCGAATCTATCGATGGCATAGGCCTGCTTGTAGCGTCCACAAAGGCGAATGAACTTGACGGCTCATTTGCAATCGCAGAGGGGGTAGATGGCCCCGTAGCAAACGAATCTTGATATTTTCCACCACGTGCAGAGAGGGCTAATCCTGATACATTGGCATCTGAAGACACAGGCAGAGAATTCAACGGATTTGACATGTCTCTCGGCATGCGCGGCAACGGAGAGCCAATGGGGCGATCTTCCGGTCTGGGACTGATGGGCAATCCTGGGCTTTTAGGGGCAGTGATGATATGGTGATCACCAAAAGATGGTGCATGTGCCATGTTGGGACTGAGTGTGAAACCCGAGGGTTTTACTTGTTCGCTCGATGTCGACCTTTGTCGCGGCTCCGAGGCAGATCCAACAAGCCCGGGGAATACAAGCGATGAATTTCCGTTGTTATCGGAATTACTCGGTGGGTTCGTTTCGTCCGACAGTATGAAGTCGCGATCTCGATCATCCTCATCCCTCGTCTTTCTCCGTCCGCGATCCACTGGCAACTCGTCCACGGCCAAGATATCCTCGTAGTCGGAATCGGAATCATATGGTCCAGGGTGGTTTATGTTTGTATGGTCGAGATGATTAAGATTGAGCGGGGCGGGGGGAGGTTTTCGGGCCGGGGGCGATACATTTTGCTGTCTATATTGGGCTTCGATATGCTCATTCCCGGCAGAATTGGAACTTGTAAGCGAGGTTGGACTTGTCCTTGATAATTCCTGTCGTGCATATACCAACGTTGGTGGATCTGGGGAGTTTTGTCCTTGCGACCTATCCAGTATTCCTCCCGGCTTGGCTTTTGTATGTCCTGTTCGCAATGCAAGAGATGGGTCAATTTCGTGGAGGTTTTTCAAACCCTCGCTATCAGAACCTGACCGCTTGACCTCCCCGAGTTCAGACCTGCCCGCGTGTGTGGCTTGGATTGAGGGCGGCTCTTCCCCCGCAGTTGTTTGGCGGAAAGCCTCGTCATTGTTGCTTGGGGGCTTGTGCTGTGCTTGCGGGCCTGGAACAGATGGTAAAGGGGGCGTCGGGGTTTGGAGTTCTTTGACTTTTTTCTTGTAGCGTTCTTTTTCCTTCAAAGCGCGTTCGAGGTCTTTGTTCAGCCCGAGGACCATAGTGCGCTGCTTCTCGACTAGCCTCCATAGTTGGGAGTTTTGAGACGCGGCATGGTGCTTTTCCTTCAAAAGATGTACGATGACTGCTTCGGCAGAACCTGCAGTAGCGATGAGGTTCCCGATATCAGCCTGGCTCAACGCGGTCGCATCGAAGGAAGTCTTATGCGACTGCGAAACAGAAGAAAGGGAGGATATCGCGGAGTCGATAGATGAGGTTCGGGGCATTGTGCGCTGGCCCAAGACCTTGCGCTCGCCGGTCATCGATCGCGAAGACTTGACGGAAGATATCGGGGAAGACGTCGCTGACTGAATTGACTCCGTTGCGTCCGAATCCTTACGCGGATTGCTGCTGTCTGTTTGTTCCTTCATGTTTCTATCATGCTGCTCGGATTTGCTGGGCAGCAGCGTCGTCCCTGGTGGGCTAGATATGGTCGAGTCCGCAGTCGACGGAGGAGCCGGAAAAGAAGCGTGTGATAGTTGACTATTATTGGAATAGCTTGCGGGATGAACAATATCCCGCAGTGGTAGATGTTGTGAAGAACCGGGGTTTTCCAGGGCAGGAGACTGGGGCTGGGAACTAGAATTTGAGAGAGACGGGGTAGGATTGGTAGGTTTGCGGGGAGAGGCAATAGCAGTAGGCCCGGGAGGCAAGTTGATCAGACGGTCCGATGGTGTTCCAAGATAATCCCTAGGAACGAGGTCGCCTTCCCACGAGGAAAGATTTCCAAATGCCCGATGCCTGGCCGAAGGGAAACCAGTAATTTCTGTGGGTAATTGCCGTGGAATTCTAGTACTGTCACGACCTTGGTGTTCCTGCGACATGGCTTAATTTAAGAATTGGAGCTGGCATGGTTGAGGAGACGCGGACTAAAACCGGCGAGTCGACGCTAACTACACCCGGGCCGTCTCGATAATATAGGGGGGGCGATTCCGTACCCGCATTGAAGACCTTCGATGAAGACAAGTCCTTCCACATTATAGAGGGGGTTATAAAAATCAGGGAGGGGATGAAGGAGAAGAAGGAGAAGAGAATTGTAAATGAGAATGGGAGTGAAAATGATAATATGGATCACAATCATCAACAAAGTGTGTCTCAATGTAGATATGTTTTTGCCACATTTTTTCTTTCCCCTTGAACTAGAGTCAAGTGGGAAGAGAATAGAGAAAAGGGGGGCGTGGATGAAGATGACAATAACCCCAATTACAAGGATAATGTGAATATACAATGGCAAGAGTTTTACACTGATATCAATGGGAACAAAACAATTATTGAACAAAGAAAACAAGAGCATATGAAGCCTAGCTATTCTTTAGTCATAACAATACTTTTCTCTCTTGGCTTGAGTGATAGTACGGAGTACGGAGTACAGAGTATAAAGAATTCCCTTTTCGAAAAAGAAAACACTATAAAAATAATAATAATAGACCTTGGATCATTATATTATTATTCACGCAGTGGGCAAGGTGTGGTCCAAGAGAAGGATATAAAGTCAAACAGATAAGTTAGAATCCTTCACATTAGCTGCTCACTGCAAACAACTACCTAGAAAATACAACACCCATACTGAAGTTAGGCCAAAACATAATATGATCTATCTCCATTCCAGGCCAGCAACCATTGCGACGTAAGAATGCTTTTTTCTTTTTCTTGCTTTCCCATTCAACTCGTACGGAGTACATAAATAACTATAGAACCTAGGTGTGTAGCAGTAGATACCAGTCAGTGTAATGAACTAGTGTCTGTTCCAGTCAATATATGGATGTCAATAAATGTAGACGATAAATATCACGCGCAAAGAAAAAGGAAAGAAGAATAACATTAAGAACCCGGCAATATTGACTATACTGGAAAGTTGATTCAAGACATGTGAACAAGCGGTTTATTGAGGCGTCTCTCAAGTATTGCCAGATCGGGAAACCTTGATAGTGACCGTGGATGATAGCAATCGACCAGTATATAACTCACAATAACACTTGGACAATAGAGTCAAGTGCCATCTATAGAAATCAGGTGGTTTGATCTACCTGACTACTACTGCATCAAGTAAACCTCTGAATTGAAGCTATAAACCAGGTTTATCTTATCATCTTATCACCTTATCGATTGTTGAAGGTAGGGTGCCTGGAGCCTGACAACGCCTCCCAAAGGCTGTTTGTATTGTTTGCAGTAAAAATCTCTAAAGACTTCCGCACCCCCACTCCTCTGGACAAAGCTAAAGGAATTTCAGATGATAACAAGGCACTAAAAGCAGATGTACAAAAAACCTTAAGTCAATTTAATTCTTCTTTTCAAACCACCACACTCTACGGGAAAATGCCAGCCCCGACAGGCCTTAAACAGTCGGGCGAACCGACAACAGCCGCCCCCTTCGATACCCTTCAAACACATGGTTGGTCGTCTTGACAGTTATGCGAATTTGGCCCGAGCCTCCAAACTAACTGCTTCTTGAAGACCAGAATGATGAAGTCTTGATCGATACCCAGAACCCGGTGGACAACGGGACGGCGGATTCTGCTCCTGTAGCAGGATCGGCCCAGGACTCCGAGATGCACATTGATGAAGAAGGACGACCTGTTTTCACTCCCGCCAAAGATGTCAATGGTGTCTACCGTGTTGAGACTCGGAAAGTGCCTGTCCCGCCACATAGGATGTCGCCATTGAAATCATATTGGGCCAAGTCAGTGTGACCTCTCACGAGTACCAGGCTGAGACTGACTATTGACTTTCTAAGAATCTATCCTCCCCTCGTCGAACACTTGAAATTACAAGTGCGGATGAACATCAAGAATCGCGCTGTCGAGTTGCGAACCTCCAAATTCACCACAGATACCGGGGCGCTTCAGAAGGGCGAGGATTTCATCAAAGCTTTCACTCTTGGCTTCGATGTCGACGACGCCATTGCACTATTGCGACTGGATGACCTATACATCCGCTCGTTCGAGATCCGCGACGTCAAAGCGTCCCTCAACGGTGAACATATTGGCCGCGCAGTTGGCCGTATAGCTGGAAAGGACGGGAAGGTGAAGTTTGCGATTGAAAACGCCAGTCGGACCAGAGTCGTACTGGCCGACCAGAAGATACATATCCTCGGAGGGTACCGGTCGATATTAGTGGCCCAAGAGGCGATTGTCAGCTTGATTCTGGGCAGTCCTCCCGTAAGTCATCTCACCCACCTAGTTTGCGTTCATTGTTGACAATGAGTAGGGTAAGGTCTACGGAAACCTTCGCAAGGTCTCGGCACGAATGAAGGAGCGTTTTTAGATCATCGTCCCTCTAGTTTCCCACCCCCTTTGGCGCAGTTCTTTTTTACTTTGTTTATTCTCTGGTCATGGATGTTATGGTTTTTATGGTAGCAATGAACAATAATTGGCATGATTACGAAGGTTTCGCCGCAATTATTTTCAATAATGAGAGCACGTAAAGTTGAATAGTTGGGCTTTATGAGAGATAGAACAAGAAGCGCATCTGAACCACCTAATCCTGCTTCAAGGGGAAGTACTTCTCCTCTATCCCACTCTTAGTTATGACCATCATTTGCAAGCCATCTCCGACTTCGATATGTCTCTCCACAGCGCTAGTAAACGCATCCTTCACGAGGTGCTCGACTGTCCCCATCGGCAACAGCTCTTTCTTCTTGGCCTGCAGGTCATGTCCTTCACCACTGCCAGGAATGTATTGGTTCTTGAAACTGACTTGGTTGTCAAGGAACGGCATGATCAAGCTTGCAGCGGAGCCCGCGGCTCTGCATTGTTCCCTCTCGTAAGAGCCAACCGGATCGTAGCTGTACAGAGCTCCCTTGCCCTCCTCATCTAACCCAGCCAGAATAGCGGTTACGTAGTAGGGGAAAAACCGCTTCGAATAGAGGATCGTTGACAATCGTTGAGCACAGGCTCTGACTGACATGGGTTTTCCGTGCTGATACTTATACATCTTGACAATGGCGTCTAGTCGTTCCTTGAGCGCGTGTCCGTCTGCCGCGAAGCCCACAACTGACAGGATGATATGGGCATTCTCTCCAGTATCATCTTCGCCACCGATCTTGAAGACCTTCGGGGAGTATCGAGAGTTGATGTTGTATCCAGCGACGGAGCGAGTGTCACCGGCGAGGATAGCAAAGTCCTCGCCAGTGATTCCTAAGGTCGAGCCACCATTGTCGGTGTAACTAGAAACATGTTTATTAGTTTGACTATTGCATCAGTCCAGATGATCATGATCATTACGTACGGATAGAACGAGTGCTCTTTGTGTGGTGCAGTGGTCGGAGTACCAAAGGAATATCCGATTGTCCCATTCTGAGACTGATGGCCCATGGCAGACATCATAATTACTGGAGGATTGTTGTAGGAAAAGCGTAAGTCGTGGAGAAATAGAATTATAATGAAATCGCTGTCTGTAGAGAAATGTGAACTTCTTTATGGGTAAATGAGGTTGGGGGAGCAGTCATGGATTGAGCTGTAGGTAACCTCTCTGACGCGATGCCGTGTTAACAGCTCGATCGGCTTATATAATGCGGGCCAATTGGCCCATGCCATATGACCTCCAGAACCTCATAGATCTGCTATTCAAGCTGCCCTCTTTTTTACTATGGTATGTAGTTGGAATCTTTAACATAATATTTATTCTAATCATCATCGCTTTCATTTGAGCCCCTTATTGGGACCTCTTCGCTCCTCTATCCGACAGCGCGTTACCTTCCTCAAGATCTCTTATCTCCAAATTCTAAGCTGGTTTTGTAACCTACGCAGCAGCTCTTGCAACTATGCTAGGTCTTGGAGACTATGAAAGCAGCAGCGAAGATGAAGTTAACGACAAGACTTCCCCTCCCACTGAGGTATATCCAGTCCCATGAATCTTAATTATTCCTGTTTTCACTTCTTAAGCTAAAGCTCTTTCTAGCGCGCGCCGCAAGAGCAGCCAAGAGAAGGTCTGCAGACAACGGAGAGTCCAGGTACCTTGGTCTTCCATCTTTTACTTTTCTCCATATAGAATCTCACGAACGGTAGTGAATCGAGAGGCTCATAGTGGCCAACAAGGTCTACCGGAGAAGAACCCAAACTCGGAACCTCGGGGTCCTATTCTTGGGCCATCTCATGAAGACACCCAATCTACAATAAGCGCCTCGCTCAATGGACAAACCTCACCGTTCCCACCACCTCGTGCATTAATACATGACTTAACACTCCCCCCGGTGCCGAACCTTGAGATACCACCGTCTCCGCCGGGAACTCCTCCTCCCGCGGCCAATGCGAAGTTTTCGCACTTCCTGTCCTTGAAAAGCCGTGGCACCCATTTCAATGAAAAGCTGGCCGCGTCATCTTCACTGAGGAACCCAAGTCTACTCAAGAAACTTATGGAGCATGCAGGAATTGACGACCAAGCGCAGTACTCTACCTCCCTTCCACCCGACTTATGGTGTATTTCTGATCTCCCAGGGTGGGGCTTCAAGGAGGAACTCCTGAAGGCTCAGAAAAAAACCCAGGATACAGCAGAAAAGAAGCAAGCTGCTGGTCAGAAGGGAACGGTTGACTTTGTGGTTGCAACAGCGACTGAGTGACCCAACAATCCTACATACTCAGAGCAGGAGTCCGAGGAACGAGAAAAGTGAAACATGATATATGTAAGATAGATGAATAAATATACCCTCATGAGAATCAATGTTTTTATTGAGATTATTGTCATGTTGACGTTGTCTGAAAGAAGATATACAAGTAATTGGTAAGATATACAGCCGTATTTATGTTTTATCGGAGGATTATTATATTATTAATACATTCCTGGTCATATTGATTCAATGCTATAGAATTACTATACTGTATAATCGTGTAGATATGAATTGAATTTGATGATATAGATACTATGAATATAATTTAAATTTACCACGTAAAACAATGTTTTGCTTAATCAAGTGGGTGACAACGACATCATTGTTGGTACCAGGTAGTATTGGCCGGTCATGTCACGGGTTGGAAGATGGGTTTCACCGCCCGAGAGTGTAATGCAAGAGGAGCTCCTGCGTCAGCTCTACTGCCTATCTAAGCAATCAACCCAAACCACGCATTTCAGCTTCTTCATTTGCTCTTGAGGTCTCTATTATCTCAACATATCACTTGGCCGAACAAACTTATACACGCACCTTTATAATACTTACGCAGCCTACCTTCATTCAAGATGAACCATTTCCCAGAACTATGGGGTCGGGTAAGGTTTCATTCATCTTCACACGGATGCTATCCTAGCTAACACGATAACTAAAGCCCAGAGATGATGTCTATGGTCCCTACAACTCATCTTACCTCAAGAGCACCGGTCCTAAAACCCATACTCAGTCCCCCGCTGTGACCGGAACCTCCGTGGTAGCGGTCAAGTTCAACGGCGGCGTTGCGATTGCCGCTGACAACTTAGGTACGATCCTGATCTCGTGAGGGTATTCAAACGAAATGAAACCGAATTAACACCTTCTTCTCTCATGAACAGCTTCATATGGTTCCTTGTCTCGTTTCACCGATGTCAAACGTCTACGTGTGTTCGGTGAATCTGCCGTGGTTGGATTCAGCGGTGATGTGTCTGATATGCAGTACATCGACCGTCTCCTAGAATCCATCGACATCAGGGAGAACTACTCCACCCATGGCAATCTACTCAACGCGAAGAACCTTCACACCTATCTCTCGAAGGTGTTTTATAAACGCCGATCCGATTTCAACCCACTGTGGAACCATATCCTAGTCGCCGGATTCGATGGAGACAAGAAGCCTTTCCTCAGCTCCGCTGACCTTTTGGGGACTACATACTCAGGCCCCCACCTTGCAACTGGATTCGGTGCCCATCTCGCCGTACCGATCCTTCGCCGGTTGTTCCCAGAAGAGAAGCCTATCGAGGAGATCACCAAGGAAGATGCGGTTTCCGCCTTGAGAGAATGTCTCAAGGTTCTATGGTATCGCGATGCCCGGAGTCTTGACAAGTACTCGATAGCCATCATTACTGAAGACGGGGTAGAGCTGAATGAAGACCAGAAGCTTGAGGAGCAGAGCTGGGCGTTTGCTGAATCCATCAAGGGATACGGAGCTCAGGTGGTCTAGGTGCTCCGCTTGTATTTAGGTTAACGCCGAAGTGTCTACGATTTAATCCCACGTCACATGGTCTGGTATTTTAGTGTTCAAGAGCATTCATAGTATAAACAACCAACGGGTAACAAATGTGCTATTTACATGTAGCCTCAGCGGGAATAATTGTAGCAAGGAAGTCCGTAGGAACCTTTAAAGCTTGGATGAGGGCTTCTGGTAGACAACCTGGTTAGTACACGAGCCCACGCCTTCGAGGTTAACCTCGACCCGGTCGCCGTCCTTAAGCCAAAGCGCAGGTTTCCGGCCCATCCCAACACCTTCGGGCCTATAGGAAACTGATTAGTACCCGCCTATCAGGAAACCCCATGGTTAGGATTTATAACAAGGCCTTAACTTACGTTCCAGTAAAGATCAAGTCACCAGGCAACAAAGTAGTGCCCTGGGACAAAAACGCGACTGTCTTAGCCACGCCGAAGATCATATCCTTCGTCGAAGACGACTGCACAGTCTGGCCATTGAGTTTCGTCGAAATCTGGAGCGCATTGGGATCACGGATCAACTTGGAGGACACGATGCCCGGTCCCCAAGGAGCCCAGCCATCGAAGCTCTTGCCCAGACCCCATTGGCCTCCACCGCGCTTGATTTGCCAATCGCGGTGGGAAACATCATCGCCCACCGCATACCCGAGGACATAATCCAGAGCGCGGTTTTCGGGAACGTCACGGGCTTCTTTCCCGATGACGATGACCAGTTCGCACTCGTAGTCCAATCCTTCGCTTTGCTGTGCGAGGCTCGGGACTGGGATCTCGTCATGTGGCCCTGTGATAGCGGTGATGGGCTTGTAGAAAAGAATTGGGTACGTGGGCGCAGGAAGGTTGGATTCCTTGGCGTGTTGCTCGTAGTTCAGACCCAAGCCGCGCACAGTTCCGATGTCCTTGCGGGCTAGGGGCGATAAGAGCATCTTCACTTCGGCGATTTTGTCCGTGACTTCGTGCTGGCCGAAGATATCGCCCTGGATCACTCGTGCTTGAGTGGTCTTGGCAATGTCGGTGACACCGGCGGGAAGGATGGCGTCTCCGTAGTAGGTCTGGCCATCCTTTGCCAGGAAGTGAATGAGACGCTGTATGAAATGTTAGTGGCTAACATTAAGTGTACGGAGAGAGGACGGTGGGATGCGCAAAGCTAAAGAAGCTGGAGAAGTTTAAGAGGCAACGAAGCACGCAGGCACGAAACCCAAAAAGAGAACAGACTTTGACCTTCCAACAAGTATCATGTAGAGCTATGCAAAGTATAGGGTGGGATGTGCAATGTGCGATGTGTGTTTATTTGCGAAACTGCGTCAAATGACGTAGTCTATGGTTATACTCACAGAGAAGGTGACCATCTTGAACAAATCAATGTCGACAGTAACTATAGGGCGATTTTGGAAAAGAAACTACTAGTTTAAGACCGTCGAATTCAGTGTGACCAGATTGATAAAGGGTGTCCGTGATAGTAGGTGGGATAGTAAGTACTTAGAGACCTTCATAGTACAGAAAGTGCTTCATGCTCGGCACGTTCCCTCACTCGGTCGGCCTGAGGGGTGTTCCTCGGCCCATACCATTGAGACGTATTACATAGGAGTACACAGCATTACCTTCGATTATGGCTTGAAAATGACCGGGAAAGGAGACAACTAGTCAATTGACTTAGTCGCCTTACACAGTATGGTAATTGTGTGACGGCCCATTACACCCGATCGGAAAAGGTGATTTCTCCAGACCGGCAGAGACCGGAGCTAAGGAAGGGAAGCTTGTCCGCTTATCCAAATTCATCAATCAACTATGACAGAACTTCTGTCGATACTTGACCTCCATAATTGTCGCTAAACAACAAATGCGATGAAATATAGCGCTTGATTTGGCTTCCAAATCAGGTGTACTTGTATCAATCCATGGCGCGACTGTCTGGTCTTCAGCGGGAGGTTCTGTCCCTCTACCGGAAATGTCTGAGGGAAATTCGGAAGAAGCCTTCTGTGAGCGCCTCTAGCTCAGGTTCTGGCCATTGACATGAACACAGACTAATGAATTGCGACATTGATCACTGCACAGGATTCAAGAGAGAACTTCAGGTCCTATACTAGGTAGGTTTGAGCATCCATCTGTCAGCTCACGCAAAATTGCTAACGTCCCCGGCAGGAAGGAATTCGAAAAGCATAGGACACTCAACAAAAAGGATTTCAACGCCATAGAATACTTATTACGCAAAGGGCATAGGCAGTTTGAAATGTATTCTTCGCCTGGAATCCGCAACATCCGATAACAGAGTTGTCTGACCCGATCCGCGCCATGCCACAACCACTGGGAAACACAACCGACGGATAGACATGCTCAATATTCATGGTATCGACGAGGCGGAATGGATGACGTTCTGATGAAGCGCCATGCGCATTCGTCTAGGAGGACAGGAAGTCGAGACCTGTATTTGGTCATGTGACCTCAAACTCGGAGAAGCACCGGACCCATGACGCGCTAGTCCGGAAGTAGTAAGTAGCTGCTTATCAAGACCGCTTATCAGTCCGCGGGATATGGAAGGCTCCAGAGGCATCTGGCCAGGTCCAGTTGCTTCCATGCTGAATATATCATCATGTTCAAATCTATACACAACAATCTTGCATGGTCAATTCTGCTCATTGCTTTGATAAGCTAGCAGATTCCAGAACAATTGTTCTTGTCTATAAAATAGCGATTCATATCTCTATTCAATCCAACATCTAGATCCACACTTCTATTATAATCCATCCATCTGCATCGTTATCAACCAAGGTTGTCATCTAGCACCAGACCGTCAGATCTTGTACATCCCAATCTATATCAACAGTGGGGAAAGCTTCCCAAATCGCGAAACAATGGTCTTCTTAACTTCCCCTCTGGCGAGCAACTGCGCGCCTCTTTTCTCTCTGCTCGATGACTATGACATTCCTCGCTCCAGCCGTTCGAACAAGGCGGTAGCCACACCACCATTCATCCCCACTTTTGACGTTTATGAAACAAACGACACATACCACCTCCATGGCGAACTACCTGGGGTTAGTCAGGAGGATATCGCAATCGAATTTACGGATCCCCAAACAATGTCTATAAAGGGCCACATGGAGCGCAGAGACCACCTCAAGACCAACTCCACCCGGCGGATCAACCAGAAATCGAGCAGCCCACCACCGAAATATCACCAGCCGACTGTTGAAGAGGACTCTGGTGAGGATGATGGAATGTCTACCGCTTCTTCAAGCAGTTCGTTTTCCCAGGTGACTCCCAGCGAGGAGACTGAATCACCCACCTACAAGTACTTGATAAGTGAGCGTTCGACCGGGGACTTCTACCGCGTGTTTTCCTTCGCAACCAGGGTCGACCAAGACTCAGTCAGGGCCCGCCTACAGGATGGCATTCTTTCTATATCAGTTCCGAAGGAGCGAGCTCCGCAGCTCAAGAAGATACGGGTCGAATAAGCAGCCGTCTTCCCTGTTGAGTCTTCATGGTCTGGTGTTTTGTTGGGAATACTTGTGCTTGTACTACAGCTTTTTGTTTATGTTTGTGTAATTATCTTGGAAGAGCGACAATTGTTAGATTAAGGGAATGACGACCTTAATGACTTAATGGACTTTACCGCCTACTGTTCTCCCCAAAGTATATATAAGCGGATGATAGATCCACGGAAGTAGCTTCAGCACTATGTCATACGAATGAGCAATTTAGCCTATCTCAAGTACCACAATACATAGCTTCCACCCATGTAATAACCTCAACAAGCATATCACAACAAAAGCCACGCCATCCCAACTCCACCAAGCTGCAAGACCCCGTCCACCCCGTCTGAAACCCACCATCGCACGAGCCACGAATCACAACATGAAACAAAAAACAACGTGTAGCAATCTCGCTCCAGAGCTTGGCCCATGCAGCCCCAAGTAACACCGCCTTTCCACACAACGCAACCCACCTAGGATAGCTAGACAAAGCGGTGCCCCACGACACGAGGCTCTCCTTGGCAGATATGTATGTGGGACTGGTGCAGATAGACATCGCTTGGATCTCGCCTCGGGCGTTAGCGCAAATAGGTTCGTCCATCCCTTGCTTCTGGCGGTCAATGGGCGTAGGCTTCAGGTGCTTCTATGTAGCTAGTAGCTACCGAAGGCAATCTAATGTAATGTGCGCGAGAAATATGTATGTTCATACATTCATGGATGACGGAATTCGATAATTTGTTGGCACTGCAGGTGCTAGATACTAATTAATTTTTTGAAACTTGGCTACCGCTTTGGTAATATTTGCTTGACACCAATACATTGGTAAGATAGATAGACGCATGTCGTAGTAATAAGGGCATAGAGGCGTAGTGGAAGATACACAAGTAATAGGTAGCGGTTGTAGATTATGACTTTCTATTCTTTACGTGCAGTGAGCCTCGTTCTGGTATCATCAGGTTGTATACTGCTATGTAAACAGACAAAGCATGCGCATAAATAAGGAGATGTTTTTTTTTGGTCCAAATGCAACAATAATTAAGCACGTTCTCACACGAGTTCGGACAAGACCTATTTAACGATAGAATCACAGAAGATGTCACTAGGCCAACCGAAAAGGGTATATATCAGAACACAACAGAAACCCCAGCCGATATGATTTTCCCGAGATTATACACCAAATATAATCACCTTATCCGCCCAGAAATAGGAAAGTAAAAGAGGTTATTCCGAATGAGATGAAAGCAAATTTTAGATATCCGAGTCTCAGAGGTATATGAAATGTGGAGTTTCAATATGGACGCTCTCTTCTTGTTGGTTTGGCAGTCTGCAGCGCTGGTACTCAAAGGTCCGGCTTCTGGTCCTGCCACGCTGGAGTTCAAGAACAGGGTCTTCAACAAGTTCGTATCCCGTTCGGTCATCTTGAGTTGGCGTACACATAGCTGGAACAGTGGTTACTCCCAGGTATTGTTGAGGTGCCTCGCGTGTCGGTAGATTGCCCGTGGTCACTTGGATCGACGACGGGGCAAAGAATTTGGATTCGTGAGTTGTGTTGCCCTCGAAGAGCCCATCATAGACTTGTGAGTTTTGATTGGGTGACTGGCCATGTTCAGCAGTGACCGCACCCTGATGTCGACTTGCTTCGGGGTAGATGTCCGCTGAAGGGCTGGTAGGATTTTGATAAACTTCAAACCCAGTACCATGGGGTTGACTGTAAAATGGAACTGTCCCCGGTACATCCTGTGCATTAACCCTTGCCTGTCGTGGGACAGAATTTGCGACTTGAGCTGTAGAGAACCCATGGCTTCGAAGCTGAGTACAATATCGAAGTGACCCCGAACGGTCAAGCTCACGATAACTCACAGTAGACAAACTGCGCGCACACTCACTTGCCGATGTTTTGGGGGTATCGTGGCACATAGAAGACTTGTCCGTGGCCCAACTACCAACACCAGCCCTGGAACTTGCCCCGGGTCCCTGAAGACTGAGGTGACGACGCACAGGAAGCTGATAGCCCGACCCAGAGGGAACTTGTGTCTTCGACGCTTCGAAGTCTTTGGAATTACCGCCCAGAGTGAATCGCCGGGACCCTTCATGACGTTGCGAGGATACCTGAGAGTCGATCGATGCTCGAGCACGGCTGTCCTGTAGTGACCGAATAGACGCCGCAGAGCTGTATCCGCTGTCGACCTTGCGAGAACGTGTGGACCGTCCGTGGTCAAGATTCCGTCTGATCGAAGCTCGTTGGTGAACAGAAGACCTGTCGTCTTCAGCAACATGGATTCCTTCGTCTTCAATCCCATTTTCTTCCAGTGGTCTTGACACTGCGGTTGTTGGTGATTTCTCGAAAGAAAAGGGACTTGAAGGAAGGTTATCGGACCAATCAGAATTCTCATCTGGAGGGATTTGTAGCGTGGATGTGGACGGGGTTTTTCTGATTCGGCTGTCCAGCTCTATAGGGCCATCAAGTGTATGATCCGGGGTGGGTAACATATCCGTGTTGCCGGATGGGGTCAATCTAGAAGCTTCAGCATTGAAGCTTGCGTGTTCTCCGACACGATGCCTCCCTTCCGAAGTAGTATCGAGGTCAGGGCTAGACTCCACAGACGGACTGCTGGGTCGGTTGAGCAAAGTTCGATCACTGGGACATGGCGACGCAGAGCCATTGACGACTCGCAGTGACCCCAACTTCAGGGCCCCAAGATGGGTGTATTCAAAATCACTTGGAGTTGGTGGGCGAAATTGAGGGACCGGGAGAGAGTTCCTGATAGGGATCTCTTCGTGGTCACGCAGTGGCCATTGTGGCGGTCTGCCCCGCTCTGTTGCGCAACGAGAGGGGAGCCAATCGTCCTGGCGGATTGGAGAAGGCAGTCGTCGAGGCACGTCTCTCGTTGATCGTCTCGTGGCAACACCGGGTCTTGTAAGTAAAGAACGGCGGCGGATTAGGGAGAACCCCTGGCTGTCCACCATGAAATGGGTATTCGAACATGTCGCTTCTTCAATCGTACTGTTATATACAAAGCTGTTTTGGCGAGCCGGCGTATGGCTTGAATGTGACCTCTGTGGCTGAGCAGGTTGAGCTAAATGCTGTAGCTCACCCCGGAACGCTGCCGGTTGAAGGGCAGTCTGTTTGGGTTCTTGGAGCGAAGTTCGCCTGGCCAAAGGCCCTGACCCTGTCGAACTGGAGGTAGGTGAACGAAGACAGACGCTGTTGGCCTGTTTGATACCTAGCCCACGCCCCCCAGGTCTCTCGACCACCTCCCGTGGTGCCTCGAGTTGCAGTGAAGGTGAAGGCAAAGATTGGGATCTGTGACCATTCGTCCCAGCCTCAGATGGGCTACCAGGGCTCGAGCCAACGGTCCAGGAGTTTTGCCAAGCGGCAGAGTTAGAAGATGCGGCGGAAGTCGAGTTAGAAGCCTGATCAGGTACGCGGGACTTCACTGAGACCAGCGTCGCCGGATTTGGGGGTGGTTTAGATAATCTATTGGAGCGACGGCGCTTGTCTTTGCTTTGGATAGAGAGGAAGCTTCCCATCCTTGTGAAAGAGGATAGTAGAACCTAGGGCACGCCGAGAATTGGAATTCTCTCCCAGGTCCAATAACGGATTAACAAGACATGAAACTTAATCAGACCGTTGAAACGTAACCAATGTTAAATAGAGCCCGAAAGCTTGGTGATTTCACCGATTGGTCGGCCGAGGAAAGGCCTTGAGCGGACAGGAGACCGGGGTCGGACACCGGTCAGGTTTGATCTTGAGGAATCGACCAGCGCAACTGGTTGTAATCTCAGATGGAATCAGGTCTGAGACCGAGGAAGGCCTCGCCAAGCTCGACCCTTGGAAATGGCTGATAAGTGAGGAGGTCTTGCTATGCTGCCAGTGAGATTGTAAGGGTGATACACCGAGCTGTGAGGATCTTGGCAGGGCTTAACAGCGAGTGAGGATGCAGGAAAGAGTACCAATAAAATATATATCAGGAGGAGTTCCCCACGGAGAAAGACAGCTGGAAAGGGGGAAATAAATAAATGGAAAAGATGACCGACGAGGGGGAAGAAAAGGGCAGGACAGGGTAGCAGAGGATTGGATCTAATGGCTGAATCCTTCTGATAGGGCAGAGACACAAGCAAGATCTACAAAAGTGCCTTTTGCCGATGAAACACTAAAATATAAGAATAAGAAACACGTCCGACAGATCTGGAGAAGAGGAACGAACCAAGAGACAGCGAAGGACCGTAGCGAAGAGGGAGAGAGCCCCAGCGGTTGAACATCAAGTTCCAACCAAACAGCAAACAGCAAAACAAGAGCCGATCTGGATTTCCCGGGGACAAGTAAGGGAAAAAATAAGATACATGGGAGAAGTGGAGAGCGAACGGACTGCCATGGTTGAGGATGCAAGAGACACAACCATGACGAATGCGTTATCCACAGGTAACTGTAGTTTTGATGAGCAGCAACGGAATTGGCGAAGAAACAGCCGGATCGGCGGGACTGAGGTTCGGCGAGCTAAAAACTCATGTAGGGTAAGGTAGGAACCAGGATGACAAGGGCATTGATTGTACGTGGATCTGTAGGATGTGAAAGTGGAAGTGGAGGTGGAGATGGAGGTGGAGGTGGAGATGGAAGTGGATGCGGAATGGATGGATTCGTGAGAAACACAGCACCGTCATAGGAGAGAGACCACAAAGAGACGTTTGGCCTTATTTTCCTCTTTCTTTTTTGCTTGTTTGATTGTAGTTTATTGATTTCTATTTTCTATTATCTTTTCTATCATTTTTTCCATTGTTTTATTCTATTTTTCTTGGGTTTTGACACCGGGTTTCATTATTATTTGATTTTCTACATTGGCTCCTGCTTGGATTTGTTTTTTATTATAATTTAATTCTTTGTTTCGAAAGTATTGAATAAAAATTATTAGCCCTCTTTCTTTTGCTTCCGAATCAGCAAGGTGGTACGTGGTGTCAAGAATTATGGGGCACAGTATAGTAGACACGACGCCATCGCCGAACGCGGACAGGTCGAATTGTAGTTGCAGGACAAGGATCTAGGCGAAATACTTGTAGTACCTTGGTAGCATTGACCCGAGTGAGAATGGTAGTCCTCGTAACCGGAGGGGAAATGTTACTCGACGGAGACAAAGCGTCGTCGTCCAACAGAGTATCTACGTGTAAGTCGAGAATCCATCTCTTACTACACCTACAGCGCCTTATACTATGCAAGTATGGAGGCTAATGATGTAGTCTCAGTAACCCACAACTGGGTCAGGATGACGAGATGGGGCAATCAGATTCTTGGCACTTTCTGCAAACAGGTCAGTCATGATTATGGATGGTGCATTTAAGAAGGTGGTTCAAGGTTAGAAGCTTGGAACCCTACTGGAGATCGCATATAGTCGGTTGGTTGAATCTCCTTAGGTACTAAGCTACGGTGTACTCCGTAGATCCTCCTGACAATCCCCACCCAACACTAGTGGTTCCTAAACTTTCTTCCCTCCTCCCCTGGGTTTGGACTCGGTAGATCCGAGATCGAAACTGGTTGATCCATCACTCTTTTCTATCCACTCTGGTTTACCGCTCTGGAACCTTATCCGCGTTCGGTTCAATCCTCTTGTGGCTATACAGCTGACTGCGCCGTAATAATATCAGGCTGGTATGTACGGGTACAACTGTTGCTGCAAACAATGCTCACCCAAAACTACCCACGTCCGAGAGCAGCTGTTTTAGGTAGTCGCTGACCCGCCACCGCGGACGGTCCGTGGGTGCAGTCAAGTCATTTGGGGAAAAGTTGACCCTGCACTACAACGGCTTCTGCAATCTGCAGTCATTTTGGACCCCCCTCTGTCGGTCAGAGAGTTGGTGGGACTACACCGCGCCTTTACCAGTCGCATGGCGTTGCCTCTGGCTCCCCCACGCGCACATTCCTGTTCGGCCTTCCCGTTTCTCACGGGACAGGAATTTGAGAGCGCCTGCTGCTTTTTGGTTGACCGTCTCCACATGCTGGGTGATTCGCCTGCCGTGGGATGCTGGTCGTCAATCCAACTGACACGCAAGGTAGGGAGTTCCCCATCGCTGTGACCTTCCAGAAAAAACCCTTGGTTTAGGATCTACGCCTCCGTCTGTAACATACGGTCGCTATTGATTGGCTGTTACCTTTGATTCCCTTTTTTAATTTTTTTTAACTAGCCTGCTACCTCTAGGCAACTGGTCCGATTTTGAAGATATCACGAAACATTGATATTAATCATCATGACGAGGACCCCATGGGATCTGACCGGCTTGACGAATCGCAGCTGGAGCTCCACGAAGATGATCCAGTTCGTGAGACCCTTTCGCCAAGTAGACTGCTTGTTGTCACCCATCTGACTTGATGAACAGGAGGCCCACGTTCGCAAATCTGACCCCCGTGCCCGCCTACAGGTAAACTATGAAATTATCTTCTCTTCCACATATCAGGTGCCTGTTTTATTTTTCACATTACGGCATGATAGCCATCCGGGACCGCTGGGGTTAGACGCTGTTTACCAGTATCTCGTATCGGACCAGCATAGAAACGAGCTCCAAAGTGTTGGTGTCATGGGAAGTATTAGTTTTGGCGTAGGTGCCATCGCTCATAACCGCTTTATGATCCAAAGCTCATGCCTTGTAGTACCATCCAGAATCCGGGACCCCCGCATCTTTTGTTCATCCATGTAACACTGCGGACGCTATGAGGTGCATCGCAGGGCAGCAGGCCGTCGACCCCGATACTTATCTCATCATCTGGCTTGGGCTGGTGGGCAGCCGTCTTGGTCTACATTTACCGTCTGCCATCTTCGTCGCCAATGATCAGGCTCGGACCCAAGGCGAATAATTTGAGGCAGCAACAAGAAACGCGCTGGGGTGGGTTCCTTCTTCTCACGTCCCTCTCCGCATGACCTTTCGACTTGGTTCGAAGAATCCGAATTCCACTGGGTTTTCTAGTCTTCATCGGATGAAGCCTCCATGGGCACATCGCTCTCTTCATCCATGGGCGCTTCTTCTTCGTCGCTTTCATCTTCACGCGGCCGTTTGACACCATGCGCTGCCTGAGCATCGCCATTTACATCGCCGGCGGGCTTGGGGGGCAATGCCGTGGACCCAGGGGGGCCGCTGAAAATCGACTTTTGGAGGTCTGTTGTAACAATCCCTGGAAGAGCCCCAGAAGGTGCACTGTAGGTCCCACGGAGCTTGGCGATGACATTTGACGAGCCCTTGGCATAGACAATTTTCTAGTAGATTGCAGTTAGATGAGCACCGACCATCGCAGGATTTGAGTGTATCGAGCGTACCATCTGTTTGCCGAAAAATTCAAACCCTTGAAGCGCGCGCATGGCTTGCGTACTGGATTGGACATCTTTGAAAACAATGTGGGCTTGACCGCGCATTTTTTGGGTCTTCATGGCCACGACGTCCAAAACCACGCCGTAGGTGGAAAAAAGTGTGTAAAGCGAGAGCCGTAAATCATACTTGCGGAGTTTATCGGGCAGATTGGTACAGTATAGTCTGCAAAAATAGTTAGCATTGTCGATTTGAAGCCCAGATGGTGACTGACGTTTGACTTGGAAGACCACCTCCAACGACTGGTTTCCCTTGCGCACCGCGCGTCGGGACCGTTTTTGTAGACATCACCGGAATACGAAATTGAAAGTTGGGTTTATTGTGTGAGATACCCGGTTGGCGGGCGGACGGAGAAATGTCCGTATGTTAATGGGCCAGAGAAGATGAGGAGGTCGCGATTGAATGTAGACTGGAGGCAGAAAATAATGACGGTTCAGTGGGAAAGGTACAGAAGGGATCGGACGTGTGAGGCGTGCCAATGAACTGGCCGGGACTCTGATGGGGCCTTTTGTATTCACGTGACATTTACATAAGCAGCACTGGCGTCATCATATCTATCCCCTGTCGTTGATGATACCCAATTGCTACCACTATTGCAAAGTAAACACCAACAGTTTCGAAAACCGAGTTTGCTCTAATATACGGCAGTAGAGAGTCCCTCCTGTCGTCTACTTGAAAATGGCCGCCCCCGAAGTTCACCACCTCTTTCACAATCCGATTGCGGATCACTCCTTTTCCTCCGACAAGAGCACCCTTGCGGTAGCGCGGGACACCAACGTGGAGTTGTACCAGAGGGGAGGTAGCAAATTCTCCTTGACGGATGAACTGAAGGGCCATGAAAAAACTGTCACGGGTGTTGACATTGCTCCTAACAGTGGCCGCATTGTCACCTGCTCTCAGGGTAACTACCCCGCATGCCTTGCGTTGTAACTGTACCGCCTAACCGGGTTTCATACTTTAGATCGCAACGCATACGTCTGGGAGCGAACTCCCGCTGGCTGGAAGCCTACCTTGGTTCTCCTGCGGATCAACCGGGCTGCTACCTTTGTGCGATGGTCTCCGTCGGAGCAGAAGTTTGCGGTTGGATCAGGGGCTCGCGTGATCGCCGTATGCTACTTTGAGGAGGAGAACGACTGGTGGATCTCGAAGCATCTGAAGAAGCCAATCCGAAGCACCATAACTACGCTTGCCTGGCATCCGAACTCGGTGTTGCTGGCTGCTGGCTCGACGGATTCGCACGCTCGTGTCCTCTCTGGCTATATCAAGGGTGTTGACCAGCGCCCAGAGCCAAGTGGCTGGGGCGAGCGCCTTCCTTTCAACACAATCTGTGGAGAATTCTTGAATGACTCGGCGGGCTGGATCCAAAGCGTCGGGTTCTCTCCTAGTGGAAATGCCCTTGCCTTCTCTGGGCACGATAGCAGCATCACCGTGGTCTACCCCAGCGCCCCTGAACAGCCCCCTCGAGCGATGTTGAATATCACCACCCCTCTTCTACCATTCAACAGCTTGATTTGGAACGGCGAGACCGAGATTATCGCTGCTGGACATGTGAGTGCATGCCCGGCCCCACCTCCATTTCTCGGATACTAATGACTTGGGACTTATAGGATTGTGAGCCGTATCGTTTCCGCGGTGATGAAAGTGGGTGGCAGCTTGCAGGACCCCTTGAGCACAAGGCCGGACCGGGTGCTGGCAGCGTCCGCGAAGAGTCCGCCCTTAACATGTTCCGTCAAATGGACCTGAAGGGCCAGACGCAAGCTGATACCCAACTGAAGACGACTCATCAGAACACCATCAATACCACGAGGGTTTATGAGGAAGCTGGTGGAGCCGTTCGCAAGTTTAGCAGTAAGTTGAACGACCTTGCGCCGATCAGATCACAACTAACAATGGACCCACAGCGAGCGGTGTTGATGGTCGCGTGGTCATCTGGACTGTTTAAATTAGCACAGCTCTGGTGTTATTTAGACATTGGCAGCAGTTGAGGCCAGTGTTGATTAGAACATAGTTTATATCTATTATATTCAAACGATTTCCAATGCATTACCTGTATTGTACTATAATTAATTACACTATATATATCTGTTAGGGAGCTGCTCCCTCTGGGGAGAACATAGCGGATGGAATACTCGTGTTATGACGGGTACCATTCAACGGATCCTAGGCCCTTTGTCCTCCGCTCACGTCACGCGGATCACAGGGGTCACGAGGCATTCCTATGATGACTTTTGGCTTGCCTCAACTTCTTTGCTACATACTCTGTACATCACTGAAATCAACAATGGACTCGCGTTTTAACTGGGAAGTTTTATTCCATAGAAGATGCGCTCTGACATGATTCTACCTACCATCCTCTTCATTACTCTGTTGGGTTCACTATATACACTGTTTACTCAAGCTCCCGATCATGCACCTTCAGCTGTCGGGCGCCATGAGAACAACGAAACACAGCGCACAATTCCGCGCAATCTTTTCAACTCCCTAGAGCAGCTCGCCCGCCTCGTGGACATCTCCTATTGCGTCGGCAGCTCAGGGATCCAGAAACCCTTCAAATGCCTAAGCCACTGCGCGGACTTTGAGGATCTGGAACTGATAGCCGTAGGTCTAGCTAATACTTCAGCATGCGATTACCGAAACTAAGAAACGATTCTTACTGTTCTTTCTGGGCTCATCTAGACATGGAACACGGGCATATTCCTCTCCGACTCATGCGGCTACATCGCGCTCTCGCACCCGCCCTCCCCGAAGCGTATCCTCGTCGCTTTCCGCGGCACGTACTCCATCGCCGACACGATCGTCGACCTCTCCGCCTACCCGCAAGCCTACGCGCCCTACGATCCCAAGGACGAACACCACGCCCATAACGAGCGACGGTCCCCGCGATGTCTCAACTGCACCGTCCACGCGGGGTTCATGACCTCGTGGCAGAATACGCGCGACACCATCCTACACCACGTCGCCGCGGCAAGGGAGCAGCACCCGGATTACGCGCTGGTCCTGATCGGTCACTCCCTAGGCGGCGCAGTCGCCGCGCTAGCTGGGGTCGAGATGGAGCTGCGCGGGTGGGACCCCCAGGTGACGACGTTCGGGGAACCGAAGGTCGGGAACGAAGGATTGGCCAAGTACATGGGTGAACTGTTCGGGCTGGGTGGGGATGACGGTGCGGGGGCGACACCACGTCCGTCGCTCCACGAAGAAGACCCTCAGGATCGACGGTGGAGATATCGCCGGGTCACTCATGTGGACGACCCCGTGCCGCTGCTGCCTCTGGCAGAATGGGGGTACGAGATGCATGCGGGCGAAATGTTTATTTCCAAGACAGGTCTTCCCCCGTCTGTTTCGGACGTCGAGTACTGCGAAGGCGCCCACGACCCGCGGTGTATTTCAGGCGTCGGAGAGGATAGCTTGACTACGGCTTTGCACGCGGCAGCAGTGACCCTCCAGGACGGGGAAGCTCGTCCCTCCGAGCAGGTAGTTCTCTCGAATAGACACGCCTCGCGGCCTGTGGCGTCCCCTGACGAGAGGCACGAGCAGCGTTCACAGTTCCAGCTGCCTTGGGACCTTACTCTCCCCAGATACCGACTATGGGGGCCGTTTTTCGCCCATCGGGATTACTTCTGGAGGCTGGGAGTATGTGTACCGGGTGGGGATCCGACTGGGGGGTGGAAGTGACTTATTCGTTGAAGTAACGTGTTCATTTGTAGTGATATGCGTATTGATCCATCAACTTTCGTTTAGAAAAGAGATAAGCAAGTAAACCGAGGACAACTCCATATCAAAGGTATCTATGATATTGGTCAAAAAAGAGACGAGCGAGTCACCAATAAAGAAAAATAGACCTTCGAAGGTTCTATAATTGAACGTGACGGACGTACATCATAACCGATGAAGTATATATCGCTGGTCAACCATGCATAGGCCCTACTGTATGATCTACTTGATGAAAGAAAGACAGAGGAGATAGACAAACTGAATTGGAAGGGGGAAAAGTTGGATATAAGAGTAACAATAAGAATGAAGGTGAAACAAAGGATATTGAGAAGGTTAAAAGAAGAAGATCAAAATGAAGAAGAAGATGGAGAAAAATAAGAAGAAGAAAGAAGAAGAAGAAAGAAGAAGAAGAATCAGAAGATATCACCATCAACAAGTGACAGTGACAGTGACAGTGACAACAACAAGGACGATTTTCAAGATCAAACACCCAAACCAACCCAAGTCAATCAAGCAAACAAGCGTGTCATCACTTCCCCAGCTCCAAGCTCGGCACAATAACAGGCCCATACTTAACCACACTCCCATAAGCGCCCTCCCCCTGGACCATAAAATCCGCCGCCAGATTCAGCTTCCCGCCATGACCCGGAAACGCCGGCCCATAACCGTTATTCACAGTCTCAGGATCATAAGCCACAATCGCGACATAATTGCGCCTCCCCATCAGCTTGCGGTGCTCACGGGCCTGGCCCGTCACATCAGACTGGAAGATCTCCATCATGTCCTCTTTGGTATCCGTTGGTTGGGAGGGCGTGGAGCGGTGGCCGTTGGCGGGGATGTAGATGGGCTTGTTGTTGTTGTGGAGGAGTTTGAGGATGTATGACGGGGGAGGGCTGTTTACCACTGCGGAGGAGATGAGCTGGTACATTGTTTTATGGTCGGAGGGGTGGCTGGGGTCGTGGACTAGGCCGGCGCCGCAGACGTTGACGGCGCCGGAGAGGAAGGTCATTCGGAGGGACTTTTGGTGCGCGATGCCCTGGAGGGTGCGGATGAGGTAGGTTCGTTCGAGGTCCTGTATCGTATTCCGTGATTAGTACGTTGTTGGTATGTGTGATCAGTACATAACCAGCACGTGTACGATCGGTACATGCGTGATCAGTACATCACACTATAGACTGGAATCTTCGGTTCCACAGTAAAAGACGTTGACATACCTTGGATTCATGTGTCCACTGATCTCTAAGCTCATCCATCATGTCAAACTCGCCAAAAGGACTCAATATACCACCCATGAGGCCAGACTTGCCCACGGCGCGCTTGACAGAGTCAAACCCAGAGCCCACCATATCTTTCGCGCCCACAACCCCAGCAACAGAGCTAGTGACCTTTCCCAGAACGTTGTATGCACCCGTGATGGCTCGTTTCCCCGAGGTCACAGTATGCGCAATGTGCTCTGCAGTCTCCAGCCGTGGGTAGATGACAGGCACGGAGATCATCCACAGACAGTGCTGTACGGACGGTGGGAGCATCGCTATCTTGGGGAAGATGCCTTGGTATGTTGGACCTGCTACCACTTGGTGTGGGTTTCGCTCGGACCGGCAGTCGACGCCGACGACTACTACTGCTGGTCCAAGGAACTTCACGAAGTGCCACCCTGTCCCGGTGATTGTGAACAGATCGGTGTCTGTGCTGACATTGCGCAGGATCTCCAGCGAGGTGTGGTGCTGGAAGAGCAGGTACATCTCGATTCCAACGCGCCCTATGTTCTTGAACATGTTGGAGAACTGCATGTGCTCGGGATAGGATCCGAAACCGTCGAATCTAAGTACGCAGATTGTCAGCAATTGTTTGATTGTTTCCATATAAAATCACCGAGGGAGAAAGACGAGGAACGGCCAGGGTCTGGAAACGACCGCGAGTAGCGTGCGAAAAGAAGAAACACTCACATATCATGATCATCAATCTGACAAATATAAGGAATCTGCGCAAACGACTCTCTCAAATAAGGCTGATCAAAATGGCTCGTATAGTAGTGGAAGTACGCTCGCGAGACATCCTCCTCAAGGGCAGCCGACCACGGCGAGGTTTTTCTCGCTTCCTTACCACTGATCGTAAGCCACTGCCTGAGCGAAGCGATTTCCTTCCACATGCGATCAGCATATATCTGCCCCCCGAGACAGAGCTGGGCATGGAAGCCTCCGATCTCGGTGTGTTTCTGCATGATGTCCTTCCACATGAAGCCCTCGCCGCCGACGCGGGAGCGTTCATTTGCGTTGATGTTGAGGGAGAAGTCGTTGCCGGAGGTTGTGACGAAGCGCCAGTTCGTCTCGTAGCGGCCTGCGACAAGGAACTCGTAGCGGGTGCAGCCGAGGTGGGAGGTGATTGCGTATGTCCATTTGGCTGGTCCTGCTTCGTCCATCTGAATGTCGAGCTCATACTTGTAGAATGTCCACCGCTGGTGGACGGCAATAGCGAGTGGTTTGAGCTGGCGTGGGTTGGGGGATAGATCCGCGCTCTGATGGGTATGAATCGTTGGGGGCTGTGGAGCGTCAGTGACTAGCAGGATGGACCCTAGCCATTTGCCACGCTCCACATCCATGTTGGCGTAGCGGAGGTATGGGCCAAAGTAGACGCCGTTTGTCGGCGCAACCTTGTACATGTCAACGCCACTGCTTGGCGGGGGCCGGTGAATCCGGCCACGACTGGGGATTGCAAGCTCTCAAAGCCCGGGGTCATGGGAAGCCCCGGGGAGGCCAGTGGTTTGCCAAATGCCGACAAACCAGGCGAGGTCAGGGGATGGCTGCTGTATATGCTGCCGACTGGTGACAAGGGCGTTTCGTTCAGGTTCAGCGGTGTCGGGCCCTTTGGGAATTCCCACTGCGTAGACTGGGAGGGAAGGTGGATATAATAGTATTGTCCCGAGTTGGGGTCCAGGTGGGCTATCCATCCCTCTGGGAGCGGCGGGGGAGAAGCAGGCGGAAGGCCCGTTGGCGAAGCCAACGCGGCAATCTGGGTCTGCTGGATAACTTGCTGGGGCTGTATGTCTTGCGCCCCGTTCGGTACGGCGTCTTGTGGGGAGTGGCCCTGGGGAGAGTGGCCCTGGGAAGAGTGGCCCATTGGATGTTGTTGCCTGGGATCGTTGGCAAACGCTGGATGATCCTGAGCTGAAGTCACCGGGACAGGGGCCATGTTTCCAGCGCTCATAGGGCCCATCATGGCTGGATGCACAGCATCAGGCACGGGCTGAGGTTGCTGAGCTGGCATACGTTGCTTTTCGTTCGGATACCCCTGGGGTACATTGGGACCTGAGACACTTGAATAGGCGGGCGGGGGCGAAGAGCTGATACGCATCCGGTCCAAGTCCTGCTCTAAAGCATTGGGTAGAACTCTTGAAGGAGTCTGGGCTTGCGCTTGCTGAACTGTAGTCCCGGTAGACTGCGGGGGATGAAAAGGAGACCCGGTAGACTGCGGGGGGTGGGACCCGGTAGACTGCGGGGGGTGGAAAGGAGTCCCGGTAGACTGCGGGGGAGGAAAAGGAGTCCCAGTAGACTGCGGAGGAGGAAAAGGGCTCGCGGGAGGGTCACCCGAGGAGACCACGCCGTCGCCCTGATAAACAGTGGGGGGGCCATGGGGCTGGGACCCCGGCTGTTCAGTTGGGGTCCAGGGGCGCTGGACCAGTTGCTGATTCCGCGGCTGTTGTCCAGCATACTGCTCTGCTCTTCTCTGCGCAGCGGCACTCTGAGCCTGCAGGCCCGTCAACGTTGAAGTTCCCGCGATTCCGGACGCAGCGTACCGCGCCTCGATGTCGGATGCCGGTTGCTGGCCAGGTTCAACGATGGGAGTCTCGGGGGGTGGAGGGGAGCCGCGCTGGGCTCGGGTAGTAGAAGTGGACGCCGTTGAACTGATTCTGTTAATGGGGTGTGTGGCTGGCTGTAGATGTTGCCCGGTCGGCGGTCTCGGAGTGGACGCCTGAGGGGGAGGATAATATTGCTGACGGTAATCCGGATATGCAGATCCCTCAGCCTGAGCGTGGCTGGTCGAGGCCGGCGGCGCTGGAACGCGCTGATACTTTCTCGCAAACATCGCTTCCCGGTCCGGCATGTCCCCGGCAGGTGACTCGGGGAGAGGCTTGGGCACGTTGCCCGCCGTTCAGCCAGCGTCACCGGTTTCGGTTCGCGACCTTCCCTCGACCGGAAGGCCGTAGGATACTCCCAAGGCTTCGATGCGCCAGGCCCAGGGACCGTAGGCGAGTCCCCCTGGTAGGCCCCGGGCGAGCCAGTAGATTCCAGACCATGAAGCGGTGCATATCTTGGACGGTCATCGGGGTATGGAAGAGGAGAGTTATGCGAAGCAGGCGGCGGGGAATGATTCTTGCTGATTCGCAGCGGACCGACAATGGGCGACTCGGCCTGCGATTGCCCAGGGTCGGAGAGGAATAATTCCCCTTGTTCAGGGTGATGGTTGGGATTCATGATTGATTCCCGGGGTTTGCTCTATGTTGTTTTTGTTTCATCGATGTCAATCGGTGTCAATCGGTGTCGATTTGAAAGTGGTTTATAGCTCTCCTCGAGTACTAGAGAGCAAAGGCAGACCGTGACCGTCAGTCGTCGCGTTCTGTACGAGTGCGGGGAAAAGGACGAGCGTGATCAATATATAATCGATCACCACGCCACCGAATGACTTACATCAATGACGAATTAGAGAAAGTTTCAGCAGAAGCGCCGGAGCTCTGACACTGCGCTCTTTATCTCCATCCTTGTATGACAGACCGTGAGAAAGGGAGGGTGAAAAAGGAGGCAGGCAGTACCAGGTGGGGGGGGGAAGGTGATGAATGATTGATTGATCTCGGTCTGGACGATTAGCCGCCGGGGAGGAATCACTACGCGACACTAGACAGTCCTGCGTAGTATGGACTCATGCGACCCGGGATCATCATTGGCTGCAGTCAGAAACAAATCGTCTGGGCATCAGGGAAGGAGGGGGTCCTGCAGGTGGCCACTTATTTAGTTTGTCCTTAGCAGCAAATTACTCAGGGTGTGATTGTCTCTGCCTAACGGTTGTTCTCTCCGTCGTGGTGAGGATAGAGTTCCTTACAAAGCTAGAAGAGTCATTATATTGTTTGTACTCGGTTTTCTTCAGCCTGACTATCCATTTCATTTGTCTAACCACCCCATTGTCTTTAGGTTCCTCGTGAAACCGAAGCATGGACCACAGTGGATCGGCCCGCAATTGGGAGCAAAAGAGGGACCGTGGATCACAGTCCCACCAACAATTCCCACCAGAGGAAATCGAAGGAAAGGGGAACTGGAGATCGGAGACTCACAGTAGATACTACGATCCCCGTCTTCTCAAAACGGACAATAAGGAATAAAATTAAAATAACATAGACGTATACCGTTATATAGATCATATACATACATACAAACCCATCTCCGCCCACCCTGGAAATTACATAGATCGTCGTCTAGATCTAGTCACAATCCCTCGCCTCCTGTCATCATGCATAAAGTGTCGATTGGGTGTCCTGTCCCGACAACAGGTCCATCCAATCCACCACCAACGTTTGAGTGCCATCCTCGGCCTGCTGCATCTGTCGCTCATACACGAGCTGGAGCATGTAACAGGTCGCTGCAGCCCGGTATCCCATTTCCTCCTCTTCCAAGATGGAGAGCAACTCCCACGCCCGGATCTTGAGATCACCCCACGGCGCGCCCACCCCGGCGAGGAAGATCGGGAAAATATGCAGGTGCCGGTCACTGTCGCCGGTCGTAGACGCCATGGCTTCTACAAGGCGAAGAATCATGGTTGCATGATGCTGCATCTCATGGTCGGCGGTCCCGTTGAGCTCGCTGCCCTGTTCCGGCCAGAGACTAGTATATGAAAAAAGTATGGTCGTGTGAAAGACGATTGAGATCTGGACAGTCATCATTAGCATCTCGAACAGAGAATGGAGAACGTTGTCGACTAGCCTGGTGAAATATTTCTCGCAATCGCTTGGGTAGAGTGGCTTGATTATGAACGAGGTCAAGCGCTTCGGGAGAATTCCACAGTTGTCGAAGTGCTTGACGTAATTCCTCCATCTCCTGCAGCCGTTGGCCACCATGCGGACTCGGGGATAGAGACCGGAGGCGCCTCAGTTCGGCGGCTGAGAGCCCAAGCTGCACAGCCAGAGCAAAATGTTCCTGGTACAAATGGAGCAGGACTCCCTGGAATCCATACATATCTGACTCGTCAAAGACGTGGGAATGCTCCGAACTGGAAAGTAGACCGTTCCCAACCGCTGCCTGGACAAACTCGCCTGCTCCCGCGCCGCTCAAGAGAGAATATAGATCAATGTGGCAGACCCACCAGACAATGGACGAGAACCGCTCGCTACCAAATGTACAGCGCCGAAGAAGGGCCAAGCGGAGGATCCGAGAGATGTGATGCTGCGAAATGATCAAATCGCTGGATTTCGCGGCGGCAGTCTGCAGTGGATCAGTTAGCCTGGCCTGTGTATATCACTCGTGCGTAGGCATATATACGAAAGCGAGGCCCGTCCAAGCCATCCCATCGCTCGAACCTTACCTCAAAGACGAGAATCAAAAAATGCGCCAGGAAAGGGCCATCGGACAAGAGTATCTTATCGTCTGACATGCTGGCCTGTAACGACGAAAAGGCTTGTTGACAATACAATGATGGGTCTGTATGCTGGTCTACCCCTTGACGATAGAGGCTGAGTGCAGATATCGCCATCATGGCATAGAGAAGCTGTTATAGTGATAAGCACCTGGCCTTCCATCTCCCTGAAACGAACGTCCCAAGGAGGTCTGGAGATGATCCACTTACTGGAGGAAACTCGGCTGCTTCTTGATCAAAGACATCTGCGTTGATCTCATAACCGCTTGGGCTCTCGAAAATGCCAGCCCAGGGAATGATTTTCCTCCACGCCGCAGTGCGGAAATGGTCCAGCAGGAAGATCTCATGTGGTTGTAAGGGGCACGGCCTGTCTTCCTCTGTCAAATCCGGAACCGTCGTATAAGCCGAGACTGAGGATAAGGACGATTCCCTCAGATCTGAATTAGGCGAGTGGGGCGAGTTTCTTGGACTTAGGTACGGATTTCCCCTCGCGTCTCGAAAGCTTCTGAGTATTAATACGTTGGGATCGCTCACTTCGGAGACATTCGCCGTCAAACGATTGCTGCCGCTTCCGGGTTCAGGGCTGGAAGATAGATCCTTTGGTCCATCGGGCTCGTGCTCGGCGTATTCTGGAAGATCAGAGAAACTTGCTGGGACGCAAATGACGTGATACGTTCCGGGAACCGACGACTGTGCCTTTTTCTCCCGTTCTTCGTCTGACGCGAGCATTTGAAAAGGGGGCAGCACATCTAGCGTGAATGTGCCTGCCGAAGTATCCGTGTGCGCAATCGACGAGGGAGCTGCCAATGAGTTAGGATACGTTAGCCTTGCCTGCTCATTGAAATCGTAGGCAGGTAGGAGAAGAGTCGAGGAGTATGGGCGCCTCACAATCCCAGACGGCATTTCCTGTAGTGTCAATATCCGACATGCGTTCCCTCACTCGACGGGTATCGTCCCGGAAGCAGAGACGCGGCTGGTAGTCGCAGAGGTGACCGAGCCGTGCGCATTGCTGATCAACATAGAGTTAGGGAATAAATGGATAGAAGAAAGGGAATGAGGCCGTACATTGCACTGGGGGTGGGTTTCGTCACATTTGACTGTAGCAGAGGTGACCTAGTTAGCCAACAAATGGAGCCCTTGCTTGAAAGGTGACTGCATCTCAACCTACCTTTCCGACTCTAGCCTCACAAGCGCACATGTCAGCATGTCATGAAAATATCCTCGGGCCTTCCCATGGGGTAAAGGGCTGGCTCACTCTACATGTCCTGGAGTAGAAAGTCACATTAGATCTAGAACTGTGAAAAGCAGTGGAACCGGGGGATAGGTAGCAGACATACCAGCAACCGGAGCGAGAACGCGGGGGAAAGCGCAAGCGAGAACGGGGAATCGAAGCTTTAATCAAGGCCGGTATGGAGAGCGCCGAGCTCGAGGCATGAATGTCATCTTTGGGGGCAATGATGGGCAGTCGCAGAGGGAGTTGTTTCCTGGCGGAACCCCGCCGGTTTGACATCACCAAAGTTCGTCCTGTCATGGGAATAGCGGGGCTGATCCTCTATTTGGCGCTGATTAGGGAATCGCACACGGGGAACGGAAGAATCGTAGAAATCTCGAGTGATGGGAGGGGAAAGAAGGAAGACGGTGGGCCGCCATTCCTCACGAACGGAGCGTGATAGAGGGGATGCAACCCATTTTAGCGGAGTGGACCAAGACAAAGTGAGACATACACATATTCTTCCTCGAGGCGAATGATTAGGCAGGGACCGAAAGGGGATAGTAAAATAGGAGAGAAGTGGCTGATTTGCGCGCAAACCAGAGAAGAGATCGAAAGTATCCAAAGATGATTGACAGCAGAGCTAAGAGTGAGAGGGGAAGAGAGAAGAGAGAAGAGGGGAAATCAATAATTGGGAAAAATAAATAAACATAAAAAGAAAAAGAAAAGCAGGGGAAGATCCGGCCCAGGAGCCGAGAGGAGGAAGAGAAATAAGAAAAACGCGCCGAGGAGAATGAAGTGAGGAGAGAGAGAGAGAGAGAGAGAGAAGCCTCAAGGTATCAATCAGCCAGCCCTGGCGCTGGTGGCGGACGAGAGTCAGAGAGTCCAAGAGTAAGAAGAGTCTAGGGCACGAAGGCAAATGATCATATTTTCCAATACGACATGGGAAGAAACGAATCAGAGAGAATCAGAAAGCGTGGCCAACGTGCATTTGGGCTGCCAATCTCACCCACATGGCCCGATTGTTCGGATGATTTGCTCAGACACAAAGAAGGGGAATAGCTCGGTTTCTAGCTGGATAGTTAGTCGATTCCCTAGTAGTCTGCTAGGAAGTGGACGGAGCGTTCCGAGCTGCAGGTGCCAACCATGTGTTTCCAGGACGGTTGACGGGTAAGAGCTCCGTGGATTCATTCCTAGATTTAGTACGAATGGTTTTAGGGGAGTAATTGAGAAAAGGGGAGAGAGGGAGAGATAGAGAGCCCAAAGAGTGGTTTCTACAGCTGGGATAGAGAGTATCAACTATGCTCAGTCTTGTATAGTAGAGTTGTGGGGATTTGCGCGATCGTCACTGTCAGGATCGCAGTTTATTCTCCGGTGGGTACGATCATCCCTCTTTCTACTCTTCTGGTAGGGGCATCTTGATAAGATCGGCATGTACTTCCCTGTCTACCATATTGTTTCTCTATATCCTTTCCATCTTCCTTTCACCATCACCTATCCATAAACCAACATCGTCAATGGATAGGGTTCCACAGAATCTGCAGGAACTAGTACTAAGCCTGATACATCCCCACTATTGAACGTCTCTCCCTTGGTCCGAATCCGAAATTAGTGATAATAGACAACTGGTATGTTCGATGTTTGCCATACTTTTCTACCCCCCTCAAAACACGTGGCAGACAATTCGGTTATTCTCAATTAGTCTCCCAATACCCCAATATAACTGGTAGCGAGGGTTGGCGAGGCTATAGAAAACCAGGAATATCCCACAGGTCAAGTGAGACCGGCGACCCCGGTGAGTGAAGAGGGAGTCCAGTCAGTCGAATCAAACCGGTATAAGATAAAAAAAAAATAAAAACAACACCAACATCAAAACAGAAGAAGAGAAATCTCGGAGCCGACAAGGACCAAAATAGATCCCACCAATCTCATAACCCTAAAGACGTGGACGGACCGCAAGTCCGGCTAGACTCATCCATCCTGGCCCACCGGCGACCACTCCCCAACACGGCTTAGTATGGAACGCGGAAAAAGGATAACTGGGACTTGGCAGGTCTGGTCTGAGTCCTGCCCTGGTTCTTTGACTCCTCCCCCGCTTGAACGTTCACCATGGATTGAGTCTACTCCCGCGGAGAAGTTGGAGGTGGGTTGTTCCCTTCTAAGTATGGTTTGCGAGGTCTATAGAGAGAGTGTGTGTATACATGGATTTGAATTGATGCATCGCCTTCGAGTTGTATTGCCCCCATCCTGTACAGGCCTAGTGCATTACTGACTGAAATCAGTCAATGCGCACATTTACCGCCACAAGGTTCGCCATGAGAGGAATCAACTGGATGGGTCGACCGTTTGGTCCACTAGCGAGACTGCAACTATTGGGGCTCTAAAGGTTAGTACGGATTCGGTACGGGCCCCGGTGTACCTAGTGATCACGCTGCGTTCCTTGGAAATGTTCGCAGCGGCAGTCTCCACTGCCAATTTTACCGGGTGGCGAGCATGCTTAATGCCTGATCTAGAACCTGCTGCACGGGCCCAGATCGTTCTCCCTCCCTCCACGATGGAACCATCCGGGCGATGGCCCCATCGACCTCGAACCCAGCCTGCCTGCAGAGCGTGATGTACGCGACTGCAGCCTGTGCCCGTCCTCGGCGAATCCCCTCGACCGATGCATCAATCTCAGCAGAGAGCAGCGCGCCCACTAGCGCTGCCAAGGGCCCTTGCAGCTCGCCTACACTGCTCTCCTGGTTCCCTTGCTTTGTGATCCACGTGTTCAAGTTCTTTTCCAGGTTGTCCAGCTCCTCGTAAAGGGTCTTTTGCACGTGCCGCCCACTTTGCTTCAATGCCGTAGAGAGCACTCGCGTCACCTCGTCCAGATAACCTTTCATGGCTGTGATAGTGATGAGCATGCGGTCAGAGCGCCAAATTGCGGTAGACTTACCCCCTGATGGAATCTGCAAGGCGAAATTGAAGCACTGTAGAAGACATTTCACACAAGCCGCCAATGTGTCGTCCACGATTTTCCTTCCAGCAGTTAGTAGAAGCTCGGTAGACAACCTTGCGACTAGGGTACTTACTTGGAATTGGACGCATTCCCCGAATCAACGTCCATCAAGTCGTCTTTGTCCTCGAGATTTTCTACGACCTGAGACACGACAGCGATAGCATCGGGCATCAGATCAAGGTCTTTGCGACCTTGTGACACCCCACCCAACGCCGCCAGACCGAACGGGCGATACGAGGCATTGTTCCGTTTTGCCTCCCTGATCGTAATCGTCTGCGTTCCTTCAATTAGCCTTTGAAATACTACACACGAGAGGCGCTCGTCATAAAAGTGCTCACCTTCATCATTTCACTAGCCTTTGGGTTCGCTTGCCACAATGCCTTTGCTTGGCTGGAAAACTTCACAAACGCCTCCAGCACCGTCTCCTTGCCCTCCCATGTCTTCCCAGACAAAGCCTGCACAAGAACAGGCCACACCATCTCGCTGGTCGCGAGATCAATCTGAGGATCCAACGCCATGATGGCATGGGCCAGGCCCAGCGCAGACGTATGCTTGATGGCCCAACTGGGCGAGTCTAGGTTGCTGGACACAAAGCTGGTGATCTCCTTGATATAGAGGGACACAGCGCGGTTACCGCCCACGTTATCTTGCCACGTCTTCTCGAAGACTTTGTTGACATGTTCATCTCGATCGTATTTGGCAACGAAGACGAATGGCAGAGCCGTTGCTGCAAACGACATGAATCGGTCATTAGACAACTTCGAAGCCGAGTGAAGAATTTCGGCGGATATGGCTCGCTGGTTGGCGTCGTCGGCCGTCAGGAAGAGTTCCTTGGCATAATTGATGGTCTTCAGCACGAGATCATCGGAAGCCAGGCGCAAGAGGTAGCCGATGGACGCGCAGTAGGATGCACTGACGGTGTCGTTTCGGTCAACGACGTACTTGCTCAGGAGCTGGACGAAGCGGTCCGCGTAGGGGCGGAAAAGGAATGTTCGCATGCTCAGGAGCACCAGAACACGGCTGCATCCGACCTTGGACGGAAGCCCAACTGCCGATCGAAGAACGCCCTCCAGTCTCGTGGCAAATTCCTTCATGCTGGTTTCGTCTAGTGCGTCGACCAAATATCGCTCGATCACTTCCATCATAGGGGAGGTGCGGATACTGGAAAGTCTCATCTTGTCGATCTCTTCGCTCGTCAATCCATACTTGTCCGCGTTCAGATGAACGTAGTTGACAGCCTGTGGTTCCAGAGAACTCAGGCAGCTCAGGAACTGCTCCATTATTTGGGGAATAAACGGACGCAATGGCCCACCGGGGCTCTTCTTGATCATTTGGATCAGAGCCCCAAGAGCAAACCCTTGGACCTCCTGGACACCAGATTCTATGCCTTGCTCGCTCAACAAGAAGGGAATGGTGCTTCCCAACAGCGTATTCGCGCGTTTAGTGTTTCTGTCGCTGGTTTCCAAGGTGCGAATCACTGAATTGGTGATTGTCTGGCAAAGTTTGAGGGCGGAGTTCCGGACCGTCTCTTTGATGTCATCCAAAAGCTTGAAGGCCTTGGTGAAGATCTCATCGAGGTATTTAGAGTATCTCTCTGGCTGACGTCCATGAAGCAAGTCCGCAATCGCGGCACAGCTCGCTTGTCGTGCGCGCCATTCCCGACCGCTCAGCATGCTTTTAAGTAGGTCTTCCATGATCTGGTCGAAATGCTCATCGACCACCTCAGTGGGATCTTTGACCAAGGCTAGCCAGATCGTGTTCATGGAGCGCTGCACGTTCGGATTAGGGTCGAACCGGTACCGGAACAATTTTGGGTAGATTTTCGGATTCTTGGCCAGATAGCCATTGACACTCGAATCGGAGAATATGTTGCTGATACCGAGCTTGCTGAAAGCCGAACGATTGGTCCAGAGCGCATTGTTGGAAGCCAGAGACATAAACCGGTATACAAGCGTTGGATCGCCAGCTTCAGCAGCGAGATTCATGATGTCTTTGTAGGTGTTGACCGATGACCCGCCGCCAGTGGGAAGGGCTCCTGGCTCAAAGAGCTCTGTGTCTTCGTTCACCTTCCCTCCTGCAAGGCTCGAGCCGGTTGCTGTGAAAGAAGCCACCAAGTCACGCACCAAGTCATCCTTCAGTGCCTGATCACCAATCTCGTATACTAGGCCGAGACCCTGTGCGCCCGTTTCCTGTACCAGCTCATCTCGATCCCCAAGCAAACCGGCGAACCTGCTCTGGCATTTGCGCAAGCGAGATTGTATCTCTTGCAAATGACCACAGTTCTTGACCAGACACAAGAGCCAGATACTAGACGCTTTTCTCAGAGAGGGCTTAGAGGCGCTGCAGTCCGCTATGATCTTGTCGCATATAGTTGCAAGCACCGATAATGGGACCGAGGAACTGGGCACCTCTTCATCGACATCGAAGTCCGTGGTCAAGGATTTCGAATTCCACCCGGCCGCAGAGCTACTCAACGCCTCGCCAATTGAGAAGTGAACTTCAGGACTGCGGATTTCATGTAGATCATAAAGAGCATCAAGTAGTTCTCTGAATCTTGTATTGTCGTGTCCGTCCTTTGAAAAAGGCAACGTCAGAAGCCCGATTGTTTTGATAGCCGCCTCGTTTTCGGCCTTCGCATCGGTTACCAGTTTGTCTTTGATAGCCACCCATCTCTCGTCAGATAGTAACTCGGTTGGCAGAATTCCAGAAAGACTGATCTGTCCGAGCGCAACTTGAGCCGATCGTCGGAGAAGAGAGTCGCGCGAGGTTTCGATTATGTCAAAGACCACGCCAAGATAGTCGTTTAGCATGGCCTCAGATAGCTTACCAGCCATCTTGCGGAATGCAAGCCTGCTAAACAAATATGACAATCCAAGTACAGAGCCCCGGACCTTAAGCACCTCTTCGCCAATGGCGGATCTCCACGGTCCCAAAGGACCCGACATAGTAGCAACGAGTCCATTCAAACTGTCCTCAGAAAATGCAGGGTGAGAGGCCAAGATGCCCGTGGCACGAGCGGCGGTGTCCTGAACTGCCTGGTCGGTACTATTCAACGGTTTGCTCAATGACAGTACTTGGGGAACTAAAGCCCCAACTATATCGTCCGACGCCAACGAGCAAACACTGACAAAATAATCGCCGCAGTGTCGTAGGCTTTTTCTACCCTGACCAGCAAACCCTGATAAGGCGCCCGCTAAGAATAGCAATACGGCCTCTTTGTCTGAAACCCGAGTGTATTGTTTCACCGCACCCCGAGCTTGTTCATCGGACGTGAGGAGCACATCGAGCTTCACATCCCAGTCTTGCTCTATGTTCATGCTGATATTAGCTGCCAAGAATGACTCCGAGAGTAATATGTTCCGCAAAAATTCAATCGTAGGCGTAAACGACTTGTAGGGTCCCGACAATATCTGAGTCGCAGAAAGCCCGGGCACCCCATTTGAGTCCGTGGAACCAAGTAAAAATCGGGCCGCATCAGAGAATCTTGGGAAATCAGACCACCGATCACTTGAGCTGGTGATTTCGGGAGCAGAAGACTGTTTCTTCGTACTGGGGTTCAGAAGCCGATACCAGTAAGGGTGCAGACCCTTTCTTCCTTCTTCCGTGATCTCTTGTAGCTTGTCTGACCCTTGGGAAACGGCCATGAGATCAATCCACCGAGCCACAACGTCGCTGTAAGGCAGGAACCTATTGGCAAAACGCACTGTCGCATAATGAGAACCGCGAACGAGTCTGTATCCGGTGTTTGGATCATCTACCCCAGGAATATTGCTCATTTGTTCAACCAGGAAGGGACGCAGCTTCTCTTGGAGACTTTGGTCCAGAGTATCCACCGAGGAGTTCAGAATGCTTCCCAAGGCTTGCTCAATACTGACAAACATTTGAGGACTCGAATCATCACAGCTCAAGGATGTGAAGAGCCATCTTATAAGGTCGAAATCCGAGAAAGCATCCTCCTCATCCTTCAATTGAAAATCGACCTTCGGAACCAAGATACCGATACTTTCGTAGGCGAGACCTCGCAAACTCAGATCTGTGGAAGGGAGCCTTTGTCCAGAGGCTCCGGGGCTTGGCCATCCCTGCGACTGAATGAAATCCATCAATCCTGCGATAACCTTTGGCGCCATCTTTTTGAGAACGGATGGCGACCCCATGCGAACCACCCATGTCGTGAAGGTGAAGATCTGAGTGCGCAACTTTGAGGCTTGCAGCCCCTGCGAGGACCTTGCGGTGTCGGATAGGAGGCCCTCTTCTATGAGTCTAAGTACTCGTTCAGGCTCCCTGGTAGCCTGAATCGACTTTCCAAGGACCGATAAAAGTTTGATTTGCAGAGCAGTGCGTGCTGGGGGCGCACCATCGGAGGACCCTGTTCCAAAATACAGCGTATACAGCTCGTCGACGACATTGGCATCTTCAAGATTTGGGATGAATCTTTTCAAGATCTCCTCGCCCAAGTCCGAGAGTCGCGAATTGGCATCCGACGATGCGATTAGAGCTGGAAAAAAGCGCTCTGAATCCGTGAACGCTGCGCTTGAGAGGAATCTCAAACTGGTGACTTTGGTCTCTGTGAGGTTCAATCCCCCGCTTGAAGACGGGTCCCATGCCTCGGCCACAGGTGCATCCCTGTTCAAGAAAGCGTACTCTGCAGGGGATAGTCCCGGGCAGGTAGTGGAGTTCTTATCCGCGGGGGAAAGGATAAGGAGCTTTTTGAACCAGGTAGACAAAAAGGCGGTATCCTTGTCAGAAAGGCCTAGGCGCTCCTTAAGCTGCAGATCATCCTTACTATCTCTTGGGGGAAGCTTAAGCAGCGGTAATAGTCGCAAGACAAGGTTGAACACAATGGCAGCTTGGTTCGGGGATGTGCCTATCTCCGAGATCCCCTGAAGCAGTGGAAGAAGCAATTCGATTCTCGCGTCATGGCCCAATCGATCAATACCCTGCTGAAGGTATACCAGATCAAAGTGCCTGATAAGTTGAGATTTCTGTTCCTTGAACTGCTTCAGTAAAGCCGTGACAGGGAGCTTAATGGACGGTGCTTGAATCCGAGTGTTAATATGCTGGCACACACTGATTATTTTATTGCGAACCGCAAGACTTTCTGATCCAAGCTTCAGCAAAAGAGGCGCCAGATATGTATTGAGCAAGAAATCAAGCTTTGCATCTGTGTCTGCCAGGGCAATCCTCAGCTCCACCTTTGATATTAAACTCAACTCGCGGGCCTCGGGACTCGCTGACGTGGAGTCTGAAGCCATATCCTCCGAGGGTCAACAAAGGGATCAAATTGAACAACTCAAAGCATTGGACCTAAAGAATTGGCGAGGGTAGATGAATTTTGGTTAAGAGGAGGAGATGAGAATCTAGTGAATTTATAGCATCCCTCACGCTCCAGGTTGAAGATGCACTCACGTCATTAGGCAGAGTAGAGCTTATGAGGCCGCGACGCTAACTCACTAACATCCCGCATTATTAGTCATTATATGCATACCAGTGCACAATTCATTACAAATCCGGTCAATTCACAGAAGACAAATTTGATTACAGTGCAGTTGTAACTTGAATAGCTTAATGTCTATTTGAAACAACGAATAAACACAGAAAACATTTGGCAACATATACACGTATATTGATTCATTGCGTGGAGGAAAAGTTTCATAATCTCATTCATGTATCGTAGTATGACTGAGGCGCTATCATCTAATATCAATCAAAGAGCAAACAAACGTAGTAGATATCAAGTACAATCGCCATCATGGAGGAGTGGGGTCAGTCCGCCGCGATTCTGCTGCTTCTCCTCTGAGGAACCTTGCCACTTCCCTGTGGGCATTGTCTGAGCCATATAATGCTTCCTTTGTCTTGCTTGTCCTGCCAAATAGACACTGCCATAGATCGTCTTTCTTCACGATTTCTCCTCCCGAACCTCCAGCAATCAGCTTAGACAGTGGGGCATCTTGAATCTCCGAGGAATTTGCTGAGTCGATAGCGACTTCGGTGACAGCAATATCCTTATCCGTACCATCTGTCGAGGACACTGTAGAATCGGTGACATGCTTTTCGAGGGCCTTGTCATCTTGCTGGGACATGGTTGAGTGAGACTCTCTTTGTCTTTCCTTTTGGATAATGTGATCCTGGCGGCGAGATACGGAGAGTTCGTAGATCGATTGCTCGACGGTATCTGAAACCAGATACATCCAAACCGTGGTAGGTCGGCGTTGACCTATCCGATGCACACGGGCTATTGCTTGAAGCTCGATTGCCGTATTGACCAGCGGTTCGCAGAGAAATACATGGGTAGCATTGACAAGGTTAAGACCGGATGACTGTGCTTCGGCGTGCAAAAGAAAACATTCAACCTGAACAATGCTGTCAGTACATGGCCTCGCGGCCTTCGAGAGAGAAAACGGGAAGAGCGGGGAGAAATTATACCGAGGGATCAGTCTTGAACATGTGTATGCCGTCTTTGTTATCAAAAGTGCTATATCCAATCTGGAATTTTTTGAATGCCGATCCGAGGATACCAAGAAAATACCTATATTGAGAAAACACGACAGATTTCGAACCGGGGTCATGCTCGCGCAGCCATAAGATGTGACGCGCCAGGGTGTCGATTTTGGTACCAAAGGAGCTATCGAGGTCGATATTCTTGATTTCGCTCAGTGTCCCAGAGCTAATGTCGGTGTATATAGAATTCTTTCTGAGGCGTTCGGATCCCATCTTCATAGGGGCCTTTTCTTCTTCGGCGACAAATTCCTGGGGTTTGTAGGTGATCTGATGGAAATCGTTCGCTTTTAATCGCTTTTTGCATGTTGGACAAGTCCGACTTCGACTCCACCACAACTGTAAACATTCTTTACAGTATTTGTGTCCACAAACCGTCAAGACTCCTACGAGTTGTTAGACGAGAAAGAACCAAATACTTTTCAAGGTAAAGGCTGTTTGTACGTACCAATTTCAAACCCCGACTGGCATATAATGCATATCCTAGAGGACTCGTCCGAGCCAGATTCATCTCGCAAGTGTAGAAGGTAGCGCAGTTTAGCCTTGAGTGAAGAAACCTTTTCCGCAGTTATGCGCTCTTGCTCCAGTTGAGCAGCGAAGACCGCTTCATTCAGCGGCTTTCCGACACTCTCTTCGTCATATGGGGCGACAGTATCTGAAATTCGCTGTAATTGGCGATAATACTCCAAACGGTGGTTCATTGTGTCCCGAAACATCTCCACTTCCTTGCTCAAATTCAAGGCAGCCTTGGTTTGCTCGGATGCCATATTGCTAGCATGTTTGAGTACTAAAGTGACAAGCCCCAGCTCAGCACGAGCTCGCGAACTGCCCTCGTTCGCCTGCCACTCAAGGGAGGTGGTAAGGCTACGAAGTTCGCTGATGATGCCCCGAAGCGAACCGAGCTGGGGTTCTGGCTTGATATCACTACGAGCATTCATAGTCTCCAGATAAAGCTTCGGAGAAGGGCCTTCGCCTTTTTGTGCTTGGATGATGCCCATTTTGACCTCATGGGCGATTAGAGTATTTTTCTGTCCGGTGAGAGCATCATTCCGATCGGCAAACATGGCACGCAGAGCTTCCATGTAGACATACATCTCATCTTGAAGTTTCGTGGATTTTTCGTACTCGTCGCCTTCGAGCTCTGAGTCGTCTTCCTGGTCTATCAATGAGCGTGAAAGCAGCTTTATCATAATCTGACGCCACATATCGTATTGCACAGCGTGCCCGTTCAAAGCCTCACAAAAATCTTCGAATCTGTCGAGAACCCGACGTGATTCTAAACCACTGCTATAAAGCTCAGGGTTCATCTTTGGAATTTTCACAAACTGTTGTGTTTTTTGCTTTTCTCTGATTTTCCTCATATAACGGCTTGCCTTTCTCGAGACATCAGCTAACATCTCTTTTCTGATGAGTTTCGCAGTTTCATATGCTTCCATTTCGGACTTTTCCAAAGACTTAAACTTTTCGGTATCAGGCGTGGTAAGGTTTGGATCCGTCTTGATTTGGTAGTAGGCATTTGCAGTGAAGAAAACGCAAGTATGCTGAACGTCGAGGGCAAAACGCAGTCTTTGGCGGTATGTACCTACGCGAGTGTTCTTCTCCATCTCATTGCCCTCATTGTCGCTTATTTCGGCCGATGCGCTGTCGTCATCAACCTTCGGGGTTCTAATTCCATTTTTTGCACATTCCGAGTTCAGCCGTTCTCGACATTCCTCGACAATGGCATTTGCCCTCTCCAATGACTTGGTCCACACGTCAAGAGCCTCCTGTCGGTGCAGAGCATTCTCTAGTAATTGCCCGCGGCGTGCTTGGGACAACAAGAGAGTACGCTCCTCTGCTTGAGCCAGTGAATCGGTTTGATCGATCATGACCTCGAGAACTTCATTCACAGATCGTAGAGGGCCTCCTGTGCCTAGTCCTCGGCGGTGATTTCCCCCAGGGTGAAGGCAAGTTTGTCGAAGTCTAGCAAGCCAGCTTCTCATCTTTTCAATTACCGAAAAGTCATCAGGGTTCCAGTCATCGGTAACGGGAGCACCCGTATAATCAAGACCACATTCTTCGCACATTTGCTCGAACAATTGCCCGTACCGCTGCTCTTCAACTGCAGTAAAAGGAACTGTGAGAACGATTCTCTTTTGAGGCGGCAGTCGAAGCTCATCCCGAACGTTATCTTTATTGTGCCTGATTGCAGTGCTGTGGACTATTTGCGCTAGTGTTGGTTTGAAGAAGTGACATAATCTGTTCCAAACTCCACAGAATGGCTCATAGTGGAGGAAAAGCAAAAGTCCAAGCAGGTCGGTAATATCTCTGCGAAGAGGAGTTCCGGTCACTGCCCAAGCATTTTGGCAAGGAATCAAACGGGCAACCTTTGCTGCGTTACTGACTCCAGTTTCAATCATTTGAGCTTCGTCAAGGCAAACCCTCCACCAAGAGATCTGAACCAGGGGTGATTTCCTTGGTTCAAACCTTTTTTCGTGCCGTAGATCTCGTTTTGGGGCATCTCCAGAATAATGGACCTCTCGAGCAAGGACATTGTAAGTAGTGAGTACGACATCGTGATCCACAAGAAAGTTGACTAACTCTTGATTAGACATCGTCTTGTGCCGCTGGATACCTTCATAATGAGTTACGCGGAGGCCTGGTGCGTGCGACCGGATCTCTTGCTCCCATTGTTCGAGGATTGCGGGAGGGGTTATAATCAAAGTCGCCCCCGATGGTTCCAAGCCGCCATTCGAACCGTTCAAACCCATGTCAGAACTCAGTGGACGCTTGTTAAGGCAGATCAAACTGATCATCTCAACTGTCTTTCCTAACCCCATCTCCTCGGCTAAGATGCCCCCCTTAAGATACTCTCCCGCGTCGTACCAGTTATGGAGGTCAGTGGTGGCAACTAAAAACAGATGGCTCGAAAAGCAGACACGTCCGTCTGCATCGGTGAACGTTTGGAATGAAGTAGGCAGCGAGCCATTCAATGGGCGCCTGGAAGGAAGCACTCGGCCATCCGATTGAAGCGCCATGCCCTCCCTTTGCAGAAGCCATCTAACTGCTCTCCTTTGGAATGGAAAAAGTTGGCACTCGATCATATGGCATTTTATCTCCTCCGATGATTGTGGGGTTATTGGTGGGACATAAACGTTCTGGTAGAAATCATGTGGCGACCAAGAAGACTCTGACGATTTTCGGTTGCGCGACTGGGACCCTCCTATTGGCGTAGTATCATCACCTTGCAAAGCATACTTGCAAAATACACGATAATGTTCTTGTGTCAGACGGCGTTGTTGTAAGATTTCAAGAGAATCTTTCCAAAGCAATGTTGTTTCGAGGCGAAAGTAACTGTTTTCGGGCAGATAGAAAAGCGTAGAAACGTAACATGCAGCTGGCACTTTGGTGCCATATCGATCACCGCAAGGAAGACCACGGGCGAGCTCCAGGTTCTCTCCAAACTTGACTAGTTCTGGATCACTAGACGTGATGTCAAGAATTACCTCTTTAGTCGATACAGTCGCCAACTGTAGCTTGAAACAGTCACTCGAGATCTGCCTAGACCCTATACGGTGGGAGTTAGGAGTGGCCCCGTGAGAACTCTCTGCAACTTCGATGGAAACAGCGATGGGGCTTTCAAAACCAGGTGGCAACGAGACAGTGTGCGCGAAGTCCTATACAGAGAAAGGCTTTCATTAGTAGCTATTCCGGATGGTACGACAAGAAGCACGAGCAATTGACTGGGTTAATTACCAGGTACAAGGAGAAGCGTGCCAGAGGTATATACCCAGAAGGAACGGAACCAAGTGGCGTATGTGTTGAATCTCTCAAGCTCCGGGGAGCTGCAGCTGTCTTGCGACGCTTCCCGGGTGGTTCACTATTGCTGAATTCCTCATGTCGTAAGAAGGCAGCCGCCAGGTTATTCAGGACATCAGCGCCTGCAGGAGATAATTAGTGATTAATGAGTCCGACTTCTGTTGCAACTTTGAGAAATGGTCTCACCTAAATGCGCAATACGTGCATTCACCACAGCCATCACACAGCAATGATCTTCATCTCACCAGCCCTGCTCCTAGATGTAAAGATGTCTGAGTCAACTATTATGTAAACGCGTACGAAGGATCAATGAATGAAGACCATCATCAACGGACTTATCGCATGGAATCACGTGGTGATAGCACGGTCCGCTCACTGTCGGGTTATTCTAAATCCGGCTTATCGGGAGTGATCTGTATCCATTCCAATGTTTAAGTGTGACCCACTCGGGGGTGCGTCACTTGAGTGAGACCTCTTCGACACGGTCCAGATATCTAGGAAGTACTAGATGCGTCCTCGTTATGTGTATTCAATATGCCAGTACCAATGATATACGTCCTTCCAATTGAACCCAATAGGTGTATGAACAAAATTACCGCGTGGTCTTGAAACAATCAAAAAAAGAAACAAGCAGACAAAGACGGACTATATCAAACAAGTATGCTCATCGCTCCCCGTGACACACATGCTTAGATACACCCAAAACAACACGAAAGTACTCGATCCGCTATAGATTTGTGTCTAACGACCCATGGTAGATTGGAAGACCTTGGCCGCTAGTTCGCTCAAAAGACGTGCCCGGCCATCCTGGGGAAGATCCAAGAAGACATCATAGACACTTTTTCCTTTGGCATCGCGGACAGCACCAAGCCGGTTTCCAGCTACTGCACCCGCAAAGGCGCCTGCAGTATTTGCCATGATAAACCCAAGTGCACCACCACTGACTCCACCTATGATAGACCAGAAACGGGACGTAGGCCGGACACGCCTCTGACCATCTGCATCCTCGCTCTCGCTGGCAAGGCCTTCCTCGCGTAACATTTCTTCGAATATAGATCCGAACTGATCAGAGGCCCGTTGTTCACTGTCCGCCGTGCCGGCGCCGGCGCCGGAGCCGAAGCCGAAAGCAGACCATGGGAAACCTCCCCATCCAGGCCGAGGCGCTTCCTCTTCAGGTTCCTCCGCATATTCCCCAAATTGTCTCATGGCATCGTATTCTCGCCGGCGGGATTCATTTGACAGGGTATAGTAGGCATCGCTGATTTCTTGGAATTTACGTGTCCGCGCAGGTCGTTGGGGCGAATCGACAGGGACTCGGTCCGGGTGCGATTTCAGTGATTCCCTAAGCAGATCGCGGTCAGCACAAAGATAGTAGATGAAAGCCATGTTGACGATGAATGCTACCTCTTGTACGCATTGCGGATTTCCTGCTGCGTTGCGTTGGGGGACACGCCTAAGACCTTGTCTAGAAGTGAGTTAGAAAGTGTCCAGATGTCTCCCCTTATTGAACGGGCAAAATCGGTGCTGCCAGCACTTACAGTAGTCTGGTTGTTCTGTTTAAAATATGTAAGCATAAGGAATATAGTCATAGAAGATCTGCTTGTGCTTACTCGGCATATTGTACTAATCCCAGGATATGTAGTAGTACGTTGTTTAATGACACGGTTGAATGGCTGTAAGCAGAATGCTTAGACTGCCAGGGAGAGTAATATAACAATAATATAGAGCCTTTTGATAGCGATATTGAAATCTCAAGAAGAAAAGAAGACTCATCCAGCAGACATGACGATTGAAAGGCGACAACCACAAAGAGCGAATGACGTCAGCCCCACTCTTGCTGCCTGGGGCAGACACACGAGCAAAGCCTCGACCGACGCTCGAGCCCGGCAGAGGCAGAAAGTACAGTGAGAGCGGCTGGAGGCGCCCCTGGGCAACACCGCCAATGAGAGGATGTTGGATCGCCAGCCACCCACTTTCCGGCATGCACTCAAGACACACCATTCCTACTCAGTGTACTCACTCAGCTTCGCCTATTCTTATTGGGACAGACTCCTGCACGATGGAGGGCTTTCAGCTTACACACTCTCTTTCTCTCCTGGACTGGGCACGACATTGTCCTCCAGAAGCTCTTATTTCTTTACTTTGGGAAACTGTACAATAGGTCCTGACAACTGCCTGCGTCTATTGACAACCCGACTACGGCGCCCGTCATCTGCTATTTAATTAATTGGGAATCTACCCCTTTCGTGCCAATTGTACAGCATCTTACGGAGAAGCCACGGAGCGTCCGGTGCCACTGTTGAATTTTGGTTGCGGGGACCGCCAATGCAACAAATAGCCTAGAACTGCAGCTCTTTTGTGCATACTGCATCTGCAGCAATTGGCTCCGCCTCTTCCTTTTGATTGACCGACATCGTACTGCGAATCTGAAACGCAAGGACTCTCCTGTGGTCTGTTCTAGCATTTTCTGCGACTGAGATCGAGGACGTCCGTCGTCATTACCCCCTCTTCCCAACAAGAAGGGCCAGAATCTTGACTATATTCGCGATATCCCAACTCCATCAAAGGCGTCATCGCAATCAATACCTTCAAAATGGGTTGGTTCGACGGAAAGTCTTCCTCGTCCGGCTACTACGTCCGCCGACGCTCTCCCTCCCGCCGGTCGACCTATTCCACGCACCACGCGCGACATTCAGCGCCGTCGATTTTCAGCCTAGGCGGTGGCAGCACGCGCGGCGGCGGCGGCGGGCGCTCCAGCCCGTCCGTCTTTTCGTCGTATTCGTCTTCATCGCGGCGCGCACGACCCCGATCTGGCTTCGTGCATCGTGTGGTGCGCTACATCAAACGCTTGCTTCGGGACATCTATGACTATGCGCGTCGCCACCCATTCAAGGTCTTGATCATGGTTGTCATCCCACTGCTTACCAGCGGCGTGTTGCAGAAGCTGCTGGGCATGATTGGCATTCGCATACCCAAGAGCTTGGGAGGTCTGGCAGGCTCTGGAGGCCTCGGGGGGCATGGAGGGCATGGAGGGCATGGCTCCAGGGGCGGCGAGAATACCATGGCAGACAATCTCAAGGGGCTGATGAGCGTTGCGAAGATGTTTATGTAGCCGACCGAGAGCCCCTCCAGTCTCTGGCTATAGCTATAGCCATTGGGCGTCAAATCCACACGAGAATTGCGCAAGAATAGAAGGAAGTAAGAAAAGAAGGAAGGAAAAGCCCCACCAGCGGAATTTATTTGAGGGCTGAAGTTTCCACGTGCTTTATGTGATGAGAACGATCATGTATGATCACGATGATGATGACGACATGACATATCCCCGGTTGCACTCATTACCGGCTTACTTTCGATTTATTGAATCGCTCAAGAGGGCGATTGCTTTTTGTGATTTTAGATGAAATTTTATTCTTGATTTATATCTATATCTGTTGTCCTACACTTGTAAATGATTACCTAGCCTTTTACTACCGCCTCACTTTGGTCTATAACGTCCAACGACCGACATGAAACTAATTTCTGCGAGCTTCTGTGATAATAAGAAAGGATAACACTGTCCATCACTGTTCATTTCAAGATACCTAATATATTTTTATACAAGAAACAACATAGAAAGAACCCTCGTTATGGATACACGGGACAAAACATAGACCAGAAAGGAACCGCGCCAAACCTCGAGGCACGATTATCCAGGTCATATACAACTAAGACTTTTGCGAGCGCTTGCCCCTCTTTTTCGACGACTTGCTCTTGGGCGCGATGGCGGAGCTGGTTGACTCTTCAACGGGCGAGTCCGCGCTATCAGCGGACTCGTCGCCAGCATCAGCAGTGTCGTCTTCGGCGGCCGAAGATCCAAACAGTCTGCCCACGGACTTTGCGTAGAACCAGATAGGGACGCGGAAGACCATTGTGTCCCTGATGGATGGGCGCTGGATCTCCTCAACGTCGAGAAGGAATTCCTGGCGCTCGCCCTCCTCGGACTCCTCTTCCAGGAACACGTTACCGACAGAGTCGACGATCAGGACCTTGCCGTTCTCAGCAACCACGCGCTTCCTCTCGCCGGTGGGTTCCACGGTCTCGGAAGTGGGTGTCGCGGTGCCTGAGGCGCGGGGGGTTGCGCGGCTCCCCTTCTTGTTTTCCTTGCGGTTCTCGCGATCCATCATGCGCTTCTGCCGACGGTTGATCGGCATAGCAGCTGCGGCATCGCCCGCTTCGGGGGCGGGAGCCGGGGCGGGTTGACTCGTGGAATCAATACCTGGGATGCCGCGGATGCCCGTTTCGTCTCCCCAGGCGGCTCTCCTCGCCTGACGGATATACCGATCGACGAACTCCCTCTGGCGCTTCCAGCTGAGAACCAGAGCGCCGTAGTGGCCAGCACCGCCGAAAACCAGAAACAGGCCCGCAAGCACGGATCCCAAACCGGGACGGTATCGCGAGTAGTAGTATCCGGTGCCCTTCCACTTGGGGAAGCCGTTCTTCAGGAAGTGGTCGTAGCGATCGCGGGAGGGGCCACGGAGGATGTTGGCGACGGTGTTCAGACGAGCGGAGCGCTCGTGGGCCTTCTTCACTGCAGCTTCGATCTCCTTCTTGGACGGGCCTTGGTTGACGTGGACGCCAGGGGTCTTGGCCTTGGCCTTCTTGTCCTTGGAGCTGTTGGCGATGAAGGACCGCTTGACTTTATCCGGGTGGAGGAGTCGGGATTTCTTGCGGTAGGCCTTGTTCAGCTCATCCTGGTTGGCATTGGGTTTGACCTCGAGGAAGTCTATACCGATGATGTTAGAACAGTCGGTCTGGCCACGAGGGTGCGGGTTCAAAACATACCGTAGAAGGTGACATTGGCGCCCTCAGCGGCGGACACTTCATCTTGTATGCTAAAGATTTCATGATCTACATAGGAACAGATTAGAGGGACAATTGCATCGCCACAAAGCATAAAAGACAAATAGAGTTACCGACCTTCTTTGGACCACGCCGCTGCAAGAATGACCAGGGTCGCGAGGACGAACAGATGAAGAGTAGGCACCCTCATCTTGAAAGGTCTAGCAGTCGGGAATTCAATGGGAGAGCGGTCAAGACCGCAAGACCCAATGAAAGATGAATGGGGGGGAGAAAGAAAAGGGAGAGAGAGAATTGGCAGTTCGATTGGATGCAGGCAATGACGCTGAGGTGTTCACAATGAAAATAGTATTGCGTACAAGCCTATCGCTGATAATACCCCAGACGCGTATTTAATTCAAGGCCTAAGGCCCAAAGTGGTAAAGTGGGTTTCCATTGGGTCCTCTCAGGCAGACTTCAGGCGACAATAATGTGATCTGTCATGGATACAAAGGCGGTCAAGATGAACACCATGAATTGTTGCTGCATACTTGGTAATTACCGGCGAATAACGAAGTAGATCATCTGCTGAGACGTCCAGGCATGGCTATTTGAAACAATAGGAGAGTTGACTCCTTATGAACTCAATATCCAGGTGGAATATTGAGGCATATTCGTACATTTGAAGTACATTTAACTCATCATAATCATCGATCATGTATCAAGCCTGATCTACTGCAGAGTCCAGACAACCAACGTGGACCAATGATTGCGGACAGGGCCACTCACGCCCAGGCAAGGCGACTGGAGCAAGGCTGATGAGGGGAAGAATAGATTATGATTCTGCATTGAGTTGATAGGAATCATGCCTAACAATAGGAAGCACCATGTTAATAATAAACGGAAGCAAACTCGAACAGCATTGGGAGCAGCCGTTATGGCTTAAATTCGGCCATTTTCCCTCGACCCGCCGCCCAATTTTGTATGCATGCATCCAGGACAGCCAGACGTTTCCCCCTCCGGCACATATCAATGTATGGGCAGAATGGGAGGAATTCCTTTGTTCTCGATGGGATCGTCGGTGATTTGAGTTAAATTGCCTTCTTCTTCCTGTCATCTTCTTTTTCCTTTTTTTTCTTTTTTTCCTTATTCGTTTTCTTTTTTATTATCTATTGTTTGGTGGTGCTTCTTAAGCAAGAGGAGTTGAGCGTTGTTTGAGCTGGTACATCTCCAACTAGACCATTCCGCGCTCAGCAGTCTAAGGCCTGGAACCAGCGGACTTACCCATATCCACCTTCTATTCTTAGTCCGCCATTCATCGGTAGGCTTCCTCCGGTCGACCCCATGAAACTGGTGAAAGCAGTGCACTTTTGATGGTTTGGAGATCATATTTACTACTTTGATTGTACTTCTGGTGATAAGTTATTAAGTACCAGCTCCCTGGCGGGCAATTTATGTGGATGGGAGGGGCCGTTCTGGAAGAAACAAATAAAATACGACAGAACATCGCCGCTTTCCTGCCTTCAATTCTTGGGGCCAACTAAGCCCGTTCCTGGCTGACAACACCCGGGCCCCCTTTATTTTCTTGGGTTTTCCCCCCCCCCCAATTTATTCCACTTGCCTTCTTGTTCCTTCCACCAACAACGTTCCACCTTGACTGATCTATCTGATTCGGCTCTTTCTCTCCCCCTCCCTCTCAACCACCAGCTACCGATTCTACATATCGCAGTATTGTGACCTTTCATCACCTTTACAATGAGTCCGATCCAAATCCCCTTCGACGCGCTCGCCTCGCGATTCGGCGACCGTTTCAATAGCGTCCGTTCTCAGTCCCTTGGGTCGCGTTTCGCCAACCTCCGACCGGTTTCCGAGTTCCTGGACTTCAAGCGTCTGTCCAAACCCGCCAACTTCGGCGAGGCCCAGAGTCGTGTCAACTACAACTTGGGCTACTTTTCCAGCAACTATGCCGTGGTCTTTGTGATGCTCAGCATCTACAGTTTGCTGACCAACCCCGTCCTGCTGTTTGTCATCATCTTGGTCACCGGCGGTCTCTACGGGATCGGAAAGCTGGAAGGCCGCGATCTGAACCTGGGGTTTGCCCAGTTGAATACCTCCCAGCTTTATACCGGACTCGTGTGTGTCGCGGTCCCTCTGGGATTCTGGGCCTCGCCGATCTCGACGGTGCTGTGGCTCATCGGTGCGACGGGCGTGACGGTCTGCGGTCACGCCGCCCTGCTGGATAAACCGATCGAGAATGCTTTTTCAGAGGAGGCGGTCTAGGTGGTCGGCCGCGAGCTCCTTACGATGTGCCCCGATGGGGAAGACCACCGGGGGCACGACAGGGGAGACAAACCAGGGGGTGGGGGGCTCCGTGGGTGGATGGGGACTCACGAATCCAGGAGATCGATGAGGACGATGGCTTTCTTCCGTACGACGACTGCACGTCGTCGGCGAGACAGATGGGGCATAACGTGGACGGGGATGGAGGAGCCACGTGGCGGAGGCGGAATATGGGACACGACAAATACCGGGGGGACCCTGGGCCTGCTGACGTGGTGGACTATGCCTTGTATGATGATGTGGATAGCACGGTGGCATATGCTGTTCAACTGGCCATGAAGGACAAGGAGGAACGCATGGTCGATGATGCCCTGGAACGGATTCGACGGGCACAAACCTGCGGACAGAAAAATGTGCGCTTATCGAAACGGGAAGTTGAGGCGCTAGAACGCAAGCGCCTGCAAACCAACGGCATGGTCGATCCCAACCGGAGAGCGAGTATGCCGATGGCGCCCCCCGTCGATCGAGGTATGAAACCGACGGATGGTCTGCACAAGGGGGTTCCAGGCAAGAGTGGACTACGGCCCCGTGGATCGAGTGCATCGCAGGGCAAGCCCCCGAGACATCCCGGTCTGGCCGATAACGGCGATATCTTCGGACCTTGGTCCGCGGGGAATGTACATGTCACCCCACCGTCCAAGCGGCCTCCAGCCTCGCGAACTCAGTCGGCCAACGCATCACCTCGGTCTCCGCGCCCGCCACCGTACCCCATCGAACACCACTTGGACGGTCAATATGGCTATCCAGTGATGCCATTCCCGAGTGCTGCCTATCCACGCCCTCTACCCGACCACCCTCATTGGGTGCCCCCGTGGCAGGTACCGTACATGGGAGATCCGGTCCAGTATCCAATGCCGGTCCCGCGAGATGCTCGCGCGAGGCCCCCTGGCCCGCCGGGGTCGTACATGTCGAACCATCCGGCCGGTAATGGGGATTGGCCCCCTAGCGGCATGCGCGGTCCGTTTGCTCCAAGCGTTGGCCCAGGGAATACCACTGCAGGTTTCCCTGACGCGGAATCCAACGGAGTGCACAGCGATTCCGACGACAGTGGTGATGAGGTGCAGATGGTGGAGGTGACGGAACGGAAGGTGCCCACGAGCCCATCTTCGCCGCGTGCGACGACTCGAGGGGACCGCTAGCGCAGCAATCGTCCTTTGGAGTGTCTTCGTTTGAGCTCCTTGCATTGATAGTTCGGGATTTTCGTGTGACAGCTCCGAAAGTGGTTTGATCGTTTGTCTCTAATGTCGTGTCTTTCACTGCAGTATTCTTGGCGGGGCATGGAGCCATGGGAGCTTTAACAAGCCATAAAAAATGGTGGAGTTTAGTATAGACTAGGATTTTAATTTTTTATCTTTTATTTTTAATAATCATTATTTTCTCTCTCTTCGTTTTAATTACCTTGTTTTTTGTTTATTAATTTAATTTTTTTTTTTTTTGGTTCATTTTCATTCTTGGGACGGAACGGTCAACAGCAATGTGCAACGGTGTCTGTTCCCCACGATATACTACCCTCGACGATCGGAGGGGGTAGATTGATAAGAAGAAAGACGCAGGGGATCTACTGTCTACCACGACAACGCAGGTTGAATGCATCTCCAGTGTACTGATACCCGCGTGTTAATTATCAACTCGCAGGAAAATAATGGATCAGGAGCCAGATGGATGACGTCGACTAGGCACGAGGGCCCACCTTGATTTTAACCATCCATGGTCGGTATGGTTGACTGCCCGTCAACATGTTACCTTGAACCGTTTAGGATCCTACTCTGCCCCTCTTACTGATTATTAAACTCATTTTAATTTTGGTGGTTTTATTTCCATGATTTATTCAATTTATGCAATTTTTTAGATGCAATTTAATACTATTACCCTTTCCGATATAGTTTAGACTGGTCCTGCCGATAACCGACGGCTTCATCTCTCTCCCTTGCCTGGAATTCCCAGGCAGGAATCCTGATTGCCTTGATCTTCCGGCGTCAGATCCCAAACGGGAATAACATAAAACTCCGCCCACTCCAGCCTCCTCATCTTCTCCTCTCCTCCTCTCCTCTCCTCGCCTTGTCCCTCTTCCTTCTCTTCTCCACAGCCTGACCGCGGCTTGGATTTTCTCGCTTTTGCTTTAGTGCTTAAGTGCTTTAGTGCTTCAGTCTTTCTCTCTTTCTTTTGTCCCCTTTCATTCTTTTTCATATTATTATCTTTCCTTCTTTCTCACCCCCTGGTGAATTCCCCCCCTACCTAATATATCAACCTAATATACGCCATTAATCAGACTAATCTCCCCCCCGCCGGCCGACTCGTTGTCTTTGATAAGCTCTGTCTGAGGTGAGCCTGATCTAAGCCACTTCCGCTGTTCCCGGCGCCTTGCCCTTTATAGCCGAAACGCCCACTCTATACTACTCGCTCGGACTCTTCAACTAATTTCTCGCTCGTCCTAGGTTCACCATCTTTCCTTGTATAATATTGTCGAGCGTCCCCGTACATATTCAATCATATCATTATTACCGTCATTATATCCTTAGACGTGGTCTGGCATAATGTGGATAATTTCTTTTTGGATCTTCCCGGTTATATCGGCATGCATGTGGTTAGGTAGGTTGTTCCGTACGCTCCCGGAACCTTCAATGCGGTATTGACGAAGCTTAGCGATGTTGTTGGCGATGCTGGGGAATTGGGCCGTCATTGGGACCCCGCATTATAGTACTATGGAAGAGGGACAGACCATCGCGTGCGTTCCTCCCTATCCTGCACTCGCACCAAGGTCGAGCGCCCAACGCTGACGCGCCCTACCAGATATATTTCCGACATAGGAGCACGAGGCTTGAAACCCCTGTTTGTCGCCGGCAGTGTGATCACCGTGGTGTTTTTGGATCTCTCCTTCATTGCCGAACGTTGGCTACGCCATGCGGGCCAGTTGGTGTCGAACAAGGGCGTGTTCGACAAGACCTGCGCCTGTCTGTCGATCTTCTTCTCGATTGCGGGCGCCTTGGGTCTCATTCTGCTGTCGATCTTTGACACATGGCGCCATTCGAAGATGCACGAGGGCTTCCTGGTCATGTTCCTGTACGTCACACGTCTTTTATTTTCCACCGGGGTCTCTAACAGCGATCTAGGGTCGGATATCTGATCAGTGCAATCTTCATCTGTGCCGAATACCTCCGTCTGGGCATCTTCTACCGCTCGCAGCACCGCGTTCTGTTTGCCAGCTTCGTGATAAAGCTCACTTTCATCATCGTCGAGGTCGCCCTCGCGATTGCGTTCGGGATTCTCGGCCGGAAAGGTGCTAGCCAGAGAAACACCGCCGCCGTTCTTGAATGGGGTATGTGTATTTCCCCTCCTATGTATTAACTCGCGCTAATCAGACCAGTCATCTCGTTCATCTTCACCGGTTATATTCTGTCATTTGTTATCGACCTGCTGCCGTCGGTGCGCACGCGGCGCCACATCCCCCAGGGCGAGAAGCGGACGGAGATGGGCATGGCCAACGCCCCACCGGTTGCGCAACCCGATGTCACACTTGAGGAACCGGTCACGACCGATAGCGCGGGGCCGAACGCCAATTACTACCGTGGAGCTCGCGTTTAACCAGTCCTCCCACCGAGCAGTCAATTTGCATCATGGCGCATTTATGAATTGTTTAGATACCCGGTGACGGTCACCCGATGATCATGGAGTCTCTCATTTGTTTATCTAATTCTCTAATCTCTATACATTTGCTGTTTTTGGTCTATTTTTTTTGTCTTCTGGTGAATACAGCAACACCTGTGCCATTAGTTAGAGCTACGTGTTAACAACCAGCGATATAGATCGTGTCATTAGCATTAAGTATGTATAGCGTTACACATCAGTCTAGCCATATCTATCGTATCCAACAAACCACCACTACCAGTATCAACCAGCGCCCCTCAGAAATTTCAAGCGAGTACCTTGAAAACTAAGCAAGCAAAACCCCCCTCACCCTCTCCACCTCCTCCCCAGTAACCCCCACATAGCTCAAATACCCCTCCACACCCCCATACACCTCCTGCAAATGGCGCTTGATCTCGCCAATGAACCCCGCCGGACACTTCGTGTATTCCTCAGACAACCCCAGTTTCCGAATCTCCTTCATCCGCTCGTCGACTTCAGCGACGAGTTCCGGCTCCGAGCGCACGTAGTCCGCCGCCATGGCGTCTTCCGGAACCACATCTGCCACGAGGAGCAGGCAGAGGAGCACGATGAGGCCTGTGCGGTCTTTGCCTTGCGTGCAGTGGATCAGGAGGGGGTAGACACTTTCTTTTTGGCTGGTGTCTGGGATGTTGGTTTCTGGGGTGTTGTCTTCGTCGGTTTCAGATGATGTTGATGACGGTGCTGAAGACGATGATGGCGTTGATGATGTTGATGTCGGAGTTGAAGACGATGAGGCCAAAATGTGAAACAACGTCCTCATCTCAACCGTGCTGCTATCCAGCGTGTCCTGGCCGAGCCCGATCAATCCCCTAGGCGACATCACCTGTTCGCCGACTATGGTGATTGCATCGGGGCGGTAGCCTGATGCTGCTAGGGATAGGACCTTGCTGTTTGCTGTTAGTGTCTTTTCTTTCTCTTTTCTTATACTTCCTTTCCTTCTCTCAACTCAACTCGAAAGAAGAAGTGAGAAAGAAGAATAAGGAGGGGAGGCGTACAAAAGATTCCACCAATCCAACCTCCACAACAACGTCCGCTCAAACGCCTTCCCCGTCAGACTAACAAGGTGCAATTGCGCGCCGGGGAGCTGCACCAGGTGCTCGTCTGGGGTTGCTGCTGCTGCTGCGGCGGCGGCATCAGAGGAAACGGACGAATCCGCTTTCTCTAACTGGGCGTCGTTCTCGGCTCGACGTTTGTCGGTTGCCATTTGGTGTTCGGTGCTGCTGTTTGTTAGTAACCTCGTTCAACACGGGGGAGGGATAACCTGTTTGGTTTGATTCTGGTAGGCACCCAAGGTAGTGGTAATGGTGGACATACCTCGATCTGAGATCAATGACTGTGGCGATGTGCAGCTCCTCTGATAGGCGTCGCTTGTCTCTTTCGGAGGCGTCATCGGGCTGTGATCAGTCAGTTTTGACCAAAGTAAACATAACAATATCATTAAACAACATGATATAAAGAAAGAAAAGAAGACATACCCTCGCACTCCGATAAAGCACACCCTCTTTCAAGACCCTAAACACCCCAACATCAGCCCATCTGTCAAAGACAACAACCACCATAGCAAAAGAAAGATAAACACAAACATACCGTCTCCCCAACCACTGGTTAACAGAGCGGCCCACATCCCGGAAATTGATGATATTGTCGAACGGCCGGTCGGGGGAGTCAAGGTCAATGCTTGACTGGCGTGGGTGGGAGGCTCTCATTTTCTTTCTTGTTCTTTCTATAAGAAAGATGTCGTGTACTACTCCAGGGTAGAAGATCCTATTATAGATAGAATTGTAGTAGTCACTATAGACTATACAGTAATAACTCGTGGGGTAGTTGATAGACAGTCGTAGTTCTCTACTACTATATCCACAACACAGCAAGGTATGTTCGCAAACAACCTCGCCCTAGAATAAGTAAGTAAGATTAGATGTGTTGTCTGCGCTTCTTGTCTTGCTTTCCGGCCCAAATCCGAATGATGGGTGCCCCGGCGGTTCGTCGGGTTGGTTTTATTCCATTCGTTGGAGCGGCAGACGCGCGCGCGTCAAATGGCAAATGGCAAATGGCGGTGGGGAATGGAGATCCTTTTTTTTTCCCTTTTCCTTTCTTTAACTTGACTAATGGTTACTAGTGGGGATAGTATCTCAACGTTTTTGTTAAGTACCCCGTTTTTCCTGGGTATAGCTGGGCTTAACTGTGGGGATGGATTCTTTGTCTATTGATTTACTGGTTGATTATATTACTTTCTATTGATCATGGACAAACATGCATCCTATTCAGACAGTATTACTACTAATGTACAATAATTATGAAGACAGTAATGATGACAAGAACGTCGACAAGAACAATAACATCAATACTCTCTGTCATGATTGCCATTCAGGCAGAGTGACAACTGAAGCCATAGATACACCCACCCCCACTCTCCACGAAAAAGACAGGAATAGAAAAAGAAAAAGGAAAAAAAGACAACGAATAATTGACTACAAATCCTCAGAGAATCGCGACTCCCGTCCAGCGCCATTGGTCATATTCTTTCCAGCAGCCGGAGCGGGCAAGCCCTGGTCGGTGGCACTCTCGCGGAGAAGTTCTCTCTCGTCGGGCATGGCGTGCGCATATCTGGGAGTGCCTTTCTGGCCATCTGTCTGGGCGTCCTCGTTATAATCACTGACTGACTCGTCCAGTCCTGACCTCGAGGATCCGCCCGAGAGCATCCTGGAGAGCCTGGACTTCAGTCGCGATGAGGGCTTGTCGCTGGCGTGGTCCGCCGTATTCTGCTGTGCTTTCTGGGCCATGGCTGCCGCTTGACCCTCGTCCACGGACGACATCCGCCGGGTCTGCATATCAGTCAATTCGTCGGCGGTCACGGGGTGCGATCGAAGCGCCGCGCGCCGATTCTCCTCCGCAGCACTCTCGGTTGATTCTTTGGGGGCCTCGATTGATTCTCTGGGGGCCTCTGTGGTTTCTTTAGCGGCCTCGCTCGTCTCTTCGGTGGCAGAAGGACCTCCAGTCACGGCAGCGATTTGTCGTGCAGACGCATCCTTGGCGTCCTCGGCACCTTCAGAAGCCTTCTGGGCTGGGGCAGCGGGCTCTTCGGTGGTCTTTTCAATAGGGTTCTCTCTACCGACGGCGCTCGAGGCTGGCTCCTGGCCCGTTCCAATCTCCCTCGAAGTCTCAGGCGCGGTCATGCTAGAACGGGAACCACGCTTGCCTCTAAACCAGGATTTGAATTTGGACTCGGACTTAGCCTCCGCGCCACCATAACCCGAGACTGCGCCGGAAGCGAAAGCTTCTTGCTCGTCTTCTGCTGTCTCGAGTTAGCCGTGTCTTGCATACAGTCCGCAATGGCGGCGAGGGTCTCAGAGCTCCAGTCTGCAAAGAAGGGACACGTACGTCTGGATTTTCTCCTCCATGGCCAAGATTTCTCCTCGACGTTCTTCGAGTTGTATTTCATATAGGCTGCGTTCTCCGTTTAGTACTTCCTCGTCCTATCAACAAGAAGGGGCATACCTTTCTGTTCTTTCTCTTCGGCTCTCAACTCGGCCTCGCGCTCGCGGTAGATGGCTTCATATCTTTCCCTTTCTTCTTCATCCAGGCGTTTCTCCAACTCCCTGGCCCTCTGTCCCTCTGCACGGTCTGTGATCTCGTTCAAAGTGGGCTGCAACCGCGAGCGGGCAACGGCCTCGATATCAGCCATATCCATGTACTTCTTGGCTCCAAGGTCGACTTTCTCTGCGTGGATCGACTCCGTCTCCCGGCCCAGGACATCCTTTCGAGCACGCATCAGGGCCGCATCCTCCCAATCTCTCTGCATGGAAGGCGGCGCACGGCCGGTTTCAGCATAAACGCGCATTTCCATGTCCCTCATGGTTGCATCGACGTTTCTCCTCGCAGCTTCCAGTAGCATAGACCGGTCAGTCTCTCGCTTTTCGTCCACTGCGTCGAGTCTCGACCGCAGACTGGACATCTGAAATCTGATATGCCTGGACCGGTCCACGTCGAACCCCGAGGTGCTGTCCGAGTCCACGGAGAGTCTCCGCCTCCGCGTTGGAGTTTCGGAACGGACTTCCTCCGGATTAACAGCATAGTACTCTCGATAAAGTGCATTCTCATCCTCCATGGCAGCCAGCTTCTCGGCAGCAATTCTCTGAGCCGTCTCCTGCAAATTTATCGCCTGCTGCAGTGGTCCGGATTGTTTCCGGGGCGCTCCGGTCCCGCCCTCACCCGTCGGTCCTGTAATCTGGTACATTTCCTGCGCCATTGATATCGCAGCGGCCTGTACAACGCTTTTCTTGCGCTGCTCTTCCACCTCAGGAGCGACGGGCGGCGAAGCGGTATATAGCCGGGCGTTGTTACTCGCCACTCGATCGAGCTTACCTACTCCTATCGAATGACCGATGTCACTAGGAGCCTCGCTATCTTCAGCGAACGACACGCTATGCGGCGCGTCAGACGGTGCAGAGTCAGCCCTATTCCTGCTCTTGAAGGCGCCCGACGCAGCATTGATGGCCCTTCCCTTCTGAGCTGGACCACGCTGGGCTTCGACCCTTTGGTCTGTCACCGACATGCCTCTGCCTAGGTCGACTGATCCAGAAGGGCGGCCATCTCGAACGGCATGCAGTGCAGCCTTATAACCATGCTCGCTGGTTCCATCCAACGAGCCTCGATGGACCTGCACGTCATAAACTGCCTGCTTCTCGACTTGTCTGTTCTTAGCATGGGCCAGAGCAGCGACCGCTGATGCATGACTGAAGCTGGGACGGGACCCTGTCGCTTTGATGTCTGGGCACAGATGGTTTGTTAGATCTTCTCGCCCGATCACATTGAGGAAGAGAGAGCTTACTGAGTTGTTCGGTCTCGGCTGTCGCCGCGGGTTCACGGATGGATAGCCTGCGCTCGGGGTGCGTCACATAAAGCGCAGCTGTCGCAGCTATTCAGAGTACCCGTCAGAAGGACCCAACGTACACCAATGGGATACCGAAACTCACCTTGATCCGCTAACCGGGCGGACCGGGAACGCGGAATGCGCTGCACAGGAGGCTGTTCGACAGTGGCCATGATAAGATAACGTCGGGGTGTAAAAGATGAGGACTCTCAGCGGCGACAGTCATATCCTGGAAATGCAAAGAGAAAGGAAAGAGAGCGAGAGGGCGGCGGCGGGATGATGACATGAAAAGGAACCGGCTGGAGAGAAGGGTGGTGTAGGGTTCAACTCTGGGAAGGGCGATCCAGAAGTTTGGATCTGAGCTAGATTGTCTCTGACGTAGTTGGTTACAGAGCTCCACGATCCACGGATGCTACCTGCCGAATGATCGGATCACGATCAGATCGGCTTCTCGGGATGGAACGAACTCGATCGACGGGCGTAAGGCTGAGAGGATTGGGTGGGTGGGTGGGATGGATGGGAAAAGTCGCTGATGTCACGACGTCGTCGGGTAACTTGATCAGAGAGGGGCAGGGAGGAGCGGAAGAGATAAAGAAGGTTACAGTCGTTCGGTTGGGTTCCTCTTTTATTTTCAGAGCGTTGTCAGGGCTGGATCGAGTCGTTGATTCTACCATTTCCTGCTGGGTTTCCGTTTTCGATCGTGTTGCTTTTTTGGTCGTTGGTCAGCTGATTCGGCATTCCAGGCCCTTGTGGTATGGATGGATGTTTTGAAGGCCGGTTTCAAGTACACGATTCATATGGAATATGTTATACAAAAATAGAATAACATAGTGGTGAGGTGCTATTTGGGTGCAGTTCTACCTAGTAGTCTAGCACTCAAGGGATGACCCTCCCTATACTGTGAACAGTGAATCTGGAGAATATAGAAATTACGCTGTATTATTATTTCTAATAGTAAAGTAGCAAACAACGGGATATTCAGAATCGAAAGGCCGTAATCCACCTTGATATGATCGATAAGAGCAATCACCACAGGTGTAGAAGCTTCAAAATATCGTGCCGGGCAAAGAAAGATCGGTTTCGCTTGCCGAACACATCTAAAAGCTGTTAGCTCACGTTCGAAAGGGCCATCGAAGCACATACACATAGGAATACTCAGTAAACAGATTCCCATCTGGATACTAGAAATAGCCAAGAACGCCGGTCGAACGCCGTTAGACACCAGCCAGTCGTAGGCAAAGAATGTCAGAACGAAGCTGAACATGTTCTTGAAGATGAGCATGCAAGTGAACGACTCGATGGTGATTTCGCCTGCAGATAGGGTTCTGTATTAGCGGCCGAGACCTCGGGCGTCTTCTTTGAGGGAGAACTCACGGTGGGCATCCACGATGTACAGCGCACTGGCTACAGCTCCCAGAACCATGCCGATCACGACAAGAGCGAAGAAGACATCCGCTACAAGCCAGCCATATCTGCCAATGTCTTCGGAGACAATACCGAAGCCGTATAGCCCCGCTCCACAGAAGACGAGTTGGAATATCACGAGCAGAATCCGGAATTCGGGCTCATATCGTCCCTTGTTGAGTTTGATCATGACTCGGTTTAATGAGTCGGAAAGCAGACCTGAAAGGACCAAGCCTATGATGGAACCGACGAAGGCACCGGTGTATAGATACCCGGTGTTGACCTCGTCGAACCAGAGAGGAGGGCCGAGAAAGATGGCAGCCAAGACGACTCCGATGAATACAGTCCATCCGATAATAACGCCTTGGATCAAGCATGCCTGTGGAAAGTCAGGCCAAATACAAATGCAGTGACTGACGCGTTTATTGAGCGACTTACCCATAAGACTGCAGGATGGAAGAATAGGGGAAATGGCCTCAGAAGGAGTTTGAAGAAGTTTTCGTCCGTCTTGCGGCCGTTGAAAGGCTTGAGGGTTTGCAGGTAGGAAACCTTTTCTGGAGCTCTAGCTGTCTGGTTGCCCTCGTTATTTGCGATAGCTGCGTCTCCGTCTGAGATTATCGATGGCTGTTCTTGCGTTTCCTCTCGGGTTGTGGGGGTCTTTTCGGCCTTCGTTTCTAAACGACTACCCTGACTTGATCCATCTTCATTGTTTTTGGGCTGCGCACTTATTGCCGTCTCATTCTGCTCACGCTGAGTACTGTCACGGTCGATATCCAAGCAGTCCGGCCGCCGGAAGGCCGTTTCTGGGACTAGAAATATGGTAAGAGGCAGACATGCCGCACTGAAAATAGCCACCAGGTAAAACGTCCACTCCCAACCAAGACTGTGCGTGATCTTGCCCGCAAGGACTGGAGTGAGGAAAGCAGCGCCGAACAGGGCAACGTTTGACAGCGCCATTCTCTTCCCGCGTTCCTGAGAGAAATGAGCAGGGCGTGGCCAAATGGGGGGCTGTGAGGGCATACATGGACAAAAAAAAGATCCCCAACGCATGCGTTGACTAACGCTTCGAAAGGAGCCAAGGCAACGCCCTGGAAGATGCGAGACCACAGAAGACTGTCGTAGTTCTCTCCACTTCCTCCGGCCCACGCAGCACTAACTATCATTAAGATATTGCCAATTATGAACAAGTGACGCTTTCCCCAGACTCGTGCTGTCGGCACGATTAGAATACCCGCGACGCCCACTCCGCAGAGGTGATACCCCGTGAGAAGCGCGGTAGACGTGAAGCTCTTCTCATAGAACAGGGATATGGTCACTGTGTTAGCAGCCATAAGGGAGCTGGTTGTCGCGCATAGTACTGCCACAATCGACAGCGCTGATATAATAAGATCGCGCTTCCACAGCGGCCAATTCTAGTTCCATTCTCGATCATCAGCTACGATCCGGTGTGCTATTCGCCAGGAGTTCAAGCGTACCAATGGATCATTGGGGTCATCGGTCGGTTGAGGTATAAGGAGTACAGGGACTGCGCCGGATCGATCATATTTTAGGTTTGAGTTGAAGGTTGAGTCGACCGTCTGGTCGATTGGTTGTTCTTTCTCTAGGATGTCCGAGGTACCTGTACGGCCATTCGATGAGCACGATGGTCTTGAAGACGGACCATCAACTGGTAGTCCACTCACCAGGAACATTGGTCAGCACGGTATCTTCAAGCACCCCGAGTCCCATATTGTCGACGGAGACGGAATGGACTGCTTCCGATGCAGATGGGCCAGGTTCAACTTGGGCTGGCTTGAACTGTCCTGGGTCGGCCCTATCCGAGGAGAGAAAAGGACCGTAAATATCCGTTCGTGTGATTTAATGTTTGCTCACACCGAATTAGCACTGATTTCCGGCCGTGCTGACAGAAGGTAAAGTGCATTCAAAAGTGGTAATTGATAGTTTGGCGTGGACTATTGGTTCAGCCACATTCTTGTCGGATGGGATGGGAATACATCCCTTTCATCCGCATGGAAGATCAAATCAAACGAGAGACAATATTACTAACTTTTTGTCTTCAGAGCTCTCTGGATAAACTTTGAGCCTATTCTTGAACAATCTGGCCCAAGGAAGCACAACAAGACAATTCCCAGACTCCCTTGGGAGTGGTGTGGTATCACGATGCTCTCAAGTCGCACTCCACCCGAAATTGGAACCTGCAGGTCCCGCCTTGTGTTTCATTGTTGGATTTGATGATACATACCCAAGCAGCGCCCTTGCATTGTATTGAATGATCAACTGGCGAATATGAATGGATGGATGATACGTCGTATAGTCTCTGTACTTGGGGGAATATGTTACTATAACACGGCACTCGTGGTACAATACAATATCGTACACAAGTGCTATACATCCACATGCACATTCGGGGTTGATTCATAGCTGGATACGATGTAGCTAACTATATTATCAAACATGATATGTGCTTGCTGATAGTGTCAAACACAGTCGGAAAACACTCAGATCTATTGGACGCAGTATCATGGAATCAAAGACGAAATTGGCATGTTTCAAGCCACAAACAAAATGATACCCACTATTGACGACTAGTGATAGTCAAGTGGGACAGATCCACGGTGCATAATCTGGGGATCGATCAAGTATTATCTCCTCCCTCCAATTACTAGTAATTCTTTGCAGTTCGTGATGGTATGGAAACCATTCCATGAACCACCATGCCGTCTCAAGATGAGACCAAGTCCAGGTAGGAATCCAAGGTTGTCGCATGATCCGGCGACGCCGCTGTACCCTTGCGTCTTCTTGTGTCTCTGTCTCTGTATCTCGAGTCACCTTTAGTGTTGACTATCCCCATTGACATCCCTTGCCCCATCCCTCCCACGGCCGCTTTCTTTCTCCCTCATTGGTCTTTTCTGGCTTTATTTTGTCCGTGATGGATTGAGTTCACTCCCGCAAGCCCTCAAGGGGATGCAAGGAGTGTCAATACGCCGGTCCAACCGGTATATATTACTCTTAGGTATCTATTACAGTAATAGGTGAAAAGGGTCAAAATCATGTAGTTGAAAAAGAAAATAATATTACCCTGTATGGAGTCAAACTGCTGTTCCATATCCAGCAGTACTGTGATGTTTATTTTTCATTTTCCTTTTTCAGGTGGAACTGTGTCACTTCCAAAAGCAAATGCCAATAATCGTGTATCTTTACTCGTCACTTGGGTATTTGTTGTGGCATCCCCAGAGGATGAGGTCGTCCGGTATGCGACTGACCTGCCGGTGAATTCTAAACCCCCCTCAGAATTCCATCGTTGTATGCTTCCTCTCATGTGCTTCCTCCCCTGAAAAGACCTCTCGGTTTCTATTTGACCTAAGCCCAACACTTTCGTCCAATTCCACCGCCAAGTAGATCAAATACTCGATCTCGCTATGAAGCTTCACCATATCTCGCTCGCCCTGGTCGGGTTCCTGGGCACGGCTGCTGCCCAGGGGATGAATGGTCTTCCTGATTGCGCGGTATGCACCCTCATTGATTCCGCTGTGAGGCGGCTCCTACCATGGTAGATCAATCGATCTTATTACTGATACTCTCGACAGAAAGAATGTGCCACCGGTTCCATCCCCGACACCTGTTCCATGATCGATATCAAGTGCATCTGCTCCACCAAGTCGTTCCTCACCGATATCTCCTGCTGCGTCGCAACCAAATGCTCAGAGGACAAGCAAAAAGGTGAGTGATGTCTGCCATCCAAAGCACCCATTAAGTTCGACCTTGCTGATACCACTCTCGCTCCCTCTCAGAAACCATCGAATTCGCCCACAAGATCTGCAGCGGTGCTGGCGTGAACGATCTCCCCCAGAGTGCGAGCTGCGCCAGTGAAAGCTCCACTTCCACCAAAACGTCATCCGAGTCCACGACCCAGTCGGCCACTTCTACCGGTGTGACTGGCGCCTCGAGCCCGTCAGCGACGGATGCCGAAGGTTCGAGCACGGATTCATTGCCAACCGCGTCCAAATCACCCGATAGCGGTCGTTCGGCGTCGTCTCCTACTTCGAGTACCGACGCTGCCGCTGTTGTTCAAAGCCAGGGCATGGGTCTTTTCGCGGCTGCCGGTGCTGCCCTCTTCGCGTTCCTGGCATAACTGAAGGCTAAGACACTGGCGTACGCTTCATTTGAGGGACGTCCGCATACTGAGCGTACTGTGATGCGACCTTAACCAGGCGAATGGTGCAAGATGGCTCCACGAATTTTATGGTCTTGATCTCTATCGAAAATAGTTAATGTGTATATCCTTTTGCGCCGTACTGGGTGCGTCTGTTATATATCCATGGTGTAGCCGAAGCTCGCGAGGTATCCACTTTTTATTGCGGCATAGCATACTGTAGCAACTATCTGCTCATGCTCTAGGTGGCATCAACGGCCCAACATGCGCATGAACAAGATAGCATCAAGGTAGATACTCAAGGGATCAACTAATCCGCCCTACCAAAATCCCTCCTCGGTTCCTTTATCCGCACAGCCTAATATAGATGCGAAAGTACTACTCATTAGTTCATTGTCTAGCCACGATCTTTCTTCACGAGTGGGGACCAGGCTGCTGATAAATGCCTTGACGGCGGGCGAACTAAGACGCCTAGTGGCTAGTGAGGTATGTCATAATCTAATAGCCCCTTCCAAGTATATTGTTCAGGGGTAAATTATATCATTCTTCGTTTCTTGTCAGGCCATTGGACAGCTAATTAATTTATCTGCAGAGTAGGCAGACAGGATTATGAGGGGGGTAGGAAAAGGAGGATGGTCTGACCCCTCGCTTTTGCTGTTATGATTGTTGGGGATGATGTCAGGGGATTAATGCATTATTCAGTCAGTGAGGCCCGACGTCACTGCCATCGTGACTTGATAGTGGCCAACAACCAAGTAGAGGTCGGTGGTGTATGGACTCTGATTATTACTGGTGCTATGATTGTCATTGGAGTTGTTATTACGAGAATGATGATCCCCATTGCTATTTGCTATTAATAGTTACCATCTTTAGAAGCCCATGTTCTTAACCTACCACTGTTATGTGATTGACTCGTTGATATATTCGCCTATTTGATGCGTTGACTGGTTGATTGAATGACTAGATATTCCTATAGTATTCAATTAAAGCATGTGCTGCTGGTATATGCTTTCTTCATGTTGTAAGTAGGGTGGAGGTCATTCAATTGGCTTCTATCAATGTACTGATTATCGTCATAACCATCGTATCAACATGGCTGATCCTCAGCTCTGGAATTCTTTTCCCTGTCAAAATGTAACAATGGCAATGACAATAACAATAACAATGACAGCAACAATACCACTCTAGAAGTAAAATTAGTGCCGAGGTCAAGCAGGAATGTTTGATTGTTGGAGTAGTTTCCCCCTCCCCCCTACACCAAACACGCCCTGTTCCGCCGTCCCTTCGGAGACTACTGAGTACTGCGGTCCCGGCCACTCTCTCTTCCCCCGTCCTGATTTCACTCCGTCCTCGGATTTCCGGCCACTAATCGATCGACTATGCTCGACAAGTCCTGTTCTACTTGACCGTTCTTTCTTTATTCTTCTGTTTTGAAGTATCGATTTTAATAACACCTTCTACCGCTTACCACGTCTGTCAGATCATCCCGCGGAACTCCTTGATTCCCCCGACTACATTCCTCGCCTCCCGTCTTTCCCCCCACCCTCCTCGACCTACAGACTCTCTAGCTTTGCTCGTTTCAGTGGATTGACCTCCCACGGAAGCAACTTCTGCCCAGTAACCTGCGATCGCAACTCGAATCGCGCATAGTTTGACGACACCCTTCGAAGAACGCGGGGACCATCTTGACACATGCCGCCTCCCAGGACGCGAACGGAGGTCCAAGCCCAAAAGCAAAAGGAAAAGGTTCGCATTCATCTTCTATTCCGATCGCCTGGTAGCCACCGTGCCATATTGTTCTTGATAACCTCAATTGCGCCCACGAGGTTCAGTCTGAGGCGGCGCTGGCAAATCCCCGTCGACAATCGGTTCACCCTTATCGTCATGGACCCTTGCTAATCAGATGCTCGCGCAGCTTGCCCAATCCTACCATGAGTTACTAGAGTATATACACCCTCGATTCTCAATTCTCTTCTTGAACTGGACCACCCGTCTAACACCGTTGTCTTCGTTTCACCAGGGAATTCTCGTCCAAAGACCTCCGAACCGTCGGGAACTATACACTGGGGAGGCTGATCGGAAAGGGTTCTTTTGGCAAGGTGTACCTCGCCTCCCACAAACTCACCAATGGATCAAAGGTACGGGGGATTTGAGTATTTGATTACGGATGAGTCGGTCTAATCATCCTCCGTTAGGTCGTTCTCAAGTCGTCGAGTAGGGAAGACACGAACCTCCCCCGCGAAATCCACCACCATCGCCAATTCCTTCATCCGCATATCGCTCGCCTGTACGAAGTCATCGTGACGGAAAAGCTGGTTTGGCTGGTGCTCGAATATTGCCCGGGGGATGAATTGTACAACTACCTTCTTCGCCATGGTCCACTGTCGGTCGATAAAGTCAAAAAGATCTTCACCCAGCTCGTCGGTGCTGTCGCGTACGTCCACAGCAAGTCCTGCGTCCACCGAGATCTCAAGTTAGAGAATATCCTGCTCGACAAGAATGAAAACGTCAAGCTGTGCGACTTTGGATTCACGCGAGAGTATGAAGGCAAAGCTAGCTACCTGCAGACATTCTGCGGGACGATCTGCTACAGTGCTCCAGAAATGCTGAAGGGGGAGAAATACGCCGGAGAAAAAGTGGATGTATGGAGTTTGGGCATCATTCTTTACGCTTTGCTCGCGGGCGAGTTGCCGTTTGACGAAGATGACGATCAAGTCACCAAGGCTCGAATCCTCAGTGAAGAACCCGCGTACAACGACAACTTCCCAGATGACGCCAAAGCGCTCATTGGCTTGCTGTTGTCGAAGCGTCCCCTTATCCGGCCCAGTCTGGAAGACATCCTGGCGCACCCATTTCTCGCGGAAAACGCCTCCGAACAGCTTGCGATTTTGAAGATTCCCCGCCTGCCACCCTTCTCGATGCCCCTGGAAAAGACCACCTTGCAGCGGATGAAAAGCGCAGGGGTCAATATCGATGAAGTGGTCTCCAGTGTCCTTTCCCAGCGATGTGACCCGCTCGCGGGGTGGTGGGCACTGTTGATCGAAAAGGAGCAGCGGAAGGAGCAGAAACGAGAGCGGAAGCGAAGGGAGCGGGACGCCGAAGCGAAGAACCTTCGTCGCTTGAGTGCTGCGAGCAGCCGAATGGAGAGAATCTCCGCAGCCCTCGTGGAGGTGGACGAAGAAGGCCATACCTCGTCGGATGCCCCTGTTCAGGACCGTGGGCGACGGGACCGACGGAGCTTGCCTTCACAGCTTGCGGTGCCGGAGCTTCCCATGCTCCCTGAACCAACATCATCACAGACCCCCGATGCCACCGATCCGCCCCCGCCTGTAGCAAAAGACTCGGCCCGTTCGGCAAGTTCTAGCAGGCGTCGCCCGGTGCCACCCCCGAAAGATAGAAGGCGTTCTCGACCAAGCACACTGCACGTTAGTGCCTCGCAGCCCGAATTGTCACAGCGCGATGGAGTCTCCCGGCGCCGTACCAACCGCCGTCAATACCCGATCATCAGTCAGCTGGCATCCCTCAAACACTGGTTCGTGGAATCTGCGAAGCGGGCGAAGTCTCCTCACAACAACAAAGCCGCTAGTGCCCCCGGAACGCACCGAAAGTTTCTCGCGGAGAAGTTCAGCCCTGCCAAAGCGCAGGAGAACAATCCAAAAAAGCCCGTGCCTGCCTCGAGCACCTCACACCCAGGGGAGCTGGCTACCCCGACTCAGATCAAGCGTGTATCCAATGCTAGCAGCCTGGCCCCGAGTAGTGCTTCTTATCCTAATCATCGTCACTCGTTTCCTCGCCAACCGCGACCTCTCAGCACCAGTCACCGAAGTCACCGAAACTCGCTATCTCCTTCCCCGATTACGCCGAGGGGCTCGTATCGACTGTCCTCGGCTGGCCTGCGTGGTCGCAAGTCGACATCCTCGTCCGTTTCTTCAATCCGAAGCATTCATCACACGCACACCCACTCGAAAGCATCCTCCGTGTCGTCCAACAGCATCGGCTCTGCATCCACGCCGACGGCCCGATCGTCAAGGTCTCCCCATCCATCGCTCAAAGTCCTGCCTACCACACCTAGTGCCTCCTCCCGCTTCCCAAACAACATCCGGCTGGTACGCGGTACGAACAATGCACCCCGCGATGTCGAAGAATCCGGTAGTAGGATGAACAACTTTTTCAACGAAGCCGCGCCGGGTCCGTTCCTTTACTCTCCTTCCACGAGTCTTGTATTCGCACGTCGCAAGCGTTCTGCGTTCAAGGGTCCCATGGCCCACCCCGCCAATCCCATGATATCTGGCGGCGTGGCTGGGTCCGAATTTCCGAACGGCGCGGCCGGTATTGAAGAGCCCTCCGCCGCGGCTGCTGCGCGGCCCAGGGCACGGAAGAGCCAGATCATTGAAGAAGAGGAAGACGCGGAAGACGACGAAGATATCGAAGAAGTGGACACCTTCACCGGTACTGAAGAGGAGCCCGGATCACCCACTGATGCTAAGTCGGAAGGTTACAAAACTGCGGATGACCTAGTAGAGACCGGCGACAGACGAACTCTGGCTCCCGCGATTGACCTTGAACCAACCACGCCGTGTCCACCTCGGTCTTCCTCTTTGAGACAGTCACAATCCGAGGTGAAGATGCAGTCGAGCCCACAATAGTGAAGACAAGAGTGCGCCTGTCATCTCTTCGAGATTGACAATTGAACAAGTTGGAGAGAATAGATAGATGACTTGTTCAGATACGTCGGTTGGCATTTTTGATATGTTTTTGTGCTATATTCTATACCCCCTTTGCGGCTGCGGCGCTGGTTTGCATGGTATCCTTTGGTCTGTGAAACAAGCCAGTTTGGTATGAAAGCGAGTAATCACCGTGTTTCTTTTATTCCTTTTTTTGCTTTTTTGACATTTGCTTGTCTTTTTATCACTGGCAATGCCCATCTCACTTCGTCCATCATTTACTATCTTTCCTTTCTATGTATAATTTTCACCAGCTTTGCTTCCCTCCCTCACATTCCTTTCATTTCCTTCCATTTCCTTTCCATGCCATTCATTCATTCAGCCGCTCTTATTACCTTATTTTAACTTGCTTTCCTTTTATCATACCTGATACTTTCCTGGAGATATCCCCTGACATACCATGTCTTTCATATGTTGAATAATTTCCGACAAGTGTGTTTCCTGGACTGGTTATTCTAATGATCTGTGGATTCTTATATATTGCTTGAATATAGATAGATTTTTCTTTATTCTTTTTCTGCTTACTGTCTGTGCATCTAGCGAAGATATAGTCATCAAATCCGTTATATTATCGTTGTATCATGAAAGCATCTAGTCATGGCATATCTAGTCATAGCATATCTCGTCTCGTGGCATACATATCCAAGATCAGGATAAACCAAACCACCAAAAGCAATCCGACAGAGTAAATTCAGAAAATAAAAACAAAGCTAACAATAAAAGCCAGCATAAATCATCACCCAACCTTCCCACCCTCAAAAACCACCCCAACCCCCCTCTCCACATCCTTCCTACCCCCCCATCCTCACCATCAAACCCATCCCCAACCAACCCAACCTCACTAGCCCCCACCTTATCAACCGTATCCCGATAAGCCGGCACAAAATTCACAGCGATAGCATAAGTCCACGCAACAACCATGAACATGGTCGGCACGATCATGGCCAGCGCCATGTCGTTGCGCATGTCAGCCACGTGGGCCAGGATGGGCGGCACGACGGCGCCGCCGCTGACGCCGCCGACGATGAAGCCCGAGCCGCGCTTGTAGTGTCTTCCGAGGCCGCGGATGCCGAGGGCGACAATTGTGGGGAAGCAGACAGATTCGAAGAAGAGGGTTAGGATGAGCATTGCTTTGTTCATTCACTCATTAGATACTCATAATTTTTGAAATGTTTTGTTCAAACAAAGGCGATGGAAGGGAGACGCGATAGAGAGAGAGGTTGGATGGGGAAGGAAAGGGAAAGGGAAAGGGAAGGAGAGGAGAAGAACATACCAACACCAGATTTATAGCCCTGCGTAGTAGAAGCAGCTATGAACGCCACCGTGCAAGACAGATAGACGAGGAAGACCCAGCGGCCTTTGAAGAATTTCATGAAAAAGGCGCCGATGAAGCGGCCGATGGTGAAGGCTCCTTGGGCGCCGGCTAGGTACTTGGAGCCTGTTGAGTCGGAGGTGCCGGGCCAGGTTTCGACGACGTAGTTGATGAAGTAGCCTGCGATTGCGACTGCGAGGGATTTTAGATTGGTTGGTTTCAGGAGATTTGGTAGGTAAAGGGACACTGCGGGATAGGAGGGAAAGAGAGAAAAGCAGGCATACCCTGAGCACCTGTATACGTGAACTGCGCCAACGTCGCATGGAACAGTTTAAACTGTTTCCAAAACGGCTGTTCCTGGTCCCCAACATGTGTCTCCGCAACTTGGAATGCCATATCCTCGTCTGTTACTTCAGGGATATTCGACATGAAGAACACTCCCGCCAGGAGGAAGACAAAGACGCCGATGGCGAGATAAACCCACTGCACGCTCTTCAGGGCATCGACGTCGTCCTCGGTGTCAGTGAAAAAGACGAACGATGCCAGAACGGGAGCAACGCAGGTGCCGATGCCGTTGAACGCCTGGGCGATGTTGATTCGGATTTCGGCGTACTTGGGGGGACCGCAGACTGTGCCTTTCTCAGCGGGGGTTCCTCTCGAATGAAATTGTTATTGCATTGCAGCCTACCTGCTAGATAAGGATTGGCGGCTGTTTCCAGCGAGCCCAGTCCCGAACCGATGACGAATGTCGCTGCGCAGAAGCCGCCAAATGATCGATTCAAGCCCGCGGGCCACATGCAGAGGGCCCCGATTCCGTATAGAGTCAGACCGAAGATGAAGACGCTTTTGTATCCATAGTGGCGGAGCATGTAGTTTGCGTAGCCCATCGATGCAAGAGGATAGGCGCTAGGGTCCATTAGTGAGTTATTCCGAGATCATAGTTGGTGGGTTCTGTGTTTGTGGAGCGCGCACCCAAAGTACGCTCCCTGGAGACCTGCTGAACGTGTCCGGTCGATGTGTAGTGTGGTTTGGAAGTGCTTGTTGAGAGTATCCAGCAAACCGTAGGCAAAGCCCTATAGACGACTCAGTATTGTCAATGTCAAGAGACATCGTCCGACTTACCCATAAGAAGAACAAAATAGTGACAAGACTCAACGGCCAAAGACTCTGACGCAGAGTCAGAGTCGCCGCGGACGTTGTCCTACTATTGTCGACCTTGAACCCGGAGCGGGTCTTCACGAATGTCAAGAAGCCCATTCTCGAGGGAAGGTGAAAGGTGAAGGGAAACAATCAGATAGAATTCAAGGCTCCAAAAGCTACTACACATCAAGAAAACAGGAAAGATAAAAAGAACCAGGCAGCCTCAGCTCTTTATGTACTAAGTGAGGACAGCGATAGCGCGTTAAAAAACCGCCTGCATTCTTTCCCCCCCGCGGCCTATCATTCGCGGATCCCAGGTACAAGCCGCACACGATGGCACCAACTCCTCATTTCGTATGCACGATGAGGGGGGAGGGAAGGGAAGGAAAGGATATGCGTCCTCGGCAAGTTAATGCTAATTCATCCCTTGGGGCGTAGTTAGGGTGTCCTAGGGCCGGTGACCCCGGACTTTTCTCTCCGCAAAATCATCCAATCTGGGGATAAGATCGTCAAGAATCTCCACCACTGAGACCGCACGAGGATGATGACCACGGTGTGAGTATGTGTACCACGAGAGCTATAGATTCAACCCCATCCCGGGTCCAACGACCCAAACGGTCTAGTCCAGTGTGACATTCCTTGTGATGCCCGAGCCGATGGTGGTGGCTGGAACCTTGCGTTGTGCCAGCAGGTGCTGCCGCTGCTCCGTCGCTTCGCATTCTTTCTCGAAGGTGCTGACCGGCCTTCCCCGCATGGAGTTGATACTTTTGGAAAACTAGTGGAAGCTTCGGCCCGGTGATTGGTGTCGTAGTACGGTTGCAAAATACGGCAGTAGCAACGCTACCTAATGGCTAAGGTAGCGCTGCTAGTCGTCTCGTTCGAGTTAAGGACTGCTCTCATGCTGCGCTATAATTTTCTCACGTCTTCGATTGGGCTGGAGAATCACGCGGTGGATCGAGAGTAAGCATTATGGGCCAATAGATATGGGATCAGCTATCTGGGGTAAGGGAGAAGACGCGATGCGAGATCGTCGAGAGGTAGGGGTGGAGATGGTGTAATGACCAGGTCGGATTTCGGGTTGATTGAGAGCGAGAGGCCTCCGGTCACGAGAGACGGCCAACGTGACTTGGGCTATCATTTGCCTCGTCCCAGTGGAATGTATGAATTATAATGATTATTCTTCGATTAGCCTATCTTATTTTTTGCTACTATTATTATCATCTGATGACGCGACTTTAAGATATGGCTCTCCAGCTACTCCCTACACGGCATATGTTCATACTCATTGGCTGATTTCGTCCTTCTATCAATTTCTACATGCGAGAGATATTTTGTATAATGCTATCATACGTACATGCCAACAGGTATCGAAGCAAGAAAAGAAAGTCAAAGAAAAGAAAAAGAAAAAGAAAACAAAAAACCAACGTCAAGTTCTACCATGACACGCCCGTTGATATTGCATCATCATATCATCACCCATAATCTATGCCTTCTTGGGCTTCCCAGGAGTTCCGTTCTGGAACTCAACCGCGTGGGCGGGAATGTTGTACAGGCGACGCTCTGCAAACTTGAGGACCTCGTCGATGATACTATCAACTTGTTAGCGATATGATGCAGTAAAGTATAGTGGGAAGGATGACATACATGACAGGCGCACTGATTGCCACGACAGCCTGCCACTCCGTCCAGTTCAGAGGCACAATAGAGAAGAGCCCTTGGAGGAAGGGAACGTAGAGGATAGCAAAGTGCAGGGCCATGGACAAGATGATAGCGTAGACCAGCTTCATGTTCTTCCACAGAGGGAAGGTCATCAGGGACTCGCTCGATGAAAGCGCGTTCATCGCGTTGAACATCTCAATCACGACCAGAATGGACAGAGACATGGTGGACGCGGATTTGGACATGTCGTTCGCGAACATTTCACAGCCGATCTCGGGGAATTGCGTCGAGCACTTGTGGAAGTGAGACTGCGCAAAGTTAGCAATGTGCTTGGTACGTCGGGTAGGTATCTAGGGAGTTGGTTCACTTACCAGGTGCCAGAGGGTAATCTGAGGGCCCTCGGGGTTGTAGACAAACCACCAGATATAACCAAAAACAGTAGCGACACCGACATACGTGCCAATGACCATGTACCGGAACAGAAGCCAGCCGCCAACAAGCGGCTCGTCACGCTTGCGAGGAGCACGTCTCATCACATCATGATCAGCAGGGTTGAAGGACAGAGCGGTGGCAGGGAGTCCATCAGTGACCAGGTTGACCCAGAGAAGCTGCACGGGAATCAAAGCCTCGGGCATACCCAGGGCAGCGGTCAAGAAGATCGACACGACCTCGCCAATATTGGACGAGATGAGATACCGAATGAACTGCTGAGTGTTGCTGTAAATCGATCGCCCTTCTTCCACGGCCACGGTGATGGTCGCAAAGTTGTCATCAGCCAGAACCATGTCAGCAGCCAGCTTCGCCACGTCAGTACCGGTACCCATCGCCACGCCAATGTCGGACTTCTTCAAGGCCGGCGCATCATTGACACCGTCTCCGGTCATGGCAACCACGTGGCCCAGCGACTGCAGGATCTCGACCAATTTGAGCTTGTGGGTAGGCTCGGTCCGCGAGAACAAGCTGGCCGTCTTGACAGCCTCGATCTTCTCACTGTGCGACAGATCGTCAAACTCTCTACCGGTGTAACTCTTGCCCTTGAGATCCTCATCGAAACCGAAAACTCCAATTTGACGACAGATGGACTCGGCCGTGTTCCGGCTGTCGCCCGTGATAACGATGACCCGGACGCCCGCTGCCTGGCACTTCTTGATTGAACCGGCCACCTCAACCCTGGGCGGGTCCAGCATACCAACAAGACCGACGAAAGTCATGTTCTGTTCCAGCTGAGCATATTCTTCGGGAGTTGTGGCACTGTGCAGAAGAGGGCTGGCCCCCACGTCGTCAATGCGCGCCAGAGCCATGACGCGGAGGCCCCGGTTTCCGTATTCCACGGACTCGGAGGAAAGCAAGTCAAGGTATTGTTTTGTGAGAGGGACACGGGTACCACCGGCTCCCAAGAGGACATGAGAGCAGCGCTCCAGGATCGACTCGGGGGCGCCCTTGACAAGGATCTTTTGCTCCTTTCCGGAGCCGACCAGGACGGACATGCTCTTCCGGTCGCGGGAGAACTCATACGTGGTGTGCAGCGGCAAGCGGGACTCGTAGTACGCACTCGACGCATGGAGCTTCTGGGAGGCGGGTAGGCGGGCAAGATCAGCATTGGTGGCCGTATTATCGGTTCCAATCTTTTCGACAAGGACTCGGAGAGCACCTTCGGTGGGTTCACCGATACAAGAGAAAACACCGCTCTTTCCATCATGGGCGAGAGTGGCACTGTTACAGAGCGCCATGACCTCTGTCATCTGGCGAACGGTCGACGAGGAGGCCGCGACGTTGGACAAGGCCTTACCGGCGCGAGAGATTTTACCCTCTGGCGCGAAAGTGGTACCTTCAACATCAAGCTCTTCCAGATCGCTACCGGACTCGTTCAAGTAGACAACCTTTTCGACGCTCATCTGGTTGGTGGTCAGGGTGCCCGTCTTGTCGGAGCAAATCACACTGCAGCTGCCCAGGGTCTCCACGGAAGGCAGAGACCGGACGACGGCGTTCTTTTGGGCCATCTTCCGGGTTCCCAGAGCCAGGCACGTGGTGATCACAACGGCCAGGCCTTCCGGGATGGCGGCCACGCCGAGGGAAACGGCAATCTTGAGGTAGTAGATGGCACCTTTGGTCCAGCCACCATGCGAAGGGTCGTTGAAGTGTTCGATGTTGATCAGCCACACCAGGATACAGATGACCGTGATCACCTTAGCCAGCATGTCACCAAAGTCATTGAGCTTCTGCTTCAATGGGGTAGGCTCCGAGATTTGAGAGGTGATGCTCTCGTGGATATCACCGATGGCGGTGGACCCACCGGTCAAAACCACAAGAGCCGTTGCGTGTCCGTTGACAACCGTAGTACCTGAGAAGAGCATGTTGATCTGATCCTGCTTCACGGCCTGCTTATCGGAGACGGCGCGAGTGTCCTTGGGGACACTCTCACTCTCGCCCGTCAAGATGGCTTGATCGACGCGGAAGCTGTTGCTATGGATGGACAACAAGCGGCAATCGGCGGGGATGCGGTCACCCACCGCGACATGGACGACATCACCCGGCACCAGATCCTCCGCTTTCACGCGCTGGACTTTCCCGTCACGAACCACGGTGGCTTCATTTGCGGAGTATTCCTGGAGAGCGGCAATTGCCTTTTCTGCACTACTCTCCTGGGTCACACCGACGACGGCATTGAGAATCAAAATGGTCAAAATCTATAAATGCGCAAATCCAGTCAGCAACACTCCGCAATACACCGAGCTCCGCCCATTCCAGGGTCACATACCACAGCAGGGTCAACGAAAGCGGTCCAGTCATCACCTTCCTCGAACAGAGCCAGCGCAAATGACACGGCAGCCGAGCCAAGTAGAATCAGGACAAGTTGGTCTTTGAATTGTTCGAGGATAAGCTCCCACATAGGGGTGGGGGGGTCTTCGGCAAGGGCTAAAGGGAGAAAAGAACGTTAGCGCAAACCGCTATTGAGGTCTGAGATGGGGCTATCACGAACCATTTGGGCCATAGGTCTTTTTGGACGAAGCAACCTGGGCTTGCGACAATCCGGAGTGCTCCGCAACGTCGAAATGACCCAGGGCCTTGTCCGGGGAGGCAAGATAAGCTTGCTCCATCATAGAACGACGGAGTAAACAAGCAGTCGATCAAGACAAGAGGGAAGGGGTTGAAGGGTGTGGCGAAAGAGAACGAAATTTACACCGATCGAGACATTAACGCCAGGTGGCTAAACGAATCTAATTAGATGATAGGTGACTTGATTGAGTCGCCCTGTCGGGGAAAGGACGTCGACGGGGACAAAGGGCGGAAGGGCTGGTATAAATATAGTAGTATCCGAGAGAGCGAGACAGACCGCCGGGAAAAGAGGGTGCGCGCCGAAAGGAACGGAAAAGAAGGAAAAGGAAAAGGGAAAGGGGAGATCGGTCAGCGACACCTTAGTATGCACGATCTCGAATTTGACCTGCGACTTCAACTTCAAATCAACGACTGGACAAGATGGACGAGAGCGAAGACAAAGCAGGGAACCCGGGGATCTGACCAAGCCATTCTTCTGCCAGGCACTTCTCAACGTGTTCTTTTGCGATGCCTGGGGCCGGTCGATGGTCGGCCCCGTCACGGCGTAAAAACTGCCGGGCAGAACACTTGCAGGGCTGAACGGTAATTTTACCCACCTGGAGAACGACCCCACAGTATTGTTGATAACAATTTGGATCTTTCATTATAGTTATAATTGGTGATTGTATAGGAAGATCAGATATAACTTCTACAGAGCATGGTATCCTATTGAGGTGATTGCTTGAAACATCCCTGTTGCTTCAACCCTTCCCAGGTATCTTGCGGGAGTTTCGGGTTCGGGGCTGTTGGTCGGGGGTATTGTAAAGTAAATACATACTACGTATGGGCACGTTACGCCGATTTCAAGTCTCCACCAGACGGCGATGATGATGTCTGCCTCCAAGATCGAGGCGAAGAAATCCGTTCCACCGATCGGCCTAGAATTTGGAGAATGGAGTGGCCTAGCAATGGTCTTTACCATCTCAGGTGATTCCAGCCCCATATGGTCCGCAGGAAAGCGACTCAAGGGATTGTAACTTGGTATAATGTGGATGTGAATCAAAGACCTTGTAGTGGCAAATCCACAATACTACGGTCTGATCAACACCGTTCGCTAGTTTGATGGTTTCAGTGCTTTTCTGTCCACATGGTTTCAAGGAGCGCTCCATCGGCGGTTCCAGTGTGAGCCATTTGCAGTTTGGTAGGTAGCTATCGGGAGCTACAGTAGTCTTTATACTCTCGTTCTCTTTCCCCTTGTACATATATATACATATAATACCTGCTTATATAGGGATTGAAATCGACAAGCAAATTGGCTACTTGCGCGTAGATAGACCAGGCTGATGCGACAGTACAATCGGTCAACGGTGGTGAGAATGGCTGGCGCCTACATTGTCCACTCACAATGTCCGTTAGGGGGCATCAAAGAAACAATCAGAAACCACTTGTATGAGGTGGGGCCGACTAGTTATCCACACGAATCACCATGATGATAACAGGCGCAGTGATAGGTGAGATCGATGCGACCTGGAGGAAGTCGGTCACAACTGGTCCAACTGGCGGAGAAGCATAGAAGGCAAAAGAACGATCCTAGAGGACGGTCTGCCTTGGTGCCTCAGTGCCTCAGTGTCAGACAGCCTCATTCATACCTGAGGCACACCCCGTTCAACCCGTTCAGCTTCTTTCTAAGAAAAACAGTGAAGAGAGAGAGAGAACTAAAATAAATACATAGATAGAGACAGCCAAAGTGAGTCTCTCGCTAAGCTAGAATTTCAGCAGCCTATAGTAGTGAGGAGCGTATCTCCAGTGATTTCTCCCATCTAGAAGTACCTTTACCTTACCTGCCTATCCACTCTTCCCACTCTCTCTCTCTCTGTCTCCCCCCACCGCCCGCCCTCTCTCCCTCTCTCCCTCTCTCATCTCTCCCTCTTCCAACTTCCCCCCCCCCCCCATACATTCTATCAACGTCAAATTATCTCCTCTTCTGTTTCATCACCACTCTCTCCTCTACTCCATCTCTCTCTTCCTCTAGTCCTTCTTTTCTCCTCCTTTTTCTATCCGCCTTTCTACCCCTCCATCTTTCACCATGACTTCTGAGGTATGTTGTTCAGCCTAACCCCTCTCGGCCTGTCCATGATGTTGTTTATCATACCGTTTCCATCCACACCATTCTCCAAATCCACGTCGTGATGATGACCACGTCTGTTCGGCAACTGCTGTTCTCTTCTTTTTCTGTCATCTTTGGCTTTTTCCTTTGCTATTATCCTAGTGCTTAATTGGTTTATTTGGATTTGAATACTAACCATTTATCTATATGGATAGCGCGATAGGTAAGGTTCTCGACCGTCTCGATCGACACTTGGAAAAAACCAAGAAGAAAAGAAGAAAAAAGTGAAGAATAGCGACACTAATGCCTTTCCCCCTGTTTAGCAAGACGTTCCTCGCACGTCTGTGTGAGCAGGCCGAGCGTTATGATGGTGAGCTCTACACGTATTATGGTAATTCGGGTGTCTTGTCATGCTGATCCCTGGCGTCTACAGAGATGGTCCTCTACATGAAGGTGAGCAGTCACCATGATCCTCCCACTCCCTCGAGATTAGATCGCTAACGATTTCATAGGAAGTTGCCAACGTATGCTCTCGCCTCCCTGTTCCGATCCCCTCGTCTCGTGCGCATCCACGTTTCGTTCCCTACGTTACTAACCCCCCTCGCTTGGTCAGATCGGAGGCGAACTTACCGTCGATGAGCGTAACCTTCTCTCCGTCGCCTACAAGAACGTTGTCGGCACCCGCCGTGCTTCCTGGCGCATCATCTCCTCCATCGAGCAGAAGGAGGAGTCCAAGGGCTCGGAGCAGCACGTCACCATCATCCGCGACTACCGTCAGAAGATCGAGAACGAGCTGGAGCGGGTCTGCCAGGATGTCCTTGATGTGCTGGACGAGTCTCTGATCCCCAAGGCCGAGACTGGCGAGTCCAAGGTGTTCTACTACAAGATGTAAGCGCGTCTGGTGGTTCAACCGTGCGTCGATCATTCTGGTGGTTAATAACAATTTGATGAACAGGAAGGGTGACTACCACCGCTACCTCGCCGAGTTTGCGTCCGGCAACAAGCGCAAGGTTGCTGCCACTGCCGCCCACGAGGCCTACAAGGTTCGTCTGTCGCCATCAACTCTCAAAGATCCGCACTAATGGGATGTAGAACGCGACCGACGTCGCTCAGACCGACCTCACCCCCACCCACCCCATCCGTCTGGGTCTCGCCCTGAACTTCTCCGTCTTCTACTACGAGATCCTGAACTCCCCCGACCGTGCGTGCCACCTGGCCAAGCAGGCGTTTGATGACGCGATCGCGGAGCTGGACTCCCTGTCGGAGGAGAGCTACCGCGACAGCACCCTGATCATGCAGTTGCTGCGTGACAACCTCACCCTGTGGACGTCTTCGGACGGCAACGAGGGCGAGGGCTCCGCCTCCAAGGAGGACAAGCCCGAGGAGGAGTCCGCGGCGGCCCCCGAGGACAAGGGTGAGGAGACCAAGCCCGCCCCCGCGGCTGAGTCGTAAGAGACTTGAGGGATGGGCGTTTTCCTTAGTGTTGTATCAAAAACCGCGTTCTTGCTCGGCGTGCCTGATTTGGACGTTCGATTTCTCCAGGAAGTACATGTGAAGGTCTGTTTCTCGCTTTCTAGCTGCGTTGACGGGTTTGGACTGGTTCATGACTTCCACTTGCTCGGGATTCGTGTGGACGGCTAGCGGAGTTTGAAGTTTGGAGAGCGCCGGGAAAGGGGCTGAGTGGAATCTATCTCTCTTTTACTGTCTCTATTCCCACCCCAGCAAGATACATTGTGTTATTTCAGCTTTCTCACTATGAACTCCCTAGTATCACCTGGTTAAGACCTCAGTAAATTACGACTAGACACGAAACAAGAACGGTCATCAACAAGGCTGTCACAGTATCCCCTCCACTAGAGACCTCAAATCATACTGAATCGAAGATACCCCATCAAGTCACGTGAACGCATCGATGACGAGCAAACCCAAGTGCGACCTTGGCTCATATCACTTGACCAACCAGTAGAATATTCGACGACTAGGTATATTAATAGATTTGCCATTCTTGGACGGCGTAAGATGAGTACAGAAGACAACGAAGAAATATATAGGTATCCATCTATCTATGTATCTACTATCCTACGACAGAATCAATCCAACTCAACGAGTTCGTCCAACATCAATGTTAAGCGCTTTTTATCAACAATGGTCTACTACCGATAAACTGTATAATCTGGCTGGTGGGGGAGGAATAAATGGACAGGTGTGTACATGTGTGGGAAGGGAGGGAAAGGCATTGATCAACCCTCGTGGTCCGGCCAGTTGGACTGACCAAAGGGTGATACTATCTAAAGGGCAATAAACGAGCAAAACCAAGTAAATCAGCAAGAAAGAAAGAAGAAGGGCAGATGGGTGAAAAAAGGGGGAAAAAAACTGAATTAAATAGCAAGAAATCACATAAAATCATCATCCCCCAACCCACCATCATCATCCCCATAGTTAGCAGTATCCATATGCGAGTCCCGGTTCGCATTCAACGTAACCTTCGTCTTGGCCGCCTTACTCTTCTTATTCCCCTTATCAGCAGCCCTCTCCTCCCTCATCTTCTCATTACTCATAGTCGACAGCGCACTCGCAATCTTCTTCACCTCCGTACTCGGCAGCTCCTTCACAAGCTGCTTCGCAAACTCCAGCGCCCAGATCGCATACTGCGGCTTCTTCGCCTGCGCCGAAAACAGCGGAATCAGCGTCTCGGTAACCTTCGCAAACTGATCCTTCGTGGTCGGCTTAAACAGCGGCATCGCCGACAAATCCACGGAGTTGGTCGGATCCGCCGCATCAGCAACGACAACCGCCTTGGGCGAGCCGCGATTACGCATACGGTTCAGGTCGATATCGCCGAACAGGTCCTGCGCGTGCTTGAGGTCTGCGTCCTGCTCGGTGGCGCGCAGCCGGGCGCGGCGGTCCGTCTCGTCCTCGTCGTAGCTCTCGTCCGAGTCCGAGGCGTCGGCGGCGCGCTGGCGCCGCTCCTGCTTGTGCTCTTCTATGCGCTGGGCTTTGCTCTTCTTCTTGGCGGCGGCTTCGGCGTCGGCCTTGGCTTTGGCTTCGGAGGCCTTTTTGGCCTTTTCGCGCTCGACTTCGGAGTCTTCGGCTGCGTCCCAGGAGTCGAGGACCTATTTATATTAAAGAAATATCGTCAGTTTGCCGTACTAGGTATGTAGATGAGAGATAGGTGGGGGATAGTGTAGGGGGTGATTATATGCGAGGGCCATATGGGGAGCCACGAAAGAAGCCACAGGTGCCAAAAGAAAAGGGAAAAAAAAAAAATTGCACATACCTCGTCCTCCTCCTCATCGTCGAATCTCCGTCTTCCCACCACAGGCGGGGGAGAGGTGCTCTCCTCCTCTTCGTCTATACCGAGTCATCTCATTAGCACTCATTATCATAAAAAAGACGAGGTGGTCATAGGATCAAAGGACGAAAATCCAGGGAAAGAAAAACTTACCCCACTTCGAAGGCGGCATGGTCGTTTTAAGTTGTTATGATAGTCGAGAAACTGTTGGTATCGTAGCGTCTTGCGGGTCAATATACCCAAAGATAATACACCAGACAGGGAGTTATCCCAGGAGTTTGCAGTTGGCAGTGAGAGAAGGTCTATCACAATGAACAATTGACGGCGTCGCCATGGATCGGATTCCGTTGGTGGGGCTGTTTGTGAGATCACGTGACGCTATAGGTGCCGTTGGTGCCCGAACCCAGGGTCCTCTGCCCTCCAGGACTAGTAGAGGGTTACTCGCGACTACCGATCGTATTGCTGGTTAAATCAACGTCTTACGTGTTCACATCACACAGCAGAGTACAGAGGAACTACGAATCCAGTTTATTGAAATTGATTAATTCACTTTTCATTATGTAGCCACTGAAAATCTTATCATTCATCATAAATCTCAGTCAGTTATCGTCGCTGATACAGAGGCAACCAGCGTAACTGTTTGAGAGTAATCCTGGTCGAGCCAGGCCTCCGGCTCCCATCATGCGCGGGGTATCAAGCATGATTTAGGAGACCGTGCGGACGTTGTCTCGTCCGAGCATTTAGAGGTTCACGGCAGTGCGGAAGTTGGTGCCGGCGTAGATGGCGTTCTCGCCCAGCTCCTCCTCGATGCGGAGGATCTGGTTCAGCTTGGCCAGACGCTCGGAGCGGGCAGGGGCACCGGTCTTGATCTGGCCGGAGCGGAGACCGACGGCGATGTCGGCGATGGTGACATCCTCAGTCTCACCGGAGCGGTGGGACACCATGACGCCCCACTTGTCAGCGTAGGAGTCCTTGGCGGCCTGGATGGACTCGGTCAGGGAGCCGATCTGGTTGACCTTGAGGAGGAGGGCGTTGCAAGACTTGAGCTCGATGGCCTTCTTGATGCGAAGAGGGTTGGTGACCGTCAGGTCGTCACCGACAATCTGGAAGTCGGAGGTCTTGTAGAAGTAGCTCCAGGCCTCCCAGTCGTCCTCAGCGAAGGGGTCCTCGATGGAGACGATGGGGTACTTGCTGGCCAGCGACTTGTACAGGTCGGCCAGCTGCTCGTAGGTGAGCCACTTGGTGGGGTCGCTGTCGGGGTTCTTGAAGTCCAGGTCGTACTTGCCGTCCTTGTAGAACTCGGACGAGGCGACGTCCAGAGCAATGTGGATCTTGCCGGTGTAGCCGGCCTGCTCGATGGACTCGGTGATCAGGTCGAGGGCCTCCTCGGGGGTCTGGATATCGGGAGCAACACCACCCTCATCACCAACGTTGCCAGCGGACTGGCCGTACTTCTTCTTGGCGAGAGCCTTCAGCTTCTGGTAGACCTCGGCACCCTGGCGCAGACCCTCGGAGAAAGAGGGAGCAGCACTATGAATCCGTCAGTATAGCTTCTAGGGCTGTCTGTCGATTGTCGGGGTCACTTACTCGGGAACGATCATGAATTCCTGGAAAGCCAGACGGCCACCGGCGTGGGAACCACCGTTCAGGACGTTCTGGAAGGGGACGGGGAGGACATAGGGCTTCTTGGTTCCGGCGAGGTCGGAGATGTGAGCGTAGAGGGGAACGCCCTTCTCAGCAGCACCAGCCTTGGCAATGGCCAAGCTGACACCCAGGATGGCGTTGGCACCGAGGTTGGCCTTGTTGGGGGTGCCATCAAGCTTGTTGAGGAACTCATCAACCTTGGACTGGTCCTTCACATCGAGGTTCTCCTTGATGAGGGCAGGGCCAATGGTCTCGTTCACGTTCTTGACGGCCTTGAGAACACCTGTTCATGCCATGGTCAGTCACGGTTCGGCATACTCGAGTAGAGATGACAGAAGTACATACCCTTGCCACCCCAGCGGGTCTTGTCGCCGTCACGGAGCTCGATGGCCTCGTGCTGGCCTATAATCGAGTTAACTTCGTTGTCGAGAATCAGATCAATCCAGGATATACGGACCAGTGGAAGCTCCGGAGGGAACAATGGCACGGTGCAGACCGGTCTCGGTGACAAGGTCGACCTCGACGGTGGGGTTGCCACGGGAGTCGTAGACGGAGCGGGCGTGGATCTTGGTGATAGGCATTTTGGTAGCTGACACAAGAATCAGTTTGGTAAGTTCAGATAAGAGGGAAAAAAGACAATGGCGGTAAAGGTAGAAGTGGGGAGAAACAGGGAAATAAATAAGAGCTCAGGAGCTCAGGATTGTTTGTTGGGACAGGCTAGCAGCGGGGGGATTGTTCACCGATGACCCAAAAGATTGGTCGGTGATTGGATGACAAGAAGAGGGGAGATGTGGGATTGATTGGATCGTACTTCTTGTTCTGGTCGACCGACAGGGACGATAGTGCAGTGGATAGAAGAGGACAGCAATATGAGGGAGAAGAACCCACTGATCCAGTAGACAATGAGTTGGGGATTGGGAGAGTGGGAGAGTAGGGAGAAGAAGTGAGGTGGGGGGATGACGGCAGAACAATTGACGGAGGAGCAACAGCTAGCTGTAGCTCTGTAGTGGTGGTAGTGGTAGTAGTAGGAAGAGTGGTAGGGTAAGGTGGGATGGCGGGGTCAACCGGATTAAGGTAGAAATACCCAGATCGGGGCAGACTTACAGTAACTTAGAGTCAGGATAGTAAGGTAGGTTAATGTAGAAAAGAGTAAAATAATAAAATCCAAGAAGAGGAAATGGCTGGTTCTTGTATGAGGTCAATTGAATTCCCCCGGCTGTCCCTCCGATTCTTTCCAACGGGATGGTGGGGCAGTCTGTCGTCCTGAGTCTCCCGCTGGCCGAGGCCACTGGTTGCTGTGACGCCGTCCAGCGAAATCTTCCGTATTCCCTCGGGGTAAGGCGGAGACTCTCTTGTCGGTGATGATAATGTTGGATAAAATCCCTCGTCTACTATCTACTAGAGTGGACTTGGAAGTCTGTACGAGATCCCTATGTCTTCCGTGGTTACTAGGTATACTAATGAGATTATGAGTCCCTTCCAACGACTATCCTCTAATTAGTACTGGCGACCTAGTAGTAGCATTACAGGCATGAATAGACTAAACCAAGTAATTAGATACCTACGTTTAAAGTAGCTCATATCAAGGTGTACTAAAGGGTCAAGGGAATAGTAAGGTAGGAATCATCACTATAGAACCAATGAAATTGTTGCTGTTGCTCAATCGTGAGCATTGGGTTGATACCTCCTATAGCATGACTGGAATAGTATCTATGCCGTAATTCCTTCGGCTTCATTGGATTCACCCCGGAAGGGAGAGAAGGGAAGTCGGAATACATCATGGATCATCCGTCTCTGGAAACTTCCATCACCTCCATGGAAATTGTGATTGCGTAATGATACTGATGAGGCTGGCCTGGACACCTTGCTGCCTGACGGTCTCGGAGAAACAATAACACGACGTTATCGCCTGCTGGGTGTAAGGCATAAACATCAGGCAGAAAATCAGTCACCTGATATGAGGTGATGTATGGTGGTCATGTGATCTGACCGCCTTGGGGCCCGTTAGCTTCCCTGGACAGCTCGCCGAGCTGGCCGCAAGTCAATCCAGATATACTCTCCACATCATCGACCCTTGAATCAACTCCGACCCATCTACAACGCGGCGATTGAACCCTCTTTTCTGATTGAAAGATTCAATCGATCTGCCCATCCACCTCGATACATCCCTCGGTCCGCCGTCCCATCCACGATGAACGGCGCCAGTGATCCAGAGCGTGACCAGGCGCTCGATGATTACAAGAGGAGTCTGATGGACTTGAGAGAATGGGAGGCAAAGCTCAAATCGCTCCGCATGGGCATCAAGGATCTGCAGAGAGAGTTTGATATCTCTGAAGAAAACATCAAGGCCCTGCAAAGTGTCGGCCAGATCATCGGCGAGGTGTTGAAGCAGTTGGACGAAGAGAGATGTATGGCTTCTTTGTTGTGCTATGTTTTATCTCCCGGATGAATGTCATCTCCTTGGATGAGAAGCTAACTTCAACAGTCATCGTCAAGGCATCATCCGGACCTCGATACGTTGTTGGCTGCCGCTCCAAGGTCGACAAGGCGAAGATGAAGCAGGGAACCCGTGTTGCCCTCGATATGACGACCCTGACGATCATGCGCATGCTCCCCCGTGAAGTCGACCCGCTGGTATATAACATGTCTTTGGAGGACCCTGGGCAGGTTAGCTTTGCAGGAATTGGTGGTCTGAACGAGCAGATCCGAGAGTTGCGAGAGGTGATCGAGTTGCCGCTGAAGAACCCGGAGCTTTTCCAACGGGTCGGTATCAAACCGCCCAAGGGTGTGTTGCTCTACGGTCCTCCCGGTACCGGAAAGACATTGCTGGCACGAGCGGTAGCAAGCTCCATCGAAACCAACTTCTTGAAGGGTAGGCGATACACCGGACATTCAGATAGAGGGACCTCCTTGCTGACCAACTACAGTGGTTTCGTCCGCGATTGTCGACAAGTACATTGGCGAGTCCGCCCGGTTAATAAGAGAGATGTTCGGCTACGCCAAGGAGCACGAGCCCTGCATTATCTTCATGGATGAAATCGACGCCATCGGTGGGAGACGTTTCTCGGAAGGAACCTCTGCTGATCGAGAGATTCAACGTACACTGATGGAGCTTCTCAACCAACTGGACGGCTTCGACTACCTGGGCAAGACGAAGATCATCATGGCTACGAATCGGCCTGACACACTGGACCCGGCCCTGCTGCGTGCCGGACGTCTGGACCGCAAGATTGAGATCCCTCTGCCTAATGAGGTCGGCCGTCTTGAGATCCTGAAGATCCATACCAGCACGGTCGTATTAGACGGGGAGATCGACTTTGAAAGCGTGGTCAAGATGAGTGACGGCCTCAACGGAGCTGATCTCCGCAACGTTGTTACTGAGGCGTAAGTCCCTCTTTTGCTCCTAACCTTGACTTGAATAGTGTCTGACAGAATATAGTGGCCTCTTTGCGATCAAGGATTACCGAGATTCTATCAACCAGGACGACTTCAACCGGGCGGTGCGCAAGGTGGCGGAGTCGAAGAAGTTGGAAGGCAAACTCGAATACCAGAAACTGTAGATGAGCGATGTTGTTGGTGGATAGTCATTTAGATTTAGCAATTTCAACCTTTTGAGGCAACCTTAATTCTAAAGAATTCAAGTCAACTGTATGTAGATAATGGCTTGTAACTAGGTTTCCGAATGTCCATGGTAGACCAAGAGAGTCTGTTGCTGCATCTCCCTCTTGCTTTATTAAATTTTCACTACAATAATCAAAACGCCCAGGTCCCACCTACCACCCCCATATAAAGATAACCACGATAGCCTATCCAGCATGTCCTTGTACCTGGCACAGTGAATGGATGAATGGATTGTCGAACGCCAAGGAGCGGGTCCGCCAACTCTTCGGGGGATCTACAGCCGTGGCCAAAACACTCCAAGGTGGCCACACCTCCAACAGAGTGCATAGATTCTATTTATTCCCATGGCAATGGCCACCGCTACGCCTACACCGGGTGGGATTTATTGATTTTTGGATATTGACTGAGCACACGTGGGTATTCACAATAGTGGATTGTACCTGTGCTGAATTACAGAGGCGACGTTGCGCATTGTTGGATGCTGGTAAGTTTGCCGTTCACCAGGTTCCTCCGTGATGAGGGGAGACGGCTCCGCTATGGACTAGGATGCATTGCTGATATACGATCGCTTCTTTGTAGAACTGTCCGACTTGAAGATTTCGAGCAATTGTCAGCAGCCGATGCTGGGAGAGCAATCGCCATCGCACCCTCGCGAACAATTGCGCCACGGACCACCACTTTTCGCTCCCTAATATTTGCGACACTTCGTTAGCGAAAAGCACACTTGAGCCTCAACATTCAGACGCCGGAACCCCAGACCCACAACCGGCAAGAAAACATGTCCTTCCAACCGCCACAGCGCAACCCATCACTCTCCCCGCACCGCCCCCTCGAAAGCAACTACTGGCGCGCGAGTCGCAGCCCAGGACCCGGACCAAACAGACTACCGGGGTATGGACTGTCGCAATCACCAGGGGTAACCAGCAACGTGGGTGGATTTTTCTCGGGTGAGCGCACGCTCCCGATGTACAAGGACAAGCCTTATTTCGCGCCGCGGCGCACGGGTCCGAGGTTGAGGCGGAGGAGGATCCTGTACGCTGGGGTGTGTCTGGTATTTGTCGTGTTTCTGTGGTGTTATTTTGTGGGGTATGGGTTGGATGTGTCGAGGTCGAAAGTGGCGACTAGTGATCCCGGGGCGGACTTGTGGAAGTGGATTGAGAGTTTGGATGCTGAGTCGGAGAAGGATGTTGACTGGGATGCGAGGAGGGAGAAGGTTAGGGAGGTGCTCATGGTTAGCTGGGATGGCTACGAGAATCATGCGTGGGGTATGTATCCCCGAACTCTCTACCCAGGTCACTTGAGAGATTCACCGTTTCGCGAATGCTGATCTTACCCTGCATAGGACGAGACGAATACTACCCCGTAGCCAAAACAGGCCGAGACATGATCCACGGCGGCATGGGCTGGACGATCGTCGACGCGCTCGACACGCTGATGATCATGAACCTCACATCGCGCGTTCAACACGCACGGAGCTGGATCCAAAACTCCCTACAATACGACCAGGACCACGACGTGAGCATGTTCGAGACGACGATCCGCATGCTGGGCGGGCTTCTCTCCGCGCACTACCTCTCCACCACGTACCCGGATCTGGCGCCAATCACAGACGACGATGCGGGCGCTGCAGGCGAGGACCTGTACATCGAGAAGGCGACCGACCTGGCGGATCGACTGATGGGTGCGTTTGAGAGCGCGTCGGGGGTGCCCTATGCGAGCGTCAACCTCCATGACTCGAAGGCAATCCCGTCGCACGCGGATAATGGCGCGTCGTCTACGGCTGAGGCGACGAGTTTGCAGCTCGAGTTCAAGTATCTGGCGAAGCTGACCGGCGAGGCGGAGTTCTGGCGTGCTGCGGAAAAGGTGATGCAAGTGGTGGATGCGCAGAAGGCTGAAGATGGCCTGCTCCCTATCTTCCTCTATCCTGAGACTGGAGATTTCAAGGGTGAACAGATTCGTCTGGGGAGTCGTGGCGACTCCTACTACGGTATGGAAACTCCTCCTTTCTCGTCCGTTCTAAGTGCTAACACAGCTCTGTATGTAGAATACCTCATCAAGCAATACCTCCAAACAGGCGAAGAAATCTACAAAGAGATGTGGGACGAGTCCCTCCTCGGCATCCGCAAAAACCTAATCACATACTCCAAAGACGCCCACCTAACCGTCCTAGCGGAGCTGCCCTCCGGCATCAGCGGACCCCTGTACCCCAAAATGGACCACCTAGCCTGCTTCCTCCCCGGATCCATCGCCCTCGGCGCAACAGGCGGACAGCCCCTCTCGGAAGCCAAAAAGTCCCCCACCTGGACCCAGCGCCAAGACGAAGAGATCCTTCTCTCCAAGGAACTCATGAAAACATGCTGGGCGACATACCTCGCCACGAAGAGCGGGCTCGCCCCGGAGATCACCTACTTCAAGCTCGACGAGCCGTCCGTCATGGAAAAAGACATGTACCCGGATTCCACCCTGACAACAGGAAACCGCAAATCCACCGGAAAGGACCTACCCCTAAAGTCCAAACCGCTCCTCCCCCAAGGAAAAGGCGAAGACCCAGCGTGGAAATCCGACCTCAACATCCACCAACAAGACCGCCACAACCTCCAACGCCCTGAAACAGTCGAATCCCTCTTCTACATGTACCGCATCACCGGCGACGACACCTATCGCCAATGGGGATGGGAGATGTTCAAGTCTTTCGTGCGACACACAGCCGTCATCGAAGACGACTCCGACTCTCCCCAGTCCGACCCCATCACCGCAGGAAGCAAGAAAAAGAACCCGAACCCGCGCGTGGTAGGCTTCACATCCCTCAACAACGCCGACACGATCCCGACCTCCAAGCGCGACAACATGGAAAGTTTCTGGATGGCGGAGACGCTCAAGTACATGTATCTGCTGTTCTCGGAGCGGGATTTCCTCCCGCTGGAGGAGAATATTTTCAACACGGAGGCGCATCCGATGCCGCGGTTTGTGCCGGGTGGGGAGTTGAAGACGGGGTGGGAGAGGGCGAGGAAGGTGGTGGGGGTGAAGCAGGCGGCGGGTGGGGAAGATAGTGCTGGGGGGGATAAATGATGTGATGTGATTAGGTATATAGTATATATGTTGGTTTTTTGTTTCTTTTTAAATTATTTCGCTGATTGTATTGATTTGGTTTTTGTAATGTTCTTCTTGGTATTAGCATTGCTGTTGATGTATATAATGTAAAGTCGTGTCGTGCGTGCCATGTCATGTTAGATAAATATATTTGTTGGATTAGCGTGTATGGTGTATAATTGTTGGTTGAATGGTCAGATGCTGGTTGACTGTTATCTAGGTCTTTCTTTCCCCTCTGATTATGATATATATAGATATACTATATCTATGTAGTATATAGATAGCGTATGTATATACTATATGTATGACACTTTCAGACTCATGCATATGGCAATATCATAAACTACATTACTATATCCTATCCAGGCAATTGCATCACTCAATACAACCAGGCATACCCAACTTTTCCACCCATACTTCAAATCACGCATTACAACTTTATCACCACACCAACAAGGCAGATCACCTCTCCAACGCAGCCTCCACCAATCGCCGATACCCCTGCAACGCGCTCTCCAAATCCCCAACGGTAAGGGCCTCGTTATCTCCATGCGCGACATGGATACTACCAGGCCCATACAAGTAGCGACGAACAGACCTACCATCCTCCCGCTCAGGAATACGCAGATTCGGCACGTCCGTGCCGTAGTTAACAGTGATGATATCAAAGCCAGGGACGTCCGTGTCGAGGTCCTGCGGCGGGTATGCCTCGTCGTGAGAAGCGAAGTCGACGACGACGTCCTCGTCGCCGGCGGTGGCGTCGCGGACGGCGCGACGGATGATCTCCCTCGCTTCATCGGGGGTTCCGGCCGCGAGGCGGACGGCGACGTCTGCGACGGCTTTGGCGGGGACGACGTTCGTCGCGACGCCTGCGTCGACGCGGCCGATGTTGACCGTCGTGGGGCCGTACTTGGGGCTAGGCGGGAGGCCGTCGGGGAGGGAGCCCAGCTTGTCGACGATGGAGAGGGCGGGGAGGATGGCGGAGACGGCGCTGCGGCCGAGCCAGGGGTAGCCTGAGTGGGCTGCGTGGCCGTTGGCGACGACCTGGAAGCCGAGCATGCCTTTGTGGCCTGAGACGAGGGCCAGGTCTGTGGGCTCGCCGAAGATGACGGTGGTGAAGGGGGAGGGGGAGGGGTTTAGGGAGGGGGAGTCGGAGAAGGCGCGCATGCCGTCGCCGCCGACTTCTTCGCCGACGACGAAGAGGAGGGCTAGGGGGGCGGTGGGGTTGGATTCGAGGATGTCGAGGGCGGCGAAGACTTGGGCTGCGACGCTGGCTTTGGCGTCGACGGAGCCGCGGCCGGCGATGCGGATTGTTGTGGGGGAGGAGGAGTCATTGGAGGGGTGGGAGAGGGAGTAGGGGATGAAGGGGGGGACGGTGTCGATGTGGCTGGTTAGGAGAATTTGGGGGGATGGTGATGCGGGAGGGTAGGCGAAGATGTTGAAGCGGCCTTGCGTGTTGGTGGTGAAGTCGTCATTGCCGACGGGCTGCTTGATGACGGTGAAGTTGTGCGACTCGAGGAACTCCGCGACGAAGGACCCCGCGTTTTGCTCGTCATTTGAGACGGACGAGGTCTGGACGAGGCCACGGTGGAAGGACAGGAAGGGTGAGGCGTTGATGACGTCGTCTAGGGAGTCTGTCACGGATGGTAGAGACTCCAGCAGAGGTGCATCGTCCTGGACAGCGAGGTGCAGTTGGCGTGGAGGTGCGGGGTGCGGAGAAGCCGCGGACAAACCCGTGGCGGTTAGGAGGAGAGTCGAGGAGAGCTTCATAGTGATTGATTGATTCAATGCAATCGATTGATTGGAATTGGTGTATTCTATCAGTCGATTCAAATCATTGGCGGGATTCCAATTGTAGAGTACAAGTGATGCGAATACAGGGAGTGTTGTCAGGGCTTCATCTCCACTAATCAACTACCTTGATTATGGAGAGACTCGGAGTGAAGCAGGAGGACAAACAGCACAAACATCGGGTGTTGACCGTATCGGATTCCTTGACTGCTTTGGGAATAGTTTCACTTTTACAACGCACTCGTTGACTGAACTACTTGATTGACTGAACTACTTGATTAGTTTGTTTGTTGCTCTGACTCATAGTGCAGTCTATTGATTTCCTTTGTGGGAGTTCGCTGATCATGATGCAAGTGCACTTGATGAACTATTGTAAAAGCTGCCGGTTTATACAGTGGACCAAGCTCTGATCTGATCTCGTCCCTAAGTTGACTCAGTGTCGAATACTCCGTAGATTGGACGACTGGAGTATACACTATACAATATACTACTATACCACCAGGTCTGCCGTTCTCCGATACTTATCCGAAGTCCACAGAGGTGACGTTGGAGGATGCCAAGTGCCAGTCAATCCGCGGAACCGGACCACGCCAAACCACATCTATCCACTCATAATGGCCAGAAGGCGTTCTCTTTCCATTCCTTGTCTCCCTCTGGTTCAGCCAAACAGAGTTGGGTTCCATGAGCTGAACCACTTTAACACGACTAGGTTGCTACCATGTGGAACTTTGACGTCGGCACCAAAGGTATGGCTTGAACGGTTGGCTGAAGTATGTCTCTCTAATCGGTAATATATTTGTGTGCTATTGACTACCTGAGGAAAAACGAGCAATCCCACAACACCAAAAAAAAAGTCTTGGAGGGGTAAAAAAAGGAAAAAGAAAAAAGAAAAAAAAACCGGGATTTGTATGGATTCAGGTATGAAATCTGTACGGGTTCAGCTTCTTCGTCCTCGCCAGCTGACACCGCAATCCCCCTCATGGCCTCGAGACTTCTCACGATTGGGCGAATTGGTCGCAACCTGATCAATTTCTGAGCATCACTCGCATGAAATCGAGAAAGTCCGACTGATGATTGGGATGATACTTAATGATAGATCACGGTACTTTTTATTTTTCCATTTTTATAATATTTATCTTTTATTATATTTTCTTAACTAGGGTTCTCTCAAGGCCGGTCAAGCATGACGATGCGATGTCGCACGACAATCCCGGAATCGACCCGCCACTGGAGCTCAGTCAACCCGATGGAAAGTCTGTGTTCGATCAGTCGAGTCGGTCAGAGCCTAGATGTTGACGGGGACTCCAGTCTTGTCTGGTTTCTTGCTGATCCGCCCCTCTTTTCGGACTGCGACTAGTACCTATATAGGTGGAGCGGGTCGACAGGACGTTGCAAGGCCGTTACAGAAGGGAAGAACGAAATCGACGGATGGACGGGAGGCTGCTGTTAAACAGATCCATCTATTTTTTATATTTTATATTCTTTCGGGGACCATTGCCCGAATGATCTCCGACAGACGGTGTTTTGTATAGTTCGCATCCTGTACGGGGGACTCTGTACTCTGTACGCCGGAGGATTCCAACAGGTCTTTTGTTTCAGCCATCCACTCCGTCAGGAAGCATGTCAGTATACATGCATCAGAACCCAATTGTCTATTGAAAGAACCAATTGTCTATCTAGAGCCAATTGACCGCGTAGTATGTCCGTTGGTGGTTGGAACCAAAGAATGCGAGGAATGGTTGAGAACGCCGTGGCAAACAGGCTGACTGACCATGGGACTGTCTTATATTCTCGAATCAGAAAAGAAGAAAGAGAAAGAAAATAATCAAATAAAGAAAAGAAAGACAAAAGAATAAGAATTCTTTAGTAGTTGTCGGGTATCACATCAGAGTCGGAGCAGACACTCGATTGGAAAAGTTTCTCTCATTTTTGCCTCCCCAGGGTCGAATTGACGAGAAGGAAGGATTGGATAGATTCGATCTAGTCGATGGATGAGTTTGAAATGTCTTTTCGATCGAATTAAAAACCTGTCCGAACGAACATTCCAAACAAAGGTTGGGTTCCTTGTCTGTGCTTCCACTCCACCGGTTGATCCTCTTACTCTACTCTTTACTCTTTTTATCTCTATCTTCTTTTTCTTTTTCTTCTTCTTTTTCTTTTCTACTTCCACACTCGTCATCCTTTCTTTCCTCTTCTTCCTCTCTTCTCCCCTCTATCTTACTTTCCCTTCTCCCTCTTTGTACCCATTTCCCCTCATATCAGGCTCACCGCGTCCATCCTTCCCATCCAACGGGCAGCGATTGACTGCAGCAACGCTACTCCGTACTGAGCTGTCAATCTCCAGCTGTTCGACTCGGCATCCACTGACGGGCTCCACGTCTTTGCTCTTACCTGCCCACCTGCCCTACCGCCTGCAATTCTCCTCGCTCCTACAGTTCCCCCATTCCTCCTGCTGTTCCTGCGGTTCGCTTTAGTACATACTTCCCCAACCGTGGTCCCTTCCGCTTCGCTTCCTTCCTCACGTCGGGTCGCCTTTTTCACCGCCACGGCCACGTCGGCCCTCGCTTCTCGACCTTAAAGACTCATCCCAGTTCATCGCCGGACTACTTTCGAGATCTTCCCCCCCCGGATCTTTTCTTTCTGCTTTACTTCTTTTACTGCTCCACCGTCTTTGATTTCTCCGAATTCAGACCAACAGGACAGTTGACTCAAACAAAGAAAAAAAATCCCCACTTATTTACTCCCTTCCATGTGGTGTGGATCATGTTGTTGCCGCCTCTCAACTAACCCCGATCTCGACGTGTCGCGCTTGCTTCCCACTGATCTCCTTCGGTGAAGGACAGCCTCATTTTTTTGCCTTTGATCTACACACCATCAGGATCGTCAACCCCAAAAAAAAGGTTTACTGCCTGTCCTCTCGTGGCATATCTTCCTCATGGTCAAACTCGCGCAACTGCTCGACGCCAGAAGGCGTGATGGCGTCGACCCCACCCCAACCTCGCCCTTAACCACCGCGTCGTCCACCCCCGTCTCACCCGCGGTCTCGCTCTTTTCTGCAAAGGGCCATACGCAGTTTTCCAGCTCCGTCTCCTCATTGGTCTCCTCTCCCGGTCACGGAAATTCCATGGAGAGCGCGTCGCGGAATCCCTTGACAGGAGTCAAGGAAGAACCCTGTGGGGCCCGCGCGAGGGATCTCGAGGACGAGTATTTCCGTACGTTGCCCTTGCTCCCAGCCTCGTTCCTTTCCCTCGTTCTCTTCCATTTTTTTCCCCGACACGATGGTCCTGTCTGATGTACCCGACTAACCGACGCATGGGATTTCGCAGAACATTTTGATCAGGGCTTGTCCGTCCTTGAAGATTCCTATCTTTCGTCAGTCGACTACTCCAACAGCTACGACCTGAGTGATTCCCCCATGGATGTCTCCCATTCGCCCAAAAAGAGACGCTCCGACAGCGCCTCGGCCAAAGGTCTGTCCCGCATCGGCTCTCGCATCTCGACCATCTCCACGCGCTGGAAGTCCAAGCGCGTGTCCGATGACCCCAACGGCGCCGATGGGCTCGCGGGCGGCTTCCGATCCCGCACCAACTCCGCGTCGTCTGCACGAGGCTCCCCGGGTGGCGCGGTCCGGTTGGATGCCGCCACTGTCCCTCCCTCGCCCGCCCGCACGATCTTCGAGGAACGGATCAGCGAGTCGGGCGTGCGGCCAATCGACATCGCACGAGCCAACAACCCCGGCGCCGAAGATTGCGTGCCGCATGCGACCACCCCGTTACTACCGCCCTTCATGGGTGACGAGCCCATGTATCCCGTCGTGTCCCGCGTGCATTCGCCGCTGCAGTCTCCGTCCGTGGCGGACGTCTCCGATGAGCATCTCGACGGCGGTGCGGTCCAGGATCAGCGCACCGCCGCCCTTCCATCACCCCCTTTGTCCACCAAACCATCCATCGCGTCATTCAACCGCCCTCGCGCGAGCACGACGCGCACGGTGTCCACCGAAGCGCCCCCCTTCCTCCTGACCGATCCCAAGGACGAATGGGCGAAGAAACTCGGCCATGCCAATTTCACGATCTACCCCGAGCCCTACGCCCCGGAAGTCTGTGACGTCAAGTCGCTCGAGCAGCTGCGCGCCCACTGGGATCTCGCGCACTGCAACTTTACCAAACACCTGGTCCGGACCGGCGAGCACTACGGCACCACGTCCAACATCTACAAGTTGACCGAGGAGAAGTGGGAGTGCATCAACAGCGAGTGGAAGCACTGCCACGAAGTGATGCTGTCCCAGCTTGGAGAGATGGGGGGCGCTTTCCTGAGCCTGCCCGAGTCTCATTCCGAGCTCTGCGAACCGGTCAAGATCCCGCGCCTCCACAACGAGAAGTTCCCCGACCTGGGCGATGGTGAGATCGTTGGTCCCATGAAGATCGTCGCTCCTGCATCGAACGGCGCGGGTCTTTGTCGGACCCGATCGTTGAAACGGAATCTCGTCCGGTTCTTCCAAGACCTCGTCTCCCGATCTTAGCCACTTTTTACCCACCCGTCCTTTATATCTTGCATTGCATATTTACGACTATAGAATTACAGCGAGGTTTAATGATGTACAACATCTAACGATTCCTACGCCTCTCGGATGAACGATACAACCGCATGTGACGATTAATGTTTTCCTTTTCGTTTTGTTTTTTCCTTCTTGTTTTATTTGCGATGTTTTATCCCTGACCCTGGACTTTATGCATGTGCATCCGACCTGTGACTGATAATTGATGACTGATGATTTCTGTGCCTGCGACTACTGACTCGCACGGTGCATCCATTCCTTTACGTTCGAGCCCTCCCTTTGTTCCGTTCTTGTGCCCCTCCTGTACCACGGATGATATGTTACACCCACATGTAATAGTGTGGCCTTGTGCTACCTGAATTTTAATGTTTTGTCTCGCCTTGCATTTCCTAACATTGGTTGGCGTTGTTCCAAATGTAGGTGAGAAGAAGGAAACAAAAGAAAGAAAAGAAAAAAGACGTGGTGGAGGGGTGGAATGGATGAATGTTTACATACTATTTCATGGGCGCTGGTGCTTGGGCCGTTTCAATCCTTACTATATACCCAGGGTATCTGTTTATGGCCACTGTATTTTGATAGTGTGTGTGCCAGGAAGAAATAAAATACATTTTCACATAGATCTTACTTCGAATAATGTATACAGAGTATGGTGTAGTATGGCGCCAGTATCACTACTGGGCCACAACAGCGATAATTGAGAAGAGGTTGAGTAATGGAAATGCACTACCTACACCCACCAATACATAACATCCCTTAGACACGAGTATACATACACATATACATCCATGCCAAACTCACAGACCAACCGACTGAAGTCCACGTAAGGCACTGCAGTACAGACCTACCAAACATGCACTTACTACCTCGGTAAGCGGTATCTAAGTACGCAGGTAACTGTAAGTAGGCAGGTTGATATCAATGTACATATTTCATTTTCAGTATAATAGGATAGGGGATTTATTTACGTGGTTTCTTCGCCGCCGAGACGCATGTATGGGGATGATATGTATGTATGATGGATAGATAGGGATGGATAGGGATAGATGGGTAGGTAGGTAGGTAGGTAGGTACCTAGAGGGAGGGACGGGAGGGGAGGAGTATAGACATAGGAACGGAGGAAGAGTTACTATACTATACTTGGTTGAAGGATGTTAGTTTGGTTTGGTCTGGTCTGGTCTGGTCTGGTCAGTTCAGTCAGTGTAGTGTAGTGTAGGTAGTGTAGCTAGGTTGGGTTGATCAATCGGATTGAATCCAGGCGTAGATGCATGCATATCTGGTTCAATGCTTAGTTACTACCTTGTTATGAGGTACCTAGTCCCTAGTTACTATTCTATTCTATGATGTTATGCTATGATGCTAGCTAGCTATGCTGTGCGAAGAGGTATGTATTGAGCGGCGTATGTATCTATCTCCATAATGCAACGAACTCAACCATCCACATCTATATCTAACACCAGACCTATCCAAGCCTATCCAAGCCTATCCAAGCCTATCCAAGCCTATCCAAGCCTATCCAAGCCTATCCAAGCCTATCCAAGCCTATCCAAGCCTATCCAAGCCAAGGCAAGCAAGCAATTCAAATCCAATACCTCCCCCAAACACCCTTACTCTGCTCGCTCCCGTGGAACCGGAAATCCACGCGGACGATGTCCTCGAAGCCCTCCGACAGCGAGGGTTCCTTGAATCTGCGGCCGAAGTCGCCGAAAGCGATGCCGGGGAGTAAGGTGCGGGATTCGGGGTTCTTTTTATTTCATTTTTGTTAGCTCGATTGGTTGACCGGTTAAGAGGGGAGGGAGTCTGCGTGGCCTGCTGAGATTTCTGCATGCATCTGCGTGTTTGTATGTGTATGTGGGTATGGTGTGTATGACGAATTATGGGGTCAGAGGATGTGAGGAGGGGTAGATAGGTATATAGGTACGGTACGGTGAAGGGAAGTCTATGCTTTGCATAGCGGGGAGGTAGATAGAGAGAGGGGTAGAATGCCGGTATGCAGCCGGGCAAGTCGTCTGTACAACACCGGGATGGACAGAAAACAACTCACCAGGTCTTGATTCGCTGCGCGCACAGCGTTGTTATGTCGGCATAGATCCTGCGATGCCGTGAAATATACACAGCGGATGGGGACGCCGGATTCTTTGGCTACTGAGACCCAGTGGGCTCTTGTTTCGGGGTCGGCGTTTGTGTTGTCTACTCGTCAGGTTAGCACGGTTCTGGAGTTACTGGCAATTCCTCATTTGACGAATCCTTCGACAGCGGTTGGGGGGGGGGGCTGTCGGATGGGCTGGGATACCGCCCCGATGGATGGTGTAGAGCCAGCCACTTTATATCATGCAAGGGTCACATACCGACGACGACAGATTTCCCGGCCGCAAGGTATTCCTTCGCCACTTTTATACATTTCGGGCGCTGGTCAGACGTTAGCATGTTTTGCTTCTCGTGTTGGTTCCCGGTTTATGCGGGTGGCTGTCCCTGTCTCCTGTCTAGACACGCATTCGACCTGGCCCAATCCAGTCGCCTTGGGAAACCCCGTCTACAATAGTATAACAAGGGTGCAGGCTCACCGTCTTCAGAAGATCCTGGTTCGCCCGTTCATAACCCAACGGCTGCAAGTAATTCCAGTAAAACGTAGATTTGCCCGCCCCCGGACTCCCGCAGAAGATCACTAGCTCCACGGGACTGTTCCGGGAGAAAGGGGCGGGGACTGCAGAACGATCTGAGTTAGCATTGGCTGGGGCTGCAGGGTGTGGCCTAGCCCCGGTCGTGGACGCCAGGGACAAACGGACCGGGCCAGACTGCGCATAGACCACCTGCTCGTCATTACATACCGTTGTCTGTGGGATCGGATTCCAGATAGACTGTGGGGTCGAAGGGTTCCACGAGCGGTTCTGGCGCTGCGTTGAGGAAAAATTCCTCGGGGGTTTGGAAGGGGAGGCCGACGTTTACGGCGAAACCACTAGATTGGTAAGTTTGTCTTTGGAATAGATGTTGGTGAGAGAGGAGAGAGAGAGAGAGAGGACATACCGATCCACCTGGGAATGATCCCTCGGCCGACCAGCGGCATCCCCAACATAAATCGAGCCTTTCAGGTCAACGCCCTCAACATCAAAGTCCTGATCATCCAAATACTCCTTCCACATGCCGGTCCTCGGCTTGCGGTAGCTATCATCTTCAGTCGCCGCGTAGACACTGATCGGGATATCCAGCTTTTCCATAACAGCAGCGGCGCGTTCTTTGAAATTCGTGAGACTCTTGGAATCGCTTCGTCCTGCTTTGATCTCCTTCTGGATGCTGACTTTCTTTTGGTTCGACATGATGACGACGTGGTAGCTGGGAGTCATTAGCTAGGTGCCTTCAAATCAGCAGCGGTATATTGAAGCATACCCATCTTTGTTGAGTTGCTGCAGTTTAGACGGGACAGTATCATGCCACCATTTCCAATCCGATGAGTTTCTAGGGAATGTATTCCCGGAAGCTGTAGATACCAACGTGGAGTCCTGCAAACTTCGCATCAGCCATGCTTCCTGGCAGACTATCTCCCCAGAAAACAGATCTCACCAAATCAAACGCAGCAACCCTAGGTTTCCCCCCATCGCGTTTCCGCTCTCCATCTGAGTCCGCCGAGTATCTCCCCACAACGAGACTATTACTCACAACCCGCCAAACCAGCCTCTCGGGCTTCTTCTGCGACGTAGGCGTGAAGAACGACGACGCAGCTTTTTCTATCCAATGTATCCGTTAGACATAGTACACCAAACAATTCGGATTTTTATTTACTAAAAAACAAAGAAGGGGCGTACTCGTTATCGTAGACCCAACCTTCCGCTTCAGCGGCGGCGGGGAGATGGCACGGTCGGGAGACCCCGGCCTTTTGGCGGCGCCAGCACCGGCCATTCTGAGGATATGGCGGGAGAATATCGTGACGGGACCTCTTAAGAGGATGGAGGTGGAATAAGCGTTTGATTGATGGGGGTGTGCGATATTTGGTGTATGATATGTATGTGAGGTTGGGTAGCGGTTTGACGCGCTGGTACGCGCGGGAGGGTGCGCGAGGTCACATGTTCTTTATTACTGGCACTGCCAACAATAGGTGATGTAGGACGGTTTATTGAACAACTTTATTTCTACTTTTTTTATAAGGATTAATAGTAAATGGAAAGATAAGACGGAGTAGATAATGTTCATTTCTATCTTGGAAATCATTACCAAGGATACTTAAGTCTACTGAGGCATCGCCTCGGGGTATATACGGCATTAATCAAGGAAACCAGAACAAAACCAGAACACTAACTACTTCGCCCGTGTATCCAGCGACAGTCGATCCGCCTGTTCGAGCCGGACGGCGGATTTCAGCTGTTCCCGCAGTCCAAACAGGTGCTGCGAGGCCGTCTTCATCATCTCCTGGTTCCCGCCGTCCTGGACGGTGATCGAAGCCTGCAGGACATAGCTGCCCGACCGTTCGAGCAGAGTCATGTCCGAGAGCGGGGGAAGCTCTCGCCGCGGCTCATGCGACTGGGGTTCAGTCGGATAATGCAGGACCCGATGCAGGAAGATGACAATGTCGTTCAAGACGAAGATGTCCCCCTCCACCACGTACTCGGAGACAAAACTACGTGCGATCAGCCAACGCAATCGATCATGCTATGCGCTGATATGTCATCCTTCAAATAAGATGGTTGGGGGGGGAGGGGGGAGGGACTCACCTATATCCCCAGGCGGTCATGGGGGTAGAAATATCACCTTTGGGAAGGCTAGAGCTAGCCATCAACCGCGCCGTCACGGCAGATCGAGTACCGGCCTCGGGAATATCTCGAAACTCCAACTTCCACGGTTGATTTTCGTAGCTATAGGCAGGACGATTGGTGGGAATTTCGTCCGTGCCGGACATGGCGGCATCATCAGGATCTCCAGCGGACGGCGACGAGCTGAGGCCAAAATCGGACTCGTCGAGTGGGCCCACCACCTGGGTGTAGAACATGCCACCGTTGAGCATCTTGTTGAGACGCTGCATCTCGTTTCCCTGTAAGTCCTGACTGGCGCCCACGCGGGTGTTGATCAGCCCCGGTTTCCGGTAGGCCTTGAAGATCAGACGTCGTTCTAGGCGATGACGGGGTTGCATGGCCGTGAGACCTGCCAACTGTTGCAGGAGCTCATGATGTTGGTGTGCCGGGACCGAGGCGAAGAGTAACAGCTCATGCATGATCACAAGAAAGGGAGGGGAGGCCGACGAGAGTAAGACGGATTGAATATGTCTGAAGGCGCGAAACCACCCGGATCACGGGGATGAAGATCAATGGCAGCCGATTGGGGGAGCTCCAGCGTTCTTGTGCCCAGAGTTCACTTCGGTTGGAGTAGGAGTGGATGATGGACGCGGGGCGCTAAAAATAAATGATTATTAATGTGTATGAAAAAGGTTAAAAAAAATAAATCAAATCAAATCAAATCAAATAAAACCAAGAGTTTGAATTTGGTAATTTAAGATGATATAAGATGGTGTGATGTGGGAGAGAGAGAGTGTGTGAGTGGGCAAGTTACAAGTTACTGGTTAGTGTGTCCGGGAAATGTCGGGAGGCGAGAATGGCCCAAGCTTCATATTATGCCGAAGGAGGGGGACACGATCAGATGCCATTAACCTGGAATTTCAACCTCACTCTTGAGTTGAACTAGAAATATTAAGAATGAAAGACTTGAAACCATCACTTTGATTGTATAAATTAGAACAATATATAGAAGAAACTAAACAAGTCCAACGGGATCACGAACCATCCAAAAGAACCAAAGTGCGGGGAATGGAGGGAGCGCTACAAGATAGAGAGTAAGCTTAAAAAGCACCATCAACCTGTCAGGCACGCGATTCCCCAACGCTTTCACCGAGAATGCGGGATGGGAAAGGATCGCAGGGGGGAAACCGGTCTGAATGGTCCGGGGAAGAGCAAGAAGGCGCATGTGGCATCAGATCAGGATCAGACCACGAACAAGAGTAACTAGTGTTATCGCAATAGGCATGCTCTGACTAAATCAACAAAACCAGTTACCTAACCACTAACCACTAACCACTGAATAAGGCGTAGCTCAGATAATGCAAATGCTTCTCTAGTCCCGCCCACTCCGGCTTTCCAACCCGGCCTCGCTTCCCGCTCCTCTACACTAATCAATCCTTTTCCTCTCCTCCTCCTCTTCCTTCTTCCTCTCCCACCCTCCATTGCATTTTTTTTTCTCTTCCTCCCTCCTTCCTTTAACAACCCCCTCCTCCTCCCTCGGTCTCTTTCTTCCAATTTCACTTCTCTCAAATCTTCGTCAGGTTCTTCCCACTGTATATACTGTAACTGATTCTCTTCGCTACCTCCATCCAATCCTTACCCTCCACCTTGACTCTTCCTCGGTCGCGTCGGACCCGAGCGGATCTCACCGTGCCATTCAATTGAGCAATCGTCCACCTTCTCGCCCGTTCGTTTCATTGAGACTCTTGGAATTTTTATCTTCTACCAACACACAATACCACTCAAAATGCGTGCCACCATGGCTCTCGGAAATGCTGCCCGCACCCCTCTCATCCGCTTCCTCGGTCGCCGTTCCGTCCCTAGTGAGTTCCCAGAGACCGTTCTCATGTAATTGATTGATTCTAATATACTGTTTGATAGAATCTCTGGATCACACTCCCCGCCCTCATCCCGCCTCCCCCTCGGGCTCTCTTCCCGACTCCTTCGCCGCCTACCGCGTCAAGGCCCAGCAGCATGGTCCCCTGGGCCGTGCCTCGTTCGTTTCCGGTGCCATCGGCCGTAACGCCGGCGCCTCCCTCGGCCCCGTCCAAGCCAAGCAAGGCGAATTCTTCGACCGTGATGAGCTCCCCTCGCGCTTCCACCGTCTGCCCTTCACCGAGGCCGAGATCGAGGCCGTCGAGACCGGTGGCGCCAGCCTCTACGCCTGAATGCTGTCCCAGCATTGAGCCGTATGAGCGATGACGCAATGAAGATGGTCTTCACGGGCATGATACATGGAAATGCCACTCCTGCGGGACGTAGGTCAGGCGCACTGCGTCTCATCTGGCGATGAGTCGCTGTTTGGATTTGTTCCAACTGGCGCGGTCTGATCGTCCCCACCTCTCCTTCACTTCTTTTCTCGCCGTTTCTTTAGTTCTGGCGCTGGTGGTTCTTGGATTTGTTAAGCGGTACTCTACATGATTTTTGGGGCGCGCTTTTTTTGGGAGGGTTTCGTTATTAGATGGTTGGCACTGGGTTGCTGCGATCACAAGCATTCGTGTATTGATCATTCCTTCTGGGAGAGCATACTGGACGGCGGTGCTTGGAAAAGTTCGGTCTGTTGCAGGTGTATTACTATCAGACAGGACACAACGGGCATAGTCATCGGAATGAATAATATTTACTATAAATATTTCTGGGTTCAGAAAAGAATCAGCCAATCATGGCTATATTTGGGTGTGATGTAAACCGTAACCTAGTTCAAGGTTAGAACCTGGAACAGATGTCGATCACGGCACACGTGCTCTGCATCCAACTAGCCAGTCGGCCACGCAGCCTCTCCCAGTCCATCGTCCTCTCCCCACCAACCCACTTGGTTCAATAGCTATCTTCTTAACTACATCAATCAATCAGTCGATCTCATTGGGCGATCCTACCGACATGGCTCCCAAACAAGATGACCCCCTAACCTTCACCGAAGTCGACGAGGTCGGCCATCCAACAGCCACATACATCTATTCCAAATCAAACAGTGGACGATCGACAACAGGACGGATTGATGTACTGGTAGGTGGATCAATTCATTATCTGTTTAGTGTCGTCTACAGGGGTGCATGAGTTCTCTGGCCAGCTACATCGTGACGTTTCTTTCTATACTATAATCGCCGTCGCTCTACATTGATTAGATTGGGCGAATATTAACACTGCAATTAGCATCCTCCCTACTCAACCTCTTTGTCATGGTCAATCGCTGCACTCCAGAATCTCCTCGTTGAGGTCTTTCTGCCTGCTGGGTACCCGCACAGCGTTAGTGAGGACTATGTTCAGTGAGTTGGCGTATCTTCACTGGTCTAGTCGAAACTAATAGCTTGTAGATATCAAATATTTGTTAGTTCTGTCATAGATCAGCTACCAAGGCATCTCACGCTTTCGCATGCTCTGCGCTTGGTTGCATAGCTAATAGCTATCAAGGACTCTCTCCAAGCATTCTGCAGCTCAATAGCTGGCCTTCTATCTTCAAGAGCAGTACTACAAGGTAGCTAGCTACCCGAACAACAACCACCATCCACCTACCCAGTGCCCCTCGCGAATCATGCTGACTGCAACAGGCGTCGGAGTCGGCAATGCCAGCGCATCGCCCACATCGGCCTTACTCCTCCACATCCTGCAAGACACCTCCGGCAGGATCGCCACGATTCTCTTCGCGCACCGCGTGGGCACCGCGCTGGAGCCAGAATGCAAAATGTACCGGCTTGCAGCCGACGTGTTCAACGACTTTGCTATGATCCTGGACTGTCTTTCGCCGATGATCCCTTCTGGCAGTTGCCGTGTAGGTGTGCTCAGCACCGCGGGGGTGCTGCGCGCTCTCTGTGGAGTATCCGGGGGGAGCTCAAAAGCCAGTTTGAGTGCCCATTTTGCGAAATGGGGGAATCTCGCTGAGGTTAATGCTGTATGCCTTCTCTTCCCTTGAAGGGCAAACAATCCTACTAACGCACACTAGAAAGACTCGTCTCAAGAAACCGTCATCTCGCTGATTGGAATGCTCGTAAGATGCTCCAGCTTCCCTCGATAACCTACCCTACGTTCTTCCAGTCAAATACAGCTAACACAATGCAGGTCGGCTCCCTTGTGGTATCGCATATCACCAGCTACACCGCAACATGGATCTCCCTGATCACACTCCTAACGGTGCACCTGGGCATGAACTACGCCGCCGTACGCGCCGTCCAAATGACGAGTCTGAATAGACAGCGAGCAAACATTGTGTTCTCCACCTTGTTGGATTCTGATCTACCCCATGCACTAGACACAACTGCATCAGAGACAACCCCAGCCCCAAACACAACAGCAACAGCAACAGCAACAACCCCAACAAACCACCTCCCGCATTGGCAAATCTGCACACCCGCCCAAGCCGCCAAGCAAGAACGGATCTTCTCACGGGGCAGTATCCTAAACTGGACCACAGCCCAAACGGTCTCAACCGTCGGAACGTGCGAAATCGGCCTATCCCTCCACCAATTCATCACGTCCCATAATCATTACACCTATGATGTAACACCAAAAAGCACAACCTCGCTCAAAACACCTCTCCCTCTTCCACGGCTCACAGAACTCTTCACGGATGAACCCTACCTCCTCTTCTTGAGCCGCAGCACCAAATCCACCTGGCACGCGACCATCTGCCTCAAACCAACAAGCACCACCAAAGACCAGCTCAAAGCATGGATGCATGCTCTTCTTTGCGCACGGTTGCTTTCTACTCCCTCTACCTCCCCTTCCATCTTCCCTTCTACATCTACCTCCACCCCCAAACCCTCCCACCCCAACCCCACCACCACCACCAATAGCACAGAAGAAACAGCCCCAGGAACAGAAGAAACAGAAGAAACAGAACCCGTCTTGAAAACACTAACCCACACCCTCCACTTCCTAAACACAGCATCCCGCTTCAAGACCTACCTCTCAGCGCTAGCAGCCACAGGATGGGATCTGGACGTCGCGGCGCTAGAAACCCAATCCGGTCGGCGGGTATCGTTTTCCCGATCTTTGCCTTCTACTCCTACTTCTACTTCTACTTTTTAGGGTTGGTTGTGTGTAATTGTGTGTTATTGTGGGTGAGTTTTGGGTGAGTTGTGGGTGAGGTTGAGATACTATTGTACTGTACTGTGTATGTCTGTATGTATGTAGGTGGGTTGGGTAGTTAGCTGTATTACTATGGTAGATGAAGGATTTATTGGGTTCTGTATGCATAATTGTTCATATCCTTTATCAGGTAGTTGGATCGCAATGTGTGTAGATATTTATATCGTATCTACTGGATTATATCATGTACAGATAAGCTAGATGTCCATAGGAATGTCAAGTAATCAGCTTACTATCATTATATATATTTACTTATACCTCTCATCGTGTCAACTGGATAATAACGAGATGGATATTCACTCCAGTACCAACTAGATACATCAATAAAAATTGTAATCAACTGAAATAATATGATATAACCATATCAGGGTATCTATTGTCAAGTATATGCCAACACCAGAGGTGCAGAAGGGTAATAATAAAACCAAGCTAAGCGATCCAGATGCAATCAACAATCACTCATATAAAGAAACAGAAAAAATAAAAACGACCCATCTATCCATCACCATCACTCATGAGCGGAAAGTAAACAAGGTAAGTGGTAGACCAGAGTCTGTGTCTACCGGTCGTATCAATCAATCAATCGATAGTCCATGATTTGCCAAAACAAACACAACAGAAAAAGATAAGAAAAACACCATGCAACCTAGCCACCCAATCTATCTGGGTATGGACAAGGAATCAAATGCTCGCTTGCTGGCTCGCTCATTCAATCATTGCAAGAACGCCGAAAAATGCATCCCAAGAAAAAGAAAAAGAAAAAAAAAAAACAGAGAGATAATCAATAAGTACATCCACTGAAGTGGATGGTTCATAATGCATAGGTGGAGTGAAGATCATCCCAGTCGATAGGCGGGTCATTCCTCCAGACCCGCCATTTTCATACTGCCCGAGCTGCCGTTGCCGGACCGCTTCTTGAAGCCCAACTTCATCCCCATCTTCTTCCACGGGTTTTCCGTGCGGTTCTTGGGACTGTGCATCAGCTGCATGTTGGGCTCGCTGGACGGCGGCGTCGTGGGCGGCGTCATGGGCTCGCCCACGCTCGTGGGGGACCCGAAGCTGCCCGAGTCGTCGGTCAACGTGGCCGAGACGGAGTCGCCGCTGGCGCTGGAGACGGGCCCCGACGTGCGGTGCGTCGCCTTGCTCATGGCCGTCATGGCGCTGAGCGAGAAGTTGGACCGGCCGCCGCTGCCGGCGGGGAAGCTCTGGGCGAAGTGGGCGCCCAGGTCCCGAGAGGACTGGGGGGAGAGGCGGCGGGCCCTGGACTTGGACCGGACGCGTCGGACCGCGTGCTCGTCGAACCCGGATCCCGCGACCACCGACACGCGCTCCTCAACGGCACAGCACGGCTCCCGTGGGGAGAGCAACGGGGACGAGGTGGCGTGCGCGTTGAGGAAGGGCAGGAAGATGGACTCCTCCATCAGGTCGTGGACGAGTCGGGTGGCCGTGTCCAAGACGTCGGGGGCGGGCGGGAACGGGAGATGGGCGTGTCGGAGGATGTGCTCGCGGACCTCACTCGACACGTTGATCTCGCGGGGCGCACCTGGGACAATGTAGGCGGTCAGCAGGCGCTGCCAGAGCATGCGCACCCGCTGGCATTGAGGCGAATCGGCAGAGACGGGGGACGGGGCGAGCGGGTGGACGAGTTCGGCGTAGGCTTCCCGGTACCGCTTGGCCTCCAAGGTGAATTCGAGGGTCTCGAGGCAGTGATTTTGGGAGAGGTAGGCCATGAAGGCACTGAGGGTGTAAGGGGCGGGGGCAGTGTTTGCGAGGACCTCCGCCAACGTCGGTCGCATGGGACCGAAGACGCCCGAAGCGACCGCCAGGCTCAGCGGCCGCGAGTGGGCGGGGTCCATATCCCCGTCCGAGTCGCTATCCGAAGAGGAGGTGGTGGGAGATAGTTCGGGGGTGGAGGTTGGGGTGTGATTCCGGAAGAGTAACGGCGGGTGCAAGGTCTTCTTTCTGAGCATTGCGTAGAGGGTGCGCCGGTTGTTTCGACGGCGAGAGGGACACCGTTGCACCCCAGATGGTCCCGGGCGCCGAGACACTGCGAGGGGGGGGAGGGGAGGGTTGAGTTGAGAAAGGCCTCCGCTGAGTGCGGAGGTGAGGAAACGAATTCCGAGCGATGATGGGGCGGAATATCCTAAAGTTGGACGTGGTGATTTGAAACCCCGCTCCGACCGGGTTTGGCTGCGGGAAGCCGTGAGATGAAGGATGGGAGGCGTAACGAGAGAAATGGTCGGTATAGACGTAGGTTTGTAGAAGGTTTGTAGAAGTTTGGTTGATATTGTGAATCTAGAGGGATAGGAGGATCTCAAAGAATGAAGAGATCTGGTCGGACAAAAAGAGGAACGAGATGGTCAGTGTGGCCTGAAGGGGTTTAAGAAAAGAAGGGTGGAAAAGAGGACCGTCAACCAGGAGGAGAAATAATAATAGTAAATAGAATAAAATAATAATAAGAATAGAAATGAAGAATGGAATAAAAATAAGATAAAAAAGAAAATCAAACTTCTAGACGAGTCAGGCAGAGAAAGGATGGAGCGGAGCAGAGGGGGCGAGAGGGAATGAGGAATACTAATAATAATCCACGATGGGAAGGACGAGCAAGATGACGCCAGGGAAATGAAGAGCAGAGAACGGGGCGCGTTCTCAAGTAATCTTAGCAACCAACGAGGGAGACTGGGAGGGTGGGGAGGGACAGAGGGGGAGGGGGGGGGAAGGATGCGATGTTGATCAGGCCCTGGGAGGTTCCAAAACCTGCACGGAAGCGTCGAGCAGAAGAGGAATTGAAAGGAAGGAGTGGATCTGAGGGTGGAGACAGGGCTAGAAGGAATGGAGGGTGGATTGGATAGAAGGAGTGGAGCAGGAATGGAGGATTGGAAGAGTCAATTGGATGGAGGAGCAGTGGGAGGAGAGGAAGAAATGAAGCAAGTGGAGACAGAAACAACCCAGAGGGGAAAGACTCTTGAACCAGACAGACCACGGGAATGAGACTTCCCGGTCGATCGTGTTAAAAAGATACAAGATAATCTCTCTTGATAAGAGAAGGTACAGACCAAGTAAGGAGAAGGATAAATCCCGCAGTGAATCCTCATCTGCAACATCAATCGAGAATGATCTGTGTCATATAAGACATCATTGAGGATAGAAAACGTCAATGACCACCTGATCTTTCTTTCTCTATTCTTTTATTCTTTTATTCTTTTATTCTTTTATTCTTCCCGTCTTCTTTGCATAATAATCATGAGATGAATTATCATCTAATGAATAAATATCATAATAATCATGAGGATCCGCCAGTGGCAAGGTCAAGGTTGGGCAACTGCTTGTCCAAGCCAGACAGATCGAAGCAAGAATCGGATGATCAATGAGAAAAGAACGAACCGGCCGAACAATTATACACTGGTTTCTTTGTTAACTCTGGTGTGTGCGCCTAACCGTGCATTTCCCCAGAAGAAGTGTTTGCTTTTCTTTTTTTTTTTTTCCCTTTTTCTTTTTCCTTTCCTTGGGCAACCAGGGAGGTTACCTAGTAGGTCCAAGGCCAAGTGGGTCAGGTCCAATCCCAAGCACAGGAAGAATGCGACGGGTCTCATAGGTAGGTTGGAAAGAGAAGCAGGCGTTGTCAGTGGAGACCAGGCTGGATCTGCAAGGATGCCAAGAGAGGTCAAGGCTGTGCAGGATCCACTCCGTAGGCAGAGGAGTAGCATGTCCGAGTAAGGAGATATCATTCTTTTATTTGATTTATATAATTATATAATTAATTGATCGATAATAGTGAAGAAATACGAGAACCATCCTCCTGGGTATGCAGAGAACAAAGAAAGAAGAATAATAATGAGGAGACTAATAAGGAGAAGAATGATAAAATACGAGGTGCATCATACGTAATTTGTTACGATGGATGGCGTGGTTTCCCCCCTGTCGACACATACGATTCCCCATTTTTATCTGCAAGGGCTGCAGTAGTCGGTGGATATCATATCATCTCATATCATATCATGATCAGGATCAGGGCGTAGAGATTCATCATCAACCTGTTTCCGGATGATTTGTCAAAGGAATAAATCATCATCATAATAAAAAGATTAAGTGGGGATTCCAGAATGTCAAGGAAGGCGGGAAGAATTTTCAAAGAATGAATCATTCTGTCATTCTTGGTCGTGTCGGGAGTTCCATCCACCTTAGTAATATAAGAATAATAATATAATGATAATGATAATGATACTACTGAATATAATATAATGATAATTGACTACGTGGCTGAATTTCTTAATATTGAGAGATACTATCGGCATCCTCCGTACCATGTCATGAACACAGCTCCTGCTCCGATCCTTGTGCAACCCAACCGTCCGGAATGAGCCATATATTGGCATCTTCTCCCTGTCGGTCTTCCTGTCGGTCCTCCTGCTGTCCCCCCTCGCCGAGAAAAAATCCTGGGGGAAGCACGTAACACGACAGGCGAAGACTCGAGGGAGGCGTACAAGATCTCCACCTACTGTTCTTCCCCCCCGGTCGACAGATTCTTCGTTATGATTGCTGGGATGGGTGATGCAGGCGGCAAAGTTGATCAACGTCATCGCTTGGTCTTCCTTTCCATGTTTGAGGTTGGGTTGAGTCTGGTTCTGGTTCCGGTACCTGAAATTCTGTAGATCCAACTATCCCAACTATCAAGTATAACAGTACCCTCCTCGATAGAGGAGAAGAGCTTCCCTTCCACCCTAGGTACCAGGCAAAGTGGCGTAAACCCACGCGCCAAATGACAAATATCAAACAAATAGTGAATCCAGCCGCAGGATTTCCAGCCCCAAAAATAACCAGCCCGCGCCGCTCCCTGATCAACCCGAGCAATTATCCCAGACAGAAGCAGGCAAATAAGCGCCCAGCGCCTTCTAGAACCGAAATGGAAGCTTCTCTACCCGACAAAGGATTCGGAGGTCCATTTGGACCTTCCGAATCACACAATCTGATCTGATCATTTCCGGCCGAGACGATATTATATTATATTATAGTATAGTATATACGGAGTATAATATAGTATCATCGTCTCACTCGCCACTCCACCGGTCGGCGAAGGAACAGTCCCAGTCCCCCTCCCAGTACCACCCTATCCCTCCCGAGCCGATTCAATCTCACCGAAATAAATCAAACATAATATAAATAAAAGAAAGAGAGAGAAAAATCTTCAAGTCACACAACATGATCGAGTCCAGTCCATGCACGCCCAAGTGTCCACAATCCACAATCCACAATCCACAGTCCACACCGAGAAATCGATTGAGCGATCGATCGTCGGGCACGTCCTATCCCGGCGCCTTTCATTATCTATCTATCTCCGTCTATCTCGCCATCTCCACCCGATGGCCCTGATATGATAACTGCCCACTTCCTGGAATTTTCGGGAATTGTGTCACTGTCTAACTGTCGGTCGGGTTGTCGCTTGTTCCACGGGTCAGGGATCGGGTGACGTGACGTTTCACATCATTTGATATGGTTTCCATTGTCCATAATATGTGGTTACTATATACGGAGTACTATGGAATACCATGACAGTGGTGCCCAACCAGCTATGAGCCATTGGACCACGAGTTACAAACTGTGACAGACACCTACTACCTAGTACCCTACCCAGAGATAAAGACAGTCCAGACAGCAGACAGTTACAACGGCAAAGCAGACCCACGTGTCATAGTCCAAGCAACAAGCCAACCGCCAGGCCACGTTCATCCAACAACATCCAACAGGTCAACTACCATCGCCTACAGTTGCATATTCCATGTACAATGCACCACCACCACCACCACCACTAGCACAAAACACTTAGGCGCGCGCCCGCAACGCCCTAAATACTTACACTAGGCAAGTCAATCCGAAACCACCGGAGCAACATCAACAAAGAAAGAAAGAAGGAAAGATCCACAATTTCTCCGTCCTTGGCGAGGCTTTGGCGCCCTTCCGTGCAACAGGCCAGGATAGGATTAGGATCTCTGGCGTGAACTCGGCCTCAGGGTTTAACTACCTAAACGAATGAGTGGGTGAGTGAGTGAGTGATCTGTGCGTACAGCGCCGGGGAGGAAATCCAAGCCAACGACAAATCCCATCTAACCATTCTCTTGGCAACGCAACGCTGCCATGAGGGTGTTGCTCGCCATCAAACTCCATCCCACACTGTAACTCTAGCCCGTAGCCCGTAAGTACTAACCAAATCCACCACAGCCGTCGAGTCGAGTCGAGTCCTCCGTAGTGCAGTCCACTCGACTCCATCCAGGTGATGATTTAGCATGTACGCTCCCCCAGAAGTGGATACCCTTCTCAAGGAATGAATCAATCACATCGACCTCACGACCGACGATACCCGGGCTATTATCGGACTATCGTGCACTAGTAGAACACCGGTTTCTTTTTCTCCCGGCTGTTTTTTTTTTTTTCCAAGTTATGCGCCTGCCTTTCTGTTCTAGACTTGGCTGAGGCCCACTCACACATACACACACGCGCCTGGTTCTCCACAGGGGACGCGGGACTCAGGGGATGGTTCTGAGGGTAGGGTCAGACTGAGACTCAGCCGCTCGGGTTGGAAGAGAAGAGAAGAGGAAGAGGAAGAGCCAGACGGAAGTCGCCTATTGATGGTGGATTTAGTATCCTATGCTTGTTTATATTATATGATATCATATTATCATCCTTCTTTAGATACTTAGTACTGAATATCCAGATCAAATGGTCCAGGCGTGCCTTAAAGAAAAGAAAGTAAAACTCTGTCCACCATGTGATGTTATTCCTTGATAACGACAGAAATACAATCCACTATCACCAGTGGGACTGTCTTTCCATTTTCCATCCTCACCTCATCTCACCCTCCAACCTACGATCCTCCAGCCTATTACCCCCAGCCTCGCCCAACACAGCGATCAATCACATCCGTAGTTCCTCGTAAAACAAGGCCCCCATTCGCTAACCAACTACTAGTCAGTAAGTGACTAACAGCGCAAATCCCCTGATCGACCGTTTCACTTTACCCGGTAGTGGCAAGGTCAATCCGCTCCAATTCTGTTCCTCGGATTTCAAGTTCCTTTTTTTCTAGTCCGTAGTCCATACTTAGAAGGAACCCACAGTAGCCTACCCTCCTCCCAGTAGCCTATTGTGATTCTCTCAGGAACTAGACAGACAAACCGGTTACCTAACCCCCACCTTGCAAATGACGACATCATTGCATACACACATTTTAATTCCATTCTATCCATCCATCCATCCATTTATCCAACCAACGAAGTATCTCAAGTCTAAACAGGGTTCAACTGTCTGATCGGGTGGACAGTGCGAAGAAGCCTTCCCCCGGGTTGAGGATTGCGTATTATAACTTACTACATATGCTGTAGCTCGCATGCCAAGCCGACCAAGTCGGTCCCCGGCCCTGGCTCGGAGTCTGCAGAACATGGTGCTGTAGATTGTTAGTTATGCAGTTGTTATACTCTGTATAGTTGGATAGTTATTCTTTTATATACAAGGTAGGTATATATATACCTTGCTGAGTAGTGCGGAGTACGGAGTAGACTATATTATGTATATTGGATGGCATTATGAACTTACGGGTATATTTCATGGGTAGGTAACTAGTTGGCTGGGTACTTGATACATACTTACTCCCTACCTAAGTATATACCGGAAGACAGCACTCCAGAACGAAGATAATGAAGAAGAAGAAAAACAAGCCAAGCCAAGCCAAGCTAGCATGTTTATACCCCAGTTATACCCCCGTCCAAAGTAGACGAACAAAATAAGGATAAGGTCAGGCTACGACCAGCTACTACCAAGGTAGGTAGGTATAAAGTCAATACCTCAGCTACTTCCCCTGCGTCTGCGTCCTTAGCGCCCCCTTTCCACCATCGCTTAGGCCAAGTCAGTCTAACCAGTTTTCTTCAAGTGATTCGAATAAGCTTTTTGGAGATTGTCTGTTTGTTGGTTGTCATGATTCAACTAACTCCTGTATGAACATGAATCTATACTTGTGTTTGTTGGGTATGTCTCTTGATGTGGCAGGTTGAAGTCAAATAGTGGTACTTTCAATCTAGATCTGTATTGTATTAGGTGGGTAGGTAGGTAGGTAGGTAGGTAGGTAGGTACTCCATTGTGAGGGGGGGGAAAGACAAAGGTACCAGCTACCTACTGCTGCGTGCTCTAGTTATATCTAGGTAGTTGAATATGCAGGCAGTAGTTACCACGGGGAATACCAGGTAGTCGGGACACATACCTACTCCTAGATGAGTAGTAGGCAGTGAGTGGTAGTATGTAAGACCAGGAGTCACAACGGCAGACATACAAGTCTAGACAGTACAGACCGATCCAAGACAGTAAGTATGTACCTCATGCCCTAATGTCCCAACAGCCCAATTCTCTGCCAATGGTTCCAAAGATATGTAAACCAAGACAAAATGTATCTATGTCAGACATGACTGACATTCTCCAGAATATGATATCCTCAACTACTGCAGAAGGTAGACGAGAAGTTGGTGTCTACTGTTTGTAGTCTATGCGGTACTTGATTGAACGGTGTATACAGTCTACGCTGCCAGCCTCGTTATCCATCTACGCTGATTACTCGGTAGTTGGAGGAATATCTCGTCTATTGATTACATATAAAACATCGCCGGCTAGGTTGAATTCAGAAACCAAACGTGCTGCTCTGTATAATTTACGCCATTCATTGATGTGCTTAAACCTATCGGTCATTGGCACAGTCAATCCAAGATGCAAATGCAACAGAAAGAAAGCAAAGCAGATGAAAACGAAGAAAAAAGCTGCAAGGGGAAATAGAAAAGAGAATAAAGATAAGAGAAGTAAAAATAGAAAAATAAAGCTGAGAAATAAAAAAGGCATCGAAAATGCTATCTTAACCCATAACAACCCGCTGCTAAAACACATATAAACAGAACAGGCAACACTAGATTCAACCGGCAAAACGGAACGTATATGAAACATTGTCTCTGTCGAGGCCCTGCGCCTGTCGACATCCTGCATCGGTCCGCGACAATCAAAGCCAGAACACACGTGTGCCAACCGGAGTCTCACGGTGGCGAGAAGTAAGGGGGTCGGGGGCTTTACTCTGTGGATATCCGACGTCAAACACCCAGACATGCAGACCCAACCCATGAGACACGGTTCCACAGCAGATAAGACACAGGCGGTGGAGTGAGGAAAGGAATCTGCAAAGGTCATGCGCCATCCTGTGCAAACGGCTAAGCATGTTCCATGAAACCCGTCAGAAGACTCTTGACGGGATAGGTCGTCGTCTCAGTCTGCCAGAAACACATCTCCATAAACGTCAATGTTCACACAGAGGACCAATATTGTCGAGAGAATGGGAGTGTAAGAAAAGGAATAATCGAGCCGATAGATCATGACAATGACCATGCAATCAAACGAGGCGAGAAGAAAATCTAGTATTAAAAGGCTCATGCCGGGAATGCAGGTTCGGGTGAGAAGCAGAGGGCAAAAAAAAACAGAAAGAAGAAAATCAAGTTCGCCGTTCCGACCGTAGCACCATAAAAGAGTGAGAGATGACGAGTGTGATGTGGTGAGAAGTATAGGGTATGGGGACATTAAGTGGGGGCCGTTCTCAAGGGAACACTGATCCCATTCCGCATCGGACTTGCGTTTGAACCAGGTGACAGCGGAGGTGGCCGGTGACACCGTTGCCAACCACAGACCGTCAAACAGACAAGAAAATCAGGGGTAAGACCCTGTCCTACCGCCTCATCGGCCGGTGGCATCCGCAAAGCCAGAAGCCCAATCCAACAAAACAGGAGACCCAGGTGACAGGTATAATGGCAAGTCACATTTCAACACTCCCCAAAAGGTGATGACGAGAACAAAAGAAAGGAAGTTGGAAGCCAACGTGACCAAGATTACGTAGAATTACATGACTCAATGCTCAGCCTGGTGTCAACCTGGACGCTAGGATGAGCAAGAAGCCAAGGCACTCGGGCGTCATCGAGAAGGTCACCTACCGCAGCAGAGGGCCTTCATCACTTTCTGGACGAGAGTGGGCTGCGGTTCGTTGCTCCCCTGCGGGCCCTGGGCTTGCTGGTTGGCCTTGTTCGGATTGGCGGGGCTCCCCAGGTGACCCGGAATGTTGGCGTTCGAGTTCTGGAACTGGGCCTGGGTCGACGCGGCCGGCGTCGCCGCATCCATCCCCCCGCTCTGGCGCTTCTGTGGCATCCCGCCTGAGACGTTTGGCCGCTCGCGCGCCTTCCCCGCTCCGGGCTTCGCCGGAGAAGGGGGCGGGGGCTGCGCGGCGTTTAAACGAGCCTCCGTCACACCGGGCCTCTGACTCATCCGGAGCTGCTGAGCGTGGAGCTCCCGGGCAGAGGAGTTGGGGAGAGCGTTGTGATGCTGCTGGGACGAGTACGATTTGTATTCCCATCCCCGGCCATTGTTCAGTTTCATCCAGTCGTATTCGCCGTCTTCAACCTCGCCTGCACTCTTAAGAGCCTGCGAGAGCAGGTCCTTCAGGTAGTCGTAGTCCGGGGTATCTTCGAAACCGAGGTTGCGGACGTAAGTCAGGTATTTGGTGAATTCTTCTATGCCTAGTTGATTAGTGCTGCCTGAAACTACCAGTCGGGTGGAGGGGGGTGTGAAGTACCTGGGTATCCCTCGCACAGATCCTTGATAACCGTCGTTTGCTTCTTCTCCCCAATTTTCTCATACTTTTGCTTGTTGGTGGCGGCTTTGAGTCCCTGCCACGGAAGGCCTCCCCGTAGGAAGTAAAGGAACACGTGCCCCAGAGCCTCCAGATCGTCCCTTCGCGACTGTTCCCGTCCCAGATGGGTGTTGATACTCATGTAGCGCGCTGTACCGGACAGCGACTTCCGCTCGCGGTAGGGGATATGCTGCTTGGTCTTGGGGTCACGGTATTGCTTGGCCATGCCGAAATCGACCACGTGGATGACATTGGCGGTCTTGGTGTTGGGGCGGCCGATGAGGAAGTTGTCGGGTTTGATATCCCGGTAGATGAGGTTCTTCTCATGGATCGTCTGGACTCGGGACAGCTATGGGAACGTTAGACGGGGTTTCTTTCCTTTCCTCAGATACGACGGGGTGAATCTCACCATCTGCTTGGCGACCATGACGACGGTCTTGACCGAGAACCTCCGGTTGCAGTGGTCAAAGAGGTCCTCGAGACTAGGGCCGAGGAGATCAATGACAAGGATGTTGTGCAAGCCCTCCTGGCCAAAGTAGTAGACGTTGGGAATCCCAGGACACCCGACTAAGATCTTATAGGTCCGATATTCATCGCGAAGTTGCGGGGCATCGCTCTTCCTCGGTTCCTAGTTCCGTTAACATCGCCCACGGCCACAATCATTCGGGTCAGGCCAACGCACAAATTTAATAGCAACCTGTTGATTGTTCAAGAGGTTTGTTCCCTCAAAGATCACACCAAACGAACCCTCTCCAATTTTCTTTCCCACTCGGTAGTGGACACCCACCACATTAGACGATGAAGAAGCCATGGTCGCAAGACGAGAGGCAGGGGTTGATCAGTCAGGTTTTTGAATGGGACAATGGGTCGGGCGACTCGATCAACGGCTTCGCGCGTGCAAGGCTAGCCTAGAGAGGTTGGCACGGTCAGCGAAAAAGAACTGTGGGCGATGTGTATAGTTGGATTCGAGTTCGGAGAGTCTCACAGAAGGCTGCTGAATTACCAGGGGAGACCATTCATTCACGAAACCAATAATTCCAGGGTCACGGGGCGAGAAGAGCGATCGGGACGGAGCCTGCGGGCGGCCAACTAGTGTAGTCGCACAGGTCCGATTGAGATATCGAGTAGCCTCGAGAGGGGGGAGTTGGAAATCGTCGACAGAGCGAATTCTTCCGGGTACAGACAGTCGGGGCTGCAGGCTGACAGATTCGGGGAACACTGGATGTAAAGGAGGTGGATGGCCGATCCGAATGAATTCCGAGATCCAGTGAGGATAGGAAGGGTAATCAGGTATTAGAGGGTCCAAGGGAAGAGGGAAAAGAAGAAAGTAAAGGGGGGGAGAGGAAGAAAAAGGAAAAACCTGCTCCCAGGTGCTAACCAACTGCGTGGCAGTACGATGGAACGCACTGAGCAGCAGCGGTTTGGATTGAGACGGGGGGACCACGAAGGGAGGGAGAGGGGATGGGGAGAGAGAGAAAGGGAAGGGAAAAATGGGGGTGATGAATGGATGAGGAGTGGGTAATCAGGTAGTCAGGTTGAGTGGTGGACTAGCCAGGAATACACCCCAATGACATGGACCTCTTGAATGACGAGTGAGAGAAAAGGGAAAAATGAGGCGGAGAGAGAAGGGAAAAGGGAAAAGGAAAAACTGGATGGAGCTGAAAGGGAGAAAAGAGGAAGAGAGAGAGAGAGAGAGAGAGAGAGAGAGGGAGAAAGAGGGAGAGGGAGAGATTGGATGATGATTCCCGAAAGGAAAAGGGTCGAACGGGCTCTGTCACTGGTCGGCTCCGTATTCTAGGCTTAGCCGGACGACTAACTAGTAGTGGCAGTAGACTTCACTCCGTCCTTTCCGTTCTCAACAGTCACTTTGTTCTAGAATGGATGGATGTTGACAATTTACTGATTCTGCCATGACATGCAAACATTCAGTCACTCTCGAGTTATCAACATCCAATCTCCAAGTCTTGGTCGACAATTGTTCCAGTTCCAGTTCCAGTTCCAGTTCCAGACTCCAGTCGCATCCCGTCTCAACGGTACGGTAAGTTTGGTCTCGACTCGGTATTCCATTGTGGGTATAGTATACCACCGTTCATTATCACTATGGGACATTACTGGTATTAATTGGATGGTTTTATTATTAGCAGTATCAATACGGGGTCATTTATTTTGATCAGGAGACCAGCCAGAGCCACCACCAGCAGAGTAGGCCCTACACCTACCTAGTTACAATCAACATATCTTCTCCTCTTCCATCTCACATCTCAATCATAAGAATTGATTCAGTGAAGATTCCCGTCTTAATGACAAAAAGTCCAAAACAAGAAACAAAAAAGAAACAAAACTTAAAAAGAAACCGGAAATCTGGATTCTGCCGTCCACAGGGACCGCTTGAACCTCCCTGGCTTTAGCGGCGCCTCCTTAGCGCCGGAGCTGTTAAGCGGCAAGTTCAAGACGGCCCTGTGAATTGTCTTTCAAATTGGTGATCGAGACGATACATAAACGCCAATCTCGAGTCTGGAGAGTTTCTGCCGTGGATAATCACAATGTGTAAGGGATCGCCATCATACTGATACTGCCAACGATCGTATCGTGTTACTACGGTTACTCGAGGATATCATTTCTGCCTTTGTCGGTTTCAATAGAACCGACTCCTAATGACTGGGAGGGTGCGCTGCCCCCTGTGGTTTCTATTATTGGCCTGGATGAGCCACGGGTAAATTTGGTCTGGTCTGGTATTGTAATTTAACAACCCTATCTATTGAAGTGGATCGGGGTATCCGGTACGCGGAGTATACTAGACTACCCAGGATAACTAACTATAGAGAGGTACGGGGGAAAGGCCGGGGCAGTCCTAATAGGAGGCCCTAAACTCTGTATATTACAATCGAAAGCCCCATTGGAAAATACGAGTCTCCAGCCGACGACCTTAACGGTATCGTTAGGTATACTCCATCCACCTAGGTCGAAAGACCGACAGGGGAGCCAATCCAGCCGAGCGATGATTTGCGCTCTGCAAGCTCCTCCACGACCAATAACCACCCGCCGTCTTAGCTGTCAATCCAGCGGCTAAAAAACCTTCGCCCAATGCTGGCGATGGATTCCGTCTTGCCGGCGGTGTGTGTGCCCCAGTTCTGTGACATGTGCCATTCATCGTCTGATAGCGCGTCAATTAATCGACTCGATTGTATTGGCTGTGTATGATACTACGCGGTATGCCGTGACAATAGTAATAACAATAAAGGCAACTGTCATGATACCCACCTAGATATCACTCAACAGGGGTGGAGGGCGGTATCAACCTTTCAATTCTCTCGATTGGTCGATCGCGGACCGTTGATGGCGGCGATTTCAGGGGAAGCTGCCGCCCCATCGATACACTACCTACCTAACCTTACACCACCTGAGGTAGCCGAACTGCGGCTTCGGCCGTTCGGGCCTCTGTTGTGGATGTGTCGGTCGAGTAAAAGCCAAGCATGGCTCCTCCTTTTGCGCGGGAGGGTCAAAGTTCAAGCCTCGAGGAGGGGTATGCATCGTACCACCGATTGATAATGGCACTGCAGGTAAATCATTTCGTTTAAACCTTTTGAATAGTCAATCGGGCAGCGTTAGTCCTACATAAGTACTCCGTAGTGGCAGCAGAGAAAGGCTGCCAGACGGTCCACCCCTGGGTTGTAATTGAGTTGTCTAGTGTGTGTTCCCCGCGAGAACAGGGTTTTCTGTCGTCCAACGTGGCGAGAGTTTGGCCTATGTTTGAATGGGACTTGAACTTCTTTCGTCACACACGGGATCTCATAGGTCGTCACTTGAGATGCTCGAGGTAGTCTCTTCCAGAGATTTTATAAGTACTACCAGCTAACACTCAATCAGTTATCTTTTTCAAAAAATCAACAGCGTCAGGTCCATTCTTTATACATCTACAGCATCCATCATACATCAACTGGTCCCTTAACTCAGTTGGTTAGAGTGTGGAGCTAATAACTCCAAAGTCGTGAGTTCGAGCCTCACAGGGACCATTTCTTTTTTGCCCTTTTCAATGGATATCCATTTTTTCTTCTTCTTTATCAGGTGGCGGGAAACAAATAAATACTGATCCTGATCCTGATCCTGATCTGGTGGTTGGTTACTGATTACTTTTTGTTTCCTGCTGATGACATGACGTGCCACGAGCACCAGCCACGTCTGCCAGGTACACACATACTACCTACAGTACATTACCTATTACCATGTAGCAATCCACCTGGAGTGCATTAGGGCAAGTAGAGTAGATAAATAAACTTCTGAGCATCCATAGCGTTATACTACTCTGTATCCGAGGCCACTGGTAAGTTCAACTAACTGCAGAGTTCCAATCCATTGCTGCTTATTGGGCGACTTAGTTGCCACCGCCTTTTCTTTTGCGCTGGTTGACATTGGGATCCCGACGTCTATTGCCGAGATAAACCTAAAAAAATATCTAATCAGCTCAGCTGATGGATAGTTAGTTGACTAGCTGAAAAGAAAATCAAAAAGCAAAAAGAAGTGGTCCCTGTGAGGCTCGAACTCACGACTTTGGAGTTATTAGCTCCACACTCTAACCAACTGAGTTAAGGGACCAGTTGTTGAAAGATGCCTGCTTCTTTTGCTACATGATGGAAGACGTAGCCTTACCCTTGTCAACGCTACCCAAGTACCCTCAGGGGTACTCAGTATATGTATGGCAACATGCGAGGTTTATACACCCATACATATAGCCTTTGTAAAGGTTATTGAGCGTACTATAAATGATAATCCCGGCCTACAGGTGCCGTTAACTATGCAATTGTAGATGTCTAGTCTAATATCATAGTTGGTTTGTTGGCTCATAGCTCGGAAATATATACATTGGCAACACCATCGAGGAACACTATTTGAATGGCCACCACACGGTAAAATAGACACTTGCCCCTGTAGATGCCAAATGCCGAGCGATTGAAAAAACGAGACACACACAGAGAGAGGGTAAAGTAAAATATTATAATAAACAAACAAAACACGCATGACACCATTAGATACCCTACAACACTACACACACAATGGAAAGAAGCACGAAAGATAGAATGCAGGTGCCGAGTATGCCGCTCCAATCAAGAGGCATGCGTACTTAGCTTGACTATTGCTAACACCGTTACCGCTACTGTAGGATCAAGGTCAAGGCCATCGAGTGCCGCTAGTTTAGCAGTTAAGGTAGGTTACTCCGTGCGACGACCGCTTTTTATATACCGTGGGACAGAGCATGTCACACGAAAAACGACCCAGTAGCGCAGGTTAGAGAAGCACTGGTCGAAATTGGAAGAAACACATATACTCTGACTGTAGCGAGTCTATCGGCAGTAGCCGTGAATGGATTTCAGAACATGTATATAGTACCGTCTCATAGCTGCTCCTCTTTGACGTCTTCAGCCTCGCTTCCAAGTTCATTGGTGACAAGGTCTGGATCGCCGTCTTCGTCGTCGTCGTCGTCCTCCTCACCCTGACCATCCTCATCATCGTCGTCATCATCACTACTGGAGCCGCTACCGTCGGTATCGGACTCGCTCCCAGGGTCATAATCCTCCTCGTCTTCGTCCTCCTGGTCCTCCAGCTCGCGCTGTGCCTTCTGCAACTCGCTTTCTTCTTCTTCTGCGGCGCCGTCTTCTGTCTTGACGGCTTCTTCGTCCGCCTTGTTGGGGTTGACGTTGTATTTTTTGGCGCGGCGCGCCTCTGCGAGACTGGCGTCCTGCAGGCCGTGCTTTCTGATATAGGCGTCGATACCGCTGAAGTTGGCCTGGTCGATCATGGAGAACTCGAACTCGAGCGGTTCGTCGCCTGTGATGGGGCGGGCCATGACGTTTAGGTTGAATGTCCGCTGGAGGACAGACGTATAGGATATCGAATCGACGGTCTCGAAGGCGAAGAAGAGCAGCGGCTTCTTGAACCCGAACATGATTCCTGTTGGCAGGAGGAATAGATAACCTGATTGATACGGTTAGTCAATCCTCAACCACGCCAGTGGAAGAGGATAAGCCTACCTTCTTTACTGCCGCGGAAGGCCTTAACATGGTAGGCCTTTTCTCCCTTCCGATGCGCCTCGGGCATGGCGCTGACGAACTCCCTCTCGTCCGGACGCACGACCTTTGTCTGCGACAGATGCTCATCCAGTATCTGTCGCACCATCTTCTCCGCCGTCTCGCCTTCGCCGTTCCCGATCTGCTGCCCCGAGCCCGTAAACGCCGCTTTGGCGGGCCCGTCGTTGACCGTGAATACCATGCATTCTGGAACGAGTTCCCCTTGCGGAGGCGTGTTGATACCGTCGCCGTTTTGCGGGATGATGCAGAAGTTGAATTGTCGCTGATTCTTCTCAGGCACAGGGAGACACACTACATGTTCTGTCCGACACAAAAAGAACAACACCGTCAGTAACCACACACCGCGACCAGCCAAAAAAAGAGAGAAAAGCGCAACTCACGAATCCTATGCATCGGAATTCCAAACTCCACCTCCTTCGAAGCCTGGTTCCTAGCGCGAAGAATCCCGCTCCCGGCGGTAATCTCCAGCGTCAGCTTCTTGCGCTGCGGAATGGCGAACGACACATCCTGCATGTAGAACTGTAGCGGCGCCGACGACTTGACATCCACGCTAGACTGAGCCGTCCCCGTAACGTCTCCATTCTGTAGCTTCCGTTTCTTCGCGGCGGGACTGTCGGTGGCGGCGGCGGCTGTCTCGATGACGGGCTGGACGATGGGCGCACTCGCTGTCCTGGCCTGCAGGCTGGAGGTGTATCGCGCAATGTCTTCGAAGAGCGGTTTATACTGTGGGGTGGCGCCTGTAGGACGGGAGAAAGAAAGTTAGATTAGGGCCGTTGTCTTATCCGGCTGTCGCGTTTTGATGGGGTGTTGTTCGATAGGTATACGCACCGATCGCATCGTAGACTCGTTTCTTCAGGTTCGGTTCCGCGGCGAATGCGTCTTCAATGGAGGGGATGACGGTGTTGGGAACATGGCGGCGGTTCGCGGCGGATGAATTGATGGTGGCGAATGCCATGCTGGGAGGATTGGGAGAAAGCCAACTCAAAACAAGTAAGAAGAGGAATTAAAGACACAAAGAAAATAGAAACCCCGAGTAGAATGATGGGAGGGGAGTGGAGGAGGGAGGTGGAAGGAGGAAAATCTGGGGTGCGGGAACTGATGGGATGGGATGGGAGTTTGCGCAGCTCGCCTGCCTGGCTGGCAGTGTTGGAAAATCCAATTAAAAATACAATAAAGTAGATAATGTCTGGTATTGGAGGATCAATGCCTTGACTATCCTTTCTAGTTTACCTACACAGTTTTATAAAGGTGCAGGCGCCTAAATCAAGAAATAAACCCTCCAACCTAAAGTGCAGCCCAAACAATTCTGAGAATAATTCTTATTGATCTTATCGATCTTAATACAGTCATGATCTATGCTACAAGGATACAATTGTATACAGAAAAAAAAACAAACATCGCGGAACAAATTCAAATGAAAAGTTGGCTCGAACCCATCTCCCCAGCAGACCCATTTCCCCAACACCGCAACCGGGTGCTAACCTACGCGGACTTGCGCTCCTGCAAGAATTTCTCAACGAACCCAGCCGTCTGGTCATCCATGATCAGATTCCCATTGGCATCCCGTCTCGCAGCCAAGCGGGCCTGTTTCTTCGCCTGGAGCATGGCTATGAGCTCACCCTTGGGCGTCAACAAAGACCTGCTTTGAAGATATTCCTTTCTGTAGTCCTCCATCTTCTTTGCCTCCACGAACTCGGGGTCGTGCCTCGTGCGGTACTTCGAGAACTTGTTGCGGAGCTCGTCCAGGACGCTGGGCGGGAACGGGGCGCTGTGCAGCGACGGCAGCCAGCTCGGCGTCTCGACCTCCATGCGGAGCGTGTCGCTCTCCTCGTCCTTGAATTTCGGCGCCTCGCTGCGGGGCCAAGGGATCTCGATGTTCTCTCCTGCGATGTACCGCGTGTGTCGGGGGGTTTCTGTGCCCTGTTCGCGCTCCAGGAAGGGTTCTCCGCCGTAGACGTGCTCGACTAGGACATCGCGTGTCTGGCCCGTGGCGGGATCGTCGAGGGCGACGACGAGTTTGACGTTGTCCATGGAGATCGGGAGGTTCATCGTGTTGTAGGGTTTGTTGTTTCCGTGTTGCTCGTTGAGCCATTTGGGGAAGTGCACGTCGGTCTGTAGACGTAGAGTTGTCAGTAGAGCCACCAGGTAGATCGCAATCGGGGATACCGTACCATATTGACATCCTTGACCATGACAGTCTCATTGGTAACATCAACCCGGACCACCTCGTTGATCTTCCCCTGGTCCCTACCCTTGATGATACACACCCGGTCTCCAGCAGCGATGTTGACATATTTCCGGCGGAGGTGCTTAGGGATAACCGGCGGGTTCAGCGCCTGGGGGCTGAGCGCCCCAAATTGCTTCCCATCGAAGCCGGCATCACGCTGAGGGGCGAGGGGGCCTCGCATCCAGTCCTCACGGCGTCGCTCTCTCTCGGCGCGGACGTTGTCCAGCTCCAACCGGTTGTAGGCAAACCGCTGTCTGAGGGAGTCTTTGAGGTCTTCACGCTCGGTATTCTTGGAGGCTCGGATCGCCTTCCGTTGGGCTTGATTCCGAGCCAGGGCCGTCCTTCGAATGACTTTCTGCATTTTGAACCACGCGCGTGCCGACAATGGCTTCTCGATGTCGCAAGATTTGGTCCCTTCCGGTCCGTCATGGATGCTCGGGAGGGAAAATTGCGGCCGGAGTCACGTGTGGGTTTTGCCCCCGTGGGCCAATCAGAGGCTGTACTGACTCTCCTACATTTTCCAGGCCAAAACCAGCATTATGCTGCGTCCAAGATTAAGTTACGTTGCTGGTATGAGCTTATGTATATAACACGATAGGGCCATCTAAGGCTCTTATTTAATCATCTATTATTTATCTAATTTTGATAATAGTGGTAGTATTGGAAAACATACTGCCTCTCCGCACCTCCGATACAGCGAACGGACTGTTGGTCTTCGGCTCCGAGGTTGCGGAGTAGATCAGACCACAACGTAAAGACACGTCTCGATCAGTCCCAGATCCAGCTAGCGATAGGACGAACTAAATCGCGGAGAGGTGTTGCTGCCTAGGTATCCCTTCCGGAGCGTCTGGGATGACTCACGGACCATATCACGCGCGTATTCCGTGCTTTGACGATGTTTGGTTTCAGTGGGCAAAGAGACACATACCTAAAACTTTTGCCACAGTTCTGGGGAACGACCGATAATTCGCCAAACGCGCTCAGAACTGGGGTCTGAGACAGGGAAGCTGACAGAATGGACCAATCCTGGAGCAGCGTTGAGCGAGCCCTCAGCTTCCAGCCAAGCAGCAGAACACGAAACAAAAAGCCTTGTTGCGCCCGGGTGCCACAAGGCTGCTGTTTTACTCAGCACCGGAGACGCAGATCCATGGGCGTTTCTGTGTTCCGGGCGTTGTCCTTGCGTTCGATGAGGCCAGACTCGTTGGGATGACCGATCGGCTGGGGGGCGAGGGAGATAAGTCATGGGCGGGCGTTGAGCGTTGACTGGAGGAGGTAGACGATCTGCCGGCCGTAAGCAATGGGCGGATCGCTGGACACATCACTAGATGCGTCGATCAGATATCAGCATTCGTTAGCTGCTGCGGCAGGCGTGTTACAAGGACACGCAAGGCCAAGGCACGATTCAATCCGCGAATGGGATTTTGCTATGTGTTGGCGGAGAAGATAACCATGCGTAGTAATCGAGACACAGGTTGCACATAACAGCGTCAGGGACAGGCTAGAGAGGAAGGAGGCGTCGTTGTCGCCAGTTCGTAGCTCTGGTCCTTTCCAAACGCTGTCAAAAGATAGGTGGGGGCTCATGTGCCATGCTCTCTATCGGTACTGCGTACATCCACAGTATACGCCTTCGGAATAGAGTGAGCATTGGAAAAAGCAAGCTAGAATGTCGGTCAGAGCGGGCCAGTAGCAGATTGACCAACCAGATGGGCTGAAAGGCAGACCGACGACGAGGCCGACTGTGGCCGCGGAGTCGTGCCTCGTAGGCAGAGGGGGTGGGACGCGGTGAAAGGCAGCTGCAGGGAGCCCACCTGCTTGGCTGAGGCAGTTCCCGTAAGGTTTCGTGTGAGCAGGCTCAGGCTTGTGGGAACGTGTGACTTGTTGGTCCGGGGAGGATTTGTCGGAGCATCGCATCATCACCTCCATACGATGATGCCCTTGTGGAGTGCCATGCAATGTCCAATTGGGGTCTATGTGAAGCAGAGGAGGGCCAATTGCAGCCGATGACGTTTATTATTTCGCTTTCGTCTGTTTTCTTTTCCTTTCCCTTTATTTTCCTTTTCTATTTTCTTTCATCCTTTTGGTTTCTTGGTTTTCTCCCTTTTTCGTTTCTATTTCTTTTCTTTGGCTGAGACCAACAGAATAAGGAACGGACTCCGGGGTATTCATGGTAAATAGGGGGCTGTGGCAGTCCCCGCACCGCCACACGCTTGTGGCAGTGTACCAGTGACCCTAGTACGAGCTTCATTTCTTTCAGCCCCATAGCCATTACTGGCACAGGATCCAAGCCACAATACGGATACGCTTTGGCGCTTACAGTACTGAATCCTGTAGATCTGAGCCACTTGATGGGGAATCCAGTCGGAGAGGATCATCAATTTCCTCGTATGAATCGAACAGGAAGTCGAGTTCTCCGGACCAGGGGGAATGAAACCCAGAGGATGCGAGCGTTTTTAGCCATCTCGTTTACCTGGGACAGTGGATGGTCTTGGATCTTGGATCTTGTCGAAAAGAGGCAATCCGGAGTGAATATCATCGTGGTGGATGTCGGGTGGCACAGACAGCAGGAAGGGTCATTCTGATTTCACAGCCGAGCCTCGAGGAGAGGACCTGGTAGTTGAATATGAATGATGCAATACTGGGCATCAGGTATGTTGTTAGTAGTAGTTGTAGTTCCAAGACCTGATTTTGTCGCATTCTTGAGGTCCCTTTATATGATGTCTTGAGCCTCATTTACTTTCAAGTGGTTACCATTCCGTGTCCATGGGCTTCTAGACTGTGGGATAACGATGGTAAACTAACGGACTATGGCGGCGAGGCTTTGGTATCATTGGGTCAGGAATTTACACCGTCAATATTGATAGTTGTTTACAACGGTATTAATTAGGTACTGTTCGGTACCAGGTTACCTACCTTAATACCTGGCCAGATACCTACTCAGGGGCCAGATGCCTTGTCCATTGTGGGTTAATTAGAAACATCAAACCCTATGATGTATGTGTGTGGTATTTCAAACCGCCGATGAAAACAATTGAAATTAAACGTCTAATCTGGATCCCAAGTGGACCAGCTGTCTTTAAAAAGAAGAAAAAGGCCCCAGTGAATGGAATGAAAATGTCATTGGGCCATGGGTCGGAAGAGGGCATCCATGATATGATAATCATCGAGACCGGTATGGAGGTTGTCGTCAGTCGTCACATTTCGGTTACGCGTATGTATTCTTGAGCCTAATTGAGCATTCAGTAAGGGTGGATACGGTATTGAAATGATAAGAGTGGTTTAGGTACGGAGTACTCCGTATACCGTATTAGATGTCGTTCCGAGTCTTCAGCCACGGTGGCTTTAACTGCGGAAGAGCAGGATCGCCGATTAGGCACCTTCAATAATCAGTAAGTCAAATACACATCAATACCGAAATGTCGTGTCACAACCAAGAAGATACTCCTCTTTTTGCATGTTGGTTGATAAATCAAACAGATGGGGAAGATTGAAAGAGAGTAAATAATAGAACGAAAGAAAGGAAAAGAAACAGATGAAAAATCCAGGACGACAATGAAATACTCCCAGCACCATACCAACAAGTGGAATAGAATAATACATCAAATAATCATAATAATACGTTTCAAATGGCTACCTAAGTTCACTAACCTTCTTAGTCCGAGCCTTAGTCAAGAACGGAGGACAATGCCTCATCAACTCAACTTCTGTCTCCTTCTCTCTCTCCAACAAAGCACATAGTCCAGTCCAGCCCAAGTTTCTATCCAAAGATACCCTCCTTGTACCTTAGTTCAGTACTTCCTGGTAAGTCTTTCTCTCTCTCTTCTTTCTGCCTCTCCTTCTCCCCTCTCCTTCTCTCTTTCTCTCTTTCTCTCTTCTTCTCGTGCCTCTCTGCTCTACACCATCCATCATTCCATCACCCCCGTCATCTCTTCCAATCTACTCTTTTCTTGTCCTATTGATTACTATTTTTTTTATTATTACTATTTATTTTTCTTTGAATTCCCCTCGCTTTTTAGGGAAAACCTTCCTAATCTATTGTCTTCTCTAATAGTTAAAGCATTTCTTTTCTCATCTTTTTTAATTCCATCATCTCATAATCTGTCCCATATCTCTTTTTCCCACCTCTCACATATTTTAATCAGCGCCGTTGCACCTGCATCGTACGTGATAACCCTTTTCCCTCGGGCGCCTGACTTACTCCCCTTCCCACTCCAACTTCCGCCCCGTCTATCACCTTCAAACTTCCACCACTTGCTCCCTTTTCATCCATCCAACCCCCCTCTTGTCATTCTTACCACACTTAGACCGTCGATTTTCTTCGGCTTGGATATATTATTTTTGACCTCTCTTGACACGTCTTCGTTACCGCTAACCCTTTCTCCCTTATAAAGATGGCCGAGATCCGCCGCAAGCTTGTTATCGTGGGTGATGGTGCCTGCGGTAAGACCTGTCTGTTGATGTAAGTCTTGTGCTTCTATCCATATTCTTCGATGAACCGGTATACAGAAAAGATACTGACTGGCGGTGCTCTCATAGTGTGTTCTCCAAGGGAACTTTCCCCGAGGTTAGCTTCCACCGTCATCTCTTTCCCTCCTGACCGATTTTCTCTCTTCTTCCCCCCCATCCTCGTTCCTCGAATGCATCGATCATGGAAATGAAAAATCCCGGTCTGACTGATAATCATCCTTCAGGTTTACGTCCCCACCGTCTTCGAGAACTACGTCGCCGATGTCGAGGTTGACAACAAGCACGTTGAACTCGCCCTGTGGGATACTGCTGGCCAGGAAGACTATGACCGTCTCCGTCCCCTCTCCTACCCTGACTCCCACGTCATCCTGATCTGCTTTGCGGTCGACTCTCCCGATTCCCTCGACAACGTCCAGGAGAAGGTAAGGGATACCGCTTCCATTCGCCATCTCGAGTCGTCAGGCTAACCTCTCCATCAGTGGATCTCCGAGGTCCTCCACTTCTGCCAAGGTCTCCCCATCATCCTGGTCGGCTGCAAGAAGGATCTTCGTTTCGACCCCAAGACCATCGAAGAGCTGCACAAGACTTCGCAGAAGCCCGTTACCCCTGAGCAGGTATGTTGATCGTGTCCCTGGCGCGTCAATCACGGTCGCTAATTTCTACAACAGGGTGAGGAGGTTCGCAAGAAGATCGGTGCCTACAAGTACCTGGAGTGCTCCGCACGAACCAACGACGGTGTCCGCGAGGTCTTCGAGGCTGCCACTCGGGCTGCCCTCCTGACCAAGAGCCATAAGAGCAAGAAGAGGACGTGCCTGATCTTGTAAACTACTCTCATTCCCCTTGGCAGAAAGACTGTTCCATACGGAGATTGTATGAGCGGATAAGCGTTTCGAATATTTGGTTGTTTCCTTTCCATCAACTCAGAAGGGGGGCCTCCGTTGGGGTGTTTCAATCTGTGTCTGGGTGCGAGTGTGGATAATGGTCAATCACGGGCACATGAAGCTTTATGGGATGATCTGGCTATGCAGTTGGTCGATTTTCTGATTTTGCAGACTTTTTCTATTCCTTTTTATTTCCCTTTTCCTTTTCCCTATTTGCCCTTGTTTCTTTTTATTCTAGGGAGGCGTTGTCTTCATAACCTTGTGGATTTTGTTCTCTTTTTCCAGCTCTCCAATAGCGCCTACTGGGCGGTTTGATTACCATGGCTAGAGAATGCCCGGTTTCCAGGCAAGACCAAACGCCTTCAGTACTCAAGGAGTGCTGACTGGAGGGAGTGACTCCGCGAGGATGAATGGCGTTATCTTTGCTTGTGTCCCGACTAGATTGGTTCCCCAGATCGAGAATTCGGGCTATGATAGAGCATCCTGTCGCCTCGCATGTTCCCCAACAGGGTTTACTGTTTATTTGTCTCGTCTTTCGGTTAAGAGAATGCATGAATTTGCCTTGATCCTTTTAGACCTGACAGATGGCAGACTTTGAAGCTCGAAAGGATACAAGGCAATGTCCACCCTTAAGTTATTACCATTAATACAGTCTGTTTGCTAGTATAGAACCATACCATATACCATTCGACTAGATCTCTACTCTTGACACCATTCCATGAATCAAACAGACCCGCATATATAGAGGTACCCACATGAGACTCCATGAAAAATAAAAAAAAAACAAAGATGACGAAAAAAGACAAACGAAAAGAACCAGATCGATCACCCTATTTAATAACGAGTCCATCCAGTATAGTGAATCTCGGGAAAGAAAAAAGTGGACCGTCACCGCAGGTGCATCCTTATAACTAGTACATCCTCTGGATATATATAAACATAATATAGATTTGGAGGATCTCAGGACGTGTGTAAAGATAGAAATGTCTCCCTTTCTCCTTTTCTAGTGGATGCCATGCTAGTTAGTTAGCTACTGAGATAGCTAGCTACCTACCTACATAAGTACCTCTGTACCTAGTAGGTAACTACCTCTAGTACCTATACGTATCCAGGTAAGCAAGTAAGATACCAAGATGGTAAGATGCTAGGTGGTTACGTATGCACGTATTTAGTACCTCTAGGAAGTTGGTACGGAGTCCTAGGTAGGTAGGTAGGTAGGTAGGTGCCAAGTAGCAGGTACTAGATACTAGGTACTACTAAGTACAGTTGACGTGAGACCATAGTTAGCGATCCAGACAAGGCGACCAGCTACCTATTTACCTAGGTAACAAGGTACAGTACCTCGCACACATCATATCCATCATACCATCTCCCCCTTCTCATCTAGCGCTCGTATCATCGACAAAGAGAAAGGCTAGACCCACGATGTTATTTTAAGAATAGAATAGGGGCAAAAGGCAGATAAGTGGGGTTTGGGGGGGGGGATGGCATCCGCAATCTGACACAGGGGGAGAAGGGGAGGGAAGAGAAGAGAGACATATATATGTATAGGTACTAGGGTCTCCGTCGTAGGACTTGATCTGGTAAGGTACCGTCTGTCAAGCCTTTTAAGTGTCGGTGGTGGAGCCGAACTATTGATTTGGATTTGGGTGGGTTGGTCTTGGGGGACGAGATTGGATTAGACTGTTTACTTACTTACTTGTCTGACTGAGATGGGTATGGATGGGGTTCGTTATACATTTAGGTAGTAGGTGTGTACCTGCTGCGTGCTTGTGTACATGGCATGTATGGATTGGGTTGTTTGGTTGAGTGATGTATACGACTGAAGATTACTTGGTATATCTAATCGAGTGTATCTGTGGAGGGTGTTTTCTGGTGAAGAAGAGGAAGTATAATTTTAGATGTCTCTCTTTGACATGACACAGCTGTCAATATTGGCTCGTACTAGTATTGTGGCTTACGACATGATTCAGACCGGTTACTCACGAGCGGATAATTGATTGACATGATCAAATAGTCCACCAAGCGTCTGTCTGACCGCGATCCCGATACCATCTCCACACCGTTATCTATTCAGACTCAATAAATTCTCAATATACCGCCTCGCGTCCAGACCTAGTCCCTCAACGAGTTTTCCCGGTCCCGTATCCGCCGCCCGGGACGACGAAGACGGCAGTCCCGGTGATGACGGCGCCCCCCCTAGGTCCCTGAAGAACCTAGTGCCGCTCCCGCTGCGACTGTGAGCCACAGCGGGGACATGGTCGCTTGATTTCCGGATGACGAACGCCTCCTGATGCTGCAGGTTTCCGTCTCCGTCGTCTGCGGGTGACAGGTCGGATTCGCTGCTTCGGCTGTTTGAGTCAGACATGCGCACCCAGATGACCCACCAGCCGCGGCCGGTTTTGCAGGTGCGTTCGGTTTCGAGAGGTCGGGCGCGCGTCTCGACGTAGGTGCTGAGAAGCCGGTGGTGGATGTTGAGGCTTTCGACGCGGGACCAGGGGGTGTGTGTACCTGGGCCTGGAGGGTCGGCGGGGGAGATGCCTAGGTCTGGGATGTTGGGGATGGAGGAGCGAATTGTGAGGTTGGATGGGTCGTAGACGAGGTCGTAGATGGGTTGGTTTTTGGTGGTGAACCGGTGGTTGATGTCGGTTGTGCTTCGAGACATGGATATGCGCGATGCGGCTGTTGATGGCGAGGTGGAGCTGTTTAGGGCTTTCTGGATGGGTGCGAGTTGGTGGTGGATGCTTTGGTAGAAGGCGTGGTCGGTGAGAGAGGGTGTCTCTGGGTCGAAGAGGAATGTGTATATGAAGGGTTGGTGCTGTGTTGTTTGTTAGCTTGTGACTTGAGAGATAGCGCGGTATAGGGTTGTCATACTATATAGATGACTGCACGTAGTTTCGTAGCAACTGATGTGAGAATCGGTCAGTACTTGAATTCAGTTGTTTGATGAAGGATATGGGCTCTCACCGTTCGCGTTATGTTCTGATGGCTCTCCTAGGTGAACATGCAGTGTCCTGTGCGAGATCTCGACTGTTTCTGACGAGTCGTCTAAATCAGGACCCCCGGATGGCTTCTCCAGCCAGTCCTGGGATCCGACAAGAAACTTCCCACAGCTCTTGGGTTTCGCATTATCCCCTGGTTGGGATGCGGCTTCTGTGGACGCATCCTGGGGTTGCGCATCTGCGGACGAACCCGATTGCTTGCCCTTGCTGGGCGAGCCGTCCTCTCGTTTTAAAGCCTCAACACGAGGATGGGAGCTGGCCCCAGATGAGTTCCCCCAGGTGGAACCGTACCCAAGAGTCAGGTACTTCACAACTGTCCCTGTCCTGAGTCGCATCCAATCATTCCCTTGCTCGCTTCCCCCGGCCGAGGAGCCGTCTTCACTTGCAGGGGCGTCTGCTGCGTCCTCATTATCCCGAGGAGATTGAGAAGATTGTGGTGCTCCTAATAGTAGTGGAGGTGGGATACCCGGCGAGAAACTGCGTTCTGGACTTGTAACCTGGGGGTCATGCGTACCAGGCGGCAAGTTTGCGTCTTTCGTGGAGGAGCGGCCCTTTTGCCTTCGTCGCTTTCGACGCCGGGGCGAGGTCGGGTCTTCGCCGATTCCGTATGCATCAGCACCATATCTATAGGCCCATTCCATCCACTGGGAGACTCGAGCCAAAGTAGATCGTGAAATGGCGTTCACTCCTGAGAAGACCACTCCGTCTGACGGACTGGGAAAGCCGTTGGAACCTAGCCACCGTCTTTCGTCGTCTGACTCGTCGGCAGTTTCCTTCGGCGCAAATGGATCACCAAATCTGGAGACAACGAGGTCCACAAGGCCATCAGTCCTGCTTATAAGATCCTCCAGAACAGCTCTTTCTCCGCTCCCCCACTCCTCCTCGCCGACTCCCACACCCAGCTCGCCACCAGCCGAGAGTTTGATGCCATTGTAGATGTCGACAGCTGGATTCCCGCCGAGAAGAACATCCCAACCCCAGGAGAATCCGCGCCAGAAGTGGTCGAGGAAAGTACAGAATGTGGGCCGGCCAACGCGTTCGTACAAGGCATCAAGCGTAAAGTCGTGCTGAAGGAGGAAAAGCGAGTGTGCTCGGCGGAGTTGCTGGATTAGCAGCGACGGGGGACATATCTCTCGAGAGGAATAGTGAAAGGTGGGAGTATCAGGAGAGTCGCGCTGAGAGGAGGGCTTCTGAGAAGCGTCCTTATTTGGAAGTCGAGTGAGGTCGATGGACTAGGAAGATATTAAAGAATGTTCTAAGCTATGAACCCGATCAACCAGGACACACTCACCGCTACTACCCACCAATCCTTCTCTAGTTCATGCAGAACGATAAGAGACTTGCCGGTTTCCACATAGTCTATAGCTTTGCCTTGCGAGAAGTTCCTGGACGTCCGTCAGTCTTCAAACCTAGTGCTTCCCTGGCAACGATATCCCCCACCTGGCAAAGCTCACCATGCCCTGCGCCAGACCTATCTGGCGCAACCTCTCGTTCCACTCGCCATTTACTTCTTTGTCATCGTTCGTAACTGTCGAGCTCTCGATCCGGCGCGATCTGCTGGACTTGGAGGTATAGAAGACGACCTGGTCCTGGATGGTTTCGTCGGTCGGACCGAGGCGCGGATTGTAGATCGCCAGAAACGAAAGCTGCGCGGGCTCTACCGAATTGAAGGCGTCTGGCATGGCATCGTCGAATTGTGAGTAGGGCACTCGGGGAATGAGGGAGTTGGAGGCGTTGGCGCGTTGATCATTCGGACGGCAGATGATCGCGGTGACATCACGTGGGGTTGCCGCGGCTCTAGTGTTTAGTATACGGGTATGAACTGCGGAGTATAGAGCCCAACAATGCGCCAGCCATACTACGAGGTATTGAGGCAAGATACTTCTTGCAGCGGTTTATGATGCATACGTAAAGCAATGGAGCAAAAAACATACACAATTGATTTCTGGCCGATTCTCGCTTTGCTTAGTCCACGAGCGTACCAACATATTCTGTCTTCCTCATACCCTTCCACATTTGCTTCCCCCCCAAAGCGGGCCATTGGACGAGAAACCGATCAGCAAAGGGTAATAGAATCTTCCCCGAGAGACTCAACGTGGTAACTCTTGCCCAGGATTCTACGAAGATTGTGCGTAGTTGTAAGTCACTCCGTGTCGAGCCTGAGCTAGTTGGCTTTCGCCGGGGCTCAAAGATAGCGACCAGGTAGTTGTAGAGACGGAGAAGCCTGGCAGCTAGTATGACGCACACAGCCGTGGCAGGTCCATTGGTAAGAACGATGTCAGGATATGGCGAGGTGAAATATGGTGGGCGTAATTTCTGGTCGGGGTGAAGACCTCGTAGAACAAGCAGACAAGCCCAGAAAGATTGAAGAGTAGAGAAGGGTGCAGTCAGGTAGGATTGATGTACACGACGAGCGCGAGGCACGGTAACGATGGTGTATGATCCACGAGCGTCTTTGGTTGTTGTTTGGTATCTCTGGCCTAAGTAGTCTGTTTCGAACTCCACTGCTTTTGCGGCACTGAAGTTGTCCCCTGAGCTCACAAGATATGTTCTATATGTATATCTGGAGGGATCAAGTTCCATGCGTCGTAGCATGGAGAACATTTCGGCTGTATGACCTCCACTGCCCAGGACAACCAGAAGGTGAGCGGGTGAGTTCTTGAGACGCCATTTCGGTACCGCAGCATGGTGTGAGATTGTGAGGGCCCGGAAGAGTAGCTGCGTACAATATCAGTTCTATCCATGATCGAAAAATCCACATATGCCTGCTATTGAATGTACGCACAAGGACGATTACTATAGCAGCTACGCCCCCAAGAACGAGGCCCCAGCATAGGAAGCTGAAACTAAACGACAGCCACTCTGCCATCATGCCGGACGAGTCTCTGACTAGAAGTAATTGCTGTGTCTGATTGTCGCTGTAAGTTCATAGTCGGTAGTGGTTGACAAGGGGGTGTTCCTGAATGGTGCTCTCAACAGGCGTGGTTGCCACCGCTAACCCTCATTTTGCAAGTACAAAGCAGTTAGAAATAAAAGAAGAAAGGCAGTTTGACTTGAAGAAAAAGAAAGAAAGAACACCAAGGGTGACGCGACAATGAACTGATTGAATGAACTGATACTGGAAAGGACAAAGCACGTGGCCTGTGCGGTTCGGGGATTAGTCTCGTCTTTTGTCTTAACTCCTTCGCTTTTTCCTCGACAAACAATCAACAAATCCTTGAATCTCACCATCCTTTCCCCGCGTCCCCACGATCTCAGTCTACATATTCTCTTACCACACTTCCGATGTCACCCCTGATATGACATGGCTACTCTTTTTTCTAAGCGACTAAACTGCTTCTATTGCGGCCGTAGGTCCGCGCAGACGACCACAGGACCGGTTCGCAAATGGCACTGTCAGCATTGCGAAGCAGTCAACTATCTCGATGAAGTATGCCCCAAAACATCCTAATAACTCTCCATCTTGTAGGCTAACCACTGTTTACGACCATCTAGAACGGCGAAATTACAGATCCACCCGCCGCAGAAACCAACGCCCAAGTCGACGGTCTCGGTGCGCCCGGCTCGACTTTCGAGTCATCCGATTTCTCTGGCTCTGGCATCTTTTGCGGACAGTGTCTTCGAAATCAACACCTGTTCACAAACGCGTTAGCTTCGTATCTTCCACCGTCGGACGATCCCGACTATCGCGCGTACGAGCGAGAATACCCCAGCTTCCGGAAGAATTTGGAGGAGCGGTATCCGCAAGTATGCGCCAACTGCGAACCACGAGTAAGAGAGCGCATCCGCCAGAGCGGCTATGAGGCCAAATCAGACCACCTTCGGCGGGTGATAGATCGGAGCAAAGCAGGAAGGGCAGCTCGACAGTCACGGACTTGGAATTGGAGAAGCCTTTTGGTTTTCGCGGGCGCCGTGGGATACTGGGCTAGCATTGCCGGGCAACTATGTTGGGATGCATGGAGTGCCCTGGCTACTGAAGAACTACTCTATTCAAGAACTCTCTCAGGTTCACCGACTGTATCAGCTTGGATCCAGCGGATCGCGCAAAACCCATTTGCACCGAGTCCCCGCGCGGTTGATTTAGTACCTTATGCGCGCCTGTCGCTCGTGGCCGGCATCCTCACCCTCTGGTATAACCCGAAACTGCGACTAAAAGTGGAAGGACGAGGTGGTCGGTTTGTGGGGCTGGGAGAGTATTACAAGGTCCAACTCATTGTCATGGTGGTGCGCTGCGCCTTCTGGGCAATGCTCAAAGATCCCGCTTCGAGTGGTTTAGAGCCTGCTTTGCCACCGGCACTGCATTTGTTTATGATCTTATTCACTGTGTTGGTATGTTTCATTCTTGATGGACCCATTCCACAGCTCTTGGATGTTTGCTTACAACAGCCAGTCCGTCGCAATCTCTCGGCGCATTGTGCAATACGATACTCGCCCATTAGTGACTTGGTCCGAACTCGATTCTGCCCCGACCCCAAAACGAGACGCAGAGGCGACTCCTGTGCCAAATACCGTGAACAAGCAAGTCTTTGGAACCCCAAGTGAAGGATTTCGGACTGCGCCGCGTTTTCCAATCGAAAAGCTGGCTACCCCCAGACAAACACCCCTGCCAAGTCCTGCAACAGATATATCCATCCCAACTCCCCCGCCCGAAGATGATATGGACTGGACTCCTTCGATCCAGCATAACATCCGGCCGACGGTGAGCGTTCACCAGCGGGACCAACCGTCGGTACTCGACGGACCGATGCCTTTCTACGGGTCAATCCCTGCCGCGCCAGAGCCTCCGGCATGGACTCTGCGTAATAGGTCAAAGCACAAGAAGCCTCTTGAAGAGGTGGTCGAGCCGAACCCCTTCCATCGCACACCGGCGACGCAGGCGTCTAGGCCGTGGCAGCGGGGCCCCGATCGCTCGGAAAATGTTTTTGCGCCCCCGAAGTTCTTCCCCATGAGCGATCACGCTTCCTCGACCGGCCTCGAGAGCTTATTTGATCGAACTTTTACCATCAAGTCACCGGAGGACGAAGAAGACAGCAATTGGAAACGACAACAGAAGCAGCAGCAGCAGCAGCGGGCATCGAACACGAAACAACGCCTATATCCTGACTTCCAGGGGGCATTCGTGTTCCAATACCTCCGCATAGGACTCTTGCTGGCGTCTCTCTTTGCTTGGGTTCTGTCGCAATATGAGCATCTTTCGGTTACTGGAAACTACATCGAGGTAGCTTCTTTGGGAAGCGCGAGCCTGATCGCAGGCTTCGGGTTACTGGAAGTATTGAAGCAACCGATCGTGCAGTGGAACGGCATGGAGATTCTCGTCTATTTGGCCGAACTCTCGGCTGCTGTCCACTTGGGTGGAAACCTGCCGCATGTCTCTTTGGAAAGGCAGTACTTCGATAGATACGGAAAGCTGCTCTTGGTATTTATGGCCGTCCAGGAGGCACTGGGACTGCTTGCTCTTTACCAAGCCGCGCAGACCCATAGCTCAAAAACCCAAGCAAAGCGGGCAAAAGCATCGCAGCCTAACCGGTATGAATCATCTGATGGTTCACCGGGGACCCCTCGACCAAAACAGATAGCAGGCCGCCCAGAATTCGGGTCATTTACGTCCCAGACCTCAGCAGCACCGCCCCTGTCCTTCTCCTCCACCGCAGCCGGATCGAGCTTCCAGACGCAGCCGCCCGAGCCAAGGTACCAAATTGGACGTCCGTCCTACGACGGAGCCTTCGATAAAGGCCATGGCTTCAGCCTGAGCAGTTTGAAGGGCGAAGACTCGGACGCGTACGACCCGTTGGAGCACGATTCTGACACGGAAACGACGGCAACGACAGCCACCGACAGCACGATCCGCAATATCCGCTACGGCGGGAGCACCGCCGGGTTGGATACTCCGTTCTTCTCCCCCAGGCGCAATGACCTGGGCCCTGGAATTGGGGGGCTCAGTCTTGATGATAAGCCTTCTATGGGCCGGGTGACACGAAGTCAGACGAAAGGACGGCTTCGCAGATGATGACGTATCACATTCTTTTCAGTTTTATTTCCTATAACTTTCTAACTCTGTTTCATCCTTTTTTATTTTTATTTTTTGGTGTCTGGTCTTATCACCCACCGTGACTTTGCTTTCTGTCGTTTCTGCACTGCACTGCACAACAGGCGTCCGGCTATTCAGCTACATACACAACAGGGGTACACGATTCCCCAAACCCGCTTATATCTTTGATTTGTTCTTGTTTATATGCATCCGGAGATCAGCGGGACGGCTAAACTTGCATTTTCATTTTGATATTACTTTTTGGCTTTATTACGTTTGCTACTTCTTGTTACCTTGCAAAGATACTCCTGTACTTATTTATGATGTTTGCCTTGATAGCGGAATATACGATTCACGAAGTGATGCTAGTTATATTGATTGACTCGGATACTGCGTAAACTGTAGTACTAAATACTGCGTTATAACTTATTCGACACGTACTCAGCAGACAGCATGGAACAAGACAAGTCAGAGATAGAAATGAATTAAGACTATTCACATACTCCAATTAAGGGCTCATCCTATCAAATTCAAACCGAACAAGTAAGAACAAGAACAAGAACCCAACTCGCAGATAACAAGGTATCTCCACAACAAGACCCTAAAGACCACAAACCAAACAGAACATCCAAAACAGAGAGAGAGACAAACAAACTACACCCGCTCAATGCGAACCTCGTCAGCGCCCTCTTTGCTATCTCCGCCTCGGGAGTGGGCCCGCTCGCCGCTCTGCGAGGCTGTTCGTTCGAGGTCGCTTGTTTTGGCGTCTGAGGCGGTGACGCCGAAGAGCTCGTCCATTTTTTCGAGGGAGAGGCCTGTTCATTTATTTGGTTAGTTTGGTCATATATTGTATTGTGTTATCGTGTTTGGTAGGGTGTTTGTGATGGTATGATTCGATGGGAATGGTGTAGTTGAGGAGATTTGGGCGGAAAGAAAGCATACCTTTAGTCTCCGGGACGAAGAAAAAGACGAAGACGCCCATGGAGAGACAGAAGCAGGAGAAGATGATATATGTCCTGTTCACATAATATATCAGCAATGACCTTCGCAACCAAGAAAACCAGAGTGACTAATCCAGCAAGACAAGATAGAAGCAACTCACCCATAACCATTAGCCCCAACAGTGGAAATCATAACGGGGACACTCCTCGCCACCACAAAGTTAAACAACCACTGCGTAGCAGCCGCAAACGAAACATTCAGACCCCTCAGCCGTGCCGTCGGAATCTCCGAGACATAGATCCAGCAGACCGGCCCCCAACCGAACTGGAAGCTCGCCGCAAACAGGAAGATGCAGACGAGAGCGACGTAGCCGGCGGGGATGACAGGCTCGCCTTCGACGGGCGGGGCGATGCGGATATACAGGCCGATGTAGAGCATGGAGAGGCCCTGTGCGGCGGAGGTCCAGAGGAGAGAGCGGCGGCGGCCGAGGGAGTCGGCGACGAAGACGAGGAAGACGGCGCAGGCTACTACCTTGACGATGCCGTAGACGCCTGTGGCGAAGAGGCCCGTGGTTTGGCCTGTGACGCCGAGGTTTTTGAAGATGAGGGGGGCGTAGTAGTTGATTGCGTTTGTTCCTTTGTATGAGGTTAGCATAGGGGTGGAAGGAGTGGTGTGAGAAGGGGGATGGTACCTGTCATTTGTTGGCAGATCATGAGGAAGATGCTGAGCAAAACGCGGTTGCGGTTCCCGGTGATGAGGAACATCTCCTTCATTAGGTCCCAGAAGCTGGAGCCGCCGATGAGCTGGCGCTCGGATTCCAGCTGGTTCGCGATGTCCTGGAACTCGGCGTCGACGTATGGGTGGGTTGGGGGTAGGTTGCGCACGCGCGAGAGGGTAGAGCGGGCTTCTTCCCAGCGGTCCTGCTTGGCCAGCCACCGCGGTGACTCGTTGCATAGCAGCATGCCGATCAGCAGGAGCACTGCTGGGAGACCCTGCATTGCCAGGGGTACGAGGTATTGCGCCGCGTTGTTGATGTGCTGGAGCGAGCCGTAGTTGATCCAGAACGCGAGCATGATGCCCAGCGTGATGAAGAGCTGGTAGAGGCCTGTGAGGCCGCCGCGGATGGCGCGAGGGGAGTTCTCTGATACGTAGAGCGGGTTGACCATGGAAGCGATACCGACGCCGAAGCCGGTAACGAGTCTAAACACGTTTCACGACTGTTAGGCTCTATCTCGTGTTCTAAAGTAGGAGGATCTGTGCCTACCGTCCAATATACATGGCTTCTAGATGCCCACTGGCGGCGACCTGCATAATGACCCCAATGATGGCGAGGATCGACGCAGCAATCAAACCGACCTTGCGACCATATTTGTCCGCAATGACCGAGGCGGCGAGGGCGCCGAAGAAGCACCCTGCCTGGAGGGTGGAGACAATATTCGCACTTAGATTGGCCTCACCCACGGAGTCGAGTCCGTTCAGGCCATATGTACTGGGCTTGTCAGATGGACCAACGATGAATATGAGAGGGAGAGCGCGTACTCTTTAAACGGGTCCATCGTGAGAACACCGCCGATGATACCAGTCTCCATGCCGAAAAGCATCCCGCCGAAACACGCCTAGGAGCTGTGAGATTGTGTTCGTACTGCAGGAACGAGTGCGACTGACCGAGCAAGCCAGCGTGTAAACTCGCCATCCGTAGATCTCTGGGGGATCCGATCGCATCGCCTCATTGTGGACGAGCTTCCGTAGGAGAACCGACATGTTGGCAGTATGTGGCCCCGAGCTCCAGCTTTCAAAGAAAAAAAGAAGAAAAGAAGATAGACGTTCAAGCAGACAAGATGTAGATTAGCTCAGGTGAGTGTCAGTTAGAAGCAGTCCAGCTGCTGATGTCGTTCAGAGGAAAAAGGTCAAACGAATCCCTATCTCCATGGCAAATTTCCAGACCTGGGGGTGATCTTATATGAAAGGGTCACATCTCGCCGTTACTAGAGCATGACCAGCTGCTACAGTCAATAGCCGTCAATCAATCACAGCATAGACGGAGAAATAGACGCATAAATAATTCCACGAATCCCAGTCGGCGCGGCGCAGAGCAAAAGGACAGGGCCTCTGGGCGACGGGAACCTAAACGAAAAGCAATTGCCGTCTGGGCACCCAGCGTCTGCAAGTGAGCGTCCAGGCCATGCCAGAGCTACCTGGTAAAATCGCCAGAAATTAACCGGCGTGCAACCGTAGGCGCTGGTGAGTGGAAGACGGCTTGTCGGACCAGCCCGCGACGGCGATGTGAGTGGACGCCCCCGGTTGGGGATTGCGGGGAAATGGTGTGGACACGAGTCGATCTGCAGGGATGGGGAAAGGGATGGGGAAATTTAGTTGGTTTATCCACTTAGAGTGTCGGGTATGGAGACAATCTCACCTATAATAGGGGGAGCTGGCATGATTGGGATGCGGATAAATTGTTGAATTGATCTTATGTAGTACGTCGTGGTGCAGCCCTAGCCCTAACATGTTTCTGTACTTGACAGACGCTTGTTAGATATAGTGACAGGGATGAAGATAAGAAGATGTTGAGTAGATTAGATCTGTAGAACCGGTCTGTATGTCGTCAAATATTCAATATTGCACAGATAGAATGAGGAATGTAGCTAAATCAACAGTGTTGTCACTCTAGTTTGATATCATTATCCCAGATAGATCAAGACATCACAACGCCCTAACCAACCACGACTACATACCCAACCATAAACCTCACAGACCAAATTAAACTACCCCCCAACCCAACCTCCCCCGTCTCAACAACCAAACCCAAACCCCATCCACCACCAGTATCTCCCCAAACGAGAAAACCAAACTCCCCCCAAACACCAACCCATGATACGTCCACGCATTCCCCGGACTCAACTCCACCACCTGGCACACAATCGCCCAAGGCAACACATAGCAGAGATTCGAGACGAGCGACTGGCCCAGATACCACGACGGGCGCGTCGCCAGGAGCACCGTCACCAGCTGGGTGGAGATCGCGTACAGGATGTAGCACCAGTCGATGGTGCGCCACATGTGAGCTGTGATTTCTGCCACGCTTGTGGAGCGGCTGAGGAAGAAGGCGAAGGATTTGCAGCCGGTGAAGGAGAGGATGATGCAGAGGGGGGTTTCGATTATGGTGGCTATGAGGGCGGAGAGGAGGGCTGGGCGGGTTATTGCTGTGGTGGTTTAGTTTAATTTATTTCCTTGTGATTTTTTATGATGGAGATTGTAAACAGAGTGGTAGGGGACGTACTGTAAATGTCGTCCCAGGAGGTACGGGTCTTTCTGGTCGTGGACTCCCCGGCTTTCCACTGTCCCCAGGCGTGGCCTACGAAGGCTAGCGAAGTAGCTTCCAAAGCTTGAACAGGCACCATGACGAGACCCCACCGGATGGTAGTGAAGACGCTCCAGGCCGTAGCGTAATCAGGCGACAGGGCCACGATGCCAGAGACAAGCCAGAGGTAAAGCGCATTGCGAACAGCAGATTCAACCAGGGTCAGAGTGCCAGGCCTCAGAAGCACCAGGAAGGCATCGACAGAGGGGGTCTTGCCCGACCAGGACCACGTGCCGTGCCAATGATGGCGGCGAAGACTGGTAGACAAGACGAAATAAGCCAGACCAGCGAACGCAGCGACCATATCGCAGCCTAGCCGGATCCCAGCCTGCATATTGATAGTCGGGGTCCAGGAGCCAACATGAAAGCGGGAGACGACCAGCAGGTCCAGAACGATATTGACAAGCACCTTAACGGAGCTGATCAATAGCGGAATATCAGGCTTGTCGAGGGCACGGGTAGCGTTCGAGACGGCAACCTCGACAGCCGAGCTGAGGGCTGTGAAGGCTAGGACGCGCACGTAGGTGATGCTAGCGTCGCGGACGTTGTGCGGGACGAAAGCCGCTGCGAACTGGGCTGCTGAGGCTGCGAAGACGATGCTCATTATTGCGCCTAGTAGGGCCTGGAAGAGGATGAGGGTGTGTGCTAGACCCAGCCGGGACTCGAGAGATCGGGCCTCGCGGTTGGCGATTGTTACCCATACGGCGCGGGGGAGGCCCTCGTTGAGGACTTCTGCTACGACGCCGATGTAGGTGTAGACGTCGGTTGTGGCGACGAGGGAGGGGTCGATGTCTGCTACCCAGAGCTTGACGAGGGTGCCGTAGAGGGCGGGGAGGATGAATGCGCCGATGTTGAAGAGGAGGGCGCCGAGGTAGCTGGTGGAGAAGACATTTAGACACTATTTATTTATCTGTTCGAGGGGGAGTACCTAGAGCGATGCCACCATGACCCGGTGGTGATCCATCCAAGCGACAGGAAGCGACGACATCCCCGCTGCGTCTCATCCTCCCTCGACCTGGGGCCCACGGGTTCCTCGACAGGGTCGGACATGTGTGACTGGTTCGTGAGTGAATCCAGGGACTCGGGACGATGTTTTACAGTGGGATTGGAGGGTTGTACAAGGATGTAGCCAAGAAGAGGGGTTATCAAGCAATACGTATAGACTAGGATGGATTGGTGAATCGCTGCATGTTTGCTTCCTCGCCGAGAACATAGCGTTGAATGTGAATGGCTGCCTCGGTGGTAAGGTCATGCATTAAAAATACTCAGATCATTAACCTCTCTAGTGACACAATGTGGTTACAGACACTCAGCTTCAACTAGTTCCCACCAAATCCTTAAGCCACTGCGGCATCGAGGGAGGCTGCTTCCAGCCCTCTCGCCAACCATCCGCCTCCCCTTGCGCCGGATACGCAAAAACAGCAGTAACAAACCAGCGCTGATCACCCGGGGCCAGACTGGCACCCAGCGAAGGCAGCAGAGTACGTCCATACATGATATTCGAGTTCGGATCCGCGAGGACGACCCTCCCCGCGCGCTCAACAGCCGCCTGGAGCTCTACGATGCCGACAGCACCAACAGAAGACACAGTCAACGCCTTCTGGCCCTCCTGCAGCGTCCCCTCTCCCAATTTCTCCTCGAACGGCCCTAAGAATCTGCCATTGTCGCTGCGACAGCCGTAGATCGCGAACGCGCCCTCAGAGGCCATCAGCTTGCGTCCGGTGCGGACGCGGTGCGCACGAATATGCCAGTTGTCGTGCCCGTCGCTCGGCGGGATCAAGTAGCTCTCGACCTCGACGTCGGACCACGGTTTCCACCCGGAGACTAGTGTGGGCACGTCGTCATGCCACTCGATGCGCGCGTCCAGCGCCACCCGCCGCGTCTGCCAGATATCGCCGTCGTCGTCGGACAGCGCGAGCATGCTGTCTGGGGCGTGCTGCTCCAGCTGATACCCACCCGTCGGGACGGAGTACCCGAAGCTCGCGCTGTAGGCGAATTTGCCGTACTTGGCTTGGGTCGCTCTGAGCGGGTAGTGGCATGCCTGGCCGGAAGACAGGAGGAACGAGTGTCCGCCGCGGTGAACGACGATGTGCTTGGGATACTCGAGGGCCTTGATGGGGGAGAGCGCAGCACTGGGGTAGGGCTCTTCAGGGGCTGTCCAGAATGGGTGCGACTCTGGCAGTGCCAAGGGCACAAAGGAGAGACAGCACCAGTAGGGCGAGCCGGGCGAGTTGTAGTTCTCTGTGAGGTACATGTTCGCGTACGAGAAGCCGAGGTTGAGCGTGCCGTCTGTGTTGAACATGTCGTCTTGCGTGGCCCACCATCTGAAATGCCGCAGTAGGAGACCCTTTACTACGCCCCAGGTGAGAGGGGCTGGTAGTTCGACGTCTGCGAAGGCGAGGGCGCCCCAGAATCCCACCATCGCGAAGCGATATGTCATTGAGCGACCGAACGGGATGGCCTTGCCTGCATGTTGACCTTATTACTACCGACCGTCTGGGAAGGGTAGCGGGAACATACCATCGGGATCAAAGTAGTACACAAAGTCTTTGGCAAACTCTTGCGCCCTCTCACGGTATCTCTCTGCGCGCGGCTGATCGAAATCCCCCGCCAGCTTGGCGTACAGCAACTGCAGGAACTGGATGGCGAACGACCCAGAGTAATAGTCCATTTGGTGATGACTCTTAGGCCCATCATTACTCCAGCCCCCACCCACATAGAAAGAGTCAAGATGATCCATATCCCGCTCGATCCTACTATGAGAGTAGGGCGCTCCATTGCTGCGAAGCCCCAGATTGGCGAACACGCGGAACCAAAGCCTAAACGTCACGTCAGCCAATACACCTAATACATTCCAGCGCATTCAGAAACATACCAATTCGTATTCGGCATCTCCTTATCGTTAATACTATTCAACCAGTTGGTCACATTCCCCCTCTGCCTCTCCGTCAACGGATCCCAAAAGACACGGTTCGCAACCGCAAGTGTGAATCCCAACGGAGCCATCTCCACCATCCGCTGATCCATATCCTCAATGGCGCCCCAGAACTCCGGACTCTCGGGATCCGTCCCGGCGATCAGACCATCGCGCCAGCGCTCCGCATCGGGGTAGTCGTACCCGCCAGCGAGGAGCGACCCCAGGCCCCAGAGCGGGCGCGCGAAGCCCTCGATCTGCGCGCCGCCCTCATCGAAGCGGGTTGTCGAGGAGCCGATCTTCACGCGGCTGCATTCTGGGGTGAAGCGGGCGACGAGGGGGGCGAGGAGGGCTTCGCAGGCTTCTTGGAAGTCGGCGCGGGTGCGGAAGGGGGATTGGCTGAAGGGGTGGGTGGGGGTTTTGCCGTTGGCGTGGATGGACATGGTGGTGTTTTTTGTTCGTTTACTTGAGGGTGTTGGGGTGGGAGAGTAGCGACTGGATGCTGTCCCTATAAGTGCTGCGAGCTGTGCTCTCGCTGGATTGAGGGGTACCGCGGATCGGCATTCTGTCCGATGGCTATATCCAAGTGTTTGAGGTGGGAATTAAAGACGTTGGTTGGATGATGAATGCGATTCAAGAGCTAGGTAGGTAGAGATGTCTGAATTTAGCCGAAAGCCAAAGATCAGCAGTTGGAGTAAACACTAGGTAGTATGTATATTACCTTTGTAGGTATGCAATTCACCGTTTGGTGGAATGGATTTTTCCACGAATCAGGCCGAGTCTGGAGCTACCGACCTAGTTAATATTTCCAGTACGATCTGCGCCCTGTGCATATCATCAGCTTTGAACTGATGTTCAGACTGCAGTGGCAGTGGCGAGTCCGCCTGTGGCTCGTTGGAAGCCTTATTGGACATTCCTAGGTTCTCCGAGGTCATTTCATATGCCGTAATGCAATTCGCTTTGCCGACTATCCATTTATTCTATATGTACAATATGGTCAAGCCGATTGATCATTCGCAACCTAACTTGCTGCCGATAAAATTCGAAAGTTCCCGAGCCGTATCCACCGAATCTGGACCTAGACGATCATGCAGAGCTTCCTGCCACTGCAGCGATTGCAGTTCATGAAGCTTGCGGCCATTGATGGCTTCGTGGACACGCGCTGCCTGTTCCGAAGCGACGGATGGATCGGACGATGTTGAGATGTGGCTTTCAATGATCGCACCGTGCTTACAGCGGAGGAATACCCTCGTCTAACTTGTTAACTTCATTTCTTGACAGTGACAAACTGATGGTAGACACAGAAACGTACCGAAGGAGGAAGAGAGGACGGTAAAGCGGGTCGCTCCCGGGGATCGTCCTCGATGGGATGTGTGGAGAATGTAAACTGCGGTGTCTGTGTGTATTTCCACTCCAAGGACTGCACCACGTTAGACGAATCCTCTTCAGCTAGTAGAAGTGTACTCACCCGTAACTCATTCAACCCTTTGCTGATTTCCGGCTCTGTATCGGCCTGAGTCTCACCTACTGCCCCTGCTACCCAATCTTCACCCGCGTAGAGCTCCGGCTCATACACATGCGCCCGCTGGGCACGGCGCACGGCATCTGGCCCGGTTTTGTACATTTGCGCAAATTCATCCGCGATACTGGACATTACCATCTGCATGGAGAAAGGGATGAGGGCATCCTCAAACTGCGACGAGACATTGGCCACAGGCGAGCGGACGCTTTCCACCCCTTTGGCCTTGATGTAGTCCCGCGCCGGCGATCGCAAGAAAGATCCTAGGCCGTTGATGTTGGGAGAATCTAGCAGACACGTGCCGTGATGAAGCGCTCGATGCCGCGTCAATTTGAAGGCGGACCCGGATATCTTGCGCGGCTGATCGCCATTGGCCATCGAGAGGACAATATCGTGGCGATCGTTGACGCTTGTGTTGGTGGCTCCCACGCGGTGCAATGCGCGCACCACCATTTCCGCATGTTTATTCCGGGTGAAGGAGGTCCGCGGGCAGATCACGCTGTAGTTCAGGTTGCCTTGGTCGTGGAAGACGGCGCCTCCGCCTGACCTGCGTCGCACGTACAGCGCATTGTCGCTGTCCGGGGTAGATCCCTGTGCGCCGGCGACACGGTCATTGTATAGTTGACGGAGATTCGTCTCGAGCCATGGGTTCTGATTGCGACCGATGACGACACATGGGCGATTGGCATAGAGGAAGAGGATGCTTGAATCCGGCGGGGCGTGTTCGAGCAGGAAGTGTTCGATCGACAGGTTTACGTAGGGATCGGTGGAATGCGACTGGTAGATCTGATGTTTGGAGGATTCGCGACTGGCTAACTGGGCGAATTGGTCGGGCGCAAGTGACGAATTATGTCGAACCGATCCGAAGCCAGGATTGCATCTCGACCGGAGGCAGGAAAAGACGAGAGCGGACGACCATTGGCGCGGAGGGAGAGGGAGACGCATTGAAGAGGGAGGTCAGGGAGGCAGCATGGGCATCATTAGATATAATAATGAGAGGAATTCGAGAGCACCTGATCAAAGATGAGTGTCTTGAGTGAAGTGGATAGTGTTTATCCTGATATCTCGGGCAGATCTTCAACGCGTCTCCGATCTTCGGACACTAGACTGGAGATGGAATAGTCTCAGTCAGCGGTCATCGTCTGATCGGAGGTATTCACAGTGTGCCAGTCAAGAATATTTCCCTCTTTTCGCTCTGGAGTTTGAGTAAAATAGTTCTCTTCTTTCTGTTCAATCTTATCCCTATCTATTCTTCAATAGATCTCGAGAGTTGGCAGGATTGATCTATACCTGGGATTCCTGAAGCCACTCCGGCCAATTGCTCACCGCCCGATAAACCCCGCCAAACCGATTATTTTCTTCGATTATTCTTTCCTCCTTGTCGTCACTCACCACAACTTATACTCATACACCTTGAGAATGTCTACTTGGGGAGAGCACTTCCGGGTCACCACGTAGGTTATTCTCCTAAATTTCAAAATACCCATCTGACAATCATCCACTGACACATCTTGAAACACAGCTATGGTGAATCCCACTGCCGCTCCGTCGGCTGCATCGTCGATGGCTGCCCCCCCGGCATGCAACTCACCGAAGGGGACGTCCAACCCCAAATGACTCGACGACGTCCTGGCCAGAGCGCCCTGACGACCCCCCGGGATGAAAAGGACCGCGTGGAGATCCAGTCCGGCACCGAGTTCGGCATCACCCTGGGTACCCCCATCGGCATGGTGGTCCGCAACGAAGACCAGCGGCCAAAGGACTACGGTGGAAGCACGATGGACCTCTACCCCCGTCCCAGTCACGCCGACTTCACCTATCTCGAGAAATACGGCGTCAAGGCCAGCAGCGGCGGTGGTCGCAGCAGTGCCCGTGAGACCATCGGTAAGCACCCGATGAGTCACTCAAGCGAAGGAGAAGAAGAAGAAAAAAAAAAAGAAAAACAAAAAAGGTTACACAGTTTAATACTAATCTCACCTCATCAACAGGCCGCGTCGCCGCCGGCGCCATCGCCGAAAAGTACCTGCACCTCTCGCACGGCGTCGAAATCGTGTCCTTCGTCTCCTCAGTGGGATCCGAGCACCTGTTCCCCCCGACACCGGAGCACCCCACGCCATCAACCAACCCCGAGTTCCTCAACCTCGTCGAGACAATCGACCGCAAGACCGTCGACGCCTTCGTGCCCACCCGCTGCCCCAACCAAGAAGCCGCCGCGCGCATGACCAAAGCCATCGAACACTACCGCGACAACAACGACAGCATCGGCGGCACAGTAACCTGCGTCATCCGCAACGTGCCCGTCGGCCTCGGCGAGCCCTGCTTCGACAAGCTGGAAGCCAAAATCGCGCACGCAATGCTCAGCATCCCCGCGACCAAGGGCTTCGAAATCGGCTCCGGCTTCGGCGGCTGCGAAGTGCCCGGGTCCACCCACAACGACCCCTTCGTCGTGACCGGCGACGGCCAGCGCCTCACCACCAAGACGAACAACTCCGGCGGCATCCAGGGCGGTATCTCCAACGGCGCGTCGATCTACTTCCGCGTTGCCTTCAAGCCCGCTGCTACTATCGGCCAGGCCCAGACCACCGCCTCCTACGGCCTCGAAGAGGGAACCCTCGAAGCCAAGGGCCGCCACGACCCCTGCGTCGTGCCCCGTGCTGTCCCTATCGTGGAGTCGATGTCTGCTCTGGTCATCATGGATGCGCTGATGGCGCAGTATGCGCGCGAGAGCGCGAAGAACATGCTCCCGCCGCTGCCCAAGACGGTGCCCACCCACCCGACGATCAGCAAATCTACTTAAACAAATAAAGAAAGAAATATAATTGATTTTGTCTGATGTTTTATGAGACTATCCTCTTCTATCTCACCCTATTTCTTGAATTTCTACCTACGAACAGTGTGGTCCTAGTATACTGCCAAGTTAGTATCCTAGCTATAGATCGCATCAATTATATCTATCAGACTTACAGTATAGGTATTGTGTTCCATCAAGCAGTATAAGATATCGTGGTATTCTTTCCCTTGAACTTGCTATGGTTATTGCAGAGTCATTGTCGATAGTAGACTCACTAAATAACTGACTGCGTTTGTAGCTGCCTATAGTTTATTTACACAGCATACAGTTGAGCATGGACTATGAGCTATACAATCTGAACTATAATTAGTAGACTCACTAGTCAATCCCTACTACGTATATATACAGATCTTATAGACTACTGTCCTTGTTGTACTGATCATTATTATCATCTGATCTTATCTCATCTCATCTCATAATCACGATCATGTTCATCATCATTATTCATTCATACGTTCTCGCTTTCTTCAAACATAGTACTATACTAATAACAGCATCGCCATCAATCACATCAGTACGGCCATGAGAAAGCAAAAGTAAAACGAAGTAAAAACGAAGAAAGTAAAACAAGAAAAGGTGAAAGAAAAAAGAATAAACATACATAGAATAGAAGTATGCAAGTCAGTCAAGTCAGTCAAGTCAGTCCACCAATCTACCTCCCCTTCACCCTTCAACCCTTCACCTCTCCTCCATCACACCAAAAGAGAAAGGTTGATACAAAACTCGCTAGAAACGATCAAACGGATGAACAAGGGGTAAAAAAAGAATCAATCTATCGCCCCCCCCCACTAACACCCCTCCCAATAGAAGACACCTCCGAAATATCATCCATATCCCCCGCGGTAGCATTAACGACTCGCAATTTCTCCTTTGGAACCGTAAACGTAACCTGCACGCGGCGGCCCTCCGCAGCGCCCTCGACGTCCCAGTCGCCTTCCTGGTCTACTGCGTGGTTACTATTCTCCCTTCGGGACGGACCGGCGAGGGCGAAGTCGTCGCGTGTTGAGGGTAAGGGATGTAAATTTGTCATGTCGCGCGAGAAACTGTTCCCGGCGCTCCAGTCGCGGGCTCCTTGTTTGCGGCGGAGGAGTTCCGCCGAGGCGCTGACGGAGCGTCGGGGGAGTCGGGAGTCAGCGGTGGATCTTTTGGGAGGGGACCCTAGGACGGTGCTGCGGCGGTCGACGCCGGAGGCCATGCCCGCTGTTATTGGTTCTGGTTCTGTTGTCTCGGGACTTGTGGGCCATTTGCGCGTTGCGGACAAAACGCGCCGGACGTTTCCTAGCCATTCTGCGGCTCGGGGTTTGGGAATGAATAGTGGTTTGAGGAACATGCCGACAGGGGAGGTAGGCTCGGCGTCGTCTTCGCGGAGGAGATGTTCGCCTTCGGCTTGACGCTGGGAGAGTGTGGTGTTGGCGGTTGAGTAGGAGTCGGAGGAGTATCGTTTGTCCTGGGAGAAAGCCTTGCTGTGCGCGGACGCGGACCCAGGTTTCTCGGGAGACACCCGCCCGCTACTGGGCTGGCTTATGGATAAGTCTGGTAGGACGCGATTTCTTCTGTCCGGCGATATTGACCGCCCATCCGCGTGGGAGACAAACTCCTGGTCGCGGGATCCAGACGGACTGGCCGGTTCGGATTCCCGGCGAGTGCTGCGGGGCGTCACAAAGCTCGCCTCGGTGTGAGGGTAGCCAGATTCGCACGTCGTCATTCGCTGTAAACTGCGCGTTTCGTCTTCTTCGCGTTCGTCGATTCGATGGATGTCGTGGACTGCATCCCCCCTCCTGTGCTCCATGTCGTACAATGGGGGCCGGTACATTCGCATGTTCGGATTGAGGCGAGGGAATCTCGACGGGCCCGGCACATCCATGAGCAGGCCCGTTCTTTCTGCTGCGATCTCGCCGTGGTCTCTCCAGTTCGACGCCCCGCCAAACCCGTCATTGCGGGTCCATGGGTAAGCGTTGCGTGCATCGCCCCCTCGCGTGGGCGGCTTGCGGATGCTGCTGGCGATGTCGGTTTCGTCCCGGCCCCAGAAATGAGGTCGCTGCGCCCCTAGGGCTAGCTGGCGGAGCTCTTGGTCTCGACTTTGGCGGACATGGCGCTTGCGGTAGGAGAGCCACAGGAAAATCGCCAGCCCTGCGGCGGCCGGGATGCCTATCCCGAGACCCGTCCCGAGACCGACCTTGCGCAACGAAGAGGAATTGGAAGAAGGCTCAGGGGCTGTCGGAGCGGCTGTCGCAGCTGACATGGTATTGGTGGGCTTAGGGGTGCTTCGGTCGTGGTGTAATGTGTCCGGATTAGTATAAGAAGGTATCCAAGTGTTCGAGGTAACGTTGTACAGGAGTACTTGAGAGCTCCGTTGCGGCTCGCTGTCTATCCGTTTGGACAACTTCGAAATGTGATATCCGCCAGCGATCACCATCACGCCACCGGGAAGCATCGTGGCCCCATGGCCGTACACCCCCGTGCCTGGTGCCAGACCCAGGCTAGTGCCCTTTGGAGACGGCAAGCGCCATGCCCAGTCCCCAGAGCCTGTGTATTCCGCACCGATCTCCAGGATGGCCAGCTGAGGCTCAGCTGGGACACTCGTATTACCAACCCATCCCCCAAACACGATCACCTTGCTTCCATCCGGGGAGAGGACCGCTGTATGACCGGACCTGGGTTCGACCGCCGGCGTCTCACGGACGGCGAGCTCAATTTTAGCTTTGTCACGCACAGAATCGACCGTGACAAAGCTCCAACTGCCCTGTGGAAGCGAGAATATAGCGAGCTGCGACATGTTGAGAAACGCCTGCTGCGTGTGGCCGCCTATCAACAGAAAGTCCTGTTGCTGTAATAATTTACCCGACGCCGTCGACGAGTAGGATACCTGCAGCGGCGTGACCGAAAACCCGGCTTCTGCGATAGGCGGTGCGCGGTCGCCGGTGGTGGAGGCTTTATAAGTCGTGTTGCGATCCGAGACCGTCTGGCTCAAGACCGTCATGGACCGAGAATAGTTGGCGGCGGTTACCCACGTTGGACCGGGGCCTAGGAGTTGGGGGCACATGCCCGCAAAGGAATAAACCGAGCTGTTGGAGCTGCTGGAGAACGCGTAGGCGAACCCAGTCGACAAGAAATTCGGTCCTTGAAGGTTGGTTTTTGTCTCGTCCTCCAGCGCAAATTCCTCCCATGTACCGTTTCCGATCGAGCTATTGGCATCGGCGGTGAACTGCCACAACGTAGATTGACGAAGGTCTGCATGACAGTCCCCCGTATAGACTTTGACGACCCCATGCTGGTCGATGACGGGAACAATGGCTGACGAACGGTGGCGACTACGAAACGGAGCCTCGGGTAGTAGAGTCGTGTACTGTGGACGGGACGCATCGAGCTCCCCAGAGACATTCAACGAGAGGAACTGCGTGGTCGTGGTCTCTCCGGTGCCGGAAGACCGTAGCAGATAGGCAAACGACGCATCCTGTTGGGGAGAGTATAGGAGATGGGAGGGGGTATACGGAATGGCCGCGAGAGCGGGGCTGACGAGCAGCAGGAGTGTCGACGCCAGGTAAGCCCCGACTGTCCTGCGCACGCTCTGAGATCGAGGGAGTTGATCATCCATGGGAACTCAAACAGGCCGAGAACACCGCAGCAATGTGAAACCGACCTCGACGCATCTAGAAAAAATCGCCGATCTTAGTTCGGGCCGACAGGTGGGAGACGCGTCCAGGATCAGTCGAACGGCATCAAGGCCGTTTCTTAGCGGTGGTTATCACAATCTCGACTTGACACAACCGCGGTTCCTTGCAAGCCGCAGGAAAGAAATGGTAAAGAGGCAGAAGCAGGAAGGTGGTCAGATTATTTTCAGAGAGGAACCCCGCGTGGAATGTGATTAATAGGGCTCATCAGGCAGGATCTAGAAGAAGGCCCACACTGTAAACACAGGGCATCATCCAGCGGGTGCAGATCTAAACCCGAGGCTCGATCGGGGAGGGGATGTTACACCGTCCATGATGAATGACGGATCGCTGAAAGGAATCGTCATTCTCCAGTAGCCAATCGCCCCGAATGTGGGCAGTGCGATGGCGAAAGATAGATGAGGAGAGTGGGGGAAGCAGGATGAACCAGACCAATACTGTCAGCCAGATCAACACGGCCGGTTGCGCGGGCAACTGCGCGTTAAACCATGGTTCATCACGCCCAGGGATCTCAATCAATCTATTTGAACCAACCAGGTGGAGTGTTGTTGATGGAGAACATGTTTCTGTTTTTTAGGGGTGTATAAAAGGTCTGAACCGAAACAAAGGCAGAATTGACTGACAGGAGGGACATTCCTGGCATCGGAGTATCTGCATAGATCGATATGTTGATCGTCCCGATCGAGTTATGACGGTGGAGACCAAATGAGACAATTCCTTGTCACGTATGCACGGGCCAGGGATATCGCGAGGGAGAGCACGCATCAATCGTGCTGTCGACGGAAATGTCTTCCAGAGAGCGATCCTCAGTGTTTTCACTCTGGATTAATCAATAATTATCACGATGACGCTGGCCTGACTCTTGGCGGGGCTCATCGCTTCGGGGTGGCGTGGTTGTCAGGCCAACTCCAAACAATCTATCTTGTCAGCACAGGGTAGGACGGTACCTGCGAAGATCCACTGACATATCCCTATGACGATGGTGGTGGGAGTTAATCAATATGGTCACATCCAACCATGAGGGGACTAGACGGCTGAGAATCATGGCCGAGTTCCGTGCAGGATGCCTAACCAGCATGATTCTGTCGTATCTGAGGGATGCGACTGCATTCCTAGCCTGGAGATGCCATGTCGCTGATAGACACCAGTCAATGCGCTCCTGTCCCCATCCAAATCGGGTGTTAAGACAAAGTAACCTGGAGGAGAAGATGGAGAAGACAGGGTGAACATCGGAGGAGCCCACCAATCGAAGCCCCACCAGTAAACAATATCCAAGTTGACCGTCCAAGGCGTAAGGCCAACTCAGACCCAGGGGCACGATAATTGGAGTGACATGCAACGGCCGGTGGGTTACACTACAACACTACTCTGCCGGATGATTACTTCTTCAACCTGGTCGATACCGGCTTCGATTACCCAGATGTCAAGACAGTCTCAGCTTGCGGACAGCCCCCTGACCTGTCGACAATAAACACCAACCATGAGGATACCTAGTTAAACTGCCCAAAAGAGAGCTCGGTAGACCGGGACTGATGATTTTATGATCGATCCCAGTAAAAGCGAGATATACCATTCGACTGTCCACCGGATGTTGGAAGATCCGGTCAGCCCAGGCTAATAACCAAGGAGTAGTCTGCAACGCGAGCCTAAGGCGAAACCATATGCTAAGGGGCTGAAGTCGGAACGATCGGTTTGCCGCTAGAGGAGGGAGCAGATCATGGCAGTGCCTCGCTCCCACCATAATCGCCTGGTGCAGGAGCCTCCAGTACACATCGTCAGAACTTGCTTTGCCGATACGAAGCGAAATATTACCTCGCTGTTTCGTCTCAGCCACCGCTTTGACTGAAATCATCGTAGTGGCAAGTGGTTTAGAGTTCGCGTCGACCTATTAGATCCTCCGTATTCACGGCTAAAGCATCCAGATTGGAGAGGAACTCGTATCCAGCGCGGCCTTGATTGGACTGAGTGTATTATGAAGCATGGTATGGTATGGAGCATGCTGCTGCAGGGGAGAAGAAGAAGAAGCGGGGGGTTTGAGCGGTGGTGGTCGGACATGACCCCTCGAGCCACGGAGCCAACGGAGCCACAGGGCCATGGATGATCATCGCGACCAATCCTCGAAAGGGAAAAAGAGTTCGGTCCTTCTGCCGTGCAACGCCCAAGAAAACAGCCGTACCGAACAAGTGTGAGCACACTGTACACTGTACACACCTGGTAACGAAGGCCGTACGGAATTGTCAAACCCGTCCGGTTATTTGCAGTTGATCAAACGGGATGGGGGGAGGAGACTAAAAAGCTTGGTCGGTTTCGACTAGACGAATCAGCGGCGTCCTACTCCTCCGTGCTCGACCATGCATGACACTCGATTGGGTATGATGGGGTCAGGTTGGGTTGACAATCCTGGTCTTGCCAAGGGTATCATGCTACGAGGTTTGACTCTCCTCACTGTCTCCTCTCTTGGCTGATTCCCAGCCGTGAATCGCGTCGGAGAAGTTGTCCAGTGCGCACGTCCGCACTTATTAAGCTCCAATCACGATCGCATGTTTGGACGTGGATGATGGAAGCTCAAGTTGGTGACTATCCCGGGATGCGACATAACATCATATTCAAAGGGCTATCCTGAGAAGAGACATCCGTCCTGATTAGCCAACACGGACGAGTGAGCATCATCCATACACACGGAGTATCCTCCAGCACATAACCAGGGACATGGACCAAATTGGAATGACGTCAATTACCTCAGTGGCTGAACAAAGGAAACCTGAGGGCCGATAACCGGACAGAGAGGGGGAATGCCAATACCCGGAGGCCCCAGTCAGGCTAATGGGCATGTCCAGGGTTCATTTTCATTTCCAGTGAGACGGAGCTGTACTGGCCGACCTATACGGAGAACTTTCAGGCCCTGTACTTTCCAGCCCCTGTTCATCAATCAGTCAATCGGGTATAGTATATGAACCCGTCTCACGGATGAAAGGATTCATGACCATAGGTTGTGTTATCTTATAGTGTGCCATCAAATCCATGCTAGATGAAATACCAACAGGGAGAAAAGACAGACGAACTGAAACGGAAACCGTATATCGAGTGGATCGATCAGGCTTCTTCACATAAAAAAAAAATACACAATAATAAAGCAGTAAATAGAAGATCATAATTCTGTATGGTGGGCCAGTTTCGACGAGCTTCGATAAATGAGAGGGGACATGCATACATCATTCGATCCTTAGCATAGTATCGAGGTAGGTACCTGGCAAGTGAACACCGGCTATTGATAAGACTGGTTTTAGTTCCCCACCATGGGTTGAACGTGGAACGTGCGAGCGTATTACGCTTTCTACCCAGATGGGTCTGTCAATTCTCGTAGGATCTAGAAATGTCACCGCTTCACGTTGATCCTGTCTCCCACCCAAATCAAGGAATATCCTCGAAGAATAGGGAGGGACTCCGTACTCAATACACACATGTATTGGAGTCCAAACCATAATCCTCGCCATCTCCCTACCTGTCAAAATACCCCAAACCCTTCTCCGCATTCATGCTCGTTTAGCTACCTAATTTTAATTCCAATCTCCCTTCCCTTCCCTTCATCTCTCTTCAACCTCCCATTGGAAAACCCTAATATCCCTCCCCCCTCAATAAATATAAATCCGGGGTAAAGTTCCCCGGTCCAGCCACTCCCCCTCACTGTTACTAACCCTCCCGGACCGGAGAGCCAACCGCTCGTGTGGCCTACCAGTCACCAAGGTGTAGTGGCAGCGGAATAGTGGAACACAGACCTCTTGGTCAAACTCGTCGCGCGAAAGCTAAAGGGCTGGGTGACAGGGTTCTAATTGGATGTTGTGTTCCCGCCCCGTCTGGTTTTCTATCTGGATGTATCCAGTATGGTCTTACTGGCCTTTTTCTTCAGCGGTGGAAACCTTGGGAGATTGAGAGTTGTGGACTTGATGTTGGTATGAGGTTGTTTGTAGTGGAGGGAGTCGCTTTCTTACGTTGTGTATGGGGACATCTTCTGTACAGGGACATATTAATCAATCAACCAGTCAATCAAGGAAAACTGGGCAGATAGAAATGGAGTAGGGTAAGCCATAGTGATGCCCCGGGACCCACGGAACACAGGGCGATCCAGATAAGAACCAAATGACAGACGGCGTGCAGTGACTGATTGACAGGTGTCATGAATATTTTCTAAATTCTTCTATTATTCTTATATTCTAGAATTATAATTATGTTTATTTGTATCATTCTTCCAGGCAGATACATAATTGAAGGGTGACGTGTGGAAAGGGGCAACAGGGCGAGACTCACATTCCAAAGACCGATCGATGGATAAGAATAGTAAGGAGGAGTTGGTGGAGGAAGGGATCATAGTAGGTACATCACTATACACATACATACAGCAGATAGATAGATAGGATGGAAGAAAAGTCCTCGACGTAATAAAGGAGTCGGGCGAGGGCTTGGCTTGGCTCTGGGATTGAATCCGCCACTGACCTTGAACCTTGGATGGTAATTTTGATAATGGATTGTGTTTTATATTATAATGGATCCATTATATTATTATATTATTATATATTATATATTATATTAGATACCATTATATTAGATTATAATATAACTCTAATGTCATTATTAGTGTGCGATAATATATTCTGTGTATTATTGGTTTCGTAATGTATCAAGAATGCCAAGATCTTTGTTGTTTTCAGTTGAAAGGGAGAAAAAAATAAAATAAAATAAATCATATCAGAGTTAGAAGATAAGAAATATAGCTACGATGAAGACAGTATACCTTGAATATTTGTTGTATCTTATTCTATATTCTCTCCATAATCCATACTATCACATCATCACCACGGTCTAGATCACCCAACTGGGGCAATTTCTCTCCAAGGCCGAACCAAAAGAAGCTGTCTTGATGGAGATC